AAAAGAGCGACTTTTAGACTTGAAAACGGACTCTTAGACTGAGAAAGGCGACTTTTAGACTTGAAAATGGACTTTTAGACTGAGAAAGGCGACTTTTAGACTTGAAAACGGACTTTTAGACTGAGAAAGGCGACTTTTAGACTTGAAAATGGACTTTTAGACTGAAAAAGAGCGACTTTTAGACTTGAAAACGGACTCTTAGACTGAGAAAGGCGACTTTTAGACTTGAAAACGGACTTTTAGCCTGAGAAAGGCGACTTTTAGACTTGAAAACGGACTTTTTAGACTGAAAAAGAGCGACTTTTAGACTTGAAAACGGACTTTTAGACTGAGAAAGGCGACTTTTAGACTTGAAAACGGACTTTTAGACTGAGAAAGAGCGACTTTTAGACTTGAAAATGGACTTTTTAGACTGAAAAAGAGCGACTTTTAGACTTGAAAACGGACTCTTAGACTGAGAAAGGCGACTTTTAGACTTGAAAATGGACTTTTAGACTGAGAAAGGCGACTTTTAGACTTGAAAACGGACTTTTAGACTGAGAAAGGCGACTTTTAGACTTGAAAACGGACTTTTAGACTGAGAAAGGCGACTTTTAGACTTGAAAATGGACTTTTAGACTGAAAAAGAGCGACTTTTAGACTTGAAAACGGACTTTTAGACTGAGAAAGAGCGACTTTTAGACTTGAAAACGGACTTTTAGACTGAGAAAGGCGACTTTTAGACTTGAAAACGGACTTTTAGACTGAGAAAGGCGACTTTTAGACTTGAAAATGGACTTTTTAGACTGAGAAAGGCGACTTTTAGACTTGAAAATGGACTTTTAGACTGAGAAAGGCGACTTTTAGACTTGAAAACGGACTTTTAGACTTGAAAATGGACTTTTAGACTGAGAAAGGCGACTTTTAGACTTGAAAATGGACTTTTAGACTGAGAAAGGCGACTTTTAGACTTGAAAATGGACTTTTAGACTGAGGAAGGCGACTTTTAGACTTGAAAACGGACTTTTAGACTTGAAAATGGACTTTTAGACTGAGAAAGGCGACTTTTAGACTTGAAAATGGACTTTTAGACTGAGAAAGGCGACTTTTAGACTTGAAAATGGACTTTTAGACTGAGAAAGGCGACTTTTAGACTTGAAAACGGACTTTTAGACTGAAAAAGAGCGACTTTTAGACTTGAAAACGGACTTTTAGGCTGAGAAAGGCGACTTTTACTACTAAAAAACGTGGATAGTTTGAACATATTCGCCATTTGGCATGTTTCTTTTTATCACGTCTGATTCGAACACTCAGACTGAGTTTAGTTCGTAGGCCCCCCTAAACGATAAAGAAAAACTCTCACAAACGAGCTGTCACTTCGAATCAGCGTGACGAGCCAGATACACCTTTTTAGGCGCGGAAATTCCAAGAGAGTCCAAGGATTTGTCGAAAATGGACGATACTAGGAAAAATTGGATCATTTTCATCGACCGTTTCGACGAACTGCACTTGCCCTTTGATATACCGAAGATTACAAAGCTATAAACGTCTGCATATCTACCCGAAAACCCCCCTAATTCCGATTTTAGAAAATGAGCAAAATATTTCTATTACTATTACCATGCTTGCCTTGCAGTCTTGGCTACTGCCCAAAGGATGCGACCGTAACTGCCGGAGGAAATTACTGTTATTCCGTCAACGCAAAAGCTATGTTACGAGACAAGGCCATGCAGTACTGCTCAAAGTTGGTCGATGCTCATTTATTTATCTGTCGTAATCAGTGTAACTTTTGGGAACAGCTTCCGTTTTAGCCTTGAACTTTCCGGAGCTACGATCCGTAATGAAGCCGAGAATCGTGCCGTCCTCACGCAGGCTCGCCTTCAAATGGGGGTCAGTTGGTCGTCAGGGGTAGCGTTTCGGAGGTTTTGGGCTTTGACGTCGTGTATTTTCAGAATGACCTCGACTGGCTATGGCTGGGCGGCGGCTACGCAAACGGGAAAGTCATCTGGGACGACGGGACCCCATCAAACTACACCAATTTCGAACAGCGTAAATTTTCAATTTTTGTTTGATTTCAGGGTTCTGTTCTATTTCGCGGGGGGGAAAAAACTGTGCGGGGGGGAAATTTTCTTCGTTTTGTTATAACTCTTTTATATGATGCTATTTTGAGTTGTAATTAAAACTCTTAGTATATTTTTTGACGCTCTATCGAATGGCATTCATGAAATTTTTAAAAGTTATCGAAAATGTCGAAAACTAGCTTTCGACTCCACGATCCCATGTGGAAACACCGAATAAACCTTGTTTTTGCTATAACTATTTTATAAAACAACATTTTTAGATGAAATTAAAACTCGTAGTATATTTTTTGATGCTCTATCGAATGACAGGTTCAAAATATCGAAAAAATGGCGAAAATGCCAAAAACTAACATTCCGGAACCAGTTTCAATAGTTTTTTTTTGTTTTTGCTATAACTTTTTTATATTACAATATTTTTAGCTAAAACAAAAACTCTTAGTATATTTTTTGATGCTCTATCGAATGGCGTTGCAAAAATACCGAGAAAATAGCGAAAAGATGAAATTTGGCGAAGCATATTTCCCCCCCGCACAGTTTCCCCCGCGAAATAGAACAGAACCGATTTCAGTGCTTTTGCATTATAGCGGGCGGAGGGGGAAACCGATTTTTTACTTAGGTCGAGAAATGGCAATATTTTATTAGCGTTTTGAGTAGAATATACAATATTATTAATTCGGAAATTCGAGCTAAAAAGCCATCAAAAACGTTTCGAATTTTTTTCCAAAACTCTGGTTAACTTTGTTTAAAAATTCTAACGTAAAAATAACGTTAATAAATATCGGTTATCTGAAATATCGAAAGACGATCTTTTTAATAAAAATTTGTAAATTTATTAAGTTTAAGAATAGTTTAAAAACGGCTTAGAAACACTTCCACTATATTTGAGACATCGGATCCTGAGAAAAAAGTCCCCCCCCCCCAATAATGCAAAAGAGCCGCGAAAAAACCAGAAAGGAATTTTTCTGATTAGGTACGCCAGCCGATGGCTTTCTGGTAATCCACATCTTGGACGGAAAATGGGATACGGTGCCGTTTGGCTGGTTTCCGGTCGCATGCGGTGGAGAAAAGGTAAAGTTCAAATTACGTTTTTCTATGCATATTTTTAGTCAGGTCCTTGCGTTCAAAAACCACCATGTCAAGATGGCTGGACCTATTCCATCATCACACGATTTTGCTATAAGGTTTGATTTATCAGAAGTACTTATGCAAGTGCGTAACTTTCGGGATTTTAGCTAGTCGGAAATTTCGCCGGCTTCACCTGGCCCGAGGCTCGTAGCAAATGTCAGTCACTACACGCCGACCTTGTTTCCATACATTCAGATGAGGAAAACCGTATTGTTGCAGGTATTTTCTAAATATTTAGAAACACCAGTTTGACAAATTTCATAGCTAATCACAGAAAAAAAAGCATTTTCTCAGAGCTTGCCGACACATACCTCGACATCCAGGTCGACTTTTACAACTGGACCCAAGCGTGCACTTGGATTGGTGGCACGCGGGTAGGTGAAAGCAATAAAGAAAACGCTGCTTCGGCTCAAGTCTAGGAAACCCCCCCCAGCCAGAACTTTTCAGCCATACGTCCTATTAATGCGCCGAGTATCTCAAAATGTTCGCCGTGGTCGAATTACTATAGGAAAGTTGTTTCTATACACCAAAAATTGTTAGAAAAATTTTTATAACAATTATAAGTCTGGGTTTTCTTTAATTAATTTTTCCTGGTCTAAAGTGACTTTTCGTATCTCGGCTATCTTTTGTCCTACAGAGCTGTCAATGGTATCAAAATGTAGCTCTTGCTCTGTAAAATAAGGCTACAGTACATTTGAGTCGAAAAAATAGCGGAAAATAAAAATATTTGAGTTTTAGACTCCTGGTACAATGAAGCACAGCGGCTTAATCTTTTCAACTTTCAAAATCTTGTAAAAAAATTTCTAGCAATTTTTGCCGCAAGAAAACAACTTTTTTATAGTAATTCGACCACAGCGAACATTTTGAGATACTCGGCGCATTAATAGGACGTATGGCTGAAAAGTTACGGCTGGGGGGGGGGGGGGGGTTTCCTAGACTCTTACCGCTGCTTCTCTTAGAATGGCACCGGAAAAACCGACTTCATATGGGTCGACGGCACGGATTTTGACTATACGAACTGGGCGGACGGCCAACCAGATTATTTCCAGAAGCAGGATGCAGCTCAGGTATGATTCACCGGGCTAGCAGTTAAAGCGTTGTCTGTAAAAATGTAAAAATTCAGATATAAAAACAAGGAAGAGCAACAAATCAACAATAGTGCAACAAGAACAAAAGTGCAAAAAGCCCACGACACTGGGGATTCCCAAGCCGTCTCCGATCCAAGTACTAACCGAGCCTAACGTTGCTTAACTTGGCGGATCGGCTGGGGGCCGTGCTTTCAACGTGGTATGCTCGTAGGCGAGGGTCGGGGCAAGGGAAGGGTAGAAGAGACTTCCCGAGCCTCCGGGGGAAAGGCCAAACTGTCTTGACCCCCGCTTCCCCTCCTCCTCTCGCCTACGACCATACCACGTTGAAAGCACGGCATCCCGTCCGATCTGCCAAGTTAAGCAACGTTGGGCTCGGTTAGTACTTGGATCGGAGACGGCTTGGGAATCCCGAGTGTCGTAGGCTTTTTGCACTTCTTGCGAGATAGCTAAAACCTTTTTCTCTGTATTTCTGTGATTTTGCAAACCAACAGCTTTTTATTTTCATTTTCTAACGTTCTAGAAGTTTTGTAGCCAGGTGATCTCTAAATTTACCCTAAATCTGCCTTTAGATCTACACCACCCGGCACAACGAATACCGGAACATTGACTCGAGCTATCTGAATAAGTGGGACGACGTTTGGGGGTTTACGAAGGGCTACAATGCGGTCTGCAAGAAGAAAGCCCGATATTAATGTGATGCTTTTGCAGATATAAAAACAATAATTTATTCGTCTTTTTTGTGCGTCGGCGTCTCCTTTTCCTTGAGATATTTGTTCTTCCTCCCGCCACTCAAATAGCTTTCGTAGAAGAAATGGCCGAATAGCGCCACATAGCTCAATTCCATTAATAGGCACCAGCCGAAGATGAATTCGTTGAATTCCGCGCATTCTGGACAAATTAGTGAAGTCTCTAACCTTGGTGCTTTGGCATTATCGGGGGAGGGGAGGGGAAGGGAACCAAATTTTTGTTTAGGCTTAGAAATGCCTAGTAATGGAATGGCAAGTATTTTAGTAGTATTTTTACAAATTTAAATACAGGGTGTCCCAAAAAAAAATCGACCCCCTCGGATCGGAATGATTTTCACACCATTCGAAAGCCCTTCAAACGGTGAGAAAACAAGCGCCTTTGGTTTTCCAAAAAATTTTAGCCTTCGCTCGATATTCAATGATTTCTGTAAAAAGCGTAAAACCAGCATCGTCCTGTTTGCTTTAGCAAGCAATTAACATGCCGATTTTGCATAAAATCTGCAGTTTTCATCGATTTTGGCCCTAAATTTAATGAATTAAAATTCCCATATTGAAAAACGAAAAGCGCTTGTTTTCTCGCCTTTTCGAGTGCTTTCGATAGATATCTAAATCGTCAAAATCGGACATGACTGCGGCCCGCTAGAGGGGGGTCGATTTTTTTTGGGACACCCTGAATATTTCCGGCGGGAAAAGGCGCTCAAAAAGTTTGTAATTTTTGCTAGAAATTCAAAATTATCGCTGAAAATTGGTCAGATTGGCCGGAAAAGCAAGCTTTTTTGTTTTTCATTAAAAATTTCTACGGTATTCGCGCCTAAATATAGCTGAAAATAGCGTAGAATCAGGCCCTTTATTTGTAATAGAAAAATTGGATACTATAGAAAATAGTGGGTCCCGTCGATATCGGGAAGGAATTTAGCAGTCAAATTTTGTAAACTAAAAAATTCCTTACCATTCCGCCTATACAGCTGGACAGCTCTTGCTTGAATCAGCAGCGTCGCGAGGAATTGGAAGATCTTAAAAAAGAGTTACGTTGCTTTAAAAATGGTACTAAATGCGCGGGAAGCTATTTTTTAACTATTATTTTTACGATGTTTTTGGTAGCTTTTGATTGCCGGGAAATTATAAAAATGACTTGAAGCCTCTTTGAAAAATTGAAAATTTTGACCTTTGTCTAGAAGATCACAATTTTCGAAAATTTTGTAATTTTGTAATTTTTATATCTCGAAAATGTGTAGAATACCCCGAAAATGGTCTATATTTCGTCATCGTTGCGGGATTACTGGGAAAATTCTTTCCTAAAATACACCCCCCGCTAACAATCCAGTACGTAGAAATTACCTGTGATGAAGTGATGATCTGCGCCACCCAGGCGGGCACCCGAACACCGGCCGATTTCAACATGTAGTAGCTAAATTAAAGCTTACTCCTTCGAACCCTACAAAGTTCGAGAATCTACCCCTTTCAGTCGATGGGACGTCGACAACTACGCGCCACACCAAACCACGCGTGCACCCGGTTCTGTCTGATTTTTGCTGCAGCGTCACTTTTTTTTTGCCCGTTTCCTCACCTGTACATCACCGCGTGCACCGTCAGATTCAGCCAGACGATCCACGCGTTGTAGCCCTGTAAAATTTATGCATTCAAAAATCTAAGATTTTTTAAAATTGTAAATTTGGTGGAAAAATCGATATTTTTGCCTTTTTTAGTTGCATTTTCTAAACAAAAATTCGCACCTGGCCGAAAGGATACGAGAACATTGCGTAGTTTAGCGTCATCACGTGGTGATACCTGAAAGTGAAAATTTTACCTGAGTTCACTATGAAACTTCGCGAAGCCGGTGCTGGGCTATTAGCGGTGGGGTAAATTTTAAAAATTAAACAATTCGAATGGCATTTAACTCAGTGTTAGATAAAAAGAGCCCGCAGAACATCTAAAAATTTTTCCAAAATTTCGATCTTTTCGTCTAAAAATAAGATAGATTAACAACAAAAGCCAATTAAAACGTCCAAATTCCTATAAGGTTCAGGATTCAAAAACCTGCTTAAAACCGTATAAACCAACTCCTTACGGGTTTACCAGGTTTATTAATAGGCGGAAGCGGAAAAAAAAGTAAAATTACCACCCCCCCGCTAACAGCCCAGTACCCCAAATCCCGCCTTACCAATGCAAAAAGATGAGCGGCCTCTTCCGCAGCACAATCAGGAATGTGTCGCCGAATTCGGCAATTTTGCTGAGCCCAAATAACAACTGCATGTAACCGGAAAGACCGTGCCAAACGGATGTCGTCTCGCAGACGGTGGCTGAAAACGAATACGCACATTATGGGTAGAGCACTGTTTCGTAGCAAACAGTTGTTTTTTTAAAGTGAATCTCTCCGGCCGGAATTTGCACACAAAAATGTGCTTTTGCATTATCGGGGGGGGGGCATCAGGAGAAAACCCATTTTTTTGTGTAATTTCAGGGAATCTTGAGTACTGTAAAACAAGTAGAGTTTGTATATGCAGGGTGACTCAAAATAAATGTATACAAACTGCAATCTTTACTTTTGTTTGGAAGCTTGCTATAAATATTTTTATATGGAATTATGTTTGTATACACTTATTTTGGGTCACCCTGTATAACCTGGAAAAACCCTCTAAACCAACAATTTTTCAGGTCCAAAAAATTTTTTGTCGAAATTCGCCAATCCTTGGGTCGAAAAATCCAACATTTTTGTATTTTTAAATTAACTAATTTTATTTAAAGTTTTTGCGTTTACAGACGGTAAAACATATTTCAGAAGCACAGCCTGGATTCCTATTACCAGAATTAGATGCACAAGAAAAAAAAATGAGTTTTCCACAAAAAAATCCTCCTCAGCCCCCCCCCCGGATAACACAAAAGCGCTGATACATCCGAATCAGACAATCCTTTGACTTTCATAGTGCCTTTAAAAATGGCTTACCATCAAATCCTAGCGTAAAGAAATCAGTGGCCAGCTGCCATCCGATTATCGCCGCTCCAATCAGGCTGAAAATGGCCAGCCACGCGTTCCAAAAGTGCAGCAACGACTTCAGCTAAACATTGGCATTTTATCAAAAAACAACAACTTTTGGTATAGCTCTATGGTATTAAAGGGAATAAACACACCTGGAACGCCTTCTTATTCACCATAAAGGCCTGGAGGGAAAAAATGGCGACGACATAGGCGATCGAGAGGAAAGCGGCGAACCACTAAATGAAAATTTGCCCATTTATTTTGTATAAGCGAAGAAATGACTTGCAACGTAATAGTAAATATCCTAGTAGTGTTTTCGTTAAATTTAACTAGTTTACTATTGGGAAAACCACCTTAAAAATTAAAGAATTTATTCATATTCGGTTGTAAAATCCACATTTCTGCTCTTTAATAAAAATCGGTAACGTTTTGCGGTTGTTAATGGCAAATAATAATAGCGGTTCCTCTTTCCCTTCGAAAAATTGGATACAAAACTGAAACCAAAGCTAAACTAAATTAAACGAACTTACTAAAAACTATGCCTCTGCGGGCCATTTCATAATGCCGAATTTGATTACCCCGATGGTTTATAAGGTTGCATCTTTAAAATGCTGAATTTTTAAACGTCGATTCTCAAAACGCTGGTTTTTTAAACGCCGAATTCTGTTTATGGATTCGACGTTATAAACCTTCGGTGTTGTAAAAAATTCGCCATTATGAAATTCGGTGCTATGAAGTTCGCCATTAAAAAATTCGGCAGCAGGGCGGTAAATTGATTTTCTGGACTTATAAAAAAATTAGTTCCCGCCCCGGATACCCCTTGCTTACTCTCTTTCTCTCTCTAACTCTCTCGCTCTCTCTCTCGCTCTCTCTATCACTTACCTTGAAATCGTGAGCGTAATCCACCGATTCCTGATAGCTAAATGAGAAGGGTCGACAGAATACCGACAAAAATCCACCCGCTAGTTTTTCGAAATAAGAGATCATGCTGAAAGACTGTTTTTGTAAAAAAAAATCGGAAATCAGTGGCAAGAAGAGATGAAGGGGGAAAAAACGGAGGTTTTTGTGGACGGTTAGCAGCCGGGGGAATTGAGCGGGTGCCGGCAAACACCAATAGGCTTATAGAAAAAGGAAAAGGGCAGACCAAACAGTCCGATAGAAAAAAGATCCATTTCACCAGATTTTGCGGGCATAAAGACGCATATGCAGGCGCTGGCGCTATATTGCCACGTAGCCGCCTATTTACTCATGATTCCCGCTTTGCGGCTCTGTTTCACTGCGTCGATAGGCGCTGCAGCGTTATCGGGGGGGATATGTCTGGGGAACCAAATTTTTTAAGTCTAAAAATGCCTAGTAGCGTAATAGCAATATCTTAATCGTGTTTTTAGCAAAATTTAACTGAATTTGAGGTGGAAAAACGATCTAAAAAAGTTTCTAAAATTTTAAAAATTCGAAAATCGACCATTTTTCGTCCATAAATCGTATTTGCGAAAAGACATAAAACGTTATTAATTTTTAGTAGATTTAACCAGCTTTTAAATAAAAAAACTACCAATAAAACGTAACAAACGTTTCAAAATTCGAGAACGGTGAAATGAAAAATCGATATTTTTGCCATTTTTTCAAAATTTGTAAAGTTATTGCGTTTAAGATAGATAAAATCAGAGTTAGCCACACTTCCTTCAATAGAACCTTTAAACAGAATCAATTGATATTATCAAAATTGGACGCTCAAGAGCAGGGGCGTAGCCAGAAAAAAATTTCGGCCAACAAAATCAAAACATTAACGAGAAAACAGCGAAAACAACAAAAAAAAATTTGAAAAAAGGTTACCTAGCTCTACAAATAGCCGTAAAAACGTGAAAAAAATAGCGCTACAGGCAGCAAAATTTTGGAGAAAATAAAAGCCGACAAAGCCAAAGAACCGAACGGGAAATCGATATACGAACGTTTTATTATGGGATTAAAGCGGCAGATTTGAGTCAGGCGGTTGCTTCAGCGAGTAAACAATGCCAAAAGCGAAAAACCCCTTGTCAAAATGGTATTATGGATGAGACTGGCCAGTCCCCGCTGCGGTCCCTTTTCCACTTCGCCATTGTGCAAATAGCACGGCGCAAACAGGACAAACGTGGAAAATGGCAACTCGGCTCCAGTCCGTTCACAGCGTGATAAACGGCCGGGTCCTTTGTCAATATCGGGGGTATCAGAGATGCCAAATTTTTTCATGCGTATCCAATTTTTAGAGGACGAGAGTAGATTTAGACTTAAATTGAGGAATTGTTGAAATGTTTCTATTAGATCTAGATGCAAAAACTTTAAACAAACCTATTAAAAAAATACAAAATATCGATTTTTCGGCCACAAACTACTTTTTTCGACCTCCAATTTAAATTCCTTTGGGCAGTTTTGTAAATAATTTTTCTGCTTGAAACATAGTTAAATTTTACTAAAAACATTATCATGCCACTTTCTGACTTTCTCGACTTTTACGAAAAAATATTCGGTTTGTCTTGATACCTCCAGCGCTCCGTTAATGCTTAAACGCCAATTTTTAAGCACCATTCCATAGAGATCAATCCATTCCATAGAGAACTGAGAAGAAATCAAGAAACTGAAAAAAAATTTTCTTTGCTAAGCACTGGAATTCTGATGCCTTATCAACAGCCTAGCTAGCGCCCAAAATTCGTGAGCGTTTCCCCGGCGTTTTGTCGGGATTTGAGACCTCTCATATCAGTCGTCTACTGAAACCCGGTGCTTACGAATTTTACCCCGGCCCTGATAAAAATCAGACATGGCAACTCGGTAGGCCGATCGGCTGTTTTGCTAGAAAAAGTTGGTCGGGTTTTCTAACAAATTGATGAGAGCATGTAAGCAATATTTCGGCCTGACGTGCCAGGAAAAAAATGGTGACGAATCCACTGAACGCTTTGATTTCCGACCCAGTCTCTCACTAAAGGGATGAGGACGGCATCTGATGAACCCCCCTTGGGGTGGGGGGTTCAACAAATGTAGCAGCGAGGGAGGGTTCCCACGGGAGAGGCGCAGAGTCATTCTTTCCCCATTTAATAGATTGACTGATGCCGCCCCTATCCCTTTAAGAATAACTACCACAAAAATTGCCAATCTCCAAGAAGTGCAAAAAGCCTACGACACTCGGGATTCCCAAGCCGTCTCCGATCCAAGTACTAACCGAGCCCAACGTTGCTTAACTTGGCAGATCGGACGGGATGCCGTGCTTTCAACGTGGTATGGTCGTAGGCGAGGGGAGGGACAGGGGAATGGACTTTGCGACAGGGGTCATCGCCGAGACTTTGCAACAGGGCAAGTGTGTAAGGCAACGATAGGCAGGGAAATGGGCGAGCCAGGAAAGAGCTCTCCCTCTCTCTCTGTCTCTCTCTCTCTCTCTCTCTCTCTCTCTCTCTGTCTTTCTCTCTCTCTGTCTCTCTCTCTCTCAGAAAAAAGTGATTCACAGTGGCTCAAAAAAAAATAAAAAAAAAAACATTTAACAGACAAAAAATTCTCTCTAAAATTTGAAAGTGGTCCTGAAAAGATCCCTACGGACTTTTCGAACCATTTTAAGAAACGGAAATCGATTTATAGACCCATTTATAGACCCAGAAATGGATTTATAGACGTGAAATAGGCTTTAAAGGATTAAGGAAGGCACAAGTGAAACAAAATTTCGGGCAAATCAGCATTTGCCGGGGCGGGGGGATTCACAAAGGCGTCCAATGCCGTTTGTAAGAAGACAAAAGAACCACTGGTTTATTCATCCTTTCTATGCGTCGGCTTTTCCTTTTCCTTGAGATATTTATTTCGTTTGCCGCCACTCAAATAGCTTTCATAGAAGAAATGGCCGAATAGCGCCACGTAGCTCAATTCCATAATTAGGCACCAGCCGAAGATGAACTCGTTCAGTTGAGGGCACTCTGAAAATAGTTTAGTTTTTAACCTTGGTGCTTTGGCATTATCGGGGGAAGGGGAACCACATTTTTGTATATGCCTAGAAATGCCTGGATAAATACAGACATTTCAAAATACCGAATTTTTCTATGAAAAATCTTCGGAGTAATTCCCCCAAATGCTACGTTAGCAAGGCCACCATTATCAAATTTCTCCTGTATCCCTCCCTCCCCGCCCGAAAATGCAAAAGAACGGAGAAAGCACCATCTCGAATTTGCTAACAAAACAAAAGCAAAATTCCTTACCATCCCGTCTGTAAAGTTGAACAGCTCGCGCTTGAATGAGGAGCGTCGAGAGGAATTGGAAAATCTTAAAAACGGGATTCTTTTATGATTTTCACGCCACCTGCGATGAAGTGATGATCTGCGCCACCCAGGCGGGCACCCGGAAGCCGGCAGATTTTAGGAGATAGTAGCTAAATTACGAATTAAGTAGTTTACTTAGCTTTAAGAGGACTGGCAAGTCCGCAAAACAACCCTTCCGTTCGACTGGGTACCGAGATACGCTACACTCCAAACAACAAGGTCAACCTTCACAGGGTGTTTGGCTCGAGTGTCAAATTATGGATTTTTTGTCAAATGGTATTAAAAGGATAGCTTAACCGTAAAGTGGATAGTTTTTTGCTGTTTTCCGTAGCTGTTGAGGCCTAGTCATTAGACAGGGTTGACGCGGAACCTTTCTAGTCCCTTTATTAAGCCGGACAATAAATTTAATTGCGAAAAATTGGGTACTCATAGGATAGCGGAGGGGGGCACTCATTATTATGAAATTGGCAATTACTTTCGGATTTTGCAAGTGCCATTCGATAAAACGTCGAAAACTGCCCTGGGAGAATTAATTTCAGCCAGAAATAATTTAAATGAAATTTTTTATTGAATAAACAAAAAGGATCAAAATCCTTGGGCAGCACATAGGATAACGGGGGGGGGGGGGGAAGTCAAATTTTTGAGTTTTGGATATTTTGAAAACGCGAATCGATAGAACATCAAAAATTATACTAAGAAATTTTTTACAACGCGAAAAATTGTATTATAAAAGTTTTATAGCGTAAAAACTATTTTTGAAAACTATGGGCAGCACATAGGATAACGGGGGGGGGGGGGGATTTTCGGCGTTTTGAATATTTTCGATATTTTGAAAACTCCATTCGGCAGAGGGCCGAAAAATATACGAAGAGCTTTTTTACAGCCCGAAAAAAGCGTATTTAAAAATACTTTTATCATAAAAAGTTTGAGTGCCCCCCCGTTATTTTATTCCCCCCGCTATCTTATGTGTAGGTATCGAAGCTATTTTAGTTTCAACATTAACCTGTACATAACCGCATGCACAGTCAAATTCAACCAAACGATCCACGCGTTATAACCCTAAAATGCGGATATCACTACGAGAGACTACAGTACACACCTGTCCAGCCGGGTACGAAAATAGCGCATAGTTCATCGTCATTACGTGGTGATACCTAGAGAATTTCATTGAATTTTGGCTGTTTAATTCAGTGGATTAAATGACTACGTTTTTCCCTACTTCCGATCCTTACCAGTGCAAAAAGATAAGCGGCTTCTTCCGGAGTACAATCAGAAACGTGTCGCCGAATTCGGCAATTTTGCTGAGCGCAAATATCCACTGCATATAGCCGGATAGATCGTGCCAAACCGGTGTCGTCTCGCATACCGTAGCTAAAAATCAGGCTGCCGTTTCGGACCTATAAGGGGTAAAACAAGCCATAGATCTCCATATGGATTCTTGCCAATTTTGCCGCCCCGTGATACGCGACGCGTTCGCTGCGTAGTAGAGCTTTTTAGAGAACGTAATGCATTACGGAATTCATGGATAATCGCCCGCGTTGCGTGTTGCGTGCGTGACTAAACGAAAAGGGAACCCACAGCCAGAACATTCTACAGTCTGTGTGCCTTAGGCGGCCCTTTAAAGGGGCGGAAACGATAGAGCCGCGGCACCATACGCAACGCGCACGCTCGCAGTTCCATGGATTTCCATGGATTTCCGGCCCTTCATGGCCGCCAAGTGGCGCGTACGTGCTGCGTGTAATGTAAGCGTGGTATGCCGCGCTACGCCATACCGCTACGCTACGCTACGTTGCATGTCAACCAAAAACCCATAGCAATGCCTCTTTAAAAAGCCCTCACCATCAAACCCTTGCGTAAAAACATCAGCAGCCAGCTGAAAGCCAACGACCACCGATCCCAAAAGGCTAAAAGCCGCCAGCCAAGCGTTCCAAAAGTGCAGCAGCGAGGTCAGCTAAAAATAATAAAATTTGAACGTATCGATATATATCAAATTTTATTTGAAAAATTAAATTATATATTCAATTTTTTTTGCGAATCTTGCCTTCCTGGTCCCTTTAAGTGCCTTAAACTTACTTCGAATGCTTTCCGATTTGCCATCACGGTCTTGATGGCAAAAATGGAGATGAGGTAGGCTAGGGAGAGGCCGGCGGCGAACCACTAAAAATCGAATTAATGGGCTGAAATAGATTTTAATAAGTTTAACAAGTTACAGCGTTAAGCAAGCCCAAACGGCTTGAACTTGCTTGCGCCATCTATCAAATTTTTCAGACAATGCTCAATATACTGAAACATCGTCCCTATTTCATCGATTTCTCCTAGCCCACCTTGAAGTCGTTGACATAATCCACGCCATCTTTGTAGTTGAACGACAGGGGTCGAATGGCTATCGATAAAAATCCTTGAGTCAATTCTTCTAACCGGGAAAGCATCCTTAAATCAATCAACTTATCGTAAATGCATAAAAAACGGAAAAATACTCATTTGTTGTGGCTTGTGGCAATAAAAATACAAGAAAATGAGACGATCTTTAATCTTAAGAAGCGGCACAGTGCTCATTATCACTTATCGACCGTAAAAATACCCGAAATCAAAATCAGAAAATCAGCAGAAAGTACGTAAGTGGGATGAAGAACTTTCTATCCTGCCGCCAGTTTCACAGCGATTTATGAGATTGACTTATCAGGCTGCGCGGAAAATTGGGGAAGGAGGTTTAGGCTTCTTTGGATTCTTTTCTTTGAACTTACGGTTTTGACAGTACCTTGATCGGGTTTTGATTGGCAGCTGCGTTTTGGAACGCAAATCGCCGGGTTCGAGCTATCAAATTTATGGGTTTTACAGGCAGTAAACTCCTGATTAGGCTTACAAATTTAGAAAAATCTAAAAGTTTCGAAAATGCCGGTAAAACGCTCAAACTCACGCAACCAGAGGCTAGGCGGGAACAACTACTTTATATATGGGTCGAAGCCCGGGGGCGCCGCCAAAGGCGCCTCCCGAGGCACCCCCTAGGGGGCGTGCCGAGTGGCGCCTGTGGCGGCGCCTGGGGCTGACCAAAAGGCGCCGGAAAACCGAGATGCAAAGCAAAAATGCGGTGTTATTATGGAAATGAGATTTGACTGCTGATCCTTACTATCAAAGAAGGCAAATACTATTAGTTGATTGGCCTATAATTTTTCCCTGATCCTTTCGCATTGTAGAGGAAGGGGGTGTTTATGGGGGACCAACTTTTTTCTAAGGACCTTGTTTTCTAAAAGAAATAGTGGAAGCTTTCGAAACTGTTGTTATTATTCTTAAACGTAAAAACTCCAACTGCGACAGAAATACAAAAAAAAATATAGATTTTTCTGCCAAAAATGGCCGATTTTCCAATCTCACTTTCAATTTCGAAAATTCTATCAAAAATTCCTTCCAATTTTTTATTTTGTTCACTTAAAAGTTAGTTAAATTTTACTAAAAACATTATTAAAAGGATGACTATTACGTTACTAGGCTTTTCTGAAGTGCAAGAGAAAAAGTTATTTGCAGGTTACTCTCTACTGTCCGTCGCTCTTGCGCTTGAAATGAATAATTAACATTAGAATCGAAGATTTGCATAATCTCACAGGCGCCGTTGGTGACCCCCGCGCCCCGTTAAAAATCATAGGGGCGGCGCCTGGCGCCACTCGGCACGCCCCCTAGGGGGTGCCTCGGGAGGCGCCTTTGGCGGCGCCCCCGGGCTTCGACCCATATATAAAGTAGTTGTTCCCGCCTAGCCTCTGGTTGCGTGAGTTTGAGCGTTATGGCCTCAGTGAAAATTTTTGAAAAATCTCGAATTTTAGCAATTTTCATGTAACGCTTTCTATGAGAGAAAGCAGCTGTATCCCATCACCAATTCACACAACAAGTCCGTTTTGGCATCCTTTGAACAAAAAAAAATTCCGAAAGATTTTTGCCCAAATGGTACTTTGGAAAAGGGACATAATTATGGCCTCACCTGGGTAAATTTTTTATAAACGTTACGATATCGCACAAATCAATCAAAAAACATTTCCAATAATCTTTGGGTACTCTCTTTCATGTAATCCAGTGTGTGGGATGGCTCTCCAAGCCCAGACGAAGGCAGTCGAGCCAGATTTCGGTCCACTGGTTATGTGGCCGCAAAAAATTCCTGTTGCTTCCCGGTACTCTTTGCTCCTGTTTACATTTTGCTTAACAAGACGCCTCAAACATGGTCAATGGCCATACGATCCGCGAAATCATTTGGGCACTCCGGAAATCCGGTTTGAAGGGATCGGCGCGAATTCCGTATCCGCCTCGCTCGATGAATTGCAGCTTCCTTTTGCTAAAAAACGCCGTTTCGATTCTGAATCCGTTTGGAAACGGGCTGGATTCCACGGCGCTACATTTGTCGGCCGTCGGCTTGGTTCATTTAAGCCAGAGTGAGGCTCCGTTTCGCTGCTTCTCATCACTCAATGGCCCAAACGACAACAACAGCACGATCTTGAAAATTTCTTGCAGACAATCGATGTTTTTGGGAGACGCTTATGGCAAAAGGAGTGAGAATGATCGCAAAAAGGCCTCTCTTTCTCAGAAACAGAAATTAGAGGGATTTTGAGGACCCTGGGCAGACCCCCATCTTCCCCCAAGCTACCCTCCGGCTTCGGCGAGCAAATTTGACGCGATTTTCGATATGGCCAGGGTTAAGCATCGGCGTCAGTTGTTGCCGGTGGAATCCAGCCCGTTTCCAAACGGATTCAGAATCGAAACGGCGTTTTTTAGCAAAAGGAAGCTGCAATTCATCGAGCGAAGCGGATACGGAATTCGCGCCGATCCCTTCAAACCGGATTTCCGGAGTGCCCAAATGATTTCGCGGATCGTATGGCCATTGACCATGTTTGAGGCGTCTTGTTAAGCAAAATGTAAACAGGAGCAAAGAGTACCGGGAAGCAACAGGAATTTTTTGCGGCCACATAACCAGTGGACCGAAATCTGGCTCGACTGCCTTCGTCTGGGCTTGGAGAGCCATCCCACACACTGGATTACATGAAAGAGAGTACCCAAAGATTATTGGAAATGTTTTTTGATTGATTTGTGCGATATCGTAACGTTTATAAAAAATTTACCCAGGTGAGGCCATAATTATGTCCCTTTTCCAAAGTACCATTTGGGCAAAAATCTTTCGGAATTTTTTTTTTGTTCAAAGGATGCCAAAACGGACTTGTTGTGTGAATTGGTGATGGGATACAGCTGCTTTCTCTCATAGAAAGCGTTACATGAAAATTGCTAAAATTCGAGATTTTTCAAAAATTTTCACTGAGGCCATAATTATGTCCAGCAGTGTATAAACTACTTAAAGCCATACAAAAAGTATAAAAAACCCTGCACGAGACAGAAAGAAATAACATTGGTATAACTCCTTAAACTACATGCAATAGAATAAGTTGAAAACAGGAAAGCTATTGTTAACCGGCAAGAGGAATCCGGCCAGGCAGCTATCGGCAAGTATTCTACTTTGGGCTTGGGCAAATAGAACAGGACAAACAAAACAAGTGTGGAAATTGGCAACCCGGCGCTGGTACATAAGTATCGTCATAAACGGCTTGAAATGCCGAATTTTCAAGGTTTAGAAAACTGATGGTGTTTTTAGCGCAAACGGATTAAAGACCTGCATGAAAACCCATTAACCTGTAGATTTTAGGAGTGCAACTTCGTGAAACCGTAAAATTTTGAAAGGACGCACGTTTCAAATCACAAATTTTCGCTACAAAAGGTGAGGGGAAATTTCGGCATCTGAACAAGGAATTATTTTTTCTTTTAAGCCCCGGAATTCTGATTTCTGATCAGCAGCATGGTCAGCACGCAAATTCGGGGACGTTCCACCCGGGTATTTATCTGCGTTGAAGCGCCTATCAGACACCTACCCAATCGGTGCTTACGAATTTGACTCTCGGGCCGATAAAAACCCGAACAACGTTTAGGGCCATTCACGATCCGGGTAACACCCCGGTTTTCACAACCGGAAAATGCGGTATCAGCTTTCGGGGAAACCGGACAGGTCGGTTGGGACGGCAACTGAGAACCTCGAAAATACTGAGTGAGTGATTTTTTTTTCGTGTATTCACATACCGTGCAATAAACCTTTATTAACTACCACAGTGCAAGGTAATTTGTACGATTTGATACGTTTTTGTACGCAGTACGTTTCATTGCGCTGTGTTATTCAACTTCTGCTATCATTGCCGATTTCGAAGTGGTGGTAGTGACTCTTCGTTCCTCACTCTGCTTATTGTTGCTCTGCGATGGTCGGCGTGTCGTGTTTCGCGAGGTCTTCTTCCGAGCTATTGCTTAATGGTTATATGAGGTTTAAAGGAACATGCAAGGCCGCTGAAATCGATTTTTTTTTTGGCAACGTCAATCCTACGGTATCAGCCTTCCGGGAAAGAATATTTGCAATCAATCAATTATGAGTACGTTACTGCTGAAAGTCCACAAAAAAGTATTAAAGGGACTAGGAAGGCTCAAGATCGACGTCTTACATCCACTAAGTCTCGACAGATGCGCACGCAGGTAGCGTAACGGATCCTACACAACAGTTCTATGTCAAAGCGACACCGCCGGAGCGTAACTAGAAAAAGGAACATAACTTTGGCTTATATTTTTATTGTTTTTGCGTGTCGCCGTAACTGTCGAGACCTAGTCGACGTGAAGGGTCGATTTTGAGCTTTATTTTTCTGGTTCCCTTGCCAAGCGAGTAGATTTTAGTATAAAAACGTCTAATTAGCCTTTTGCTGGAGTCAGCTCACTCCTTTAAGGCAAAAAAATACGAAAAACCAGACCAACCAACAGCTGCTGCCCTGGGATACCGGTAGCCCGAAGACGCGGATGCGCGAATCGGAATAATACCGATGGCTTGTTCGCTAGAATTATTGAATTTCCAAAAACACCCAACTAACGCCTACCTCTCCTCAAGAAGTAGACACACCAAAAATACCAACAAATAGCAGTTCATTCGAGTTTCGAAAACGTCAAATTTGACCAGAATCGAGGCCGGTGGAAATTCGGCGGGGGGAGGTCAGGCGTTTTTGAGCCACGCCAGGCGAATGCCGGGTAAATAATGCGGAAGTTTGATTTGTTGACATGGCGGGGGGGAGGGACACTTTGGATGTGGCGATTTTGGGTGAAAGTTTTTAGGCAGATGTTTGGTTTAAGTGATGCGACAACGTGACAGAGAGTGAGAGAAAGTGCGAGACAGCGATGCCAACGATACCTCTAAATGTTTCTCCGCCTCTTACCTCTTGTTCTCCATTTGGCGGAAGAAAATTATAAAAGTTTTCAAAGTCAAATGATAAAATCAATTACAACGCGTAACACACAGCTATATTAATAAGTATTTTTAAGTAGATTTGTACAACTAATTTCATCAAGGTGACCCGAAAATTCTTATAATACCTGCCGTTTAAAAGGCCGTTTGCGAGAGACCCGAACAATGCTTGGCACAGTTTTTTTTGACCCCGTTTTTTCGGCGGCATCGGAAAGAGCATGGTCGAATTGGTAGGGCTGCATAGTTTTGAAAGTTTAAAAAGTTAATTTTTGGGGTTTAAATTGGAGTCAAAGTAGCAGACACTCAAAAAGTATCTCGAAAACTACTGAACCAAATTGGCTGAAAATTTGTGACAATGCCTAATTTGGGATGGGGATCATTTCTTTAATACATCGTGAAGCACGAAAATGAGCGGAACATAGGAATATAGCGTACACGAAACAGTAATTTTGGATTTTCTATTTTACGGGTTTCCGAGGGTAACTTCTTTTTACTATCGAAAGATGCGCCAAAAAATTCTGCATTGAATGATGTATTTTTCATTTTACCCTCCGGTTCCCTAGTTCCGCTATAAATCATTTACTGCGCGCAAAACAGACCCCAGACTAGGCCAAAATCCGCAAAAATGGCAGATTTTAAAATTGAAAACATCAAATCGTATCTAGAGCATGAGCTGAATCGATTGCAAAAAAGAGCAAAAGAAATTCGGCTTCTAAACATAGGCTGAGATCCGGGAGGAATCGAACTCGGACCCTTCGCCTGGAAGCCCTCTCTGGAGCCGTGGTGGATTGCATGAGTGCTCGCCTACCAATCCAAGGGCCGCGCCAGTTCGATCCCAGCCCCCCTTCAAAAGCAATAATTCTTTTTGCTCTTTTTTGCAATCGATTCAGCTCATGCTCTAGATACGATTTGATGTTTTCAATTTTAAAATCTGCCATTTTTGCGGATTTTGGCCTAGTCTGGGGTCTGTTTTGCGCGCAGTAAATGATTTATAGCGGAACTAGGGAACCGGAGGGTAAAATGAAAAATACATCATTCAATGCAGAATTTTTTGGCGCATCTTTCGATAGTAAAAAGAAGTTACCCTCGGAAACCCGTAAAATAGAAAATCCAAAATTACTGTTTCGTGTACGCTATATTCCTATGTTCCGCTCATTTTCGTGCTTCACGATGTATTAAAGAAATGATCCCCATCCCAAATTAGGCATTGTCACAAATTTTCAGCCAATTTGGTTCAGTAGTTTTCGAGATACTTTTTTGAGTGTCTGCTACTTTGACTCCAATTTAAACCCCAAAAATTAACTTTTTAAACTTTCAAAACTATGCAGCCCTACCAATTCGACCATGCTCTTTCCGATGCCGCCAAAAAACGGGGTCAAAAAAAACTGTGCCAAGCCATATTGGGGTTTGTTCGGGTGGCTCGCGGACGGCCTTTTAAAGCGGCCGGACTTCGGCTAGATCCCATTCCCCCCCCAAACGCGCACCACCTGGCTCATTATGCCCCAACCTGGGCAATAAGCCAAATTACACAAATAGGTTTTTCACCGCCTAACCGCCATTTTTCATTTTCATTCAGTGAGGTCGAATCGACCTAAAACCGTCGAGACCGAAGCTTCTGCTCACTCTTCGGGCTGTCGGCTGCGGACAAACAGACAGACAGATATACGGACAACACAGAAAAATTATTATAGATGATACCTTCACTTATTTGTATTAACCAGCGCCCAAAACCCGCTTCGCGGGCCTTGGGCGCTGGAATGAGGCCTCTGCATGAGAAGTTTGACCTTTCGATAGCCAGGGTCCTGCGGACCCCCTCTCCGGTCCGACCACACGGGCGCGTGCAACTTGCAAGAATGAGGAAATTTGTATTTTTTCACATTATACAAATTAGCCCTCCTGGACTCCTAAAAATGAATAAAACCGTCTTTAACTTTGTAAACTTGTATTTTATCAAAATTCTGAGAACGCCATCGGAAACAGAAGGGTCGATTCCTCCAAGTGACGGAGAATTGGGATGTTTTTGACACGGGAAGGCCCTCAAATCGGGCCTCGAAATTGACATCCACACACACACACACACAAAGATACACGCCAAAATTATATAAGGTAGGATATTTATATTGCAAGACAGAAAAAACGTTCGAGTGGGCTTTGCCGCTTTATCCGATCCGCGACAAGACTCCTCTTCTATTTCCGGTTAGCTGCAGCCGACTTGCGTCACCGAGTATTGAATGCCATAAATCCTAAAACATAAAAATCATTTTACTTTTTCAGTAGGCTTATTTTAAATCTTTTAGAACCTACCATGTCCCATTTACACACTTCAACGAATTCGTAGCATAATTCAGTGGGCTTGCGTCGTCTTTCTCCAGGTACATGGACAAGTTATTTAGCTAAAAAGGAAATAGTCGTTAGGCCGGACCGAGATTTTCATATTTTAACACGGGAACTCAGCATTTTAAAAATTTAAAAATGAAATTAAAAGTTCTTTAAATTAAAATTAAATTATACGCGTAAATTTCGCTCTAAGACTACAAAAGTGAGCGGGTATCTGGATGACTTACAGATAAGACAGCTTGTATGCCGGGTGGGGCCGAGCAGGCCAGATCCAATTGGCAATTGTTGAAGGAGACGGTCCTAGAATACGATACATTTGCGTAAAGTCTCTAGGACTTCTAAAACGTACTGATTCATTTGCGTAGGCTTTGAATCAAGGGTTGTATAAGTAAGCTGGTTGGCCAAACAATAGCACCAGACGGTCGAGGTTTCAACTTAAAAAATGCAAAATGAAGTTTTTTCCTACAGCCAATTCTCAAGCTATTTTTTGTACCTGTTGACGTTGTGGGGCCGGCCGTAGTTGTTGTCGTCGTTGCTGTCGTCGACGTTGTTGAAGTGGTGGTCGTAGGCGTTGAAGATGACGAAGGTGTACTTGTTGATGTTGATGTTGGCGCAGGTGCAGCTGTAGGAGTAGCTACTAAGAAAATCGTAGTTGCTGACGTCGATGTCGACGCAGACGTACTTGCTGCCGTTGATGTTAATGCAGAGGCTGTTGAACTCCGAGCTGTAGATGCCGTTGTTGACGCAACCGTACTTGCTGAAGTCGCTCGTGTCGTGCTACTCGTTTTAGGCGCTAAAAGCAATACATAAAAATTCCTACAATTTCCCCTCACGATCATTTGCAATCTGCGCGGATATATCCTGTGTTGGACATGGTATTGTCGTATTTTGGTGTCGATCGTACAAATAAAAATTTAGCGTCGGATCAGAGCCATCATAGATGTGGGTGCAAGTTTCTAAAAACGATCATTAAATCGGGAGCTTCGCACCTAGAAGTTAAAGGGCACGTTCAGGGACGTTTTTTTTTTGGAAAAAAGCAAAGATTTTAGCCGCGGCCGGGGGTCGAACCCGCGCCCCCGCTCGGGAGGCGCGGATGGATACCAGTCAGCCACAGCTACAACCTGGCGAAGGGGCGAGGGGCGCCCCAGGCCGCAAAGGAGGGAAATTGCCTGCCACGCCACGCGCAGGCAGTGCGCTCGGTCCATACGTCCATAGGGTGTACACGTTGGGGCGAGTACACGGCCCCTCCCTGAACGTGCGCTTTAAGGGGCTAAAAAAACGTACCTCGCGTTAAATAAATTCCGATACAGTACTCTGAATCCCCAATGCATTCCGCAGCACAATCATCAATTTGTTGTTTCGTAAGGGAAGGATCTGGGCAACCGACGGTCACAACCATGTACGAATACGTCGAGTGTAGTACGAACTGAAATTTTTGGGGCTACGGTAGGTAGGGCAAGCTGTAGTGAATCAAATTCGTGACGTTTTGAAACACAGATTTGAAGAGACCACAGGTAAATTTTAGAAAATCGAAAACTTAGCACTTTTGGGCTACGATAAGGTTGTCGTTTTTCATTCTAGCCAACGTTTTATTATTTTCAAGTGCAATAAAGACTAGAAAATTTTAGGGCTGCAGCTACATATCTAAAAAAAATTTTAATGGGACATGCTATTGTAAGCCCCTAGAATACAAATTTGTCGCCCCAACCGCATCGCAGCCATGAAAAAATTGGGGTTACAGTAGGTAGGGCAGCTTTTAGAAAGCAGAAATCGCGCATTTTATTATTTCCAAACGTAATAAAAGCTAGAAAATTTCGAGATTAAGGTGGACATTTCTAATTTATAGAAATCTCAACCTATACAACATTAAAATCAGGAGCTTACCAGTAAGCAACATATACTTCTAGTGAATTTGGTCATGTTTTGTGTTCAATTCAATTCGTGTCTTGGCTCATTTAAAGGGCTGGACTACCCTGGTTTCCTAGTTACGTCCGGGGCAAGGAAGCGCCATAAAATGTCACATCTCGCCCCCACGTGCCTTCATTGGAATGTCATCACAGCCGTTATGTGGGCATCAAACATTAAGAAGGGCTCATATATTTTGTTGACGATTAGCCGGAAGCCATTTCGGGCGGAAATTGACAAATTACGGAAATCTATCAACAAAAATCTAGCGTCAAAATTCAGCGACTAACGCTGATTTTTGCTCCATATTTTAGCTGGTATATTCGTTTTGTTTTTTCGAGAATTTTCACCCGCCTCGACACTTGAGTGTACCTCATTTTGCTCGTCGTAAAGGTGTGACCGTCATTTGGGAGCAGAAAGTTCTCGCGCTCTGGCCGTGAGCTATTGAGGGTACGGCGCTCGAACTTACGCTTCGATGGTCGGGCTTGCATCGATTGAATGCCAGAAAAATCGCAATTTTTTCCGTTCCACTAAGATTGAAACCGCCTTGGTTGAGAGTAAAAACTTTCTTTCTGACTTGGCGCTACTCCGCGTCAAAGATTGCCTTATTTGCAATTAGGCGACACGAAAAAGTCTTAAAATCGATAGCATTTTTTTGGTTTTGAACCTGTCGCTAAAAATACAATTTTCTGCGCCAAAATCGCAACTAACTACCCGATCTCGCATAAATCCGCTTTTTCAGGGTTTTTGAAGGGCACGTTCAGGGACGTTTTTGGGCAAGAAAGCAAAGATTTTTGCCGCGGCTGGGGGTCGAACCCGGGCCTCCCGATCGGGAGACGCGGTCGCATACCAGTCAGCTAGGGGTGCAACCTGGCGAGGGTCGAAGGGCGCCTCACCCCGTAAAGGAGGGGAATGGCCTCCCACGGCACGGGCAGGCAGCGCGCGGGTCCCAACGTCCATAGGGTGCACACGTCGGGACAAGTACACGGCCCCTCCCTGAACGTGCGCTTTAACGGTTCCTAAAACTTCACAATTAAGTGGCTTAACTAGAAAACGCAAGGCGGCTTTTCTCGCCTTTTGAGAGCGTACCACGCCTCAACTATTTTATCCAAATAAAACAAACAGATCCAAATTCATGGATAATTATCCAGAACGTATTTATCATAATTCTCCTCGTCACGCTTCCTGACAGGCGACCATCGTAATTTCCTATTGAAAGTAGTACCTGCAAGGGGTCTGTAATTTCAACTTTGCGTAAGATAAGGGCGCCTCTGGATCAAACCTCGTGGATATCGTCTAATTTATACAATTAATTCACACATTATTTGAAATAAACTTTTTTCTTAAACATTCGAAAAATTTATCGATTGAACTAAATTTACCAGACTCCATTTCGGCATTCGAGCGAGGCATGGACCCTCCATGAAGCGTCATCATCGTGCGCTGGGCCACCGCCGTCGCCATTAAACTGCAAAAATGATCGACGATTTTCGGTCAAAGTAAAGATGTGATTATATACGTAGTACACTACGGATGTAATTATATCTTAGCTTACCTTCATATAGGCTACCATCCCTTCGTCACCCAAACACATTGCTGTCATCTGGCAACCGTCGGCGCTTGGGCCACTGTAATGAGCTTATTTTCATTTTGTCAAAAATCATTTTTTGGAAATTTCAACCGTTTTCGCCTCGATTATTGATCTCAAATAGCTCCAAATTTAAATGTCGACAAAATGATAGCAAATAACTGTAATGCATTTTCGAATTTTCAAGATAGATAGACCTATGCGTCGCATCTATTGAGAACTCCCTGCTGATGTCCCGGGGGACGAAGTTGATCTGATCGACTGAGCAGGTACACGTGGTTGAAATAGCGGTGGCTAAAAAGAATGGACTCTCTATCTTTCTATTTCTCTCTCTCTCTGCCTCTCTCACTCGCTCGCTCACTCGCTCGCTCTCTCTCTCTCTCTCTCTCTCTCTCTCTCGCTTTCTTTCTCGCTCTCTTTCTCACTTACTTTTTCTCTCTCGCTCGCTCTCTCTCTCTCTCGCTCTCTCGATCTCTCACTTTCTCTCTATCTTTATCTCTCTCCTTCCCTCACTATCTCGCTCTCTCATCCCCTCTCTCTCATTCTCACTAACACTCCATCTATCTCTCGCTCTCTCTCTCTCTCTCTCTCTCTCTCTCTCTCTCTCTCTCGCTTTCTTTCTTGCTCTCTTTCTCACTTACTTTTTCTCTCTCGCTCGCTCTCTCTCTCTCGCTCTCTCGATCTCTCACTTTCTCTCTCTATCTTTCTCTCTCTCCTTCCCTCACTATCTCGCTCTCTCATCCCCTCTCTCTCATTCTCACTAACACTCCATCTATCTCTCGCTGTCTCTGTCCTCTCTCTCTCTCTCTCTCTCTTTCTCTCTCTCTCTCTCTCTCTCTCTCTCTCTCTCTCTCTCTCTCCCTCTCTCTCTCTCTCTCTCTCTCTCTCTCTCTCTTCACCCTCTGCCTATCTCCTTTCTAACCTCCAACCTACTTGTCGCCGGCTCAGGGTTCGATTAGCATGGGAAAAAATTTGGTCGGCCGCCCGGAGGTGGTCAACCAGCCTGGAGGTGGTCAAAAAAGCCTAAAAAATTCGCGGCCGCGCGGCCAGTAATCGACTCTGCTGTACGAATTCATTGAAGAAGGCAACGAGTCAGGGCTCCCGGGTTCGAACCCCCGCCGCAAGCTCTTTTTTTGCTTTTTGGAAAATATAGAACGGAATTACGGGAGAATCCATCGGGAAGCCATCTGGAAGGTTTAAAATGCAGAATGGGTCCGGGGGGTAAGTAGAAACTGACGAGTCAAGGGTCCCTGGCTCGAATCCCCGCCGCGACAAATTTTTTGCTTTTTGAAAAATATCGATCGGAATCGCTAGAGAATGGATCAGGAAGACCTCTGTAAAGTTTAAAATGCAGAATGGTGTCAAACACGGGGCGGAAATAGGTATTTTGGCAGCCAGGTAGATTTTCCCATTAAAAACCCATGCTTCCCATGAGGTTATCTCGGTTGATAGGCTCGGCAAGGAAAAACGCAAGATGGCAATGGATGCGGAAGAATCTAGGAGATAAAAGGAGTAAAAAAGATTTGGGACGCTAATATAAAGTTTTTGAGTTAAAAGCGTTTCTTTAAAATGGCCTCCCATGCGTTTTCCCATAACTTTTTTTTTCGAAGTGGGATTTCTCGAAAACTACTGAACCGATCGGGTTAAAAATTTCACCCAAATAAGATCGTATCCTTGGCTATCGATGGAAGCCTTTAGTTTGGGAAAAATCCATCTCAGGAAGATTTTAGATATGACCTCCAGGTTTACTTTTTTTCAGGGGCCCGGAAAATCCAGCGTTGGGTTAACTGGGAAAAGGGCCTGGAGGTTGTCAAAATAATAAGATGTCGTTGGGAACTTTTGATATGTTATAGAAGCTCTGAATGCCGACATTTCGACGTACAATACAAAAATATTTTCGATAGGACGATTTTGTCGAAACCGAAAAATCGCATTTTTTGCTCAAAATTAGCATATAAAGTGCCTGGAGGTTGTCAAAATAATAAGTAATCGTTTTGAATTTTTTATATGTTGTAACCATCGTTAATGCCGACATTTTGATGTACAATACAAAAATATTTTCCTTAAACGGAATTTTTGGTAATCCAAAAATGGCACTTTTCGGCCAAAATCAGTCGATAATGGGCCTGGAGGTTGTCAAAATAATAAGATACGGTTTTAAACTCTTGACATGTGATAGAGACGCTTTATGCCAACATTTTGATCTACTACACAAAAATATTGTTCATTAGATAGATTTTCAGGGAGGAAAAACGGTGAATTTGAGCCGAAATCCTACCTTACAGGGTGTCCCAAAAAAAACGACCCATCTGGCATTTCGCCGGGTTACATCCAATCGGTCCCATATTTGGACCAGAGGTGTATCAGACCCTAAATAACACCAATCCTGACTTACAGCCCCATAGCTACAGTAGTTTTAAAGTTATAACGAAAATACTGTTTTTCCGGGAATTCTGGACTGTTTTATCGGCTATCTTTTTGGACTTTGAATCGATTTGCATCGACTTCCGGCTGCGAATCCCTAATTTCGCTTAAGAACTGGGGTAGTTTGCGTTGTAAAAATCGCTTAAATCGAAGCTTATTTAATTAATTTTACTCTGGAAAAAATGTCTGAAGGTAAAGAAGGCCTACCGGATCATTTTCACTTAATGTTTAGGGGTCTAATTCCACGAAAAGCCTATGAAAAATGGAAAATAAAGTTTGTTTTTGCTATAACTCGAGAACGACTGTAGCTACGGCGCTAAAAGTCAGGATTGTTGTTATTTAGGGTCTGATACACCTCTGGTCCAAATTTGGGGCCGGTTGGATGTCATACGGCGAAATGCCAGATGGGTCGTTTTTTTTTTGGGGCACCCTGTATATAATTTTGGCGGGTATCTTTGTGTGTGTGTGTGTGTGGATGTCAGTTTCGAGGCCCGATTTGAGGGCCTTCCCGTGGCCAGAACGGTCCAATTCTCCGTCACCCGGGGGAATCGACCCTTCTGTTTCAGATGGCGTTTTCAGAATTTCGATAAAATACAAGTTTACAAAGTTAGAGCCGGTTTTATTCATTTTTGGGTGTACCTGAGGGCTAATTTGCATACTCATTCTTGCCAGTTGCACTCGCGAGTTTGGTCGGGGGTGGGGGGGGGGGGGGAGTCCGCAGGACCCGAGCTATCGGAAATTCAAATTTTTCATGCAAAAGCCGCATTCCAGCGCCCAAGGTCCGCGAAGCGGGTTTTGGGCGCTGATAGACATATAGTTTGGCTCGGGGTTGGCTTAATCGATTCAAGCAGCGGGCGGTGCTTGAATCTGCGGATTTGAATTGACGGATTTGAATCTTAACCTGCGGATCCCTAGGTGCAAAAAGCATCGAAAATTTTTTCGCCGCTTCGCGGCCAAACTGGAGGTGGTCGGCCGACCTGGAGGTGGTCATGGGAATCCTGGCCCACATGATCGAACCCTGCGCCGGCTGCGTTCTGTCGCAAGCCTTCGAAGCCGCAAAGCGGCATAAAGCCAAGAAAATGCACAGGAAATTAAGAGCCATTTTTTAGTCCGATTTCCGGTGCATGATTACGGTCTCTTGGCCAGCAGATTATGGTAGCTATATAAAGACCATACCACATTTTGTCAAATTTACACTACAATAGCTTGAAACCTGCACGATTTTCATACCCGAATTCGGGCCGCTTGCCAATTTTGCACGTTCCTGCTGCTGGCCGGGTTCCAGGCGTGTGAAACGGCCAAAAACCGAGAACACAAAGATCTTCCAAAAAAACTAGTAAAATCATGAAAAAATAGTTTATAGGAAGATATATCTGTGTATTGTTTTTCGACCTGGTCAAATCATTTATTCCTGCCCGGAAATTGTGTCGGAAAGGGAAATATTAATTTTATACAAATTTTATCCGTTTGCCGCCTGCTGGCAGTTAACCTCGTTGACTTGGCGATCACGGTAGAACCTGGAAAATAGGAGGTAACTTTATATATTGCTCTTTCTTTCTCTCTTTCTCTCTATCCCTCTCTATCTCCCTCCTCTCTCTCTCTCTCTCTCTCTCTCCTGTCTCTCTCTCTCTCTCTCCCTCCTTCTCCCTCTCTCTTGCTCTATTTCTCTTTCTCTCTCTCTCTCTCTCTCTCTCTCTCTCTCTCTCTCTTTCCCTCTCTCTCTCTCTCTTTCCCTTCTCTCTACATCTCCCTCTCTCGCCCTCGCTCTCTCTCCCCCACTCACCATTGTCCATTTCTGCATTCAAGTGGCGCCTCGACATTTTGGGTCATGGCGGCATTTTCCGCAGGCCCTCCTTGATTTGTGTTAAACTGAAAATTAAATTCGAAATTTTTCCTTTTTTTTAGAAATAAATCGAAAATTAACAAAAATAAATTGGAAATCAGGACCCAAGTTAAGATTACCTGCATGAAAGCCACCATCCCCGGGTCACCCAAGCATTGTGCTGTCAGCGAACATCCATCAGCTGATGGACCACTGAAATAACCTAATCATATTTGTGTTATCATTTTCTAGATCTGCAAAGAAGCCAAAATTAGTCTAGGCATATTAAGATTCCCTAAAAACGAGTCTATAGCCAATTTCTTAAATGAAAAGTCTAGCTTTTGAAAACCTACGTGAAAGAAGAATCAATCGATCCGGCTCGATTTGCCTGTGCGGGGGTGAATGTGATTTGGGCTGCTGTACATGTGCATGTAGTACCGGGACCTAAATGCGCAGCATGATTCCCAGTCACGAATTCGAAAAAGCACGATTTCGAAAAACACCATTTCGAAAGTCACGATTTCGAAAAATCACGATTTCGAAAAACACCATTTCGAAAGTCACGATTTCGAAAAATCACGATTTCGAAAATCACCATTTCGAAAGTCACCATTTCGAAAAAACTTTATTTCGAAAAAGACCATTTCGGAAATCGCGATTTCGAAAATCACGATTTCGTAAAACCCCATTTCGAAAAAATCCCCAGTTCGAAAATCACGATTTCAAAAAATCACGATTTCGAAAAATCACGATTTCGAAAGTCACCATTTCGAAAAAATCCCCAGTTCAAAAAGACCCGGCCTTCAAACCGTTATAAAAATTGCAGTGTCGAAAAACCACGATTTTCTCGGATATGACTAGTGATGTAATAGAAATTGTTTTAGTGGCGTCTATAATGAAATTAATCATATCTACAGTGGAAAAATAGACGCCCGAACCTCAAACCAGCCAACGAAAACCATTTTTTTCTGCGACTGGAAATGGGCTATTGCCAAATCCTGTGTTTCCCAAACGGTAATGTTCGAAATGGTGATTTTCGAAATCGTGATTTTCGAAATCGTGACCGCCAACCGCGCAGCATATTCCAGTAGAAGCTTGTAAAAAATCGCTAATCGATTTCTAGAGGCGTTTTCTAAGGAGATTGCCGTGGGTAGAGTAACGTACTTGGTGTGGGTACTGTTCGTATACAGGCATCCAGTATTTCAAATGTGCAGAGGATGAGGAGCGGCCGAACGAGTGCTCGGAACATGACTGAAAGGTGTTTTTTAACTCTTAGGCTTTTTTAACGTGATAGATTACCTTAGAAAAATATATCAGCGAAAAATGAACAAATCGCGGGTAATAGAGTGCTAGGACATCCGAAGCGAAGGGACCGTTGTAAAAGCAGACATTAGATTAAAAAAATCGATATTCTTCCCCTTTTGACGAGATTTTAAAACATTTAAACTTTTAAAAACCTTCTTTTCAAGGTGTTGGAAAAACGACAGATCGTTCAGCGCGAGAGTATGCCAGCAAAGACCATTTAGGATGCCGGCGATGTAATATATTTTTGACGTACGTTTAATGTAGCTTTGAAATTGAGCACAGTTGAAATTAGGATCCAGCTCTCGCGGAGGCTAGCCGAGGCCACTGAGGAATTAGCCTTGACTCCGAAAATTTCAAGGTTCCACTATCAAGGATGGGTAGCGGGGTAATAAGCAAAGGTCATTTAGGAGCTACAAGAATTTGCCATACTGTAGAAAAAAGCAAGTAGAACAAATATCAGCAAAACACAGGTACTTTCCACAAAATCCGATTGACAGCAGAGCATCCGTGACTGTTCGCGTGCGTTGAAAGTTTCGATGGAAGAAACGAGCCGAAGCAAGGAATTTGATGACAGCGGGAGAGAGAGGGAGAAAGAGAGAGAGAGAGAGAAAGAGAGGGAGAGAGACAGAGAGAGACAGAGAGAGAGAGAGAGAGAGAGAGAGAGAGAGAGAGATTAAGCGAACTACGGAGACTTCAAGCCGTACAAACATACAAACAGATTGAGCCACGGATCGTGCAAACATCAGAAAAAGCGTCGATTTGGAGGGTGGAACTCGATTAGGCGTTTTCGGAGAGCGGGGGGCAGGGCAATGAAGACGAAGCAATGGCTTACCCCCAAGCCCATTTCTGCATCCGCCCGGTTTTTTTCAGGCAGGCTTCACTTCCTCTTGCCCTTCTTGCCCGCCCGCTCTCTCTCTCTCTCTCTCTCTCTCTCTCTCTCTCTCTCTATCTGCCTCAAGATTACGTGCGGCGATAGGAGCCTGGCGTAGTCATCCTCCTCTCGCACTCGAGGTGTACCGTAATTCCTATAAAATGCGCTGGGTAGCGGGATCAAAGGCATTTGGGGGTGCCGCAGGAATTGGCGGAGGGCCAAAACCGGGCGCTAATCAGCCTATTGAGTGGACTGGAGAATAGTCTACGGTACCATTGGCAATTAATGACCCGGGGTTGGATTGAAAATCGTCCATTTTTATAAAGAGGTTGGCGATCCTGATTTTTAGCCAATTTTCCGCTTTTTTCACGGAACTAATAAGTCGTAGGATCAACTAGGGTGGGCGGCAACACGACACATCGAATGATGCATGCAGTTTATCCGGACCTTCTGCCTCGTCGTTGTCAAGATTGGCACGAAAACGTGATTTGAAAGTCGATTCGCGCGCTTCCCGACCTCTTTAGTTTTTCCTTCGAACTCATTTTCCCAACAACTTATTTTTTAGAAAACCAGCGGGGGAGGAGCCGCTTCGCGACTCTCCCCCGCTGGCCCCGTCTAGGCCATTTGAATCGAGCGCCCTTCCAAATACAGTTGCTCTGAAGAAAGAAAAACGCATCTCCCATGCAAACCTCCTTGTATTGACATGCGGCGCAAGCTTGAATTGCTAGTGTCGTTATTAGGCCTGCGGCGCATGCTTGATCGGCCAGGTCCTTATCCAGCGCCCCGAGCTTGCGCGGTTTGCTTCGAGTTAAAGCCTGCGGCGCAAGTTCGAGCGGTTACCTGCTTCTTTAGCCTGCGGCGCTAGCTTGAGCGACTGGCTTCGTTCTAGAGCCTGCGGCGTTAGCTTGTACGGCCAGCTTCGTTTCAAAGCCTGCGGCGCTAGCTTGTACGGCTAGCTTCGTTTCAAAGCCTGCGGCGCTAGCTTGTACGGCTAGCTTCGTTTCAAAGCCTGCGGCGCTAGCTTGTACGGCTAGCTTCTTTCTAAAGCCTGCGGCGCTAGCTTGTACGGCCAGCTTCGTTTCAAAGCCTGCGGCGCTAGCTTGTACGGCTAGCTTCGTTTCAAAGCCTGCGGCGCTAGCTTGTACGGCTAGCTTCGTTTCAAAGCCTGCGGCGCTAGCTTGTACGGCTAGCTTCTTTCTAAAGCCTGCGGCGTTAGCTTGTACGGCCAGCTTCGTTTCAAAGCCTGCGGCGCTAGCTTGTACGGCTAGCTTCGTTTCAAAGCCTGCGGCGCTAGCTTGTACGGCTAGCTTCGTTTCAAAGCCTGCGGCGCTAGCTTGTACGGCTAGCTTCGTTCTAAAGCCTGCGGCGCTAGCTTGTACGGCTGGCTTCGTTCTAAAGCCTGCGGCGCTAGCTTGTACGGCTAGCTTCGTTTCCAAGCCTGCGGAGCTAGCTTGTGCGGCTAGCTTCGTTCTAAAGCCTGCGGCGCAGGTTTGGGTGACTCGCTTCATAATAACGTCCCTACACGGAAATCCACTCCGAAACGCACTTTCCGAGCAAAAAGCAAAACACCTACGACACCCGAGGATCGAACCCCCGATAGCAAGATTGGCAGGCTGACGCTCTAACCGCTATACCATGAAATGCTTGGGAGCGCCCGCGCAACACGCCTTGTATGCCCCGAGGTGACTGCCGGGAAAAAGGAGCAAAGGCAATGAGAGGCAGCTCCAATGAGGCAGCCAAACGCGCGAGTGCAACTGGCAAGAATGAGGAAATTTGTATTTTCTCGAATTATGCAAATTAGCCCTCAGGGACCCCAAAAATGAATAAAACCGGCCTTAACTTTGTAAACTTGTATTTTATCGAAATTCTGAGAACGCCATCGGAAACAGAAGGGTCGATTCCCCCGGGTGACGGAGAATTAGGGCATTTTATGCACGGGAAGGCCCTCAAATCGGGCCTCGAAAGTGACATCCACACACACACACACACACATACGCGACCAAATTATATAAGGTGGGACTTTTTTTGGCGCAACGGCTGAAAATGATAGATAGAAGCAAGCTTGCGCCGCGACTCCGCAATTGATTACGCAATCGAAGAGCAAGCGTGCGTTGCGGTTCGCGTTGCATCTCGTATTCCGCCTCGCATCCGGAGTGCGCTGCGTTTCGCGTTCCACGTTGCGTGGCGCGTTACGTTTCATGTTGCATTTCGGGCTGGATTAAAATCCCTAGAAATTCTGCAACATCCTAGACTTTTGGTGCATTATAAAGGGATCAGAACGTCCAGAACCGCAACACACGACGCGTACGCCGCCGCTGATTTTATTTGATTAGGCAATGAAATAGCAAACGTGCTGCAAGGTCCTCTAGCAGCCGAGATCCACCGAACACAAAATTATCTATTTACCATAATTCAGAAAATCAGAGAATTTCAAAAAATTGAACAAGGCTAGGCGTTGGTGAAGCTTAAAAAGGATTCAGGTAGCCGTTAATCCGTTAAATCGGAGTGGCCGTTAATTAATGATCGTCCCCTTAAAAGCCTCCGGTTTCCCGGTTTTGCCATTCGACTTGATTAAGCTTCCTCAGGCTTCTAATTCGCAGATGGATCCCTAATTTCCATGTCATCATGGCGCCACAGGCCAGCCGGGCGGCTTTTTTGAGCGGGAGAATCCAGCGCGCACGCGCCGATTTGTGGTCACCGCGCGAGATTCAGATCACGCAGCTGGCTCGAGATTTTTGCGGACACTTGGACCGTGAAATTTGGAAACCTGAATTCTGATCGAGCAATTAGGTGATCGGGCACAAAAAGCGCCAGATCTTTGTGGAGGGCTAGCAGAGATCCTTGCGGAAAGATCATACACTTCTGTTTTGGCAAATGGCGTCTACTGGCAAGCTAGCTGAGATCATTTGGGAACTGCCGCAAGCGAGCAGAGTTCATTTAGGAAAAAGGCATCAGTCAAAAGCCAAAAAAAACACAGCATGAAAACATTAGAAAGGCTGGCTAGCAGATATTTTTAGGGACTAGGATTTTAGCGGGCACACTAGCAGAGTTTCCTAGAGAGTGCGAAGCTAGAAGTGGCCATTTAGGAGGAAAAGCGATAGATGTGGCAGGCTAGTTTTTTGAGAATTAGGGACAAATCCGGGGCGGAAGAATTATCAGCTTTTTCAGCTAATGAAGCCACGCGTGGAGCAGAGAACGATATGTACCCAGCCATCCACGGAGTGGATCACAATCAACGGGAAAAGCCGGAAAACGGGGCGACGGGAGGTATGTCAAAAGCCAAAAAACTGGATGGGGCATCGCGAAGCGGGAAGTTCTCCATTACGGAGATCCGAGAAATAGCTCCAGATAGGGAAGAGCTGATAGCCTCGGGCAAGGAATAATCGGGATTTGATCACGCTCGACAGGAGGTTTATAGGACTTTTTTTAAAGAGAGCAGGAAATCAACATTGTGCTGATCGGGGGATTGAAAGTATGACGTGAAAAAATTCATTCTTTGCGGAAAACGACAATTTTTTGAAAAACTGTTTTTTAGCATTATCAGAGGGTGGGGGGAGAGAAAGCAAGGAGCGTTTTTCTAGGGACCAACTTTATCCTTTAGATCCAATTTTTCAAATGTAAGGCGAAGAAGTTGTCTAAACCGTTTCTTACTCATTATAAACGTAAAACCGGCAAATTTTTGAATATAAAATACAAAGAAGGTTCTTTTGTATGATACGTTATTAATGTGTTATTAGCATTTGCTGGATTGAGACAAACAAACTAGTCTCCCCGATAATGCGAAAGAAACTGATACTGTTGAGGCTACCATTTGTGAGTGTCGTTGTAGCTGCCGTCAAATTTTAGGTTGTTAAGAAAGAAGAATGTATTTATCGGGAAAGGTTTATCACATTTTGGAATCATTTTGGAAAACCCAAGATACAAAATTCATTTAGCGGACGCAGTTGATTTCGGTGACCGGCTCACCGTTGAGGTACCTATAAAAAGATGCATTAATTTTCTAAAATCACTAAATGCAGCTGATTGTAGGTAAAAATCCTAAAATCCAAAACGCTAAGATCCGTACCATTTTCTGTCAAAGCATTCGAGAGGCTCTCCATCCCAGCGGTCTCCGTCGATCTGGAATTTTTTTTTGCTTACAGCACAACATGCTTTCTTCAGAAAATAAAATCAGATCTCAAGATACCTCAATATGCAAATTGCCGTTCATGCAAGCGGGCTCGACGGTGTGGCATCTGTCCGCGTCGAGGGCGACGCCGCTAGAAAATTACTGAGAATTATGGCCCACTTTCGGGCCATCCTGTAGCTATCATTTTTTTGTGTTACACTCCAATTTACACTATCGTATACCTACATGGTAGTGACACCGTCACCAGTCTTAGCGTCGCGGTAAAGGTTACATCCGAGGCAAGATGGAGGCCGTACCGCGGCTAAAATTTGAAAATCTTATAGCTCTCTATCTGTCTATCTCGGTCCCCCTCCTGTCCCTCTCTCTCTCTCTCTCTCTCTCTCTCTCTCTCTCTCTCTCCCTCTCTATCTCTCACTCTCCCTCTCTATCTGTCGCTCGCTCTATCTCTCTGTCTGTGTCTATCTCCCTGTCTCTCTCTCTCTGTCTCTCTCTCCCTCTCTATCTCTCGCTCTCCCTCGCTATCTGTCGCTCGCTCTATCTCTCTCTCTCTCTCTCTCTCTCTCTCTCTCTCTCAGTTACCAACCAGAGGCGATAGCCACAAGAGCGACGACGACAGCGAGCTTGAGCATCTGAAAATTCTGAGATATTGCGTTGTCATAAAACCTTGAAACGCTCAAAATAATGAGAGAGAGAAAGAGAGAGAGAGAGAGAAACAAGCTAACTAAAATTCATGCTCAAATAGGAGCCAGGCCGAGACGATCTGATGAAGTTCCCCTCCCAATCACCACCCTTTTAAGCAGACCGATTTCCAATTTCTTGCCAATGTCTATATTTTGACTCCCTGATTCACCCGCAAGTCTTGTGACTTAGGAGTTTTCTGAATTTTTCCCTTTTCGACAGATCCTTGATTTTGTTCTGAATTCAAAAGACTTACGGGGTTTTAGCGCCAATATTACCAATGTTACTTCAAATAAAAAGCCCTGATTTCAAAAATTAGATGTGCTATGCGCTGTCAACAAATCTATGCCTTAAAAATTTATTGAAAAAATTCCATCTCGGCTTTATTCGTGGGCGGAGCTGCATGTGATCGCAAGGACCGGCTTGCCGTTGAGCACCCTAGAGAAAAGTTTTCACCAATTTAGGTTACTGTATGCTCTGAAGGTAAGTAATTCTAGACAACAAATCTGTGTGTGTAAAACATACCACTGGCCGTTGCTGCACTGCAGGGGCATCTGTCCATCGTAGTCGGCATCATCGAGCTGTAAGGTATGGAGATATCAATGATACCCATGCCGAGTAATGTAATAGTAATTAATAGCCAATAAGATTTGGTTAAAATTAATCCATATTTACAATAAAAAAATGTTTGGCGGTAATTTGGTCAAAACTTCGCCATTTCTAATCGAAAAAGCTATATTTTTTTGTCAGTTTTAACGGAAATCTATCAGTTTTTACGTTTAGGAGAGTAGAAAACCGTTTCGGAACCCTGTGATTTGCATTAGAGAATAGCGTTAGCCCCCCCCGATAATGCAAAAGAACCAAAAAATAAAAGGCTGACGTGGATGTGTTCGGCCGAGCTGAAGCAGGTCGGGGTGAAGGACTGGCATCCATCGGCCGAGAGCTTGATGAGGCTAGAAACATTGTTGGTGCGGTACAGAATTCGAGGTAATCACATTCCTCAAAGAGCTCGAAAATAAATAGAAATTTTTCGAAAGTTATTCAGATTTACGAAAGAATACTCAGCCTACCCGACGGAGACGCCCAAGCCGAGCTTGGTTTGCAGGAAGACACATCCTGAGGTGCATTGGGTCGCCGGTGTGACGGTGGCTGAAATTTGCAATACCTTCTCCCTCTCGCACCCTCTGTCGCTTGCTTTCTCTCACTCTCTCGCTCTTTTTATCCAAATTACTTACCGAAGGCGACGGCCACAAGGGCGACGACCACGGCGAGCTTGAACATTCTAAACCACGGTTAAATGGTACAATTGCGATGGAAAGAGGGAGAGAGAGAGAGAGAGAGAGAGAGTAAGAGAGTGAGAGAGTGAGAGAGAGAGTGAGAGAGAGTGAGTAGAGAGAGAGCGTGAGATAGAGATAAAAACTTTCCCGGTGTAGCCTTGTTTCAATTGAAGCTTAAGAGGCGGCTATCGCCTTTGGAAATCTCTTGAAAATCTACGCGAATAACATTATATCAATTTTTGGCAGGCTATTCAAAATTCTAAAAAAATGAGCTAACGTGGCTAAGAGGTAAGGAGGTAAGGTAAGGGCTACATTAAGAACATTTAAAATTCAAATCTATGCAATAAAAGGAGAATAGGAGAGTCAAGCAGATGAGCTGATGAAATTCCCTCCGCATCCACCTTCTTTTATGCCGAACAATTTCCCAATTCCGTGCCAATGTCTATGTTTTGACTCGTTCATTCACCTTTCAAAATCGTCACTTCTATGGACTTTGGTTCTCTGGTCACGGTTCCCTGAATTTGCTGTGAATTCTGATTCGGCAGTCAAAATTTGGCCGCAAAAGCCCCAAGAATCTTGCAAAATTGAATTTTGTTGATTTTTTGGTGATTCCTTGCTCGCCAAAGAATTTTAGAAGCGGGAAATTGTTGTGAATTCTGATTCGACAGTCAAATTGTGGCCCCAAAGACCAATTTATTCCAATTTCTGCCCCTGGCAGTCAAAGCATTAATGGGCGTCAATGGACTGGAAATGCCGAATTGCACATTTTTAGCGAAAATCCACATTTTCAAGGCCGTTTTGTTGTAGTGCTACGTAGCGGTTGATATTTAGACTCTGTTACATTTCTGTAAAAAATTATTTACCACATTCTCTGAAGCGGAAGAAGCTAGGCCAAAGCCAGCCAATGCATCAATCTGTAGGACTTTCCCTAAATGCCCAATTGCACAATTTGCAAGAAAACAAAAATCTTATTCCAAGTAGAAGTCGAAGTCAAAACCGCGCCATTAAATGTTAAAGGGAGTGTGACAGCAAGGAAGTCAAGCGGATTGGCGAGCGACGCTTATAGCGTCTTTCAAATGTAGGATACGGTGACGTTTCACTGCGTAATGGATTCTGTCGCATCAGTACGTGCGCCAAGTGACGTGCACGTTGGTTTCGCGTAAATTCCATTCAGATCCAAAGGATCCAGCGCACGGAGATGACATTTTTTGCAAGGCAAGGACAAGCTAGAAGTGACCCTTCGTCGAAACGGATCTACTTCGAAAACTCGGGCCAACTTCTATGTATTGAATGGCTCAAGCCCAATCCCAAGTTTTCAAACGGCCAATAAGTTACGCTATGTGAAAATCGAAAGGAGCACGACCCGGTAAGAGGGTCATAGCTCATGCTAGCTAAATATTTTACTACCTATCAACGGAAAGTCCCAGGCCTTTCCGTAAATCTAAAAAATCCGTTTGGTTGGATTTAGGTAGCCTTCAAGACTCCTTTAAAGGGACTATCAGGCGCAAAAATTGACCCGCTCCCAGCTATTAGGTCCCGACAGCTACAAAAAACGCCAGAATATATATTTTCCTCGTTTCAGATGGTGAAAAAATGGAATCTTGATGACTGCTTCCATTTCCTACCCCTTCACAGCCCAGATTCAACTATCCCATGGCGACTTTTTGTTTCCCTTTGTGTTAATACTGTAGTTGGTGCAAAAAAATGCTGCAAAAGGTTTATTGAGAAATGTTGGCCCGAGTTCAGTGACGGCCAGAGTTGGTGGGCTTGTCGGCGGCGCAGGTGACCGACTCGACTGCCTTGCCGTTGAGGGTCCTGAAAATATCGTAATTATACCTTAAAGTTGCTACTTTCTAGGTTCGTGAGTTAAATAGGTAATAAAAATGTCTAACCGTTTAAAAAAGCTAAAAAAATCCTACCACTTCTGGTTGGTGCAGACGAGAGCGGTCTGCATGTCCCAGGCCTTTCCGTCGATCTAAGCAAAATTATTTCTTTAGATTCAGTTACCCTTCACGACTCTTTTAAAGGGATTATGAAGCGCGAAAATCGACCCTCTGTCGTTGACTCGGTTTCGACATCTTTCGCAAACGCCAAAATATGGACTTTCCTCGTTTCTGGTCGGGAAAAATAGAGTTTGCCGCGGTGGTTGGCTTGCCACGTATTTGTCTAGAGCTAGTTATGGGCAGGGGTGGATTTTCTGAGGTTTGGAGAGGCTTGATAGTTTCCTTATAGGGGCTAGAGGTTGGGAAAATCGGCTTTAAAAATCTACTAGGTCTCAACAACTACGCATAAACGAAGCTTTGGATTTTTTGCCGCATTTTGATCGAACAAAATGCGCATTTAGAGCTTTTTTCGGAGCGTATTTGTCTAGACCTAGCGGACGTTAGGAGTCGATTTTCGGGCCTTATTAATATCTTAAAAAACTTTAGAATTTAGATAAATGTGCTTTTTATCCTGATCGAAAAACTGCGCATTTAGGCTGTTTCCGGGGTGCAGCGTATTTGTCCAGATCTAGTAGCAACCATGGGTCGATCCCCGCGCTTACTAATCCCTCTAAAAGATTGGAATTAAAATTAAGCTATAAAAGTCAATAAAGCTAAACGAAAAAAAACCGACCTCGATGTGCGTGTTGGCGGTGTTGCAGGTGGGCTTGATGTTCTGGCAGTTGTTCGTGTCCAAGGTGATCGGGCTGCAAAGGAATACGGTACAATTCACGTATTTTTTACGTACTTATTCGGCAGATATTATTAACTCAATAATGATAATAGCTTTAAGGCCTGAACCCAAAATGATCCGCTCACCCGATGAACACGCTGGGCAGCTGGAAGCCGGGGAAACCGGGGCACGCCAGGCAAATAGCGGGCGCGGCCACGTTCGCTGAAAATTTGGGTTAGTTTATGCATTTTACCACACTATATAATTATTTAAAGTGCCATTTCATAATCTAAAATTACTCACAAAAGGCGACGGCCACAAGGGCGGCGAACACGGCGAGCTTGAACATTTTCTGAAAAATTTTTAGACGTGTTTTTTAAACTTTTTGAGCTGCTTTGAAAGAGAATTCCATTAAAGAGGCTCCGAAATGCCAAATCAAAGCCCTTTTGCGAGGCCTCTTTGATTTCTGGCAATTTGGGATAACACTAAAATTCGCGCATTCTGAGCCCATTTTTGAAATCCTCACTTAATTTTAAATAGTTTTGGTGTTTTAATCATCAAATTTGGCCCAGAAACAGCCGAGAACGTGATCAGGAGGTGACAACAGGCAATTTCAAATTTGCGAGCTTCCCGGGCTCCAGGGTGTACAGAGGCCTCCGACGTACAGGGCTCCGATTTTCGGGCTGTCACTCAACTCTTGGCATTTCGTAGCCCCTTTAAACATCTTCAAAATCAAAATGAGAATCATCAAAATCCCTGAAAAGCTTTCGAGGTATCTTAAATTATTCAAAATCGCAAATCAAGGTAATTTACACGATCATAGGTTTAAAATAGTTTAAAAAATTGCTCGGACTACTGAAGAAATTGCCTAAAAAGCATAGCTATTAGAATTAACGTCGAATAAAGCTATTTTCAACGTTCTACTATCGATGGCAGCTTTCAAAACGTCTAAATTTGATCAAATTGGCAAGGATTATCTAAATCGCGCCAAGATATTTAAATGTCACTTTATTATTTTATATTAAAGCTATTTAAAAACGTTTTTTTTTCTATTAAAATTATATCTGTTTAAAAATTTCAAATAAATAGTGATTTTCGAATAGAAGAGCCAAGCCAATGATGAGCTGATGAAGTTCCCCTCCCCCACCCCATCCTTTTATGCCGACCAATTTCCCAATTTTTCCATATTTTGACTCCTCCATTCACCCCTAAAAAATCCAATTTTTTCGCTTTTTGGTGGTTTTCTGGTCGACAAACAATGGTGACCGCGTCGAAATTGTTGTGAATTCTGATTCGGCAGTCAAAATCTGGTCCCAAAGACCACTTTATACCAATTTCTGATTTTGGCAGTCAAAGCATTAATGGGCGTGAATGGGCTGCAAATTCCGAATTTCAAATTTCAGGAGAAACTCGACATTTTCAGGGCGTTTCGTTGGACCGTCACGTAGCGAAGATGTTTAGTCTCCGTTGTCAAAAAACTGTAGCTAAAAATCAATAAACCTCTGTAAGCTGAAAAGGGTTATTTGTACTCAAATTTTCCGAAAGTGCGCGATCGCTTATGGTGGAGCAAGAAACCCAACGCATTGGCCCTGTTTTCGTTGCGTACTTGGTTATGAACCCGTACGACGGTCGATAGGCGTTGCGTGGCGCGTCGCGGCAAACCTAGAGAAATACATGGCGGTCGTCTTAAGGGGACGTGCAAGATACGACGCTAGATTTTCGCTCCGACGGACTCCTATGGATACGATCCTGCCCCGCGCAACGCATTAAAGGGGCTCCGAACTGCCAAATCAAAGCCCTTTCGGGAGGCCTCGTTGATTTCTGGCAAATTGCCAGCGGGCGCAGCGGGACGAGAGCTTTCGCTCTTTCGATTTTTGCGCGAAGTTGTTTTTGCCCGGTTTCTTTGTGCAAACACTATAATTCGCGCATTCTGAGCCCATTTTTGAAATCCTCACTCTATTTTAAATAGTTTTGGTGTTTTAAGCATCAAATTTGGCCCAGAAACAGCCGAGAACGTGATTTCGAGGTGACAACAGGCTATTTCAAATTTGCGAGCTTCCCGCGTCCCTAGGTGTACAGAGGCCTCCGACGTACAGGTCTCCGATTTTCGGGCCGTCACTCAATTTTTGGCATTTCGTAGCCCCTTTAACGTTACGCAAAGCGTTGCTTCACTGCTCGCTTGCTAATTGCTAAATTATTAAAAAAGTTATGAAGCTTCAAAGTTAGCCAAATCGCCAAAAACCGTACCTTTAAGGGCCCGTAAAAACCGGTGGAACGGAATTGAGGAGAAAAGAATTAGTGCAGCTTGTTCAGCAGTCCTTCGAATGAGCTGTAATACGTAGGATTTGCAAACAATTCACTGAAAAAAGGTTTTTTTGGATTCACGGGCAAGGGTATGGCCTGTCAAGTTCATAGAAGAGATTTTCGCGAAATCATCGTAAACTTGAAGTAAGATAGCTCATTCGAAAGCGCTTTTTCTGCTGAACAAGATGCACTAATCGGTTGTGGCAAATTTCCATTCACTGGGCCTTTACAGGCCCATAAAAGTCCGATTTTGGGCGATTTTGCCAACTTTGAAGCTTCATAACTTTTTTCTCCGTTTTATTTAGCAAATTCTGATTACAGATTCGGAATCCCCGTGTCCGATTCTATCAGATCCACTATGTCTCGTGTCGATTTCTCGTGGGCCGGTCGTGCACTTCCCTTGTGAGTCTGAAAAAATCGTGAAACACCACGCATCTAGGAAGAGCCAAAATAGCTCCCGAGCACCAATAAAATTTCATCAAACAGCTTCGAGTACACTTTTTTGCAGGGATCTAACCGAGTCTAAACATGCACCGCTACGTGCCGCTCCAACTAAACGCCCTGAAAATGCTGACTTTCCACAAAAAAAATTTCCAGCCCATTCACGCCCATTAATGCTTTGACTGCCAAAATCAGAAATTGATATAAAGTGGTCTTTGGGACCAGATTTTGACTGCCGAATCAGAATTCACAACACTTTCAACGCGGTCACCATTGTTTGCCGACCAGAAAACCACCAAAAATTGGGAAAAATGGAATTTTTGGGGCGAATAGACGAGCCAAAATATGGGAGAAAATTCGGAAACTGGTCGGCATAAAAGGGTCGCGGTTGGGGAGGGGAACTTCATCAGTTCGTCTCGGCTTGACTCTTCTATTCGAAAATCTATACGTTGTTGAGACCTATGCATTTTAAATAGCTTGATTTAGCTTTGGATGACCCTTATAATTTTTCCAAAAATATGTTAGTTTAAGATCGAATTTTTTAGATGGAGGTTCGCAGATTTCTATCTTTTTCTTATCAAAATAATTCAACCTTTCGAATTCAATTTAAAATTAGCTTTAAACACACAAAAAATACATCCTAAAAATTTCAGAAAATGTTCAAGCTCGCCGTGTTCGCCGCCCTCGTGGCCGTCGCCTCTTGTGAATAATTTGCTAAAATTAGCTAAAGAGACACAAACAGAGAGAGCGAGAGCGAGAGAGGGAGAGAGAGGGAGAGCGTGAGAGAGTGAGAAAGGGAGAGAGGGAGAGAGGGAGAGAGTGAGAAAGGGAGAGAGGGAGAGAGGGACAGAGTGAGAGAGTGAGAGAGAGAGAGGGCGTGAGAAGGGGAGAGAGCAAGAGAGAGAGAGAGAGAGAGAGAGAGAGAGAGTGAGAGAGAGTGGGAGTGAGAGTGGGAGATGGTGAGAGAGAGAGAGAGAGAGAGAGAGAGAGTAAGAGAGACGGAGAGAGAGAGAGAGGGAGTGAGAGAGAGCGAGAGCAAGAGTGTGAGAGAGTGAGAGAGAGTGGGAGAGAGAGACGAGAGAGAGGGCGAGGGAGATTAACTGTACCGTAAAATTCTATGTAAAGCAAAAATTACAAATACCATTTTGCAGCAGCTGCCTGCATGCCGTGCACCGACTTCACCGGCTTCCAGCTTAGCAGCGTTGTCCTCAGGTAAGCGGGTACCTTTCTGTTTTGGCCTTAAACCTCTAAAAGTTAATAATATGAAATTATTAATTTTTATCTAACAAGTCTATGAAAATACGCTAATGCTACCGTGTTCCTTTAAAGCGGCTTGACGCTCGACTCGAACAACTGCCAGAACCTCAAGCCCACCTGCCTCAACCCCAACGAGCACATCGAGGTCGGTTAATTCAGTAATTCAGTTAAGGAAAATGTTTTTAAAGGGGCTTTCAAACCCGAAAATCTGGCATTGGCTTTGACTAGGTCTAGACAAACGCGCAGCGCACCAATCGGCGCGCTAGCGCGCAGTTTTACACAATAAAATCTGAGATATCCTGTTCAGTGCACCTTGCCCTTGGCATATCGCGTAATTTTAAGGATCTAGTAGCTGCCAAGTGCTTCTATTTTCGCGCTTCCTAGCCCCTTTAAAAAAGCTATAAGGCCGACTAACTCTTAGAAAACCGGCTGACTAGGTCTAGGCAAGTACGCAACAAGTCAACTAGCACATAAAATCACTCTTTTGACGATCATAAACGACAAAATCAATAATTTGGCGTTTGCCCTAGCTGTCGAGACCAGTAGCTGTCAGAGGGTCGATTTCCCGCTTCCTAGTCCCTTTAAAGGAGTCATGAAGGTTCAATAATTTAAAATAACCGATTTTTTAGATCGACAACAAGCCCTGGGACACCCAGACCGCCCTCGTGTGCACCAACCAGAAGTGGTGGGGGTTGTTATGCTAATTTTTTAAGGATTAAAAAATCGTATTGATCTTGTCTTGCGGTTTAGCTATTAGTACAAATTGTTTAAATATAATTATTGGATTTGCAGGACCCTGAACGGCAAGCCAGTCGAATCGGTCACCTGCGCCGCTGACAAGCAGCCCACCAACTCTGGTCGCCACTAAATTCGAGCCAACTTTTCTCAATAAATTTTTCGCTGCAATTTATTCGTACAAACGACAGTATGAACTTTCTTTTATTCTTTCTTTTCTTTGTGGCTACGAAATTACAATACAAAAAAAAGGGATCGTACTTTGGATACTCTTTCGAGGCCATGATAGTGAAAAAATTAGAAAATTCACCATAATTTCTCAAAAAAAATCTGCAGTATCTTTTTCATTAAAAAAACAATAGTAATAACAGCAGGTACAAAAAGAAGGTGGTTTAATCGTTTTTTTTTTGGGAAGGCGCTCAAAACGAGTCCAAATGCATCTAGAGTTTGCGATTTTTCTCATCACCTGAAACATCATCGAAAAATCTTGGAAAAGTTGTCTATGTTTTAACTTGCTTAAATTTAATTTATTTTGTTGACGTAAAAAATCTTTTGACAAAAAGGTGTTCCGGATAATTTTTCCTTCAAAATTTATTAATCGACCAGCGCCCAAAACCCGCTTCGCGGGCCTTGGGCGCTGGAATGCGGCTTTTGCATGATAAATTTGAGTTTCCGATCACTCGGGTACTTCGGACCCTCCCCTCTGCCGACCACACGGGCGAGTGCAACTGGCAAGAATGAGGAAATTTGTATTTTTTCACATTATGCAAATTAGCCTTCCCGGACCCCCAAAAATGAATAAAACCGGCTTTAACTTTGTAAACTTGTATTTTATGAAAATTCTGAGAACGGTATCGGAAACAGAAGGGTCGATTCCCCCGGGTGACGGAGAATTAGGGCATTTTATGCACGGGAAGGCCCTCAGATCGGGCCGCCAAAGTGACATCCACACACACACACACACACACAGTTACACGCCAAAATTATATAAGAAAAAACCAGCGCCCAAAACCCGCTTCGCGGGCCTTGGGTGCTGGAATGCGGCCTTTGCATGAAAAATTTGACTTCCCGATAGCTCGGGTCCTTCGGACCCCCTTCCCCCCACCGGCCACACACGCGAGTGCAACTGGCAAGAATGAGGAAATTTGTATTTTTCCGCATTATGCAAATTAGCCCGCAGTAACCCCCAAAAATGAATAAAACCGGCTTTAACTTTGTAAACTTGTATTCTATCGCAATTCTGACAACGCCATCCGAAACAGAAGGGTCGATTCCCCCGGGTGACGGAGAATTAGGGCATTTTATGCACGGGAAGGCCCTCAAATCGGGCCTCGAAAGTGACATCCACACACACACACACAGTTACACGCCAAAATTATATAAGGTAGGATAGGATAGGATAGGATTTCGAAGGAAAGCTTCGGAAAAAGAAAAAAATTAAGCTTATTTTTGTCCCAAGTCTGAACTTACTGTAGCTATTGGGCTGTAAACCAGGGTTGGTGTAATTTAGTGCCTGAAACACCTACCCGTGGAGGAATTTTGGAGCCACTTGTCCGTAAAGGTGCGAATTTATACTTAGAAAATTTTCGCATCCTACCCGTTTCAGCACCAACTTTAGTTTCGCCATCTGTATCGTTCTCTCTTTATCATTTCGGTATTTTTACAGGCATGAGCGTAGTACAAAATATTTAAATGAAAAGTTTATTCCGATGCTGCTCGAAAATTTAGAAACCACCGGCCGGCTGGGTGGAGAAGCAGGAGAGCGTCGAGACCGGGACGTCCTCGAAGAACCTGGAAAATGAAATGAAATCAAATTTGCATGAAATCATTTTTAGGCTACGTAACGAAGTAAGCTCACGGAATTTAATGGGGAAGTATAGTTGCTAATCCTAAAAAAACGCATAAACCGACCACTGCTGCTGCTGGCAGGTGAGCTGGATGCCGTTTTGGCCGACGGTGGGCATCACGGGCATCATATCGTTGATCTGGAAGCGGGAGGATGTGAATACTTTTGACGGTTCTGGTCTAATAGCGGGGGGAGCAGGTACTCTACGGGGCGCAAAATATGTAAACCCCACCAAGATCTGGTCATCCTGAGCGCCGCAGGCAGCGTTGACAACCATGCAGCTGGGGTTGGACGGGTCATCAGAGCCGGGCAGGGTACTGTAATGGAAATATTATATTAAATTAATTAAGTTTAAAAATGTTTTTATATTACGGTAGCTTAATTAATCCAGAAAAGCCATTTAATATAAGAAGTGGTTTTTGGTCTTAGAAAACCGACTTGAGCTGCATTGTGTCGTCGATGCTCAGCGTCTGGAAGTCGCACGTGTTGTCGCAGTTGAACACGGCTAATTAAGGGGTTTTAATGTTAATTTAGAAGCTTTAAACTAAGGAATTGACAAAAGAGCAAATTTCTAAACCTTAAAATTGTTTTTAAACAACGAAAAATTCTTTTTTCATTGAAGACATTTTGAAAATTTGATTTAAGCCAAACAGAAATTGGGTATCTTTTAAATGCATTGTTTTTAAGTATTATAATCATCATAAAACCCATTTCCGAAGGTTTACTCATCATGTAGAATTCATATTTAAAACCCATTTAGTCTGAAATCGTTTTAAAAATAACTAAACAAGCCTTTTTTAGGTTTGTAAATCTGTGAATTAAAGTTACGAAAAAGAATACCGTGTCTATTAAATTCCCATATCTTCATTTTTTAAGTCGTCCTAAGCCTTTTTAACTCACTGGCAGCGCCGACGGCAACGAGGGCGGCAAGGACGAGGAATTTCATCTTGATGGCTGGCGACAACGTTGTGATCCTATCGACTTGACGGCCGCTTTTATGCCAGAAATTGGAGATATTTTGACGGGGTGATTCCTCAACAATCGTCTAATTTTTTAATTTAATTCCGCCTCAAAAATGCGGACCAAATTTTTTCAGATGGCTTCATCAGCGTTTTAGAGACAAAATAAAACGTGTAGGGAGGGCAAGGAATCGAAATTCTTGTTAAAATATTTTTTCGCATTAAAGAAAGTTATTAGAGCGTTGAAATGGGGATTAAAAATTTCAGGCCCACTTTTGAGCACGAGCTCCTCTAGTTAAGGGCAAGTTAGCAGAGATTCTTGGGGAATTTACACTGTAAGCTCCGATTGCTAGCACCAGCTCACCCTGATTTTTAATGGAAGATAGCCGGAATTTTTGAGGATGATCGCTTTTCCGGGCCAGGATTGAGCACCAGCTCCTACCTCATTCTCAAGGCAAGCTAGCAGAAATTCTATGGGATTTCGCGCTTTCAGGCGCAATATTGAGCACCATCTCAGCCTCGTGCTCAGAGGGGACAATGAGCTGGTGCTCAATATTGGGCCAGCTAGCAGAAATTCTTTGGGATTATGCTATTTCAACCGCTTATGAGCTCAAACTTTACAATTTAACCAGGGCAATCTAGCATATATTTTGAGCACGAGCCTGGTCTCAGAGCCAACTAGCAAAGACAGTTAAAAAGTACCAAAACCCGATAAGCCATATACAAAACCAGTGGAAAAAGACCGCTTCGCGGCCATTTTCCTCATGCTCGTTCTTTGAGCCTGCGGCGCTAGTTACTGGTTTTTCTCCAGGTCTTGCCTGCGGCGCGAGAGCCTGGGTCAAGGGCCCATCCTTGGCCTGCGGCGCGAGAGCCTGGATCAAGGGCCTTTTCCTTGGCCTGCGGCGCTAGAGCGAGGGCCAAGCCTAAACCTCGCACACCGAGAGCCTAGAAATATGTTTATTTGCTAAACTACCAAAAAGCAAAAAGCAGGATTCGCCCAGGATCCGAACCCACGACTATCAGCGTAGTAGGCCGGGCGTAAATCCACTACACCACGGGGTAGACGGGAACAGAGAAAACCGAGAAAACGGCCGTACAGAAAACAAACATACTTTTCTCGCTTATAGGATGGGATTTATTCACAACAATTTTTGCGGGCAATCAGTTTGCAATCGGGGTCGAGACGGCCTCCTCAATGCAACGGATGCTTTGGATTGAGAATTGGTGGGGTGTGATCCTGGAACAAAAAAATACGGTAATTCGAGTTACAACATCTTACGGTTGCGTTGGTCTCCAGAATCCGAAATCGCCGCATTTCAGGGTGAGGGCGTTTAGGGCTTGGCCGTTTGTATCGGTGGTCGCGAAGTTGTGCACCTCAAATATAAAATGGCTTGTTTTTATTTTCCATTTAAACCGAATATCGAGTTTTTAAGCTTTCTCACAGCATAAAACTTTCAATAGGGAAAATAAGCAAATGCTAATAATTACTTACATAGATTTGAGCCGTTGCCGATTTGCACTTGGTTTCCAGTTGAAGGCATCCGTCTACGGTGGTTGGTTCCCTAAATTAAGCAAATCAATGTTTTTTTCCTTACAAATAAAATGCTTTGGTAGCAATAAAATCAGCTTATTTTAATTCGTTTGAAAGTACAAACCCGGAATCCACCGTATCCGGGCAGATATGGATCGACTCGGCAGTGCAGGTTGAAGCGAACGGGAGGTCGAATGCTAAAAGCAAAAAATTGATTCATCGCTTGAAACAGCCCAATTGATTCGCTAGACCTCGACAGCTACGTGACAGATTGATGATTTTTGCTCAAAAAGCCCGGAGAGGAGATAGCGCTGCCAAAACGGGTTGAACACGTAATTTGGCCCGTTATGTAACTGACGAGTCCTGTTCAAGTTATTTGACTTTAACTTATTTTACGCCAGATGTTTTAGCTACATTTATCTGGCACGCCGTTAACCTCTTCAAAACTTACGCCCGGCCACGGCACATTGCAACAAGACGGTAATAGCTAGGAATTTGAACATTCTGAACCTCGGCTGAATTTCGCTTCAAAATCCAGCATTTTATAGCAAACGGAATCACTGGATCCTCAAACCAAATAATAAAAAAATCGAAAAGCCTACCAGTCTCTGGTGCCGATGTCCAATATAAGTACAAACATATTTACAAAAGCGCCGGAACAAGCCCATTCAGACGAAATGCGCCGGGCAATGGCATTGGGAAAGTCGAAACGGATTGGCCGGAAACTGATTTTTCCGGAAAAGCTGATGTTTGCTATTATCGGGTACTTACAAGGTCGATATTGGACCGAAATTGGAACCTTGAAAACGAATAGAATAGGGTAGTAAAATGCCAGAGAAATGCCTATGGTAACATGTAAACAAAATAGCGCAAAAGAGTAGCAAAAAATTTCTTTTTGAAGGAGCTCTAAAAATACATTCTTGTGTCTTGGAATGTCCCATTTTTTCACCCATACTTCAAATTTTTAAAACACGCCTTTCAACAGGTGAATGCTGACCAAGAGTTTCTAACGTCCAGTTGGTCTCCCAAAATAACAGAAAATTCAATGGGTCAATTGACATTTCGGCTTTGCCAAGATCGAGTCACCTCTGGCAACCTTTCAAAGAATGCTGATATTGTGCCACGGTGCGCTCCATATAAAAGAGGATCATCCTGGAGGTTTTTATTACTTTCAAGAGATGTTGAAATCTCTCGTCCTTGCCGCCTTCGTTCTGCAGACTGTGGCGGCAGGTGGGGCATGGTTTTTAAGATTTTCGGAATGGATTACCCTGGGGTTTTCTTATAAATTTGAACTGAACGGCTTCAAGTCATTTAGTCCACTGGAAGCTACGAAAATATGCATAACTACGCGTTAATGAAACCTGTATGCTTTAGTTCTGGGTCGGTTTGACTTTTTCGGTTCCGGTTGTGTGAGAAGGGTAGTTCCGAAGTGTAGGGGGCGAGGCGGCAACCAAAGGCGCCTCCCGCGCAAAAACCCCGCTCCCCTCCCACCCCTCGCCTACGACCATACCACGTTGAAAGCACGGCATCCCGTCCGATCTGCCAAGTTAAGCAACGTTGGGCTCGGTTAGTACTTGGATCGGAGACGGCTTGGGAATCCCGAGTGTCCTAGGCTTTTGCACTTCTTGAAGACGTTTACACGTTCCTAATTTTAATTTTTGCTGATTGTGGAAAGGAGGTATCTTCATTTTCAGACATTTTTATTGCCTTCGAGCGTAGTACCGTTTTCCTCCTCTGCCGTCCCACTTCCTTCTGCTGCTTTATTTCCGCTTGTCGCCGAAAAAACAAGAAGGACCGGTGCCAGCTGGGACAACTACATCTTCGTCATGTCCTTCCGTCGGAAAGTCGTACTCCTTCAAGTCGGCGGTCTACCACTGCCAAGCTGTCCAAGCTACCAATGCCGTGTTTTGGGTGTGTGTCCCTATGGAAATTGGTCTCGCGACAAGCTAATTTCAATTGTCATGGTAAGGTGTTTTACAATTTTTTTGTAAAGTATTGGTTCCTTTCTGTTATCTCCCGCTTGTAGCCTGTCTCGATAAGCATCTCCTTGTGTATGGTAATGTAGTGTAGTATATCATTCAATGCATACAATCAACAATCAAATTTGCCGGATCCATTTATTCACGCGCAATCAGGAGATGATCATGGGTTGTACTCGATGGGGAGGTTCTTGCGACGGACCATGCCATCTCCCTGGAACCATTCACGACGGAACTGCTTGGCGGCGCCGTCGGGGGTGTTCGTCCACTCAATCGTCACACGGTCGTTGTTCGTGTCCTCGGCTCCGAAGGTGAACGAGTCGCACGAGACGGCAACCTACAACATCCACAACAACTCCAACAGGGTCAACACAAACGTACCAAGACCTGCTCCTTGGGGTCGAGAACACCGCAGGGCGGGTCAACTCCGAGGCGCTTCATGTTGGTGGTCTTGAAGGCCCATCCGATGCGACGACCTCCCGAGTTGATCACCTTGATGTGGTAGGTGTGCTTGTCATCGTACGGGGCGTTGAACACGATCTTCGTGCCCGGCTGGGTCACGATGTCACCGGGGGCAACCGATTGGGCCATCTTCTTCGAGCAGGTCGGGTCGTTTGGTAATTGTGGTTACTCAGTGGCCTATTATATACTTGGGAAGGCATGTTAATTGGGTTATTCTGAGTGGGAGCTTCCGGATTTGGTGGGGATGGAGTCAAATTTCGTAATTTTTATGTAAATCACGCTTACCGTTTATTTCGGGTTTTAGGAGAAAGTGAGAGAGAGCAAGAGGTGGAGAGAGAGAGATATAGCGAGGGAGAGTGAGAAATTGAGAGACGGAGCGAGAGAGTCAGAAGGTGACAGAGAGAGAGAGGGAGCGAGCGTGAGAGGGAGAGAGAGAGAGAAAGAGAGAGAGGGAGAGAGAGAGAGAGAGAGAGAGAGAGAGAGAGAGAGAGAGAGAGAAACAGAGCAAGAACCAAAGTAAGGTTGCTCGCGAAAATCGTCTCCTTTCAACCACTAGGTATCGACAGCTACGCTCGGCTCCTAATGACACGAGTAATCTGACTGGGATAGAAGCAAATTTCACATGTTTTACAAACGTCTTGGGCCTCCGAGTGTATTTTTTGATGCCGAGCGGCAGGAAGGGGTAACTTTTCGCGTGGGCTGGTCCCTTAAAAGACCTTAATTTTAGACTTGAAGCAGCTACGATAACGAGTAGTGGCGTCATTTGTCGTTTTCTAGCTGTCGATACCTAGTGGAGGGCAGGGGTCGACTTTGGACTTGCTCGCCCCTTAAAGCGACAAGTTGTGAGATGAAAATAATATTACAGTGGCTCCTGCTGGGACCAGAAAAATCGAATCCCATAAAGAAGGCGCTCAACTTGCTAATCGTCACCTAACTTCAGCCGTCTGCCGCAACAAGCCCTGCGATTTGGTGAAGCTGGCGCAAGAGGATAAGCCAGTACTCGACACCGGCAATTGCACGGAATGTAAGATGGATGTCGACACTATTGATATCTGCCCACACACCACTGATTACCAGTGGGTTTTTCGAGTGTTTTTTAGGTTTTGTATGGTTCAGTAATTTTCTGATTGTGGTAACTATGTTACTTACAAGGAGTCGCTTTTAGGTGCTTTTGGAGTTTCGGGACGGGACCTAGCTAGTTCGATAGAGAAAAAAATTCTGAGCAACATCCCGTTTTCAAAAAGTGCTGATCGATAAAGGTGTTTTAGAAAAGTTAATTTAAAGTTCGCGCTTTTTTCTAGTTTTCGGGTCCATTTCCTCGATTCACGTCGTTCTCGGGGCTTAGCAGGGCGCCATTCGTAACCCTCCGCCAATGCCTCCATCGCAGCCTGCATTGGCGTATTGGTAGCGCGCTTGCCTACCAACTTTTTAACATTTTTTTGCCTCGGGTTCGAATCTTCGCGCTCGCTAACCCTTTGCTTTTTGGTTCTTGAACCCGTTATCGGTGCATAAAATTTTAATTAGCAAAAAAGCAAAGAGTTGACCGTAAAAAAGAATCGAACTTGTGGCAAAAGGTCAAAAAAAAATTCGTAGGCCGTCGCACTAGCCACTTGGCCATGCCTAGGACGAGATCCAAGGCGCGTGAAGTCCTCATGTGGCAGGGGCGATCCACCGCCGCAAATCACCTCAAATCACCACATGGGTCCGCACATCGGGAACATTTTTAATTAAATTAAATTTTGTAAAACAGCTTTATCGATCAGCACTTTTTGAAAACGGGATGTTGCTCAGAATTTTTTTTCTCTATCGAACTAGCTAGGTCCCGTCCCGAAACTCCAAAAGCACCTAAAAGCGACTCCTTGTTAGATTCTACATGGATGACGGTTGCCTCCAGCTTTATGTTGCTTGCAAATCGCCAACGGCCACGATGATGGTAGGAATCTCTCTCGCTCTCTCGTTCTCTCTCTCTCTCTTTCGCACTCTCTGTCTCTCTCTCTTTCTCCCGCTCAGCAAAATTTCTCCTTTTAGGTCCAAGACCTCGCCCTCCTTAATAAGGAAACGAACAGCCCCGCTCAGGTCTTTGAAGCGAAATGCAAGCAAAACCAATGGTGGCCCGTCACCAAGTAATTTTTGGCTTACCGTAATACGGTATCATATTTTTCCCTTAAGGCCTCCATTCTGGCCGACGGTCATCAACAATCTATACTGCAAGGAAGAAAAGGTGCAAGAATAGGCTCCATTGGTCGAATAAAGTTTTCATTGTTAATAAGTTGAAGTTATCACGTTTCAAATCGAGAGAGGGAGAGTGAGAGAGAAAGAGTGGGTGTGAGAGAGACCGCAAGAAAACTTTATCAACACTCCAGAAAACGCTTATCGTTAAATCAACGGCAATTCCGTGTCTTTCTCGACGCAATCGATGCTGGTGATGACCATCGGGAAGAAGGCGATCGGGCTGAAATGGAAAAAATACAGTAATTAAATAAAGTTTGGCATTTTACTCGGTTGCCGGCCACCATTTCCCGGATCTACAGTCGACTTCGAACGCCTGTGTCGGATCACCTTTCGAGTCGATCATGGGTAGCTTCTCGATCTGAATTATGTGATTTATCGATGGGATTTGGGAATTTAAAGGGATCGTAAAGATCTGGAAAATTCCAGAAAAATATTGTAATTGCGTTAAAGGCATTCTATTAGTTAAATACAGTCCTTCGTGAATTTTAATGGCGAGAATATATTTTAATGACCTATTCAGAATGCAATTCTCAAGTGGTGTCAGTACCTGAATTTGCGCCGTAGAAGATTTGCACTTGGCTTGAAGGCGGGTGCATCCATTTACGGTCGAAGTACTGTCAAATCGAGTTTTAGGACAATTTTAAGTTCTCGAATTTTTAATTCAGATTAAAAAACTGGAAAAATCAAAGGGTTCACGCCCGAAATTCAAAGAATAACATCCAGTTATGTTCGAGTTGCCCGCATTTTCCCGGAAAACCGACCTGTATGCCACCGAACTCTCACAGATATGGATGGCGCTCGGTTTGCACGAGGTGCAGCTTTCTGGAATTAAGTTAATGAATTTTAACGATTAATTAAATTACTACTCGGTTGGTCTTCCATTAAAAATGCTAATAATTCAAATAAAACTACGGTAATACGGCAATTTCTAAGAAACTCACCTCCAAAAACCATAGGTAGACTCAACAAAGTAATCGGCAGAATTATCATCATTTCCAGACTTCCAATTTGATACTTTGTCCAACTTTTATAGAACCAAACGACTACGGTACTGGGGTTATAGGTATTAGGAAAACGTCAATTCAGATTATGTGTACGCCGGGTCCCGTTCACAAATGGCTTGATTCATCACCCGGATACACAATCCCATGATCATCTGGGAACCCGGCAAAAAGGGCCGATAATTCGATGGCCCAGGGGAATTTTCTATTCAAAAGGTATTCCATTTTTCACCCGTTTTAAATCAAGTTCACTGTATAGTATAATTTATAGTCTATAATTCAAAGAAAATATTTATAAACCATTTATCGATCCATATTTCCCCCTTATTATTTCTTCGGATAGTCGCGGCAGGCGAGCTTTGTGACCTTGGTCGTTTTGTGGAACCTAAATATTAAGTTTTCAAGGGTTCTTTAGGTTAATATAATTCGCAAGGCTGACGGTAGTAAAGTTATAGAATTTACAAAATTACCATTGATTGTTCTGGCAAAAGAGCGTCAGGTCGCCCTTCACCCACTCTTTGTTGTTGTACTGGAAAGAAAAGATCATGAGAGAGAGAAGGAGAGAGAGAGAGAGAGAGAGAGAGAGAGAGAGAGAGAAAGAGAGAGAGATGGAGAAAGCAAGATCAATCAATCGAGAGAGAGAGAGAGAGAGAGAGAGAGAGAAAGGGAAAGTGATAAAGGAGAGAGTGATAGAGACTCCCACCATAATCCAATCACCCGAGAAACACGTCGGAACTCCCCGGACGCAGCCGTCCGCTTCGTGCAACAGCGTTCTAAATTTGGCTCAATTGTTCCAACACTTACAAATAACTGAGTTTCTACCGTGGACTTCTTTATACCATACTGACTTGAATCGCAGTTGATCGTGGTCCATATTAATGTGGTCGACCTTGCACTTGTTGCACCCATCACCGAGCGCCGCGCTGGTGATACCTTAAATTCTTCCGCTATGATAGTTTCGACGTGCAAATGCTACACTCATACACAGGTCCGTGCATCCACCCGAAATCCACTCGGAATCCCCGAGGGGATCGAGGGGATTTCCACTAGCGGACGCGAGTGGATTCCACGTGGAAATCGAGTGGATTCCGAGTGGAACGCATGGAAATCGAGTGGAAACCGAACGGATCCACTCGGTTTCCACTCGATTTCCATTTGCCGCGACGCGTGGGGCCCGCGTTGCGTCGTGTTTCCACTCGATTTCCACTGCGTCCACCCGATTATCACCCGATTTCCATGCGTTCCACCCGAATTCCAGGTGGAATCCACGCGGATTTCGGGTGGATGCACGGACCTGTGTAAAGCTATTAAGTAAAGCTGTTGATAAATCGAGTACGCTTCCCCTATCCAGATGCCAAAAACTCACCGATAACTGCCGCAAGAGCGAGAAGTTTCAGCATTTCTTAAAATTGTTTCAAAAAGTGACAAAATTTTTTGAAATTCGAATAAGTTTTCCCTCTAGACGCTCTTTCTATAGGCCCAAAAACCCGATATTGCGAAACTTTTATTACCCCGTTTATTCTTTATTTACAATTCAGATGTGCAGCAGATTTCCGGACCGATATATCTTCCTTTTCTGCATTTTCAAGCGGGATTCTTGATCTTTGGACCTGTTTTTAGTGTTTCTATACAGCCATCCAATCATAAAAGCCATTCTATCCGGCTATAGATAATTTACGCTCGAAAATGTGCAGCAATTTAAAAAACTGTAAGAAAACTCGAAACTTAATTTTCAGAACTTACCAACAACTTAAACAACATCTTAAACCCAATTCAGTATTTTGATTCTTAACTGTATTTTCTGTATTTATCGTTTTTAAAATAATTCAAATATAATAAGTAAATAGTGTAAATCTTTATGTTCAAAATCGTTATTTTCCCTTGGTGTCTTTGCAGGTAATCGCGCGAATCGGCTCGCCCAACATCATCTCGAAATACCTGAAAAATGGAGGGTTTGTACTTCTTAAAAATACTTTGAAAAAATAAAGAAATCGTGAAAACATACCACTTTTTCGCATGACAGGTCAACCAGATCTGGCCGCGGTACCATTTGTTGCCGTTTAGCTGGAAATGTATCGTTGGATCAACTGCTATGAAACGTTAAAAATAAAAACTGCCATGGCATGCATCTTGAAAATACGTAAAGAGGCTTGTAAGATTACTTAAAAATTGAAAAAACCGTTTTAGGCATAAAAACGGTGGAAAAATGCGCAAAAGGTACCGTCAAACATCCTAAGAATGTCACACAAAAAAAACCCATATAAAGCTTACAGTAATTAAATATTCTTTTTTAAGCCTGTTTTTCCTGCTTCAGGTTTTATATTAGGTATGTAACATCCCTGACCAAGATATCTTCGCCAACTTTGCATGTCAAGGGCAAGCGCAAGCAGCCATTTGCCTCCTCCTGGACTTTGCTAAAAAAATATAGAATAAGGTCGAAAGCCATTTTCTGAATGCTATTCAACGCTCCAAATACCGTAACCCTTACCCCATATTCACAGTCCCATCCAGGGCGATATTCTCGGGTCTGCACTCATTACAGATCAGCGCCAGAGATCCCGCTAAAATGTAGGTTTTTGAACTACCGTATCCGACCTACCAACAAAAACGAAAAGCAGGAGAAGCTTCATGTTCCGGCACTGTAAAACTTTTTCCGCTTTTCCGGTCTGCCCAAAAAATGCAATAAATTTTGAAGGCTGATTTTTGGTGTCTGCTGCATTGACAAGTAGGGCCATTTTTGATATTGTTTTGAGGGATGTGTCTTACTCGATTATACGATATTATCTCGTTTTATGATGCTCAAGATAAAATTGTTTCTTGATTGAATTCAGAGATTGCATTTTTGAGATGATTGATTGCCGAGTCGGTGCTTTCGCATTATCGGGAGGGGGGGGGGGGGATCAGGGGAGCCAATCCAATTTTGTTAATATAAATAGAGGAAGCGTTTCTAAATTGTTTTTTACTACTACTGAACGTGAAAAATGTAGCAATTTTTCAAAAATACAAAAGGATTTATTTTCCGGCCAAAAGCGCCGCTTTTTAAACAAAAAATAAAAATTTACTCTTTTTGAGATAGCTTACTGCTTGTAATATTTGCTTGCTGCAGCAGATTTGCCGTTTTTAGGCTACAGGGAAGGTTTTATAAGACTGCATGTTCAAATAACAACTGTTTTATCAAAATATCAAAATGACGGCTCGTTCTATCCGTTCTTGGGCGGTTTGCAGGTGATGGCCCAGACCTCCTGGTCCTTCGGCTCGTAATACCTAAAAAATCCTTTTTAGATACAGTAGCGTGCAAAAAGAAGGCAACACCCGGGAAGCTCTTGTAACTCGGTTGCCTCGTTATTTTTTGCACGAAACGGAATGTTTCCTAGTGTTTTCGATGCTGTAGAATTCGATGAGCAGGGTCCCAAGCCGCGAAAATGACGTTTAGTAGCTTAAATATGGAATTTAAAATAGCTTCAAAAAATCGACTTTTTCTAAAGGCATTTTTCCGTTTCAAAACATCACCATCGTGTTCAGCATGGACGATTTACCCAAAGTCAGTGTCGTTTGTGATCGGGTTTGATTTGGCTTAGCCGGGCAGCCGCGTTTTCTTTGCGCGAAACGGGTCAAGAAGTGGGTTCGCCTGGGGGAAAGGTATTGCAGGCGCCCCCACCAGACCGATGGCGACCCCTATTAATCGCAGCTTCCTAGCCGACTGAAGACGTCCTAAGCAACCAGAAACATTCACTTTGGGTAAATCGTCCATGCTGAACACGATGGTGATGTTTTGAAACGGAAAAATGCCTTTAGAAAAAGTCGATTTTTTGAAGCTATTTTAAATTCCATATTTAAGCTACTAAACGTCATTTTCGCGGCTTGGGACCCTGCTCATCGAATTCTACAGCATCGAAAACACTAGGGAACATTCCGTTTGGTGCAAAATATAACGAGGCAGCCGAGTTACAAGAGCTTCCTGGGTGTTGCCTTCTTCTACTGTATCTTGTCACCCAAAATACGTAATGAATGTCGTAACAGCTTGTATTTTATAGCTATGAAAGGTTATCCAAGGTTTGAAAAGACCTAAAAAATCCAAAAATTGCTTAAACGTACCATCTTTCCATGTGGCATTTCAGCGAGATCGGTGGGGCAAGCTGTAGCTTGCCGTTGAACTGGAAAGGTATCGTTAATATGGACTACAAAGATGAGTTACACCGTAAAAAAGCCTGTTAAGAGGCTTAAAAGGTATCTTTGAACTTTAAGAATCCAAAAAAGTGAATAGGGGTAAAGAGGCTTAAAAGGCATTGTTAAACATTCAAAAACCCTTTTTAAAAAAGGTGAAAAAAGGCGCAAAATTTATCGTATATCCGTATCTTGTGAAAAACTCGAAATTAAACATGCCAAAAATTCCATTGATAAATATTCGTTTTATTAATTATTTTTCAGTACTGTCATGTAGGTTGTATAAACAATTTCCCTACCAGCAGCTTCTTGCCGTTTTTGCAGGATACCGGCAACCGAAGGCACCCGTCTGGCAGTTCCACGAGCTCCCTGAAATCGAGGCATTTTTGGTACTGGACTTTTAGCGGGGGGTGGGACTGGACTTTGCTGGACTTTCATGCAATGCCGAAAAATCATCATTTTCAAAAAATTTTAATGGTTTTTCATGCATTGTCCAGGGCGTAAAAGCTCGATTAATGGCATGTATTCCATTATGCGCCCCTTGGCACGATAATTCGCAGTTATGGCTCTCTCTCACTCTCTCTCACTCTCCCTCTCTCTCTCTCGCTCGCACTCTCTCTCTCTCGCTACCCCCCCCGCTAACAGTCCAGTAGCAGTTTTGTGAGTATAAACCTGTACAACACGCTTCTATTCTACATTCCGGCCACCGTAACCCTCACCCCAACTTCACGGTGTCATCAAAAGCCAGTCTTCCCGGATTCTCGCACTCGTCACATACCAGTCCATACATGGAAACCGCTAAAATCGGGTCAAATCTGGTGGTGGTGCGTTAGCGGGGGGGGAGCTGCCTATCCTTAGCTCAACCTCCACTACAATAAAACATATCGTTTTTTCGTTTGTGTTAGTTTCTTATTACTAAAAACTTACAAAAAACGCCTAAAAATTAAAAAATCTCACACAAAAAACGGTTCCTAATTTTTTACTCGTTTTCTAAACTTTTTCGATCTGAAAAGGGAGTAAGATGGTAGTGACACATCTTCTTTTTGATTATAGGATGACTACGAAGACAGGAAATGTTAAAAAGCACCCCCGCTAACGCGCCAGCTCCTTAAATCCTATAAACTACCGGATCCGGCTTACCCCCGAAGAAAGCGAACAGGAGGAGAAGCTTCATTTTTACGAATGGTAAGGCTGTCGAAAAATGCAATAAAAACTCTTTTTTTTTGCAGCCTTAATTCTGGCTTCCGCTGAATCTAAAAGCAGGCAAATTTTCCGCCTATAATTTCGATTTATATTCACTTTTCGATGGTGTTGATGTCTGGTTTTATAACTTTATATATGTTTTAAAAATCTGTAGAAATATCGCAAAATTCTTGAATTCTAAAATTTTCATAAACTCAAAGATCCTACCTTATATATCCTATCCTATAAGCGAGAAAAGTATGTTTGTTTTCTGTACGGCCGTTTTCTCGGCCGTGAGGCCGAATTTCGAGCTGATTTTTGGCATGGAGGTGGAGAACCACATTCGCCAAAAACGCATTTTTTTGTTTTCCGAAATTCCTCCATTTAACACTTTTACAAGCAAAATAGTAAAAATCCTTAACAAAATGGGCGACGAGCCATGGTGTTCGGGGCATAACTCGATTCGCATTTGGAATTTCTGGCTGAAATTTGGACCAGTTATGTATTCGATAGTGGGGATCACGCGCATCTTATTATCTTTACAAATTTTCTGCAGATTCAGACTCAAAAACTTAATTTTGTCAAGTGACCAGAAGGCTTCCCTCCCGGGGCATTGGGTCGGCCTTTTCCGTGGCTCCCCGCAGGCCTTTCCCCGGAACAGAAGAGGGGTTTCCCGCCGCCTGTTCCCATCTACCCCGTGGTGTAGTGGATTGACGCCCGGTCTACCACGCTTATAGTCTTGGGTTCGGAACCTGGGCAAGTCCAACCTTTTGCTTTTTGGTAGTTAAGCAACTAAACATATTTCTGGGCACTCGGTGTGCGAGCTTTAGGCCTGGCCCTCGCTCTAGCGCCGCAGGCCAAAGAAAAGGGCCTTGGTCCAGGCTCTCGCGCCGCAGGCCAAGCATGGGCCCTAGACCCAGGCTCTCGCGCCGCAGGCCCAATCCTGAAGAAAAACCAGTAACTAGCGCCGCAGGCTCAAAGGATCTAGCGGAACGCTGGCTCTAGCGCCGCAGGCCGAAGAATGGGCCATTACTCAGGTTCTTGCGCCGCAGGGCTAAAAGAAGAAGGTATTCAAATTCATGTTTCCTGGACGGGGTCCAGTGGAAAATGGCCGCGAAGCGGTCTTTTTCCACTGGTCTTATAATAAGTACATTTCAAAATAAGGATAATAATAAGCAACACATTAAATTATTTTTTAGGAAATTTATCGTAAAAGCTTTTGCATCAGCTTAAAAAATCAAATTTTTGGTACTTTTGCATTATCGGGGGGGGCGAATTACTCTGTATTAATTTAGAAATACACGTATTTTACTTGTATAAACTATAATAAATATTTACATACAAAAAAGGCAAAATAATAGATTAAAACTAACGATTTTTATGAAATTTATCGCAAAATTCTTTTATGGATATGGAAAGAAATTCAGTTTCTGGTTCTTTGGCATTATCGGGGGACCAAATTTTTCTGTAAGATTTTTTGTGTTTTTTTGTCTGTTTTTAGTAATATTTAGCAATATTTCAGGCGGAAACTGTTTAAAAACTTTTCAAAATGATCAAAAATTCGGCATTTTTGTCGAAAATTCGGATTTAGGGCGGAAGGTAGGGCCGTCGTAGGCCGATTGAGCAGCTGAGGCTGAGGATCGGATAATCGATCCGAACCCCGTCGTTGAGCAGCCTATAATTTGATATTTTCGACAAATAGTCAAAATAAATGAATTAGAAGAAAGCAGCGGGATTTTACGAAAAAACGCAACCCCCTTGCTCTAGCGGTCCGTAAAAGCATCAGATTTTTGCGATTTAGGTATCTATCGAAAGCTCACGGACAGGCTAGTCTAATTGTCCTCTTCCAATCTCAAAATTCCCGAATTTTTACTCGGTTTTCGGCTGTTTGCTGTCAAAAGGTCAAAATCTCATAAAATCGGCCAGTTGGCGACAGAGAATTTCATAAATCGAAGCCCAAAAAATCATAATTTCAAAAACCTGTTTCAGAATTTTTTACTTAATTGGTTTCAAATTTCCAAACTTCAATTTCAAAGCTACAACCGGACTCGCCTTTCCGAGAGCTTTCGATAGATACCTAAATCTTCAAAATCGGACATTCCTGTATGTCGTTATAGATTTTTGTAGACACCCTGCATAACAAAAAAGTATTTATAAAACTAAAAAACCTAGAGTAATAGCAAAAAGTGCCTCAAAAAGAGCTTCATCTTTTAACTTTTTATGAACTTTAAATTTTAGCTTTAAACTTTTCAAAGTTAGCGCTAAATTTTAAACACTTGCCACTGGCCCTGGCCGCACCGGAGGGGAGGCATTTGGTAGTCCTCCCAGAATTGCATGCCGTTTGCCTAAAATTCGTGATGTATTTTAGTCTTAGTTTTTTTAGGTTTGCTTTCTTTTAAGGCAGACATGGCAATCCGGGCGGCCGAGCCCCGGGGCCGGGCCTGGAATCTAATTAACATGAAATAAAAAAATAGTGTCTGTGTGTGTGTGTCTGTGTGTGCCACTTTGCATCCACTTCCGGATGTCTGTCCGGAGGATATCTCGATAGGAGATGAATTTTAAGGTATGTATGATACGTCATTAGATGCGTAATGGCCTGGAGATGACTGCACGCATATCAGATTTAACAAAATCACCTATTTTCGACATTAAATTTAAGTTTTTGTGAAAACTTCTTTGTTAGGAATAATTAGCATAGACCGGAAGTGGGGATTCGACTATATAAAGGGGCTCAACAGGTAGTTTTTCATTTTTTGTCATCTGAATTCAGGAAAATTATGCAAAGTGAAGGATAAAACGGGGTCAGACGGGGCCAGGGTTGAAAAGTCGCGAAGCGGCTTTTCAACCCTGGTTAACATGAAAAAAACACCCGCTTCCGGGCCCCGGAAAAATATGCAAATTCGCGGGGCCGAGCCCGGGCTCGGCCGAATTTTTCCGGGGCCGGGCTCGGCCGATTCGGCTCGGCCCCGGAAACTAAAGTAGCTGATTTGCGTCTAAATTCCGATGCTAATATGCAAATTTGCAATGAAAATTTCATGTGCGTTCGGGCTGTTAGGACATCGGTATCGGTAAAATTCATTGAACTTGGTTAATAATTCGTCCCAACTATCAAAAAGTACTAAAATACAGGTCTGAACCCGTTATGATCTGGCTGCAATAGACATAGCGGGCTACGCCCGCTAACCCCGAATGGAGAGGTATGGCAACCTTTGAAAAAAAAACATTTTTTCCAATTTGCATGAATATTTTGACTGAAGGTGATTTACAACCGGGATTTCTGATTAGCGTGCGGCCTTGCGGCCCCGGGCTCGGCCCCCATTTTGGCTTATCCCGGGGCCGTCGAGCAAAGCCGAGCCCCGGCCCCGCCGGAAGTGGGGCCGAGCCCCGTCGGCCCGGCCGCATGCAAATTTTTGGGGTCGAAAAAGCCCCCGCGGCCGGGCCCGTTGCCATGTCTGTTTTAAGGAGTGCTTGAAATTTTGATGAAAAATGCCAATTTTTGGTCAAAAATGGATATTGTTCTATTTATGTGCAACATTTTTTAACGTATTTACGCATAGGAAACGTAAAAAAACACAATTTAGAAATACTATATGATAAATATGAGACTATATGAGCTAAGAATTTTTTATGAAGCTAAGCAAAGTTTCATTAACCTGTGAAACCCACGTAATAGCGCAGTCCCGGTCCGCAGTTGGGTGAGAAGTACTTGCAGCCGTCAGTTCCCAGGGCGGTGGAACTGAAACGCTTTCTTTTCTTATTTCACGGCCGGAAACTCTGATATATCTTCTATCTTATATCTTAAAAATCGACCTTGTAAATCTTATACTTTGAAACAATTCGAAAAAAAACATTAAATTTCACTTACCCATGGACCCTGTCGTCGAGTTCGATGCTGCTGAGCCGGCACGACGTGCAATCGCGGCCGACAACTAAAAAATTCTGTTCTAAGCCTATTTTTTCTCCTTAAAGCTCTAATTACCAATTCACTGGGTTAAAATTTGAAGAAAACCTACCAGCCGCGGCGACGACGACGGCCACACAGGCGGCAACGACGAACAACTTCATCATCTCCGGAGACTCGCCAAGTTCGAAATTTCTGAAGTTTCTACATTGGTAGTTGTTAGTTAAGGGACACAACTGCCCAAATAACGAAGTGATTTTCGATTGTTTACTTATTTCAAGCTATCCCAGTCAGTGATTTAAAACTTGAAAACGCCAAAAACACCATATAAGAGAGGTTTAGACTGGTAGAGGCCAAATAAAAAAAAGTTCACTTTACACCCTCTCTAACAGCCGGAATCGTTTTGAAAACTAAACTGAATTATAAAATGGCTCCCCCGCCAACCCCTTTTTATGCAGCGGCTTTTCGCCGCCTGACTCCAAAATTGCTCATTTTACGTCGGTCAGCTGGTTTAAAAATTGCCGAAAAATCCGTCTCGATGCCTGGTTGACCAGTAAAATTTGCAAAAGCGCATGTCGTTTTCTATCCACCGCATTTTCCGGCGATTATGTCGAATCAATGGCCCTAAAAATCGGGTTTTTGAAGTGACAAAACGGCAAGAACCTGCGAAAGCAATCCGTTCTCAAAAAAAGTAGAGAAGAATGCCTAAAAACACGCAAAAACGGGTTGGGCCGAGACCTCGCAAGGGGGCGCTAAGGCCGGTGTTGAAATCCAACCATTTTCGAAATCCGCCAGCCAAGTGGTGGCCAATTCATCGCAAGAAATCGCCTGCTACCCCTGGAAAATTACCGGTGTTTCATAGCATAAAAGCTACGACATATCAAAAAATCATAGAACCTTTGATAAGATTTTCGTCACGCAGTCAAATATTTCGCCTTTTTTGAAGATACCGCGTGATTTGCATCGAAAACAACTAACTTTACATGATTTTTTCTTTGAGAAGTTTTAGAAAATTGGCTTACACATTTAGCGCTAGAGCCAGGAATTTTTTACTTCGCTCTAACGACCGTATCGCATCGTCCGTCATTGTTGTCGAACGGAACCAGCGAATGTTGCAACAAAATTTCCATTTACACGTTTTCTTTTCTCGCGCCTCCTATTTTGCCCTTGTTTTGTGCAAAATTTACACTTAAAATATCTTCTTTCAACATTTCGAGGCGCGTTGTAACAAAAACATTCAACAAACTGAAAAATCTGTGACTCATCAACGCGCTTTTTCAGTCGCCATTTGTTTTTTTGGCCTATCTAAGTCATGATCTATCAAGGCCCAGTCGGTCGCCTGGGATTTTTCTTCTTTCTTTGTCTCCCTTCGATTTGTATTTCACAAGAATTCCGATGTCTTTTTTTTATCTACAAATCAGATTACCCACTTTTTTCAGTGATGAGTGACGGTAACCCACCGTTGTTCAACAACTCCGCAAACTTCCCCCGCGCAATGCACGCCGGCTCTGGCAACAACTGGGTACGCTTTGCTTGCTTTTTGTTAAATTTCTGTTTTTAGCAAGGCGTCGCCCATCCGTGGCCGCGTCAACTGTTGCCGCAGGGCAACCAAATGGGCCAGCTGATGGGCCAAATGTCCGGTGCGATCGGCGGCTTCTGCCCGCCACAATACATGCCGCGTAAGGGTTATTTTTCAATAGCAAAACTTTCAACTTTTAGATCCCCCGGCGGCGGCTCGCGCCCCGTTCCCGGCGTTCGCCAACTGGATGCACGGCCAAGGAGGCGTCCAAGTGCTCGCCGAGCAGCAACCGCCGCCCCAGCAACAAGCTCAACTCGGAGGCCAATTCCCGGCCGAGGCTCAGGTAACTTTCTTATTCTTACCCTTGATTTTACGAAATTTAGAACTCGGACTCCTCGAAGAACGTCCTCGGTGGCAATGCTCAAGCCCCGGCCGAAAGCGAGTCCGAGATTAGCATCGAGGTATCGTTTTGGTTGTTGGGCATTATCGAACGGGGGAAAAGCAAGCGTTTTCCTGCGTTCCCGACCGGCGAAACGGGCTTTAGGGTTTGCGGAAGGGGAAACCAACTTTTTTCGGGCCTAGATTTGTGGTTACTTTTCTAGATTGTTCGTAGCTATTTGCTGAATTTTATTTTAGGTCGAAAGATAGATTTTTCGAGCCAAAATAACCAAATTTTCAACTTTTTCAAACACTTTCTAGCTTTTTCGAAATTTTCCACTTTCGGTATAGTTAAACGTACTAAAAACAAAATGTAAACACTTGATATTTGCTTACTCGGCCAACCGGAAAAAGTTGGCCCCTTGCGAATCCTAAAAAACCTGCGAAAGCACTAGTTTCTGCCCATTGACCTCGGTTTTTAGATACAAGAAGCCGCGAACGCCTACGTGGGCCGCATCTTCCAACTACGCGAAGGAGCCGCCATCGGCGACTTTCTACGGCGTATGCGAGGCTTCCACCAGTCGAAGGACGTGCGCGAGAACCAACTGCACGAGTGCTTGCTGAAAATTCTGCTCGAGGAATTCCGCTTTGTGCACGAGTACCCGCGCGAGGGCCTGATGATGATGGCTGAGATGTACGGCGGACTGATAAGGGAGAATTCCCTAAGGTATTTTCAAGAATTGTAAATTTTTACGTGGTTTGTAGTCGCCCGCAATTTCTCGACCTGATGGGCAAGATCACGACGAGCCTCAAGTCGGACCCGTTCACGTCGATGTTCGCCTTCGGCGTCCATGCTCTCCACGCGGCCAAGGAACGCATCTGCACCAACCAGAATGTAAGACCTTTTCTTTCAGCTTTTTATTCTGGTGTTTTAGTTGTGCTACAGCCTGATGAAGATGCCGAACTTCACCCACCTGCCGGATCAGCTGACCAGCTACATCAAACACGCCTTCCAGAACCCGCAACCGCTCGCCGCTGCTCCGGCTCGAAGCGAGGAGTATCTAATGTCTTCGGTATAATTTTACACTTGGATGCTGTAAGTTACCTGTTTAGCAGAGTCTCTCGGCGACCGAGGCCAAAAGCATGGAGATGGTGCTCCGGATCCGCGAAAAAGAAGGAACCCTCTCGAACAAGCCTTCCGACGCCACGCAGGAGCAGGTTGGTTTTCATCTTTTTTATGGCATTTTCTTTTAGGTGGCCTTCATCTGCAACAACCTCGACAAGACGAACATGGCGCAGAAGGTCGAAGAGCTGCAGGCGATCATCGAGCAGATGAACGGCAACGACGACTTCATCAAGTGGCTGGCCCACGAGCTCGTCAAGCGCGCTACCAGCGAGCCGAAGAATCTGCCGCTGTACGACGAGCTGCAGGCGGCCCTCGACAACAAGGATCTGGAGCAGCACGTCCGCCACGAGACGATGAAGAACATCAAGGTAATTCGACGTTTCTATTTTTAAAGGCCTCTGGAAAGATGGGATTGGTCAAAAAGCAAGATGGGGTGCACCGGGCGGGGGTTGAACCAGGGTCTTCCGCTCCGCAGCCCAACGCGCTACCCCCACACCAAAGGGGCCGAGTGGATGGGGGCGGAGGAGGGGCCTCAAATACCCTAGGGGTAATTTGGTGCGCTTTACTGGGCAACAATTGAAAATAAAGCTATTTATAAATAATAATAACGAAACATGCTATAGAAAAGCTTGATAAAGCAAAGCAAAGTAATCCCCAAATTTCCTGGAGTGTTTTATGCCTTTTCTGACGATTTTTCAACTAAAGAGCGTCCCAAAAACCTCTTTCCGCTCAGAACATGGCTGCCTTCTATCCAATCAGCCTCAAATTTTTACCATTGATGGGGATGGCTATCAACTATGTCTATGGAAATTTCTCTCCAAAAATATCGTCAATCAGATAAGTTATAGCCATAATTCTGTTTTCTTGAAACCCAGTCCGGGGTTTCGAGGGCCCTTACGCGATGGAAAGCGTGCAGGGTATCGCCCCGTCGGTCCCTCACCCCTGGGGACGCCCGGCCATCTTTCCAAGGGTCTTTAATGTTGGTTTTTAGGTGATACTCCTTTCCGACAAGGAATCGGCTACGACAAATTACCAAGACCGTACCCTGCTGAAGAACCTTGGCACGTGGCTGGGTAGTACAACAATCGCGCGCTCGAAGGCCATTGCTTTGGAGGTACTTTCAAATTTTTGTTTATTCTATATTTTTATAGGACCTCGACCTCAAGTCACTGTTGCTCGAAGCCTACTCGAAGGGCATCCACGAGATGCTCTACGCTGTGCCATTCGTCTGCAAAGTCCTTCTGGGCGCCGCAAAATCTGAGGTATCAATTATCGGTTATCTTCATTTTTTTTCAGGCGTTCCGCCCAACGTCTTCCTGGATGCACAACGTGCTGAAGACGCTCGGACAGCTGCACACTGTGCCGGACCTCAAGATCAACCTGAAGTTCGAGATCGAAGTGCTGTGCAAGGAAATAGGCATCTCGCTGGCCGAGATTTCCGGAAAAATGCCCGGTGTGCTTGATGTAAGCTTCCAAACTTTTGAACTTTATTTCAGTATTTTAGAACCCGCAGCTGCTATCGTCACTACGGCCCCAGCTCTCGACCCGCCAGCCCACCGGCCTCAAGGAGGTGCTCAGTTCGTTGCAGCAGTTCCCGCAAGAGCTCTGCGTTCGGCAGATTATCAGTGAGTTTAATATTGCAGTTCGTTCGCATTATCGGGGGGTGGGAAACGCAATTTAAATGAATATGAAGTATTTTTATGGCGATTTTAGTAAACTAAGGCTATATTTTGACTAGCACTATCTATAAACTTTGAAAAAATTATCAAACTCGCGATTTTGGTTAAACGGCCAGTTTTGGTCCAAAAATCTATATTTTTTTGTATTTGCCAATAAAATTTTGTGAAGTTTTTAGGTTTAGGAATATAAAAAACATTTTAGAAATACTTCCGCTATTGAATTTAAAAAATTGGTTCCTAAGAAAAAATTGCTCCTCCCTCCCCGATGATGCGAAACCATGCTTGCTATAGGCTTTGCCAATGTCGTCTTTTAGCGTCCAATCCTGAAGCGCCTCCTCCGGTCGCCGACGCCGATGCAGGACACGACGGCTGGCCCTCCTTCCGCCTCAACTACGACGACATCAGCGTCTCTTCACTCGAAGGCCTTTTGCCCCACCTTCAAGTGTGTATCCCCATGATTTTCTTTGACCCCTGGTTCCGTCCTTTTTGGATCCCATTTTTTTTATAACCTGCCCCTGTAATAATAAGAATAATAAGTTTCCGCCCCGCTTGAATAGAAGATCATTTTTTCATCACCCTATCTTTTTAACTTTGCGTCTAGATGGCGCATCCGCTGATCGAAAACTTCGACGGCATGGCGAATGCGATGAAGTCGTCGCTGGTCCGGGCCATTCGAGAGGTGTTGGGTACGTTTCGAGGTTTTGTAGTTTTTGTTTGATCTCTATTAGAATTTTCGAAATTCGCGTTTTGCTCACAGTTTCACGTAAATCGGAATTCGAAAAATCACCTTTTTTTTTTGTTTGGAAATCAATTTCTATAGATGGCATCATCCCGCAAACAAAGCGCGAGGCGCTCTCCGTGTGCAGCGTGATGATGAGGAAGGACTTTGGATACGACACATCAAGCCCGCTGAAGCGCCAGGCAATTCGAGGCCACCTGAGATCCATGTGCTCCGGTATTAAATTCTTGTATTCTTTATTTTGGCTTAGCATTCGCCTACAAAAATGCGCAAGAGCCGCTCAAGGAGTCGCTGCTGCGCAGCTGCCAAGAAGCCTTCTTGAAGGTGATGCGGGTGAACGGACGGGTGGACGTTGATAAGGTTGTTTTTGTGTGGAGTTTTCTTTATTTGTTCGGTTTTAGAAGACCATGCATGATGCCCTCTACTACGTAGTCGGCGAAAACTTCGAGGTCGGGATGGCGTTCATCGTCAAGACCATTTGTGAATCGGTAAATATTGTCTTCTTTCTTTTAGTCTTTTTTTTAGACGATTCACGACCTCGCCCGAAGCCTCGACCAATCCGTGCCGCAAACCGCAAGCTCTTCCCTCGAACTACGACGGCTAGCTGCTGAACACGCGGCCAAGATCTCGCTGCTGCCGGCTCGTCTACAATGGAGTCCGGATACGTTGGGCAACCAAGAATACGGGCTCTACGAGAGTCTGTCGTCGAATCTCTGTGGATTCAAGATGGCCGAAGACGATCAGGCCCTGCCGGCACAGCAAGCGCAAGCCGAGATCGAATTCCCGGATGTGGGCGCGGAGGAGCAATTTGTTGAGGTTCGAAACTTTTGAGGGTTTTTTTGCAGTTGTGTTGTGATTTACGGCCCAAAATTTAAATCAAACTGGCCCGTTTTTTTTGCGGAAAGTTTTTTGATTCCGAGCGGCTACGATTCAAGCAGATTTTCGCGCTAGTATGGTGCCGCCCGTATCTTTCTCCTTACTTTGAGTAATTTACTCTTTTCAGCAATTGCGCAAGATGATCAAAGATGGCGAACAAGTGCTATCAACGACGGGCCCTCAAGAAGCAAAGGTTGCCTTCGAAACTCTCTCCCAACTCTGAATTTTAGCAAAGCAGTGTGCTGGTGAGCTTCTTGCACAAGATGCGCTCCCTCCTTGCCGACCCCTCCAATCAGCAACTTCTGCTGGCCACCCTCTCGCAAGCGCTCTTCCAATTCCTCTACGTCTACACGCCGTCGCTGTATCAAGGGCTTCCGGGTAACTTTGATATTTCCTTGTTTTTATGCTTTGGAATTTAGGCTACGATGCGATGAAGCGTGTCTCTGAGCTGCTGCTGACCAACATGCAAACGCTGCGCAACAAATCCACCGAGCTGCAGATGGGCGGCATTCGGCTGACGGGGCTGCTGATCGAGTGCCAGCACGAATACAGGTTCAACCATGAGGCGATCGAGGTATCAATTTTCTTTTTCTCTTACTTCATTGTAATTAGGTGCTCATCCGTGAAAACATGATCTCCTGCGCCGAATACGACAAATGGCTGGCCGAGGTGATCGACACCGAGCCGAGCAACAGCCGATACGCCATGGAGTTTTCGCAAAATCTCTTCCGGGTAGTTTCTGCCTGTTTTTCTTTTACTTTGTTGTTTAGCACGTGACCTCCATCGGCGTCTCGAGGGAACAATTCGAGGCCCGATTCCCACGACTGTCCCAGCGCTTCCAGAAGGCCGACGGCAAGAACTACTTGGCTGACAAGTAAGCATTTCATTTGTGCTCAATTTACATATAGGCTTGTTTCATCCAGAACTGCCCAACAAAAGGCGTTCCCCGAGATTCCGGCGGCGCCATCGGCCGATGTGGAATATCAACGCAAGGTAAGCTTTTTTTATTCCTTTTTATAATTTTTGTTTAGGTGGAAAGAGTGATTCGGGAGTGGCTGCATCTTTACTACGGACCGCAAGAAGCTGGTGAGGTGGAGACGCTAGCGAAAATTCTTCCAAGGGTAACTGTTTAAGCAATTGGTTAAGCTAATTTCGTCTTAGATAAGTGAAGGCGGGTTCCTCTCCTCGAACGAGGCGATAGAACGGTTCTTGACGGTGCTCCAGGACGTGTGCGTCGACATTTGCTACCGGTTGCTGAAGGTTATTTCATTTGTTTTCCTCGTAAATGTATCAACTATAATAATTTTCTTGACGCGTCTGTCTGTCCGTCCGTCCGTCTGAAGCCGAATTCAACTCAAAGGGGAAAGGAGCTAGAGCTTAGCTCTCTTCGGATTCGGATAGAGCGTGGTCAGAAACCCCCAAACTGATAAAAAAATTACGAAAAAGTTTTTGTTTAAATTATTAAAATTAACTTTGAAAGTGGCGCCTTAATAAAACGAGTGGGGGCCCCTCTCCCCGGGAGGCCACGCCCCCTTTCTCTTCGCCCCTCTTCCCCAGGCCCCTTCGCGCGCCCAGATGCCTTTTTGAGTTACTTTAATACTTTTAATACTTTTTAATTATGTTAATTAATTATTTAAATTATTTAAAGTATCTAAAGCCATCAGGAAGGTATTGAGGTAGTTTTTGAAGGGGATTTCAGCCATGGGGGGTATCTGAAGCCATCAGGAAGGTATTTAGGTAGTTTTTGAAGGGGATTTCAGCCATGGGGGGTATCTGAAGCCATCGGGAAGGGATTTAGGTAGTTTTTGAAGGGGATTTCAGCCATGGGGGTATCTGAAGCCATCAGGGAGGTATCTAAGTAGTTTTTGAAGGGGATTTCAGCCATGGGGGGTATCTGAAGCCATCAGGGAGGTATTTAGGTAGTTTTTGAAGGGGATTTCAGCCATGGGGGGTATCTGAAGCCATCAGGAAGGTATTTAGGTAGTTTTTGAAGGGATTTCAGCCATGGGGGTATCTGAAGCCATCAGGAAGGTATTTAGGTAGTTTTTGAAGGGGATTTCAGCCATGGGGGTATCTGAAGCCATCGGGAAGGGATTTAGGTAGTTTTTGAAGGGATTTCAGCCATGGGGGTATCTGAAGCCATCAGGAGGTATCTAAGTAGTTTTTGAAGGGGATTTCAGCCATGGGGGGTATCTGAAGCCATCAGGGAGGTATTTAGGTAGTTTTTGAAGGGGATTTCAGCCATGGGGGTATCTGAAGCCATCAGGAAGGTATTTAGGTAGTTTTTGAAGGGATTTCAGCCATGGGGGTATCTGAAGCCATCAGGAAGGTATTTAGGTAGTTTTTGAAGGGGATTTCAGCCATGGGGGGTATCTGAAGCCATCGGGAAGGGATTTAGGTAGTTTTTGAAGGGGATTTCAGCCATGGGGGGTATCTGAAGCCATCAGGAAGGTATTTAGGTAGTTTTTGAAGGGGATTTCAGCCATGGGGGGTATCTGAAGCCATCGGGAAGGGATTTAGGTAGTTTTTGAAGGTGATTTCAGCCATGGGGGGTATCTGAAGCCATCAGGAAGGTATTTAGGTAGTTTTTGAAGGGGATTTCAGCCATGGGGGGTATCTGAAGCCATCGGGAAGGGATTTAGGTAGTTTTTGAAGGGGATTTCAGCCATGGGGGGTATCTGAAGCCATCAGGGAGGTATCTAAGTAGTTTTTGAAGGGGATTTCAGCCATGGGGGATATCTGAAGCCATCAGGGAGGTATTTTGGTAGATTTTTAACGGAATTTCGACCCGGAGGGGTATCTGAAGCCATCGGGAAGGTAGCTATGTTTTTGTGGGGGGGTTGGCTAGAGGAGGTATCTGAAGCCATCAGTGTAGTTATTGCCATGAAGGCATCAGCGTAAGGTAGGGATTAAATGTGGTGGTGTAGAATATGGAGGGTGGCCCGAAGTCCAGCCGATTGCAGTCGCGAAGCGGCTGTAATCGGCTGGTTTTTCTAGAATGAAACAGCCGACTACAAGGACATGGCCATGCGGCAGAGATCGTACTATACGGTGGACGCAATTGTGGCATTGTTCTGGTCTGTTTTATTTGTTTTGATAAAACCTCTTATTTTCAGCTTCATCCTGAAGTACTCCAATGGCGATCCGGTGATCATCAGGGTCAGCTTGCTAAAGAAGGTTAGAATTTTATGTTTCAGCAAACAACTTTTTATTTTCAGTTCTTGGTGCTGCTGACGAAGCTGATGATGGCCGACCACGACACGCGCCGAGAGGGCGAATTCAACCCGGTCCCCTACCATCGCATCATCGTCGCCTTCCTCGCCCAGGCCCAGGACCCAGCGTCTCCACTCGCCGACATCCGCTTCCAGACCCTGGATGCCATTGGACAGGTATACCGATTTTCGAAATGGCTTGAATTTCGAAATTTTGGAAATCTACATAGGACAATCCAAACTTTGCGCTAAGAATTATCGAAATTCTTTTTACTGCAACTCATGCTCGTCTATCTGATTCCGTTATCATAATTTTCTTCTAGACGCTACTCTTCTTGCAACCGCGCCGAGCCCCTCAATTCGCCATCGCCTGGCTGGACATTGTCGGCTCGCGGCAAATCCTCGAGCTGTACGTGGCCGCTTCAAAACCACAAGGTAACTTCCCTTAGGTAATTAAAACTTTTGCTTTTAGTCTACGGTGAAGCCTCTTCGGTGGAAGATGTCAAGACGAGGGCAAACTACGTGCAATTCCTGATCTGCCAGCTTAAGTTCTTGGCCCCGTGGCTGCGTCGTGAGCAGATGTCGCCGGCCATCACCGCCATCTACAAGGTAGTTTTCGGCTTATTCATTGAAATTTCTCTCTTTTAGGGCACGATGCGCATTCTGCTGCTGCTCTTGCACGATGCCCCCGATCTCCTCTGCGAGTACCACTACGTGCTGTGCGACAACGTGCCGCCGAATGCCATCCAGCTGCGTAACCTCATCCTGTCGGCGTATCCGGTGACGACGTATCTCCCGAACCCGTTCGAGATGACCTTCACGGTATGCATTTTACGTCCAACTTCTGATTAGAGTGTGTCGTTTGCAAATACAAATCCACTTTGAATAAATAAATCCAAATAACGGATATTCAAATAATCCAGAACCGTTATTTGAATAACCGTTCTCCCGGGAGTGCCGATTCAAATATATTTGAACATGTTCAAATAAAACCGAGCTTTGTCAAATCGCTCTCCTTTTGACAAAACCTAGTCAAAACTTTCATTCAAATAAGAAATGTCAAATTTCGAGACCAGTTAGGCTAAAACATCAACCGCCAAATGTCGCGCAGCCCTGCAACGCCGTTTTTGCAGAATGCCGGCATCAAAAATATCGACAACAAAAATGCCGACACAAAAAATTTTCGATATAGATGTTAGCATTGCATTTCGGAACAAAACCTCCCGTCGGCATTTTCGCGTTTCGGCATTTAGCACGTCGGCATTTTCAAGTCGGCATTCTGACAGTTGTTGTATGGCGCTTGGTGAGCCGATAGGCACTTTGGTTGTCTGCCGCTGATTCCGATCACCGAAAACTGGAAACCCTAGCAATCCCGAAATACCGAAAAATACCGTCATTTTTCACTATTCGGCATTATAGCATCTAGGAAATGGTCGGCGGTGCTATTCTAAGGTCAACAAAGGCCCTTCTTGAATCCATGGGCGCGATTTTTCAAATTTCGTTTAGCTTGTCTAGCTCGGATTTATTTGAATATGTTCAAATATATTTGAATCGGAGCGGAGGTGGTTCCGTTATTTGACCGATTATTTGAATAATTTCCGGGATGCCTTCAAATAATTTATTTGAGCGGGCTCGAATATATTCAAATAATTATTCAAACACGACACACTCTACTTCTGATACATTCCCTTTTCCAGGAAATCGTCAAGATTCCGAATATGGCGTTAGACCCGAAGATGAACCTCGAGCCCGAGAAGATCCTTCCCGTCGAGATGCGCACCCGGCTGGAGAACTACTTGCTGAATCGGCTCGACATCGACCTGGTCACCTCGCTGCCGCATATGCTTGCGGTAGGTTTTTTAATTTCTTTAGGTCCTAGTTGGATTGATTATTTTAGACCATTTTTTAGTCTGACGGGCATGACGAGATCATGTACAACGCGACGGTGCTGCACGCGCTCGTCCTCTACGTCGGCCAGCAAGCCGTCGCGTCGATCAAGGCGAAGCGCCAGGAAATCTCGTTGATGACGATAGCGCACACCGCCTACATGGACGTCTTCCAGAATCTCGCCATCGGACTCTGCAATCAAGGTATCTTTTTATTCGATTTTTCTTGTTAAATAGAGGTGATCTTGCTGTTGTATTTATAAATTTTTATTAAAACTGCAAAAATATAGATTTTCGACGTGAATAGCGACCTTTCATAACATTTTTGCACTTAAAATTTCGCGAAATAATTTATCTAAAGTATGAAAATACATTTAATCAACTATAATAATTTTCTTGACGCGTCTGTCTGTCCGTCCGTCCGTCTGAAGCCGAATTCAACTCGAAGGGGAAAGGAGCTAGAGCTTAGCTCTCTTCGGATTCGGATAGAGCGTGGTCAGAAACCCCCAAACTGATAAAAAAATTACGAAAAACTTTTAGTTTAAATTATTAAAATTAATTTTGAAAGTTTTTTCCTTAGTAAAGGGGTGGGGGACGGAGGTTGGGGTGATTTTGGACATAGTGAGCCAGGTCGCGCGCGTTTCGTGGATGAAAATTTTCACGGGGGATTTCATTTCTTTTTTTCTCGCATTCCATCCGGTCGGTCGTTATTTTCGTTTTTTAAAAGGATTTCGACTACGGGAGGTATCTTAAGCAATCAGGAAGGTATTTAAGTAGTTTTTGAAGGGGATTTCAGCCAGGGGGGTATCTGAACCCACCAGGAAGGTATTTAAGTAGTTTTTGAAGGGGATTTCAGCCAGGGGGGGTATCTGAAGCCATCAGGAAGGTATTTAGGTAGTTTTTGAAGGGGATTTCAGCCAGGGGGGTATCTGAAGCCATCAGGAAGGTATTTAGGTAGTTTTTGAAGGGGATTTCAGCCAGGGGGGGTATCTGAAGCCATCAGGAAGGTATTTAGGTAGTTTTTGAAGGGGATTTCAGCCAGGGGGGGTATCTGAAGCCATCAGGAAGGTATTTAGGTAGTTTTTGAAGGGGATTTCAGCCAGGGGGGGTATCTGAAGCCATCAGGAAGGTATTTAGGTAGTTTTTGAAGGGGATTTCAGCCAGGGGGGGTATCTGAAGCCATCAGGAAGGTATTTAGGTAGTTTTTGAAGGGGATTTCAGCCAGGGGGGGTATCTGAAGCCATCAGGAAGGTATTTAGGTAGTTTTTGAAGGGGATTTCAGCCAGGGGGGGTATCTGAAGCCATCAGGAAGGTATTTAGGTAGTTTTTGAAGGGGATTTCAGCCAGGGGGGGTATCTGAAGCCATCAGGAAGGTATTTAGGTAGTTTTTGAAGGGGATTTCAGCCAGGGGGGGTATCTGAAGCCATCAGGAAGGTATTTAGGTAGTTTTTGAAGGGGATTTCAGCCAGGGGGGGTATCTGAAGCCATCAGGAAGGTATTTAGGTAGTTTTTGAAGGGGATTTCAGCCAGGGGGGGTATCTGAAGCCATCAGGAAGGTATTTAGGTAGTTTTTGAAGGGGATTTCAGCCAGGGGGGGTATCTGAAGCCATCAGGAAGGTATTTAGGTAGTTTTTGAAGGGGATTTCGGCTATGGGGGGTATTGATGGAGGTGGGAAAGGATGTGGTGGAGGGGGACATGTATGGTAGCCCGAAGGCCAGATGGTTGCAGTCGCGAAGCGACTGTAACCATCTGGTTATTTTATTATTCGGTTTGCTGAACGAGAAAAACCATTTTTATTTCTTTCTGTTTAGGCCGCTACCTGCTGTTGCACGCGATCGCCAACCAACTACGCTTCCCGAGCGCGCACACCAACTACTTCATCCACGTGCTGCTCTACTTGTTCAAGAACGCCGACCTGCTCCCCCTCAAGGTTTTTTCCAATTTCAATGTCCAAACTTTCTTTTTCAGGAGCAAATCGTGCGCTGCGTGTTCGAGCGCGTGCTCTCGATGCGGCCACACCCGTGGGGACTGGTGGTGATCGTGATCGAGCTGATGAAGAACCCCGACTACGGCTTCTGGGAGGAGCCCTTCGTCGCGATGGCCCCCGAGCTGCAAGAGGTGCTCGTCAAGCTGTCGACGCCCGGCGCCCAATACGCCTAAACGTATATAAAAATGGCTTGCTTGTCGTCTATTGTTGTTTGTTGTATGTGTTATCGAATCATTTTAGCTATTAGTTGTCTCTGATGTTGCTAGATTTGAATAAATAATGTTAACTTTTACGAGCCGTTGTTTTTCGAACTTTATGAGCTGGGCCCCATTGTCACAAATTGTCGTCGCTGTCTGATTAGATCCAATCGGGCTCGCAGTGAATTTCGGAGACGTCAAAGTCGCTGGCGCGTCTGCAAGGAGGACATCGATTAGGTTGTAAAGTAATCTTACGACGTATCCGCTCCCGTGTAAGCCCAGTATCCGTCGCGACAGTTTAGCGTGACGTAGTTGACTGGCTTGCCCTTTTCGAACGCGCGCACGTCGTTTACCTAGAATTTTTTACTTTAGGCACGGGACGTCTATGTATCCGGAAGCATCTATTTTGTCACTTCTGAATCTTTTTTTAACTAGGGGTTTTGCGTTATGATTCGGGGTTTTTAGAGTTATTAAATTAGCGGTTTTACGATAGCACTCACATAGATTTGAAACTTGAAGATGATACAGTTGGCTACCATTTGCAGGCAGCCGTCGACTGTTGTTGGATCGCTAGAAACGAAGTTCTCGTCCTGTTGGCTAGCGTCTTGACAACCAAAATCGGGCTCCAGGCCAACCTTACCTATACTGAATGGTGTCATCTTGCCCAAACTTGTGCGCATCCCAGTCGATTTGGCTGACGTTGCAGCTGGTGCAGCTGGGCTCGGGGATTGTTGGTACTACATAATTATTATTTGCATGTTGCAGGTTTAGTAGGGTGTTTTTTCAGGCCCTCATGAAAATGCCTAAACCCAGGCATGGACTGCTGCTTTTCGCATTCTAAGATTTTTTCTCATTTTAGCTTTGAAGAATAGGGCTCTTGAGAAAATTCCGCTATTTTAGGTCGCTCATTTTTGCGCTAGCGCTTTTTCTCGTTTTTTTTTAGCGTCAAAAAATCGATTTTCCGATCAATTTTACCTCCATGAACAGTTAGAAGGAAAGCAGCAACGATCAGCAGGAATTTCATGCCGCAAAATTAAGGTTCGCCAGGAAACCGGACCGTAAATATTATGCTAGTAGTTTGAGAGCGGATCAAGCTTTCCAATAACGCGAAATTCGGCGCAATTTCGGAACAGCGGGTGGAATGGGTCGAGTAAAAAAGGGGCCAGTCGTCTCTATTCAACTTCTGGACAACTCGCATTCAGTTTGCACAGCTTGTCGAAAACATATCCATGCGGGCACTCAGTATATGGATAGTCGGTTAGTTCCTGGTTTTTCGGGCGCAAAGTGAGGTTAATTGCTTGGATGGCACAGCTGAGCATGGCGCAGAAAAACTAGGAAAGCCCGTGAAAATGTATTTATTTTTAGCCCAAAAACGGGGATCGAAATTCAAAAATAGCTTTTTGCTTCTCAAAATGAAGATTTTACACTTTAGGTACCTTTTTGCTAACGGCTGGACATTGTTTTACGTCTGAATGCAACTGTACAACTTCCGGATCAGCGGTAAGTTGGGGCATGCGATTACTTTTTATTCTGCTTTTTTTGGTATGTTTGTAAAAGATCTGAAAGCACGTAGGTGGTTTTTGCAAAGTTTAGTTTAGCATTTCTTTCGCTCCAGCTAGTTTCAATTTTCCGATTTCCCATAGTGAGGACAATAGTTGCATTGGAATTGTACGATGAGAATATCAATTTCTGCAAATCGTATTTTTAGTGGTTTTTTTTAGTTGTTTTCTTGCTGGGAATTCGTTAAAAAACATTGAAAAGGTTTTCGGAAGTTCGAAGTTTTAGCCTATTGCTCTTTTAAATTTTTTTTCGGGAAAAGTCAAAAGGGTTCTAAATTTGTTGATTTTGATGTGTTTTCATACCTAAAAACTGTCTTTCTCTACAATTACCGTTACCTTAAAAACTGGTAACCTAGATGAGCCTCGAAGCGCTACTCTGCCCGGCAGTCACCAAGTTGGAGGATGCGTTCGAGAAACAGGATGAGGATAGGTGGGCCTCGATCTTGCGAAACAGCTAGTTATCTGGTTTAAATATTTCTTTTAGGTTTTTTCATTTAATTACATTTTCAGATACATTAGCTGCTACGCGCCGACGGCTTGTTATGTGGAGGTGAAGGAAAAGGCGGTGTATGACGGGCCGGATGGTAGGTTAAAAATTTAAAACTTTATAGTTTGAGGCGCAAGACGCCAGGTTCATAGTTTCGATAATACTCTTCAGAAATTCGGGCCCTATTCCGCAGCAGGGCCACCTTGGGAAACTGGACGACTGAGGTTGGAATTTTTGGCCTTAGAAACTTAAGAAAAAATTATTAAAATAACGATTTCAACTCGAAAAACATAATGTAAAGTTTTAGCATATATCCCGCTTTAATGCGTTTATAAAAATTTCAGATCAAAAACCGTAGATTCAGCGGCGGTGATGCCCTGATTTGCTACACGTGCACCTACACGATATTTCTGGCTAGTGGCGGCAGTTTTACAGCGGATATTTTGCAGGTAAAATAAAAAAATAGCACTCAACAAAAATCAAGCAATAATAGCATTTATATATTTAATGAATATTATTTAGTATTGGCGAAGAATGGATGGGGAATATCTGCTTGAAGTGGAGCATTCCATTACTGCTTGAAGAAACGAGAATTGTCGAATTAATAAAGCATCGAATATTCCTTTTCTCGTTGTTTTCAGTTTTCAGCCAGTTCGCTCATGTGCATTTTCCCCGATTTCCCAGTTCCCATCAATGGTACAATAGTTCGATGGGATGATCGATAGGGCGAGTGAATGCCTGGCTGCGCTGCCAAAACTGTTTTCGTTTTGGGCGTTGCAGGTAGTAAACTATTTTTAGGTATACAGTCGTGTTTTTCGCGTCGGTTCATCCATCGTATTATCGATCCATTATTAGCCCGTGGTATACCTTTATCGCTAGACTTGAGCCTATTATTTTTGCCGGTTGAGGAGTTTTAGTTTTTTGGGGACCGTGGAAATTCGATACGTGAGACAGTATATCTTGTTCAGAATTTTTCGCTGATTCCGAATGCGTTTTCACGATTTTGCGGAGTCCCGCTCTTGAAAAGTTGCTTCCGGTTCTCGAGCGGAATTGGCCAAAAACTCGCAAACTAAGTCCTTTTAAAAAATTTTTGGAATACGTTGCGAAGCATGTTGAAAAATTGAGAACGGATTCGGAATCAGCGAAAAATTTTGAACAAGATGTGCCATCACACGTATCGAATTTCCATCTCAGATCAGAACCGAGATGAGCCTCGAAACCCTTCTCGGCCCGGCCGTGGCCAAAATGGAGGAAGCTTTTGCCGAGCAGGACGAAGAGGGGTGAGCCGTGCTTCAAAAATTTCCTGTCTTCTATTAACTAAATTTTCAGGTACATTCAGTTTTATTCGCCGACGGCTTGCTGGGTGGAGGTGGAGGAAAAGAAGGTGCATAATGGGCCCGAAGGTAAGGCAAAGCTTGAAAACCTATGTACTAGACGTAAGGCTTTCTGAGGTTACTTCCCCAGCCGGAAGGTTTTGGATATAACTTTTTATATTTATAATATATCGAATGGCTTTGCAAAAATCCCGAAAAAATAAGCGAATATACCGAAAAATTTGAGATCCTTCGGCTGTGGAGGGGTAAGGTAAACTCTTACCCTTTCTGATAGCATCTTTCGGTTCTGATAGAACGTTTTTAAGAGATTCGTGCGCTATTCCGCAGCTGGTGCACCGTGGGAAAGTGGACGACCGAGGTTAGTTTTTTTCAAATCGTAGAAAAATAGGAAGTTTTAGGTGACTAACCGTCAATTCAGCGGTGGTGATGACCTGATTTGTCACACATGCACCTACAGGATGTTTTTCGCTAATGGGGGAGCTTTCAAAGGACATAGCCTTCAGGTAGGGAAACGCCCCCAAAATCAAGCAGTTCGGTTTGATGGATTTTTAGTATTGGCGCCGAAACGCAGATGCGGAGTATCAGATCGAGGTCGAGCACTCGGTGACTGTGTGAAAAAATTGCTGCGAATCGAATTTGATAAAATCAACTTTTTGTTATCGGTTTACCATGGCCAAGTAATCCATTATAAAATGTCTTTGTGTTGTTTTTCGTAAATTATAACCTTATTGGAAGTAGAAAGGCCTTAAAAAGGTGATAAAAAGTTGAGAAATTTGGAAATCTAGATCAATTTGGGTAGTTTTACGAGTTTTTTCGGCATTAAACAAATTTTTTAAAAGTATAACGTCTTACAATCAATTCTTAAAGTCTTAAAAATTGTCTTAAAGTTGTCTTAAAGTCTTAAGAAATAATTTAATTGGTGACGACTTTATTTTCCCCAAAATCATCTTATCCAGCCATGCTGAAGTGCTCGTTTTCGACCTCGTAGCTATCGCCGGCCTTGCGCCAGTACTAAAATACTATTTTTTATCTTAAATTTTTCAAAAACCGGTTTTTTAGATTTATCAAAGCTTGGAAAACCTACCTGCAAAATATTGAAGCTGACTTGCTTGCCGTCTTCAAATTTTAGGGTGAAGTGGGCCGAGTAGCGAATCAGCTCCTCGCCGCCGCCAAATTTCTCGTTGGTCGTCTAAAAAGGATTAAATTTTTTAGTAGCGTTTTGCGAATCTTACGCGGATTTTGTTAGCTCTCTTTGAAATCCTACCTCAGCCGTCCACTTGCCAAACTTTAACCATTCCTTGAACATGGCGCCAATTTCTGGAATTATTAAAATCTGTTACTGGAGGAGATTTTTGTGGAATTAACTGTCTACTCACCATCTCTTCCAGAATGCACCTTCTTTTCCGTAATATCCACAATTGCGGCGGTTTCCGAGTAGCATTTGATGAAGCTGAAAAACGGAATTTTTGTTCTTAATTTATTATTACATAAATTTTATTAGAATTAATTGTTGGCAGTTAAATGTCGACATAAAAAGCCCCATAAGCCAAAGTATTAATTTACCTGTTAAAACCGAAATATACGGTATTCCCCCACGGTAATCCCTTCAAAAACCAACCCCTCAAGATCCTGCTTGTCCAGCGTCTCTTCAATATTATGGAGAGCAGGGCGGAGCAGCGATTCGAGTGTCATTTTCTAGCCTGGAAATAAGATTTCTCTGTTTTTTAGGTAATCAGAATTTTTAATTTGAAGTTTGGGGCCAGGTTTAGCAAGGTTTAGCACTGAAAGCTGCACAAAAATCTCGAATTTTCTAAACAGTATGCTATACGATTCTTAGACCCGTAAAGGGAATATCTAGTCCCGGAAAAAATGGGAAAGGCATTCCATTTGATAAAGGGGCAGCCATGAGCAGGGGAAGTGTTTATGTCGGGGAAATGACGAGTCGGCAAAAAGGGGCCTATGAAAAACCAGACAAAACTAATAAAGTTTATGCGAGGAAACAACATCCATTCAACCGCATAAAAATAACGAAAAATTCCCAAATTTAACGAAACCATGAATATCGGACAAGGCGAAATTTTTTATTTTGAAAGAAATATCGTATAGGCAAGAAAAAAAGAAAACGCGATTTCTTTTAACTTTGAAATCTGCAAATTTACAGTTAGGAATCTACAGCTACAAATCGGCATGGTTTGCACTAATTAGTTATCTTCACGTCTGTTTTACATTTTCACATACATTACATACATTTCCTAAAAAAAATATTTAGATACCTTTTTGTGCTCGTTAATGAATACAGACACTATTTTTAAAATATTATTAACTCTCTAAAAGCTTTAAACCACAAATACTAAGCTATTTCCATGGCGCTAATTAACCTATTCCATATCACTTGGATACACTGTGATTTTGGCGCGGATCCTTATTTTCTGGTTTCCTTAATTTATAGTAGTCTTTGGCGTTTCCTGGCCAGCTAACCCCCAATCAACGTACTTTCCAGAAACCCCAATCGAAACGCGTCCCAACAGGTCAATCTGGCTCCTCCTTTCAACCCCTAGTTCCCCGGTCCCCGCGGCCATTTTATCAAAATTTACGATCGGATCCGATGGCACCGTGTGTGTTTTGCCTCTTTTTGCCTCCCCGCCATTTGTCATCGCGCTATTACACCCCTTTTTGGTTCCCGGGGATTCACACTCCGCTTCATTCCTTCTAATATCCAGAAAAATGACTCTCGATTCGACTCTACGCCCATTTATCGAAAAGCTTGCGGAAGCCGGGCAGAATCATGATGAAGACGGGTTAGTTTGGAATTTATGAGAGAGTGAGAGTGAGAGAAAAAGAGTGAGAGAGTGACAAAGCGGGAGAGAGCGAGACAGATGGAGAGAGAAAGAGAGAGAGAGAGAGAGAGAGAGGGAGAGAGAGAGGGAGAGAGAGTGAGAGAGCTGGTGAGAGAGTGAGCGAGAGAAGGAGAGGAAAATAGCGAAATTTAAGTTCGATTTTCGTACGTTAAATTAGCTCGTTTTCAGCTTCATCAACAGCTACACGCCGAATGCCACCATCGTCGACATCACCGACAAGGAAATCCACGCCGGTCATGATGGTGGGGTTTTCAAAGGGCTTTTCTCAGACCACATATGCCCCTTGCGTTTTGCATAAATGGGAGACATAGACTTGATGAGGGGGCGATTTAGCCATAAGTTTAGCATTGTCTTTTTCAAGGGAATTCTGTATTTATTCGCTAAAAACCTATCTTTCAGCCCTCCGCACGCTGTTCAGGAAATATTGTACTTTTGGGAAATGGACAAGCACAGTGAGTTTCTTGGATTATTATCGCGTAATGGGGCCGATTTACTTTTTTACTGACTCTCTCTGTCTCTGTCTCTCTATTTCTCTCTCTCTCTCCCGCGCTATATCTCTAACGTGGTTTTTAGGTGTACATCTCTTTTTTTTAGGCTTCAAACGAGGAATTCTCGGGCTGCGAAGACATCATCCGCTACACCTGCCTGAGCACGCTCTCCATCGTGAACGGCCCGACAATGTCGTTCAACGTGTTGCAGTACTGGCGAAAGGTGGCGGACGGATCGTACAAATGCGAGGTGGAGCAGTTCACCAATACTTGAGATAAACGCGTCAAAATCGAGTTTTTATGCGCTTTTGCTTTTCTATTCCCCTTTTGAATTTTTCGCGCGTTTTCTTCTCCTTTCCCCCTTTTGAGCTTGGCCAAGATGTGCGGCTTTAGATAAAGTGTTTCCTTAGAATTACACTAACGTTTTTAAACTTTATACAACCGGATTATGCCCGTAATGGTGTTGTGTGGGATTAGTACTTGTACGGGGCGCACTTGTCGAGCAGGCCCAGCTTGTCGCACAGGTCGAGGTTGGCGTCCTGAAATGGAGACGATAGAGTGAGCACATCTATGGCAGAAATATCTTTTTTAGAGGCATTAGAACACATAGAAAAATATACATAATTCGTCTTAAATTTAACAAAATTCATATTGTATTTTTCTTTTTCCGGATTTCAAGAGTAAATTCCGTATTTTCTGTATACAGGTTAAAGCTGACAAGACAAAAATTAAAATAAAAGCCCAAAATCCCAAAGATTTTGCAAAAAATACTTTGCTATAAAATTCTCGCGATCCATATGGATTCCTGTTTTCCAAGTCCGTTTAAAGTTTTCTTAAAACCCACAATTCCGGCGCGGTTCACTCCACACATGAACACACCAGCGTTGTGACCACAGGCCTTGTCGTAGTACGGAGGTTGGCAGGCCAGGAAATCGTTGAAGTCTCTGAAATCGAGAGGTTACAGTCACCAGAAATCCGCTTTAAGGGGATGAGAAACTAAAAAAATACTAGGATACTAGGTATCACCCGCTACGCGCCACGCCAAAAGCTGCGGTTGAAGCGTATCTTGGCGCCCCGCGTGGTAGCTAGTAGCTACTGACTAGTAGCAAGACAGGGTCGATTTCAGCGGCTCGTAATCCCTCCCAAAGGAACTCACTTGCAAATGTTGATGCTGTGCGTCAGCTGGTAGTCGAGCGTGTCCGTGCAGTTTTGCAGAGCGACGGCGTTCGCGTCACGGGCCTTGCCGATGCAGTCGAAGTCGGCCATCAGGGCTGCAAACGGGGTGTTGTTCTCTCTCCCTCTTTCTCTCTCTCTCCATCTCGCTCGGTCTTAATCTCTCTCCCACTGGCTCTCTCTCTCTCGCTCTCGCTCTCTCTCTCTCGCTCTCGCTTTCTCTCTCGCTAAAAACTTACTCTTGTAGCCATCAGTGCATTGGTAGTTTCCAACGGCACGATCCGTCATCCACGAAGTAGCATCTTAAAACACAACTTTTCAGTTAAGGCATTACACTATTAAATACAATATATTGCTTAAATAGTGCGAAAATCGGCCCGTTTCTTCACTAGGTCTTGGCAACTACGCGTAACGCTAAATTACGGCAGAGAAATAACTTTAGAAAACACAAAAATGTGTCTTGGTGCGCGTTTCTGGACTGTCTTGCAGCTGTCGAGACCTAGTCGAAGCAAAGGGTCGATCTTTGGCTTTCTCGTTCCTTTAAAAAGCCACTCACCGCTGCTGTTGGCTCCGAGCTCCTGGATGCAGATGGCGTCAAACTTGACCTTATCAGTGCACTGGAACAGAGCAGTGGCAACGCTGAAAAGGAATTTTTAGACTTGAGAAATTCCAGCCCAGCGGGATCCTTATTTTTAACTTTTTTTTCCGGCTGCAAAATGAGGAGAATTGAAACTATTTAAACAAAAATGAATAAAATAGCTCCTGGACGAACCAAAAAAAAAATCGTAAAAATATTCGTAAAAGGCCAGCCGACTTTCTCGAGGTAATATGAAATATTAGATTTTTAATACAATAAAATTTAATATAAATTAAACTTCAATAATTTAAATTAAATTTAAAATTAAAAATTCAATTTGACCAAACCCACTCGCAAATCTTGGGCTGAACGGTCAGCCCCTGGTCGCGGAGCATCTTGGTGCGCACTTGGTGGAGATCCCAGTAGACGGGCATGTTACCGGCTAAATTTGTCAAAACGTATACGACAACTCGCATAAAAATGAATGAGAAAAATAAATAAAACAATAAACTACTTACGAGTATAAGTGTAGCCGTAGAAGCTGACAAAGTCCGAGTAGCACTTCTGCAGGATCGAGACGGTGTTCTGACCGCATTGAGCGTTGGCTACATAGAGCAGGGAGACGGCTGGAAAAGGGGGTGGTTAGCAGGGGCTATTAGGAAATTTTGCTGTCTCTGTTATGTCTGTTGCCCTTGTCTCTCGCCTACGAAAAACCGCAACAATTACGATAAAAAACTTTTTAGAGCATAAAGTGCAAAAAGCCTACGACACTCGGGATTCCCAAGCCGTCTCCGATCCAAGTACTAACCGAGCCCAACGTTGCTTAACTTGGCAGGGGGTTTTGAGCTTTCTTCTTCTCCTGCGTTTCTTCGCTAGGCGCCCGGGGGTCCGTCGTCGCAAAACCGCTTCTCCCTGTCCTCCCCTCGCCTACGACCATACCACGTTGAAAGCACGGCATCCCGTCCGATCTGCCAAGTTAAGCAACGTTGGGCTCGGTTAGTACTTGGATCGGAGACGGCTTGGGAATCCCGAGTGTCGTAGGCTTTTTTGCACTTTTGGGATTTGATCAACTGAATTCTTGCAACTCTCGCGCTTTTGCGGCGAGCCTACGAGCCTAAAACCCGTAAATACAAAGATTTTTGGAAGATTTTTGGCAAATCTGGTGTCCGGTGTCTTCCCGACTAGAATCAGAGAAATAGGCAGGCTAGCAGGGAAATTCAGGAAATGCTGTCTTGGCCGAAGTAAGTAGAAATTACGATCCATACCAAATCAAATCAATCGATCGAATGCACTCACCAATCAAAAGATTCCTCAGCATGGCTCGGGCGTGCGTGTCGGCTTGGTGAGTTCAGGGGAACTGAAGATTAGAGTTAGCAACACGAGACCAATGGCCCCCCATTTTATAGGTCCCACTCCCTTATCAGGGCAGAGGACTAGAAGATGGTCGGAAGGAGAGCACATATCGGCGGCTTCTCCCCCTCACTTTCTCTCCCATTTTTTTGGGCAGAAATGGAAAGCTGCGGCGTCATTTCGTCCCAAACTCTGGGCCCATTATCAGGATTTGGACGGGGTTGAAGCTTGTGGTCTGCTCAGAAAGCTTCAAGAATTCCGGGTGGGTTCAAACGACAATTTGTAGGGTACAGGAAATGATGGTAAAAATCAGCTGTTCAGTGGTAGAGTGATGATACTAGAGAAGTGTGATATGTGGCATGGTCGTAAATTCGTAATTGACCCGGTTTGTTCGAAGAAATCTGGCGAGAGCAACATAGAGCAAGGGATGGAGAGCGCGAGAGACACAGAAACAGAGACAGCGAGTGCTAGAGTGAGGGTGAGAGAGCAAAGAGAGAGAGTTAGAGAGCGAGATGGAGCGAGAGCGTGCGAGAGAAGCCAGAAGAGAGTGGGTGCGAGTTAGAGAGAGAGAGAGAGAGAGAGAGAGAGAGAGAGAGAGAGAGTCAGGGAGATAGAGAGTGCGTGATCGTGAGTTAGCGAGCAAGAGAGAAAGAGCGAGGGCGAGAGAGAGAGAGAAAGAGAGAGAGGGAGAGCGAGTGAGTGAGTGAGAGAGAGAGAGAGTGAGAGGCATCCAGAGATCTAGTAGGATAATCAGATTTTGAATTCCAGTTCTGTGCTGATTTTCCATGCAGGTTTTGAGCAACAACTTTAAAACTTTAGTTTATTACGATTTAAAACAAATTTAACCAGCACTTTCGATTCAGGATTAAAGCAGGAAATTATGTAATAAATAATAACCGTAATTGGGGGGGGGTCGGGAAATTTCCAGAGTCAAGCGTATTTCAGTCAAAACGATTCGCCAAAATTAGATAAATTTTAAAGGAACAATTTACTGTTTCTCAGGAGCTTCAGCAAGCTTAGGGGTAGCAGAAGGGGCTCGTTGAATAGGGATGGCTCGGGATTGTTCGACAGGTTTCGGGGCGACGAGTGGGGCTTCGATGGATAATTTCCCATCTTCAGAGAGATGGCTGCTGAACTGCTCGATGTCGACGTTCTCCGGGATGCGGAAGCTTTGGGAGAACGAGCGGCGGACGGAGCCCTGGAAAAATATGGTTAAGACTGCTAAAATAAAATAAATTTTTTACTTTAGCAGTTTTAAAAATTTCAAAAGATTATTTAATTCGAGAAAAATCCCTTTTCGCTACGGTAGCTTTTAAAAGTCTAAATTCCAGACATACCTCTTCCGTTTCTTCATTGTGCTCTCCATTTACGGTCAGCATACGATCGACGAGGCTGATCTTCAGCTCCTCCGGCTTGAACTCTCCGACGTTGATGCCGACAGAGAAGCCGTTGTCGGTTAAGGAAACCTGAAAAAACTGCGGGTTGCAACCTATTAAGCTCGGCTTGCAAAGAAAAAAAAGGAGGGGAGAGAGAAACTCGATCTCGAAAATGACCAACCTGTTTCTGAGCCTCAGCCAGCTCTCCAAAAGCGTCTTGGAGCAGTCCAGAGCACGGGAACGAGCGTTCCAAGGCGTTCATCGTACGCATCATCTGATTGAACGGATGCAGTTGACGGCGGTGATAAAATGGAGCGGAAGTGGGAAAGAGAATTAGTGACATATTGTAGGTAGAATACGGTAGCGTTGAGTGTTTTCGAGATTTGGGTTGGTTGTGGAATTGGGCTCGGGGCTTGGCTTATATAGAACGGGGGCCTGCGATCGGGAAAGGGGCAGAATGTTCTCGAGGTCTCTCGAGTGGTTGCGCTCTCTCTACCCTGTTCCGGCTCGGGTCTCTCACTTGGCCGTACTATCTCGTCTCTGCCCTGTTTTGCAAGCTCCAAGAATCGACTTAATTTGAAATACTATCCATTTTTTGTTGTATTAAAACACTATTTCTCTCTCCCTTTCACTCTCTCACTCTCTCTCTCTCTCTCTCTCTCTCTCTCTCTCTCTCTCTCTCGTTCTCTGTGTCTCTGCACACTACACACTGTCTCTTGCTTCGTTAAGCATCCGATTTTTTTCAAGTTTTATTTCATTCAATTTTGGGGCATTTAATGCTGGATTAGTTGTACTCTGGGCACTTGTTGAGCAGTCCGGCCTTTTCGCAGTGATCGTCATTAGCCAACTAGATTTGACAGGCTGGTTATGATTTAGAAGCATTAAATTTAACCAAAAACGTCAATTTGAATTGGCTTCATTTAAAATGGTTTCAGGATACATTTAAAAATGAATATTAGGATTTGAAAACCTACAATCCCTGCCCGATTCGTGCCGCACATAAACACGCCGGCGTTGAAGTCACAGCCGCTGACATACCACGGGGATTGACAATTCAGGAATGTGTTGTAGGCGCTAGAAATTAATGGAAGTTGGTAAAAAATGAGTTCCGATGACACTCCCGAAAATGGGATCCCCGAAAATTGGTTTCCCGAAACTCGGAGTCCCGAAAATCGGAGTCGCGAAAAATCTGAGTCCCGAAAATCTGAGTCCCGAAAAATCTGACTCCCGAAAATCGGAGTCCCGAAAACTCCGACTCCCGAAAATCTAAGTCCCGAAAATACCCGCAGTGATTTGGGTTTTTTTTTGGGGCCGGAAGCCTAAAAACCAGTAGCCAAATTTTCGGGATTCAGATTTTCGGGAGTCAGATTTTTCGGGACTCAGATTTTCGGGAGTCAGATTTTTCGGGACTCAGATTTTTCGGGACCCCGATTTTCGGGGCTCCGAGTTTCGGGAAACCAATTTTCGGGAATCGGATTTTCGGAAGAATAAGCAAACCCCGTAAAAAATGCATAAATTAATTCCTAATTCATTGCTGCTTGTTCGACTGTCAAAGTCGGCCTTTTCATGTGTTTTTTGGCTGATTTAAACGCGATCCACAACTAATGAAAAGTGCAAAAAGTTCAACAAATGTAAGAAAATTAATTGCTAATAGCAAAAATTGGAAGCTTTAAAAACACCATTCCCTACGATCCTCTGCTGGCTTGCCCCGATTAGCCTAATTTCAAATACGAAAACTGAACCGGAAACGTGGTCCGTAAAACGTACGGGCACAAATTTGTCCCATTAGCAATAGCAGCGTCGAGGGCATCACTGCACGCCTAAAACGATCATTAAAAATCTAGTAAAAATAGTAAAATTACAAGAGTAGTAGGGTAGCGATTTCGATAATCTGAATACCGTCTAAAACAAAAACGGCGCATTTTCCTGAAAATTCCTACCTGAAGTACGGTATGATACTTCGCCCTGGTCATTCCGAGGCATGTAAAGTCTTTGAGGAGTGCTAAAAATGAATTTTTTTTTGTAGTTTTTGGCCCGAAAAACAAACTGGCATATCCATCAGTACACTGGTAATTTCCGACAGCAATATCGGCCTGGTAGTCGGTCGCGTCTAAAATGAAGGTAGGGTACAGTAAGGAGCGAGAGAGAGAGAGCGGGAGAGAGAGAACACCACTAACCTGTAAGATTCAAACCAAACGCCATAAAGCACTGCGGATCATATGGCATTTTGTGGACGCAAGTGGATAGCTTTACGGCGGCCCTGAACGTCATTTTTCATTTAAATGCTTTGCACTCCTTTATGTTATTTATGTATTTCTAAAATTTCCAAAAAACTGACTGGCAAACTTGGGGCTGGATAGAGATGCCATTATCGCGAAGCAACTTCCCACGCACCTGGTGGAAATCCCAGTAGGTCGGGAAACCAGCTGAAAAACTTGAGATACACCAAAATATACCGAATTCAATTAGTAGATAAAAGCAATACTCATAAAATTACTGACCGCTCAAGTTGATGCCGTAGAAGTTGAAAAAGCCGTAATAACAAGCACCAACGTTGGCCGTTTGGCTAGCATCACAGCTGGCTTCGATGGAGCCGACGAGAAGAAGGGGTGAAAACTCACTTTAAAACAATTTTCAAATTGAAGAGCGGAACAATTACAATTCCGAACGTCTTCGAAAAGTGCAAAAAGCCTACGACATTCGGGATTCCCAAGCCGTCTCCGATCCAAGTACTAACCGAGCCCAACGTTGCTTAACTTGGCAGATCGGACGGGATGCCGTGCTTTTAACGTGGTATGGTCGTAGGCGAAGGGCGGGAGGGGGTGAGGGGGTTTTCTGACAGCAGAACCGTGTGAGAATGACAAAGATAGCGCAGAGGGAAGGTGGTTGTGACGACAGCTCAAAACCCCCTCTCCCCTCCCTCCACTCGCCTACGACCATACCACGTTGAAAGCACGGCATCCCGTCCGATCTGCCAAGTTAAGCAACGTTGGGCTCGGTTAGTACTTGGATCGGAGACGGCTTGGGAATCCCGAGTGTCGTAGGCTTTTTGCAATTTTGGATCCCGGTAAGGAGTTTTCTTTTCATTTTCCGGTTTTTATAGTCTTTTTAGCCATCTAGGTGTCAGCAAGATCCGTTCAAATTCAATTTTATGACAATTGGTGGCGAGAAAATGGGACTGACTGGGGAAAAATCCGTATCGTATCAATTTTAATGAAATCAGGGGCAAGTTAGTAAAGATTCTTTGAGAAATCGGTCGTTAAAAAGAGAGCGAGATTTTTTTGATTACGGTGTGTAATTAAGAACTTACCTAGAAATAGGTACAACATTCCAGCAATCAGCCAATGACGGAAATCTGGTAGGTGCCTAGAGACAATGCTTTACCCAATTATATACCATTCTTGTATACGGCTTATCACCTCGCTAGACACACGCCAATGACGAGTCCACAATGTTCCCCGCGTACCCTGTATTTTATCAGCCGTTCCCCTAAAGGCACCACACGACAAATCGCCAAAAAAAAGTTGCTAGAAAAGGGACCAGGGTGCCGTGTTGCAAAGAGCGCTTTCTCAGTTCTGGAGCGTCAGAATCAACGCCAAAGCCCGAAATTCAAAATCCCGACAGCCATAATCCCGACAGCCAAAATACGGACAGCCAAAATACGGACAGCCAGTCGGTTTAAAACCAGTTATGAGCCCATTTACGGGAAATATCACATTTTGGCTGTCGGGATTATGCCTGTTGGGATTTTGAATATCGGGATTATGGCCTCGGGATTTTAGCTGTCGGAATTATGACTGGAATTCCCTCACAATCCCTTGAAAAATTAAAACAAAGCGTTTTTCTGCATTTTTTATTATTTTTTTGGGACGGAATGTCATGTTGTCCGTCTGAGTTTAGCAGTTAAAAAACCCTCGTTCTATGATTTGGGTTGGAACAGTTCTATCTATCGAAATTATTGCTTTTGAGTCGATAAAATGTTTCCGCTCACGTTTTCTGTGTTATAGACTGGCAGGAACGCTAGGCGTATGTTGTTTTTTACCGTATGCTAGAATCGCTAAAATGCGCACTATTTGGCCTAAAAATTTCTGTATTATTTAGGTAAATTGGAAGTCCAGAAATTTTTATTCAATTCCGAATTTTTAGTACCGATATGGTGGGCATTTATTCAGAAGCCCGAGTCGGTCACAGTAGTTTCCATTAGCGTTCTAAAAAAATGGGAATTCAGCTTGTTGAAACGACCTAAAGTATGACTCCGACAGAGGAAAAAATGATTAAAACGAAAGGGAAAACTGACCACTCCAGCCCGATCCGTGCCACACGCAAAAACGCCAACATTGTAGTTACAGCCGTTGGCGTAGTAGGGCGGCTGGCAGGCGAGGAAGTCGTTCAGCGCGCTAAAGGTATCAGAAATTATTAAATCCTGGAAATTCGTCTGATTTGAAGTTACGCTTACTACATTAAATTTATCGTAATGCGATCTTAATGCTATCTTTTACAGAAAAATAACTGAATTTTTCAACCCACTTGCACACATTGCCACCCTTGTTGATCTGCTCGTTCATCGTGTCCGTGCAATTCTAAATCGGCTTGTTTTAAAGGGACTGGGAAGCGAAAGTTTGCCGTTGATTTCAACTTTTCGGGGCAACTAAATCTGAAAATACAGCTCCAATACCTCACTAGCTTCGATAAATCACTATAAATTTAGACAAAATCGAGACAAACCTTCAGTTCGTCATAGAAGTGGTCACGAACGTAGCCGATACAGTAGAAATCTTTGACGAGTACTGAAAATTTGGTAAATATTGAAAATCAACAAAAAAATTTAAATGGAAACTAGCTTCCAATGACGCATGTAGGACGTTCCAAAAGACGACTTTTCCGTACCTTGATATCCATCGGTGCATTGGTAATTTCCGACAGCCTTGTCGGTCATGTAGTCCTTGGCGTCTGAAGTGGATTACGATAAGTGGGGCGGGTATAGGAATATCTACCCGACATATTCAGCCCCATATCAACGAGACAGGTGTAGTCGTAGAGGACGTTGTTCGTGCAAGAAAATAGCGTGCGCGCGGCACTGAAAGGAAAAAGGTATTGGGGAATAGGAGATGACTACGGTATACTATCGTCTGTTCGCTTTTCTATCGTAATCTCTCACTGACTCGCAAATTGCCGGCTGGGCATCCATCCCATCGCGTTGCAACATCTTGCTGCGCGCCTTGTGCATCGTCCAGTAGGGTGGCAGGGTACCTAATTTATCGACTTTTCTTTGGGCTCAGACACTGTGTTTAAAGGGGCTCCGAAACCTGGTCCACGGCCCCTGCGTTGACCCCTGGCAAGTAGCCAGATGCGACCGCAACGCGACCGTGCTGCATGATTTTTTGCCCCTGTTCGGACGTTAAAACGCTTAAATTTCAAAATTGTGAAGCTAATTCTGTAATCCTCATCGACTTTTGTGCACTCTAGACTTAAAAAAATTTGACCCGAGAATCACCGAGATCAAGTGATTGGGTGCCTTACAAAATATTACGACATGTAATCGCCGCGCACTCAAAAAGTCGGTTTCGACCGAAGAACTTTTCGGTTTTACGCAAGTATTTTACGTTTTGTTCGCAACGAAATCACTTTTCTGGTACTTCTCGGCAGCAACCGTCACGAATTGGTCGAAAACGTGCATAGTTGAAAGTCCTCGCTTTTTTTAGCGGATTTACCATTGAAGTTCAGCCCATAGAACCCGAGGAAATTCTTGTAGCAGTAGGAGAGGATGCCGATTTGTTGCACATTACAGGCCGCGTAGGCGGAAGCCACAAGAAGGAAGGCTGAAAAAGAGCGTTATGCGCCAAGTGACACGTCCAAAATGGCCTGAATGGATCCTAGCAAGGCCAGTTCATTTCCCGCCTATAAACACCCCCATAATGCGAAAGATCCCCAAACCCAATAAAATCCAGAATAAGCAAGTCGTCCCTCAAAAGCATGAAACTTTCTTAAACTCTTACCAAAAAACAGAAATTTCAGCATCCGGAAGTCAGCTGAAGCTTCAGAAACGATTTCTGCCCTCCCCTCCCATCCGTTGCTTATATAAAGCTTGTGGGGTAACACTGCCTATTCTCTGGCTGCATTCCACACTCTCCATTTCCTGATAAAGAGCGTCACATTTTGTTCCCGGGCTCGAAAACCAAGTCTTTTGGCAGGTACAGGCCAACGACTTCCCAAGATGACAATGACTTCCCTGATGACCCGGATAAAACTACCGTAGTCTTGAGGGTTGTGAAATTTGGGTGGGGGGATGAGAGAGAACGAAAGAGAGAGAGAGAGAGAGAGAGAGAGAGAGAGCGGCATAGGAGAGCGAGGGAGCGAGAGAGCGAAATAGGGGTGAGAGAGAGCGAGCGGAGAGCGACATAGCAGAACGAGAGACCGATAGAGAGAGAAAGAGACCGGGAGAGCAACATAGGACAGAGAGAGAGAGAGAGAGAGAGAGAGAGAGAGTGAGAGAGGGATAGGAAGAGATAGAGAGGAGGGAGAGCGAGAGAGAGTGAGATAGAGAGAGAAAAATCCCATGTTTCTTCCAAAATGACCAGAAAAAGGGGTTGTCATGGCAACTGTTGTCTTTTTCTGAATCTGTGCGTATTTGCTGCAATTTTCTAATATTATAATTCAGCGTTTTTGTTCTTTGGCGATGTAACGCTCGATACACTTTAAACCCAAAGGAACAATTTTTCACCAAATTTCGCGATATCCGTTTGCGATTTGATGCCGAGAGTCCCGGCCATTCTCGATACAAAAAAAACTTGGCCGATTTATGAACGGTGAGCGGTAGGGTGGGGATTGATAAGAATGGGTTCCGCTTGTTCGACCTTTTTGATATTGGAACACTAAACTCTTTCGACCACATCGAAGTTGAGCTTTATTAATACGCATTACGACATAAAATTCACAAGAGCATTTCCCAATTTTACGATGACATAGTTTCGTTTTAAATCTTTCAAATAAAATTTTATACATCCGATCTTTAGATTTGCCAACGTCGAAATGCCATTAGAAAATCAATTATTAACAAAAATTAAAAAAATTAAAAAAGCAAATATTATTTATTTAATAAAAAACCTCGTTATTTTGTCAACTGGGAAACCGATAAAAACATGGTGAATCAGCTGTCGTGGCCTTTTCGTTTATTCAACAGCGCGTATTTTTTCTAGCGATTTTTAAAAAGCTTTTTTCTACGGATTAGAGATTTTGTCATTCGAGATTCTGATCATTCGAGATTCTGATCATTCGAGATCTGATCGGAAAGCGGAAATCGAAATCTTTTCCCGAACCACCCTTTCAAAAGTCAACTGACCCTCAAAAATAACCAGGCCATTATTTTGAGCAATTTTTTTGCTTGTTCCCATTCTTGTCCCCAAAATATTCCCATTCTGCACGCGCCTACCGACTGCGAAAATTTATGTACGCCGCATAAGCCGCGTGTTGTGTGTAATTGTGATCGGCAGGCAGCTTGTTGCGAACCTTCTATCAAAAAATTCCGTACTTTTGCTACCGTATCGCAAGGCAGAATTTCGATTCACGATTCCTTTATGAGGGCCAAGATTGTGGATTCTGCGGGACCCAAAAAACTACCGGAAATATGGCATACGAACGGATCGAAGGTTAAGACATGAATTTATCGGTTTATTAAAGGGCACGTTCAGGGACGTTTTTTGGAAAAAAGCAAAGATTTTCGCCGCGGCCGGGGGTCGAACCCGGGCCCGCCCGCTCGGGGGCGCGGATGGATACCAGTCAGCCACAGCTACAACCTAGCGAGGGGGCGAGGGGCGCCCCATGCGGCAAAGGAGGGGAATGGCCTGTCACAGCAAGGGCAGGCAGTGCGCGCGGTCCCTACGTCCATAGGGTGTATACGTTGGGACGAGTGCACGGCCCCTCCCTGAACGTGCGCTTTAACAGGAACGCAGGAAGGCATAGGCATTTTAAGGGCATGTGAAGCGCGTGATTCGAGTATTCCCCGCAACCAGGCCTGTGAAGCTACGCGACACGCTAAAAACGCTCGCAAGGGAATTTGAATTTTCGCTACACGGCGATGCCTTGGGGGGTTTATCCCATCGAGCATTAACAGACACTGATCGATACCAATCGGATAGAATAGGAAACGTATAATTGGAGCGTTTCATTTATTTTAAGCCGTTGCAGTGGAACTTTCAAACTACAGGGTGTCCCAAAAAAAGCACCCCTCTGGCATTTCGCCGTTTTACATCCGATCGGTCCCATACTTTGCACCAGGGTGTATCAGACCATAAATAACCACTATTCCTGAGTTATAGATCGATCGCCACAATAGTTTTCGAGTTATCGCCAAAATACTATTTTTTTACGCGGTTCTCAACAGTTTTTTCGGCTATCTTTTTGGACTTTGCATCGATTTGCATCGACTTCCGGCTGCGAATCCCTAATTTCGCTTAAGAACTTGGGTAATTTGGTGTTGTAAAAATCGCTTAAATCGACGTTTATTTGATTAAATTTAGTCTGGAAAAAATTTCTTAAGGTAAAGAAGGCTTGTCGAATCTTTTCCACTTAATGTTTAGGGGGTCTGATTCCACGGGAACCCTATCAAAAATTGAAAATAAAGTTTATTTTTGTTATAACTCGGGAATTATTATTATAGCTACTGGGCTAAAAATCAGGAGTGTGGTTATTTAGGGTCTAATACACTCCTGGTCCAATTTTCGGACTGATCGGACGTAATATGGCGAAATGCGACAGGGGTGCTTTTTTATGGGACACCCTGTATAATTTAGTTTCTGGTTTTTGAAGATTATTTCATTAGATCAGCAATTGTCGTTTTAATCTAATTTCTTTTTAGATGGAATCCGACGCCCTGGATTCAGAAGGGCGGCATAGAAATATACCTAAATGCCGTCTGTTCTCATTTCGAAGCTTTCGACTCCTGGTTGCATTACTATTACTCTTCGGTCTATTCTCGATGTGGTCGATGAGGTCGAGCCTTGGAATGGCTATTACCTGCATGGTAGTTTTTGGTATAATTTTTGTATAGATAATCCCCGAAAGAATAAAACATTTTTTAGGTAACGCCGGATTCGAAAAATGGCACCACTGAAGGTGATAAAATCGAGGAGTATGGGGTCTGTTTTTCATGGAATTTAGTTTTTAAAAACCAATTTTTGTAAGTGATGGTATTTCTGTACTGCCTTAATAAAATAAGCAGCAGCAAAATATACTATTTTATTTATTTCAGGGCGAATTAAAATGGGAGCCCACGCAGCAGTCTATGATTTTCTCGGCAACATTTTATACAAGTTTCGTAACTACAGCATTTTCCGGCTATTTTGCCGATCGCTACGGGGCCAAGAGGCTTTTGATAGGTACATTTATCGTTTTCTTGCCGGTTTTTATTTATTAAATTGTATAATATAGTCAAATAACTCACGCGATTTTATTCTAGCTGCTGCGTTGAATCACATCCTCGTCAGCTCGGTCTCGCCATCTCTTGCTCAGGCCAATTTTTGGGCTTTTTTCGCGGCTCGGCTTTTAATGGGAATCTCGGAAGTATGAAATGTTTCATTAAATTTAGAAAATGCTAAAGCAAAACGCTACTTTTTACGTAAAATCATCAAAAATCGCGTAGATTTTTGAAAGTCGTGGTACCGTCTTTTTCCTCGTTTCTCTTTCCCTCATTTGGATAATCTGGAGTGGAAAAAAGTGCCTTTGTGAACCTGTGGATGATTTTATGGCAAAATTTTGAGAAAAAATCGCAAATAAATATCGAAGCGTTTTTTAGGGTTTCGCCGTCCCCTGCACAAATTCCTTGGCCGCCAGATGGTTTCCGCCGGCCGAGAAATCGACGGCAGCCGCTTTGTATACATCCGGGTTTCAGGTAAGGTAGCGCTAAGCATTTGTCGATACCCAGCTGTGGCCAGGGGTCGATTCTGACGTTTCCTAAGCCCTTTAAAGCGCACGTTCAGGGAGGGGCCGTGTACTCGTCCCAACGTGTACACCCTATGGACGTAGGGACCGCGCGCAATGCTTGCCCGTGCTGTGACAGGCCATTCCCCTCCTTTGCGGCGTGGGGCGCCCTTCGCCCCCTCGCCAGGTTGTAGCTGTGGCTGACTGGTATCCATCCGCGCCTCCCGAGCGGGGGCCCGGGTTCGACCTCCTGCCGCGGCAAAAATCTTTGCTTTTTTGCAAAAAAAAACTTCCCTGAACGTGCCCTTTAAAGAACCTTTTTCAGCTTTCTAGCGGCTTTTCGTCGTTGGTTTCCGCTTTTCTATGTACAAGCGTGGCCGGGTGGCCTTCGATCTTTTATACATTTGGTAACTTCGGTTAATTATTCGTTTTTTTGTGTAATTGTACGGATTCATCGATATTTGAACTTCTAGGAGTCGTCGGTCTGCTCTTCGTGCTCACCTTTTCCGTATTTATGTCGAATTCTCCGGAGGAGAACAAATTCATTAGCGGTAGAGAGAAAGATTACTTGCTATCAGAATGCGGAGCAGCTGGAAGAAAAAGGGATACCGGAAAGGTATAAAAATTGATATTACAAACATTTATATAACCATGGTATTTTCAATTGTCTGTCCCTTGGCGATGCCTACTCACCTCCCCGGCCGTCTTATCCTGCTGTTTCTGCTATTTTTCAAATGCCTTCATCACCAACATGGCACAGTCTTTTCTGCCCATGTTTTTGAAGCAGCACTTTGCAATGCCGATTCATCAGGTTGGCAAAGTTGCAAGAAATTTCAAAAATAAAAACTCAAACTATAAATGAGTTAGAGGGAAGGCTCCTTTGTAAAAAACTACGGATTTTTAACCTTCTCTGCGCATGTCGCGTAACTGTCGAGACCTAGTCCTCTAAAGGGGCCGATTTTCCGGGGCTTAGCGCCTCCTGAATATCCGTGTCTTTGCAGAACGGCTTCTTCACGATGCTGCCATTTTGCACGCAGTTGATCTCGAAGAATTTGCTCAGCCCATTCGCTGATCGGCTGAAGCAGAAGGGAGTGAATCCGACGACAGTTGGGCGGAGTTTTCAGGCCATTAGTGCGTTGTTATGGTTTTAAAAGACCGTGACTCTCTTTCCCTTTCTCTCCCTCTCTCTCTCTCTCTCTCTCTCTCTCTCTCTCTCCCGTTCCAATCACCGTTCAAATTCAAAACCATTTTAGGTGCGATCGGAAGCTCAATTTCTCTATTGGTACTAGCACTTCTACCCTCCGATATCGACCGTTTATTCTTGGTGCCCTTTCTGCTGATCTTTGGCATTACGCTATCCTGTGCCCTTCCCGGCCACTTCACTTCAATTCTCACGATGGCGCCGGATTACACGGGAACACTGTCGTCGATATGTAAGTATCGCGAGCTAAGCCTAAGCTAGTTAAACCTAAGTTAAGCCTAAGCTAACCGTAAGCCAAGCCTGAGCCAAGCATAGAATAATGATTTCTTCAATTTTAGGCTCAATTTTCGGGGCTCTCGGCAACCTATCGGGACCCTGGCTGTTATCGATTGCCAATTATACGGTAGGTTTTTTATCGTTTTTTTTTTTTGTGCACCATTAACAGTAAGGAAACATATACAAATTTCAGGATATCGGCCAAAAATGGCTGCTTCTATTCTCAATCACTTCCATCGCTCAACTATCGGCGGGCGCGCTTTTTATTTTCCACGGGTCTGGTAGGTTTTGGAAGGTCGATGGGATTAAAGGGGCTAGAAAGTGCCAAAATAGGCCCCTTGCCTCGACTAGGTCTCGACAGCTACACGACGCTTCAAATGGCACATGGAAACCCCATAAATGATATGAAACTGTGACATATTGCGCCGGGCTTGTCGTCTGGAGTCAAGCGTCGAGACCCAGCCGGCGTAAAGGGTCGATTTTGGCACTTCAGTACCTGGAAAAGGCGATTAACGTATACAATTAGTACGCAAAAAAAACGATTATAATACGTCTAGAAAATTAGTTTATGTTTTTCAGCCGAGATCCAACCTTGGGCCAAGAAGAGCGAGTATCGAACTGCCCTGGAGAGGGACGCGAAATAGAAATCATCTTTTACGAAATAAATATGCAAAACCTTACTTATTTTTTGAGTATGAGCCGAAAAGCAGAAAGTTCAAAAATCTTAGCATAATAATAAGCATAAAAATGCGTAGAATCCTGAAATTGACTCGGCCTTCACCAAATCCGGAACTTCCTGGCTTCCATAACCTAATTAACATACCTCTCCAGGTATATAAGAAGCCTCTCGAACCGAATAATCACCAAACAACCCGTCCTGCTCGAAGAAGATGGCCCAATCGGTTGCCCCCGGTGACATCGTGACCCAGCCGGGCACGAAGATCGTGTTCAACGCCCCGTACGATGACAAGCACACCTACCACATCAAGGTGATCAACTCGGGAGGTCGTCGCATCGGATGGGCCTTCAAGACCACCAACATGAAGCGCCTCGGAGTTGACCCGCCCTGCGGTGTTCTCGACCCCAAGGAGCAGGTCTTGGTACGTTTGTGTTGACCCTGTTGGAGTTGTTGTGGATGTTGTAGGTTGCCGTCTCGTGCGACTCGTTCACCTTCGGAGCCGAGGACACGAACAACGACCGTGTGACGATTGAGTGGACGAACACCCCCGACGGCGCCGCCAAGCAGTTCCGTCGTGAATGGTTCCAGGGAGATGGCATGGTCCGTCGCAAGAACCTCCCCATCGAGTACAACCCATGATCATCTCCTGATTGCGTGTGAATAAACGGATCCGTTGAATTGTGTTGTTGTTCTTATATGCATTGTATGCTAGCCTACACCACATTACCATACACAAATTAGCATATCTTGACTAACTTCGACAGAGGCACACTCGCAAAACATGACGACTTGGCAGTAGTAGACCGGCGACTTCAAGCGGTACCATCCGATGGGCATGGCCTTCCGACAGAAGAACATGACGAGCATGTGGTTGACCCAGCTGGCGCGGGCTGACCTTGTCTTGAAGATTCCATGAGTTGATTCGTCCAAAATATAGCCACTCTGGAAAACGGATGAGGATGAGGTTACTGTGCTCGAAAGACACAACTCACAACTGAGGCCGTTCTAGCGATCCGCTCCTGAAGAATTCCCTTTCAAAATCTGCAAAAATTACGGTTACAAACTGTCCCTCTATCTCCCGGAAGTGCAAAAAGCCTACGACACTCGGGATTCCCAAGCCGTCTCCGATCCAAGTACTAACCGAGCCCAACGTTGCTTAACTTGGCAGATCGGACGGGATGCCGTGCTTTCAACGTGGTATGGTCGTAGGCAAGGGGAGGGAGGGGGAGGCGGTTTTGCGACGACAGACTAGCGAGTGCCCAGCGAAGAAGCGCAGGGAGAGAAGAAGAAAGCTCAAAACCCCTCTCCCCCTGCCTCCTCTCGCCTACGACCATACCACGTTGAAAGCACGGCATCCCGTCCGATCTGCCAAGTTAAGCAACGTTGGGCTCGGTTAGTACTTGGATCGGAGACGGCTTGGGAATCCCGAGTGTCGTAGGCTTTTTGCACTTTTGGCTAGCAGGGTAGACGTCTGTGGATGTGATTTACGCACTTTTACAGTAGATTCCAGCTTCCGAGAATTTTTTACTTTGCTTCCAAGAGGGATTCAATTCCAAGAATTTCAGATCATCGCTTCGGGAAGCAAGCGAAAAAACTGGAAGATCCGGCAAGCAAAAGCTGCACTTTCGAAAAAGCTTTGGGACGCTCTGAAATAGGCCCAACTAGACAAGTAGGAAAGGCCCAAAAGCAGTAAAAAGAGGTGAAAAGCTCCCTCTGTCTGCCCTCCCCAAAAATAGCCGAAGGGCAGACTAGTTGACGACAACAATTCCTCCCTCCCAACAACTCCCCCAATACTTTGGAATTCTCGATTCTGATGCTCTTCCCCGTCCTCTGGTGAAATTGCCGTTCCCTGGCCTCCGTTGTACACCAAGTGACGTTATTCGCGGATAGTTATTGCCCAGTCTTCGAGGGGTATTTCTAGGCATCGGTGCTCCGCCGAAATTGTCATTATTTTTCGGTTTTCATCTTGAATTAATGAAATCGAAGTACGTTTCGATAAATTCGGGTTCTTTTGCATTATCGGGGGACCAATTTTTTCTTAGACTTCGTTGCTTCAAATAAAAACATCGAAAGAAATCAGATTAACTGTTTTTTCTTACTATTCCTGGCTGTAAAAACCTTACGGCTTCTATTTAAAAAATAAAATAATCGAGTTTTCGGCCCAAAATGGCCGATTTTTGACCAAAATGTCGAATTTTTCTAAAAGCTTTAGATATTTTTTTAGTTGAAATATGGTTATATATTGCTAGAAACACTATTAAAACACTTTCTATTAAGTAACTATGCATTTCTATACCTATACAAAAAGTTTGCTCCCCCCGATAATGCAAAAGTACCTAAAATCATTTTGTTCTATTTTTCATCATTTTTTTTGCGGTCCACTATGAAGGGCGGTGCACTATTCCGCAATTCCGTACGCGCCGCCGGACCGGAAATCGTGCAATTAGCACCCCCGGAGGGATTAGATTTGGCAAGGTCCCCCAAAAAAACCGGCCGCTACTCGTAAATATTTGCGGCAACGAGGGGTGTGTCAGTGTCGGCTCTTTTCATATTTTTGGAGAATATTTGCAAATGGGGGTGTGGAGGGGGTTCGGATGGGTCAGATTACAGGGTTGCTTAGCGTAGCGTTGTGTAGCGTCAAGGAGCCAGTCGCCACATTTTTTTGCAAATCGGAAAAGACAGCATGCTTCCTCTAAAAGCCTAAACTTTGCCCTCCGAGTCCATCTATTTCCCTTTTAATTTAGCACCTTTTAGCCGAGGCCGCATGCAACAATAAAGGCGTTTCGGCCACTTGAGTGGACAGTTGCTTCCCCCCATTCGCTTTTTCTGCCTCCTTTTTTTTCCAGATCCTCCATCGGGGCAAACCCCCCAATCGAAATCGATGCCTTTCGTTGGCCTTTTGGGCCTGACTCGGGTCTGGCTAGCCTGCCAAAACATCCTTTGGCACCATGCCTACTTTGTGTATTTTTTGCCTTTTTTTGCTGGCTTTAAACGGCCATTTTTTAAAACGAATTACCATTTTTGTTCAAATTTAGGCTTCTAATTGGAATTCCATTTTCCTAAACTAAGTTTTAAAAGGGCTTAGGCTTTGGATTACGAGTAGGCTTATGCTGAGGATTAGCTTTCGCTTAGCTTAGGCTTGGATTAGTCTTAGCTTAGGATTGGATTAGGCTCAGCTTAGGCTTAGCTTAGGCTTGGATTAGGCTTAGCTTAGGCTTAGCTTAGGCTTGGATTAGGCTCAGCTGAGGCTTGGATTAGGCTCAGCATAGGCTTAGCTTAGGCTTCGGCTTAGGTTTAAGCTGCTCAAGCGGGGGCGCTTACAAATTAATTAACCTACTACCTATGCCGTCCTTATCTCTGTACTTATGAATTCTGGATTTTATTCGTTTGCAATTTAGTAATTTTCAGGTGATTTTTCCGCCTTGTTGACATTGAAACATAAAAATCCGCCGCTGCCCCGACAATTTATTTGGGGTTCTGTTTTCCTTCCGTTTTTGTGGTTGGAGCCACGGCTGACCGATGGAGCGAAGGGCGCATCATATTTTGGGTAAACAACACCCACCCTCCCAGCCACAGACGATGTCGCGCTCAATTTATCATCCTCCTCCACCCCCCTTTTTGCCCCCTTTCAATCGCCGCAACCACAATTTTTCACGGTTATTTGCGCCGATTTATTGGGGTCGAATATTTGAAAAATGGCCAAATATACTTATAAATATATTGTAGCTTCTTAAAAATTGGATTTGTCGCTTGGGATTGCCATCTATTACCCAAATTTAATAAACGTAAATTTTCGAAAAAAAAGTGTCTAAAACTATAACCCGCTTTATTGACTTTCTCGGATTTTCATTTAATTTCCATGCGCAACTCGGCCAGAAATAAACTTTTTAATGCATAGTATTCGCTAAAATAAAAATTATATGACTTTAAGTTTTGGCAGAAAAATAGAAAATCAAGCTATTTCAGGCTACAGGCTTCTAAAATTAGCATAATTTTACTTCGCCTCATGTTTTCAATTTCAATGATTTTTCTAACGTTCCACTCTCTTAAAAGAACAAAACAGCGCTTGGTCCTTCTAAAATCGGTTGCAATTTTCTGGGGCCTTTTATAAAAACTTGATCTTTCCCTTCAACGCTCTTTTAACGTGCAAATATTTTTATTCTCTTAATTGTTCTACCAGGGTTGAAAAACCGCTTCGCGGCTTTTCAACCCTGGCCCCGTCTAACGCACACATATTTCTTCCCGAACTTGATTGCAAAAAATGAAAAGGACCCCTCTACCCCCTTATATAAGCTTTCCCCACTTCCGGTGCATGCAAATTGGCTCCTAACAAAGAATTTTCCGATATCTTTACAAAAACCCAATTTTAATTGCGAAAACAGCAATTTTTCAAAACTTTGATCGGTGTGCACTCATCTCTGCGCCATTACGCACCTAACGACGTACCCTAAAAACCTTCCCCTGAGGCTGTAGGTGAGAGACAACCTCACGGAAGTTGCATGCAAATGCACACACACAGACACTATTTTTTATATATAGTAGGATAGCGGTGTTCATAGTTATAGTCTTCGATTTCAACGTCCCTTTAAAGTGCAATTTTTTGTTCTTCAAAATGTCCTTTGACCGTGGGAATTTTTGCCACCTGAAACCTGCAAAAATTTTGACAATCCGCTGCTAATCATGAGCTTATCGCAGATTTCGAGAGGCACACACACGCGCCAACCGGCTGCCAGATCGGCTTCTTCACCCATAGCCTATTTTTGGCGGATCAGCCGGTCGAGGAAAGGGCATTGGCACGTTCGCAAGGATGGCAGATGTTAGGTATAAAATAAATAAGATGACTGATTTAATAAAAATTTTTAAGAAAAGAATCAACCCTACCGGGTGCGCATCTGTCTATTGCTGCACTTATCGTATCGCTGGGAGGATCTGGTAAGCTCCAAAAGTTGGTTTAGGGCCTCTCCCTCTCGCTCTCTCTCCCTCCCTCTCTCTCTCTCTCTCTCTCTCTCTCTCTCTCTCTCTCTCTCTCTCTCTCTCTCTCTCTCTCTCTCTCTCTCTCTCTCTCTCTCGCTCTCTCTCTCTCTCGCTTTCTCTTTCTCTCTCTCTCGCTTTCTCTTTCTCTCTCTCGCTTGCTCTCTCTCGCCCTCTCTCGCTTGCTATCTCCAGGGACGTAGCGTAATACCGGCCCCGGGGGCCCGGGGCCCCCCCCGAAATCGGCCGGGGCCTGAAAATTTCGTAAGGGGGGACCCTTATGATTTTTATTTTCTCAAAAATTTTGCTGCCTGCGGCGCTATTTTTTCACGTTTTTACGGCTATTTGTAGAGCTATGTAACCCTTTTTTCAAAAAATTTTGCCTGCGGCGCTGTTTTCTCGTTAATGTTTTGCGTTTTTTGGAAAAAGTTTTGGGGGCCCCCCCCGAAATTTTTTTCTGGCTACGCCCCTGGCTATCTCTCTCGCTTTCTCTCCTTCTCTCTCTCCTTTACTCTCTCGCTCTCTTTCGCTCTCTCTTTCTCTCTCTCACCAAAAAGACCACCAGTTTGCAGCCAACTTTGCCTACCACCTGATCATCACCAACCCGGCGCAAGATGCCTTCATGCGTTTTGTGTCGGACTCTTTTTTTAATAAGCATGGCCGGAGGTTGACGTTTGAGCAGCTTGAGGTAGAATTTTATCTGCCTTGAAGGTCCTTTAAAACGAGATTTAAGGCCCTGAAAATTATCAGAAAACCTCTTTTTCAGACTACATGGTCTATAATCGTCTCCATCCTTTATTGGGGCACGATGGTGGGCGCGCTGTTGATTCAGGTAAGTTTTTTTGGTTTGAAGGGACTAGGAAGCGAGAGGATCGACCCTTGTGTCGAATAGGTCTCGACAGCTACAAACTACACCTAAAAACGCGTATCAGGATAGCTGGAACTTCCAACTGCCATGACCTTTTTAGTAAAAAAGCTAGAAAAACGTGACTCAAGATGTCATTTGGTGTATGGTGTTAGGATTTACGTTCAGTGGTAGATTAGAATGCATTATTGTTGTAGTCCTGTTGGTAATCCCATTTTATCTTCACATATTTGGGGAACGGAATATTGGGGGAAACGGGAGTTCGGGCGGTGAGCGGGAACTCGACTCAATCAAGGAGGGGAAGGGCCGCTCGGTGAGCCGGGTCTCCGTGGCAACATGTGTCAGTCTTTTTTGGGGAATTTCTCCGTTCGCGTTGGACCTAAGCCTCCCTTTCGCTAGGCTAAAAGGGATAGAGAAATAGGATGCGAAAAGGGAGCTAGGGTCGCGACACTCCCGGGGGGACAGCGGATGTGATACGGTAGAAAAGGCAAATTGCTAAAGGATGGATGAGAAGTTTCTGACGGAGCATAATGACATACAAAACCGGGCCTGCATCGTAAATACAATCTTAATGCATTTTGTATTTTCATATCTTTTGATCATCCGCAATGTACCCGTCTTTCTTCAAACGTATTAACATGACTGGCGCGGCATTGGCGGGATAACTTCGAAAGTGCAGGCGGTCGGCTTCCTTACACAGATCGTGTCGAGCAGTCATATCATTGGACTGCTCACCCTCCCCGGCTTAGCGTTGAGTCTGGGGTGAGGGTATTCCTCTTCGAAACGCTTCTGAGATCTTTTGACTTGATGCATCATGGCTTTCTGACAACGGCTTCTTATCGTAACTGATAGGTGTCCAGTCTCGCACGGTGCATAAAGGTTTGGCGAGTTTTGGTGTTTTTCAGTAGTTGATTTCTTGTGACGGCATACTGTGAACTTGCAACTGGTTGAAGGGCAGTTCGCTGTACAATCTAGTTAGCTTCCGTCTATTGGCTTCTCAATGTGTAATTTGGAGAATATTCAGCCAGTGGTTTTCTCCAGCCATGTGCATCTCTGCTGTTTTGCTTCCGGTGATTTTCAACTGGAATCTTCTTCGCGTTACATCATGCCTCGTCCACATCTGCATCTTCGTTGTCTGCTTCGACGATCTTCTTTTTCTTTGACTTCGGCAACTGCTTCGTTGGAGATTCGAAATTTTTCATACTCTCCTTTTGGGGACCATCAATATATATTTTTTTTTAGCTTTGCCTCAGCTTTTTTTGTGGGGTTCATCCCTCTTTTCCTCCTTATTTTCTTCGTGCCACTCATTTTTATGGAGGTTGAGGCTAGTCCCTTCTTTTGATCTTTTCTTTCGCACTTTTCACCATAAAACATCCCTTACATTTTTCTTTTCATTAGATCTTTTACGGCATTTTATTTTTCCGTCTTACGGATGCTATCTTTTATCCGCGTGGGTTGTTCTTTTCCCTAACCATCGTCTCATTCTTTTGACTAGGTACCGTACTCCCTAGAATTTCTTTTTTCCGTTTGTTCATAGTCAATCACAATACAGAATACAAGAATGGAGATTGATCAATATCATTTATTCCAGACAAGAATTCTGAATGAAGTCAATATTTTGCCTTTAAGTGACAAGATTGATATGTATTGTTTTTCATCAGGCAAAATATTAATTTCAATGGTTTGGTGAAGGTCCTCTTCACATTGGACATAGTCTTCATTCGCAACGATTTTCGAAGAACATCTGTCGCGATGGCTGGCGGACCTCATCATTTTTGTCGTTTACTGGCTTACCTGACTTCACCGTTGAGGTTGTTTGGAGACGCAGTTGCCTAAGTAGCTTTAATCATGGATTCTATCTTGTTCACGCCATCCCCTTTCCATCAGGCTTTTGCTTGTTGGACTTCAATCGGTTTGCTTGAACTTGGTATCGGTGGTGTGCCTTATCCTTGCTCGAGTGTCGCCTCTTAGATCGTTGCGTTAACATTGTCTTGGTTGGTGTTGATTTCGCACTCATGCCTGGGCTCCGCTTCGCTCCATATCCTGGATCGTCCACGCGTGGCGGATTGCCATTGCTTGTTACTTGCCATCGATTGGTCATCCTGCGCTCTGCAATACTTACCTTCTTTTTAGCGATGCTTCTGCTCTGTCGTGTCGTCGATACTGTAGACTTACCATTAATATCAGCTGCACTTCCTATGTATTCTTGCCGGTGGCTTGGCCTCGAGTTAGCTAGGAGTGTACTTCGAGGGTTCCTATCCATCTGGAGCGGTTTCTCTTTGTTCTCGCGAACTTTTGCTTAGCTTGAGATGCTTGCACTCCGAATATATCACTTCGAGGTTGGATTTCCTCGCAAGCTTTCTTCTCGTTCGCTTTTACCTTTTTTGCGATTTCGCATTGCCCAAGCAGTATCTACTGCTCATTTCATTCCAATACTCCCTGTTCCGATGTTTTTTTTCTTGAATCAGCCATCTCGGGACGTTCTGTAGCTTCTGCTTCGTAGATTTCGTCGCCTTAGTCTTTGATGAGCTGATTATGTGAGCGCGGACTTCTGATTGGCTCGTGTTAGTAAGCACTAACTATTCCATTTGAGATGATGCTTTCGGAGGGCTTTTCCAATCTTTCGGCATTTCTCACTTCAAACCCATTCGAGAAGTTGCATCAATCCTTTGCCTTGCGGAGTGCCCGGTTGCGGCCGCTTTCGAACTTCAGGGGTTACGATGACCTGCTTACTTTTGCAAAATGCCCTTTATTTTTTCATGTAAATTCTCATATCACGAGCACATTTCTATAGACGCGTCTTTGCTTTCGCGGCAGTTGAAATCGATCAATGAGAAAATTACAAATAATTTGATCGGCAAAAATTAGCTGGCGCAGTCTATCAACGTTTTCCATTAGTTGAAATTTGCTAGCTTTCTTGGACACTCGCATTTTTGTTAGTAGTACAAATCACAATCAGCGAATTAACTTTTAGTTTTTTCATTTTGAATTTTGTAAATGCCACAATATCACATGTTTAAATTTTACAGAAAATTTCTAGTTACACGAAATTTCTGAATTTATTGCCATCAGAGTTATCGATTGAATTTCCGATTTTTCTATTTATCGCGTATCGACGTACCTGGATTTAGTTGGCCGACGCACCATGTTAGGATTTACGTTCAGTGGTAGATTAGAATGCATTATTGTTGTAGTCCTGTTGGTAATACCATTTTATCTTCACATATTTGGGGAACGGAATATTGGGGGAAACGGGAGTTCGGGCGGTGAGCGGGAACTCGACTCAATCAAGGAGGGGAAGGGCCGCTCGGTGAGCCGGGTCTCCGTGGCAACATGTGTCAGTCTTTTTTGGGGAATTTCTCCGTTCGCGTTGGACCTAAGCCTCCCTTTCGCTAGGCTAAAAGGGATAGAGAAATAGGATGCGAAAAGGGAGCTAGGGTCGCGACATATGGCATAGCTGTCGAGACCTAATTGCTCTAGGGGGTCGATTCTGAGGTTTCTCTGTCCCTTTAAAGGGATGCTGGTCATCCCGAAATCTAAAACATGTGTTGTTTTAGACGTTTTCCAAGCATCTCGGCCGGAAACGAGCACTAACGGTGGCGAATGTGATGCAGGCCTTTTCAGTGTCTTTGGCAATCTATTCGTATTTTGTAGGTTTTAGGCTTAGATTAAGCTTGGTTCAAGCTTAGCTTAGGCTTAGATTTAGCCTAAGCATAGCGTTGCAAGATGTGATTTTTTTAGGCGACAGACTACATTTTATACACGATTTCGAGGTTTCTGCTGGGGATAGCGCAGGCGTTGGCGCTGGGAATAGGACCGATGTATATCATGGAGTGCAGGTAGAAATCGGCATTGCCTGCTCTCTCACTCTCTCGCTCTCTGTCTCTCTCTGAATCCATGCTAGTTTGCCTTATCTATTGATTCAAGAAAATATTTGACCGCTCCATTTTAGTCCTGCGCGATGCCGGGGTGTCATTTCTCTATCTACCGGCCTCATCATGCAGTCTTTCATCGTACTCGCCGCCATCGTCGCCTTGCCGAAGGTAAGTGGTGCCTATAAACGGTTAATTTCCTATATTTCAAGATGTGGGGCAACGACGAGGACTGGTGGTACCTCTACGCCTTTGAACTCGTCGAACTAGTGCTGGTCACGATACTCTCCCAATTTCTGCCAGAAAGCCCTCCGTAAGTTGCGATTAAAATTAACATAGCTGGAGATAGAGCCCGAATAAATCTAAAATAAAGGAATTTCCTAAGTCTGAATTCCGAAAATTTTTATTAGTGAGGAAATAAGCATTCTCAGAATTATTTTGGTAGCGTAAGAGTTAAAAACTAATTTAATACCGAAAATCGAAAAATTGAAACTGTCGAAAATCGGAAAACGAAATTGCTGAAAAAGGTTCTTTTTAGCGTGCTACAGCTCCAAGGAAAACACGCAGAGGCCCAGAAAAGCATCCAGTATTATCATGGTGTTTCACAGGTTGAGGTACGTTATAAAAAAATATCGTAACTATCATAAAAAATTAAAAAACCCTTAATTGATATTAAATTCAGCTGTATTAAATTATTTATTAAGCGTAAAAATTTAGGCAGAGGGACTACTATCCACCGAAGAAGTCCCCGTCGAACGGGTTAAGGATTTGGGATTGTTTGAGGTAAGTAATCATATCGTTTTTTCCGCGTCATTTGGCGCATCTCGTAGTGTCGGGATCTAGTGGACAGCAGGGGTCGATTTTCGTAGTTCCTGACTCTTTAAGATGAAAACACGGTGCTTTTTAGGTGCTCTTCAAGGCCGAATCGCGAAAGGGCACCGTCCTCGGCTGCACGGCCATGTTTGCTATGTGTTTCAGTGGTCTAGTAGGTGAGCCATCGCCCAATCCTGTGGCTGTAAATCACCGCTAGCTTGCCCTTTACCAGTTTCGGGCAAAAGCCAGTTGTCACTATCGCTTTACGGTGGTGGTCCTAGGCGATGAGAACCGAAGTCAGGCTAGCCAACACTCTACAAGCTAGCAGAGTTTCTTAGACTTCTTGAAATCTGAGGAAAAATCTGATTTATTTAGTCGTAAATGCGTTTGCCATCGAAATTCTGCGCAACACGGGTCTTTCCGAGGATTCGGCCGCCTATGCGAATGTTGGAATTTGTTTGATATCGGTGGTAAGTATCACCAGCTCTCTCTCTCTCTCTCTCTCTCTCTCTCTCTCTCACTATCTCTATCTCTTTCTTTCTAGCTCTCTCTCTTTCTCATCTCTCTCTCCTCTCTCTCTCTCTCTCTCTCTCTCTCTCTCTCTCTCTCTCTCTCTCGCTCTCTCCCTCTTGTTACTCTCTAACTCTCCTACTACAGGTCGGCATCCTAATCGCCGCCATGGTTGTCGAGCGCTTCGGCCGTCGTCCATTGGTGCTATTCGGGATTTTTGGATGTGCCGTCGCAAACGTGGCAATTTTCGGCTTCATGTTCGGATATGAGAAGACTGGGGTATGTAAGGAACCTCCAACTTGCTCTTTTTTTCCACAAAACCAGCTCTAAGAATGAGTGCCTAGGCTAAAATGGCCGAGCCCAAAAGATATCTTCTATTTACGCCGCCGGGGTCCCAAAACCCCGACTAGTAATGAAAATAAATAGACAGCGATAGCTATAAAAAACAATAATCATGCAAAACTGCCTTTGAAAATATTCCGCTATCTTCCAAAAACAGCAAAAAGCCTACGACACTCGGGATTCCCAAGCCGTCTCCGATCCAAGTACTAACCGAGCCCAACGTTGCTTAACTTGGCAGATCGGACGGGATGCCGTGCTTTCAACGTGGTATGGTCGTAGGCGAGGGGAGGAGGGGGAGAGGGGGTTTTGAGCTTTCTTCTACTCTTCCTGCGCGTCTTCGCTAGGCGCTCGCGAGTCTGTCGTCGGAAAACCGCCTCTCCCTGTCCGCCCCTCGCCTACGACCATACCACGTTGAAAGCACGGCATCCCGTCCGATCTGCCAAGTTAAGCAACGTTGGGCTCGGTTAGTACTTGGATCGGAGACGGCTTGGGAATCCCGAGTGTCGTAGGCTTTTTGCATTTCTTGAAGACGTTGGACACGTTTGTGAGGGTAATTTTAGCCGATTTTTTTAGTAGTTTTAGCAATTTAAGCTAGCGTCGCCTTAGGTTTCGTTCAGGTAGCTATCGTGCTCTCCTTTTCAGAACCAAACCCTCGGCTGGTGTCTGGTCGCTACCATTTGCATCTTCATCCTGATCTGCTGCTCCACAATTGCTCCGCTATCATTCTTTTTGACGAGTGAACTCGTTGATGCTAAAGCCAGACCTGCGGCAGCTACATGGGCTAATTTGATCCTGGCTGCAAGGTGTGAATTTTAGCTTGTCCTTTTTAAAGGGCCAGGCAAGGCAAAACTGCACTTTTTTTGGACAATTTCCGACGAAATTAATTGCTTTTTTCCGTCCCAATTTTCTTTTTTAGCCGTTCCATCCTGTTGGCCCTGTTTCTGCCGCTCAAACTGTGGCTAGGAGCTCCAACGACCTATTTAATTTTGTTCGTCCCGCCGCTCGTCTTCTGCTTCATCTTTTTGTACTATCGATTACCGGAGACGAAGCATGGCAAGAAGGAGGCTGATGGCCAGATTAAGGTATCGGTATTTTACTAACCTTTAGCTAACAAAATCTATAGCAATGCCTTGACGGGGTTTTTAAAGGTCCCTGGGTGGCAAAAATCGACCCGTCCGCATGACTAGGTCCCGACAGCTACGCGACACACCAAAAAAACGTATTCGATAGCCTCAAGTAGCGAGATTTCTGCAAAAAACAGCCGGCATTTTGGAGCGTAGCGTAGCTGCCCAGACCTAGTCGACGTGGGGGGTCGATTTGCACGCTTTCTGGTGCTTTTAAGTATCTTTAGCTGGTTCGAAAATGGTTCAAATTTGGCAAACCATTAAATTTATGTCCTTTTCAGTTCATCGACGAGGAATAATCCGCCAACGCTACTCAAAAAAATCAACTATGTTTTTTCTTCGAATTTCCCGTTGATTGTTCAGTTGAAAATATCAATAAAATGGTACAAATCGATTCCAACGCTACAAAATTGATTTATTGACCTTACAGTAAATGGATTATTGTGAAAAGCGGAATAAAGAAAAATTCGGGGCGTATTTCCTGGCGTAAACAATTACGCCATCTATTGGAGGCTTGGCGGGCGGGACTCAAGGTATTCCTTCAGCTTCGGCAGCTCGCGGAGACGCTTCTCGTAGGATTTCACCTGAAAAAGGAGTGATTCAAAAGGGAAGCTAGCAGAGATTCTTTGGGAGAGAACTAGCAGAGATCTTTGCGAGAAAAATCGGCTAGGGCAGATTTGCGAAGGGACGAACTGCGATTCCTTGTGGAAACAGAGGGCTAGCAGTGGTCCTTTAAGAGTGATCTAGCAGAGAATCTTGGGGAATGGCCGGCTAGCAGAGATTCTTTGTGGCGAAGGCAGGCTAGCAGCGGGTGTTTATGGAAAAAGTAGCTTAGCAGAGATTCTTTAGGAGAGCCCTAATCAAATACTTTGCGAGACAGGCAGGCTAGCAAAGATCTAATCCGGGGCTTGGAAAGCTAGCAGAAACCATTGAGGAATTCCTAACCTCATCATATCCATCAAGGTAGGTGGGGCTGAGACGGGTGAACACGTCGAAGTTGTTGAGCAGGACCAGATCACCGAACGAGACCTTGTCGCCAACCTAAGGAAACGATTTGTATGTCGAGAGAGAGAGAGAGAGAGAGAGAGAGAGAGAGAGAGAAAGAGAGTGAGAGACAGAGAGAGAGAGAGAGAGAGAGAGAGAGAGAGAGAGAGAGCGTTATAGCGAGACTCACCAAAAATCCAGTGCCATTAGCCTTCAGCTGACGCTCCAAGTCGCCCAGGAAGCCCTTCTTGTGCTCGTCGAGAAGGGTCTTGCGGAGCTCCTCCTAAAGTACAAATATAATACAGTAATCTTATTTGTTAAATCAATTAACAAGTCGCAATCTATATTAGTCGGTCCGATAAATGTTTGCCTACCACATCGCCCTCCTTGTAGCCGACGCGCACGATGTACCACTCAGCGATTTGTTGGAAGAAGTCCTAAATATCTATGGTTTTCAAAGTATGGAAAATCGTACCGCAAGCCGGTCAACGAACATATCGATTTGGGCGAGTTCGAGGAAGTCCTTTCCGGCAAACCCTCAAAATTGGAGTCTACCTGTCTCTGCTCACTCACTCACTCTCTCTCTCGCTCTCCCTCTCTCCCTCTCTCCCTCTCCCTCTCTCCCTCCCCCCCCTCTCTCTCTCTCTCTCTCTCTCTCTCTCTCTCTCTCTCTCTCTCTCTCTCTCTCTCTCTCTCTCTCTCTCTAACTCACCAAAAGTATTTCCCACAAAGCGAGAGATCGCTCCGGATTGAGCAATTTTCTTGCCGTCCACCTCCAAGACGGGGCCCTGGCCGAAAAGGAAGGTAGAGGGCGTCTCCGCTAGAAAAGTATTTTTTAGGCACAATTGTTGAAAGGGACAGGGACAACAGAGCTTATCGACTGCCCGCAACAATCCAACCGATTACGCCATGAAATGGTGAGAGATACCTTTCTTGATAGCCGGCCAATCCTCAAAAGAATATCGACGATCCTCAAACTCTTGCCCAGCCATGTGGAACATCATCCTGGCCGGCTCGGCGCGGCCGTAGAGATCGAAGTAGTGCAGCTTGTAGTGGACCATTTTCTGAACGAAAACAGCTTTAGTCGAGAAAGAGAGAGAGAGAGAGAGAGAGAGAGAGAGAGAGCGAGAGAGAAAGAGCGAGAGAGAAAGAGCGAGAGAGGGAGCCAGTGTGAGACAAAGCGAGGCAAGAGTTAAAAGCTCTCTAAAGTGAAAGTTCTCTCGCTCTTTAAAGTTCCAAGCTCTCTGACTTAAGCTATTTTCGATAAGCCTAACAAATGAAAGGTGGGGATTGATAAAAAATTGGCGCAGAACACGGATTTCTGAATGAAACAACCGAATTAACCAGAATTTTTAGATTTATGGAAATTCGAGACTTCGATGAATTTATAGTGTCCCACTGGTGATGAAATATAAGAGTTTACCCAGGGTGATCCACCTAATGATGAAAAATGTGACGTAAAGTGAGCTTAAGGCCGGGTCTGAGGGAGAATTGAACGTTTTGAAGATGAGTTTTGGACGAGAATGCGGGCTATATATTGGCACGCGTTATCAGGGACAAAAAGCGGTCGCCGAGCAAGCGTTATCAGCTCCCGGAAAACAGGAGCACGTTGCGGGGAATCTACGAGGGTACGAACCAAGCCAAGTACCGAAAAATCCCGAAATATTAAGAAGGTAGTAAGTAATTTTTGCCTTCAACGGCCCTTTAAAATGTGACAAACTACAAATTAAACATATCGAGCCATTTCGTGCCGGTTTAAGTGACGAACCTGACTGTAAAAACCCAGCGAAACGTATTTCACAATTATTGGAGGGTTGTCTTCTGTAAAAATGGATCTTTGGGCCCTTTTACAAACTAAACTGTATAGTAGTGCTCAAGGTTTTTTTTGCCATAAAAATATATCAAATTCCCCTTTCCCGCTCCTTTAAATACCAAAACCTGCCCGAACCTAAATCCGACCAAATTGGCCAAAACCGGGTATTCGAAACTGGACGGTCGCTTTTACAGGTCAACGAGGTCTGCGGAGGGGGACTATTTGAAGTGGTGATAGAGTGACTAGGGGCGGAGGGAGCAGAGAAACAGAGCAACAAAAAACAGCGGTGATCTGTGCCCCGGGTTCGTAGTTTCGTGCCCGAGCCGGCCAGCAGGGAAGGGCAAGCATTTTCAAGGAGTATTTTTAAGCAAAAAAAGCAATTGGAAACCTGAGACAGCAAATGTGAAGGACTAGACTATAGTGTTGGCTTGGTAAGCTTAGGCTGTAAATTCTAGAATTTTATTTTTTTTTTGGTTTTGTGAGCTTTAAAAATTGCAAGAATTTAAACTGGTTATATCGTTATAAAGTCCTAACAGGAATAGCTTTAAATAAATAATTTTAGAAGTTTAATTTCTTTTCGATACCGTTGGAACCCGCCAAGTCTAGAAATTTGGATATTCTGTTAAGACGCTAAATCGTCAATAGATACTTCCCGCAAATAGCATACTTGGTTGTCTTTAATTGCTCTACAGTTATGAATTAAATGCGTAAAGCAAAAATAAAATTTGGCCAAAAAAATTTGTGCCGTTTTTCCGTCCGCGACTCGTAGCCTCGTGCCCCTGTGGAATGGAATGGGGGGAGGAAAAAACCGACTGTGCGGACTACGGCTGGGAAAGAGAAAAATGTTTACCTTTTACAATCTGCTCTCTCCCCGACTCTCTCTTGCCCTCTCTCTCTCTCCCTCTCTCTCGCTCTTTCCTGGAAAAATGTCGACCAAATGCAACCAGACAAAATATAATTGATCTGATCGTCGATATGGGTGACAGACGTAGCGCTGACTCACTTTACATCAAAAATAGATTGAGGGGATTGAATAGCTTTGATCTAAAAGCTGGAAAATTCTTTTAAGGGGGCTAGCAGATGCTAGAATCGACCATAACTTTTGATTAGGTCTCGACAGCTACGCAACACTCCAAAATACGCACGCTCCGTCTATGAATTTTGGCTGTGCTATGATAATTTTCTCAGTGTAATTTAATTTAAAACGTAACTGTTGACACCCCGCCGATTCAACGGGGCGATTCCGATCCTTCCTAATCCCTTAAAAGATACCAAAATTGTTTTTCCATTTATGAGTTCCTTCAAAATCCTCGATATCATTCCCGAGATTGACCGTGGTCTTTTTCATTTCCTTGCAAAGCCAATTTTCCCTGATGTGTCACTGGAGAATAGACAGGGGGGCGCTTGCCGCAATTTGCTGTCGTCCGGATAAACCGGGTGGGTGTACCTTAAAAGGGAGAAAATAGCCCGAGATTGACGCATTAACATTAACAGCTGGGATTTTATATATTTTTTTTTGTTGGCTCTGATGGATCGAGATGAATTGGTGTAAGTCGATTTGTTAAAGATGGGAAGTAGTGTTGGTTTTCGGTCGAAAAGTCCGCGGACTGGACATGGGAAGCACTAAACACACTAAAAAACGCGGAAAATCAAATTACCTCACTTTAACCTTACCGAATTTTCTGAGTTTTACTTATCAATTTTGTATGGCTAGACTATTGCTGTCCGAAGCCATTTAAATACATTGTTAGAAAGTATTAGGTTGGAACTAAAGTTCGCACAATATTTTTCTTTCTTTGTAATTTTCGGACCGGAAAACGGGCAAGAACCAAAATGTTTTTTGGATGAACGGATATGCAATAAAATTCTCTATTCGATGTGTGGGACGGAATCGCGTTGCTTCCCTATTAGAATTTTTTAAAGCTAGATTTAAGCGAAAATGAAAAATCGCTTCGGGCCGCCTTTACAAAACAAATTTGGCTTCCTTTTTAGGCTAATTCGGCATGCAGCCAGTAGATACAACTTATTATTATAGTGATGATCAGTTCCTATGGTAACTTTATGGCGGTTCGGAAAGATGTCCGGGTCAAAAATTTGAAGTCCTCTCGAGAGAAACGCAAAAATCTTCAAAACTACTGGGGCTAAAAATCTGTAATTTTGATCCCACATACTCATGAACCCAATAAATATATACAAAGCGGGAATATCGGAATCTGGCCACTGAATTTTCAGAAAGAACTTTCCAAAGTTCGATTGCGCGAACTTATGTTCCAACCTAATACTTGCACCCGTTTTTAGACCTGCAAATCGTCAAACCGACTGGCCTTCCATCTACCTAACATGTCTGTTGATCGGGTTTGCCGGGTTGAACATGACCATCTATGCGACTAGTCTATGGCCATATACGACTTGGGTGAGCAGCTTTTTGTGGTAGTAGATGGTGCAATTTCATGAAGATTAGATAATCGATTCAACTTACATTAGCATCTTTTTAAGGTAACAAAGCAAGCCGATGTCGCTTGGCTGGGCTATGCGCTGGCCGGGACAAGCTTAGGCTCCATTTTGGTGAGTGTTTCGGTTTTGTCAAAAGCATTTCGATCGGGCCTTGGTAACTTGCCAAGGATACCTCAGATTTATAAGCTTCTAACCCATAGAATTATTGTATAGGCCGACCCACTCTTCGGCTGGTGGCAACAGAAGACGAACTCAAAACCTCCGCTACTCTTTGGGTTTGCCGTAACGTTAATAGGTATGTAAAATACGTTTTTTTACGTTGATCGCTATGTAAAAACAAACTCGTTTTCCTAGGAAACATCCTCTATGCTCTGTTGCCAATATTCCCGGAAGCGGCCATCCTCTACGTGTTGGTCATCTCCAGGATATTTCTAGGGTTCTCTTCATGTAAGGATTTTGGCTCTCTCTTTCTCTTCTACTCTCTCTCTCTCTCTCATCTCTCTCTCTCCATTCTCTCTCTCTCTTTCCAGCAGCCATCGGTCTTCTGCGTACCTTCGTGTCAATGAATACCCTCGAAAAAGATCGTCTTCTTGGAACGGCTGCTCTATCTATTGGCCTTACTCTGGGATTATCGCTAGGCCCAGTTGTACAGGTATGGCAAGTTAGCAAAGATCCTTGGAGATTCCAGATGGCCGCAATCCCACTCGGTGAAGAAGGCTTCACCCTATTTGGCATCCTCATGGACCAATATACCGTACCCGCGATTCTGATGTCAATTTTGTGCATCGTCAACCTCATCATAATCCAATTCTATCTGCACGAGAATTTTGCCGGGTTTGCCGGGGAAATAGGTGACGATGGAGAAGCGAAAGGTATAACAAAATTAAAGGAAAGTTATGAACATCCTAACTTTTTAGAAGATCCATCCCTGCCTCCTTACGATAAAGTCGCGCTGGGAGTGCTGTTTTATATCTGGTGCCTGATGATGACGGCTTCTGCTTCGGAATATACGTAAGAGAGAGTGAGAGAAAGATAGAGAGAGAAAGATAGAGAGAGAGAGAGCGGGAGTGAGAGAGAGGGTTTGCGAGAGAGAGCGAGAGCGAGAGCGAGAGATAGTGAGAGAGAGACAGTGAGAGAGAGAGAGGGAGAGGGAGAGAGAGAGCGACAAAGAACTCTATTTCCAGGATCGCAGCCCCCCTAACGATGGCAATGTATGGGTGGAATAGTCATGAAGTCATCACGAAACATGGTATCCTCCAAAGCGTACAATGCGTACTCTCCGCCATCGCTGCTATTTTGTTGATGAAGACGAGGATTAGGAATATGTAAGTTTGCCGGCATCCGCAACCTCTACGTAAATCAGTGAATTTCGACGACAACAGTCAGACACACCATTTTTAGTGACAACCGTATCCAGCTCTCGTTCGCTCTGTGTCTCTTCCTCTTCGCCAGTCTCTTCCTATTCCCATGGCCATTTTTCGAGCCGGCCCAGGATTTTCCGGTCCCACCGGGGCAAAATCGTGGGTTTTAATCAGCTTAGCGTTGATTTTTCGGTCTCCTTTAATTTCTAATTTTTTTAGCGCATCAGTGTGACGCTGCTTGTTTGAAACGGAGGTCAGTAATATAAAGCTAAGCTTAAATTTAAAGAGGAATTTAAAGTTCGTTTGAATACTTTAGAGTCCCAATGTGGTTGTACTTCTTCTCCCTCGCTTTCTGCTATGGACCCGCAGCATCGATAGGGGTCACGGTGACGAACAGTCTGGCGACGCTGGTGGTTGGGCCAAGAAAACAGGTAGGTTTTATTTGTTGCGCCCATTAAATAAAAACATTTTAATTCTGATGTAATTTAAGCGCATCTTATTAAATAAGCTAGATTTGCTTAGATCGTATAAACTAAAAAATTCACTTTTTAAAACAAATCACTTTTTCAGGCCCTGATCCAAGGCTGGATGACGGCCGCCGGAAGCTTGTCCTCCTTTTTATGGCCGCTCGGAGCTACGTAAGTTTATACTTTTATCGAGTTTTTGCCTTGCCGATTCATTTTTCTACATTTAAATAGCCTTGTCATGCTCAAAATTGTAATGAAATGTCTTAATCGATCCATTTTTCAGCGAAGCTTTCAAGATGGACGGGATGCGGACGATTTCCCTTGCCAATACATCGTTTTATCTGATTGGTCTAGTTTTAATTGTTTTCTATCGGAAACGTCTATTGCCACTTGTCATTCCGGGGAGGTCTATGGATTTTGCTGCGTGATTAATTACGGGTTAAATTCTATATACTTTTGTGATTATTTCGAAGATCTCGATTTTATTGGCAAGTGTGTATTTATTACGTAAAGAATATTTACGGTTTTCCGTGGGAAAGAGCGAGAGAGAGTGCGAGAGAAAGACAGAGAGAGCGAGAGAGAGAGTGAGAGCGAGTTCCCGTAAGCTCATGTATCCAAATCTCACCAATTTAGGTCCCAACAAGAAGTTCCATAAGGTACCTAAGTCCCGAAAACACTTGAATATTAGCCGATCTCTTCCATTTTCGCACAAAACAACACTTGATAGGGCGACCGACAAAGAGAGAGAGAGAGAGAGAGAGAGAGAGAGAGAGAGAGAGAGAGATAGAAAGAGAGCAAGAGAAGAGTGAGATATACGTGGAATATTCAAATTCATCACTTTTTTCTGAGCAGCTGGGCGGGCGGTGCGAAAAGGGCGTCAGATAGGGTGCACGAACACCGAGATGACCAGAACAGTAAAGGTAAAGTGTCAACGTTCGAGGACATACTATAATTATTGTTTTTGAAAATCGCTAAGAATTTCTTGAAAGCACATTGTCCGTTTGAAAATGCATCTCCTCCACTTTCATCATCATCGCTGTCACGTCGGGTGGGTGTAAATTCAAATTTTTAATGGTTTTTCCTGTCCGTTGTTTCGTGGGTTAAAGGGACCGGCTAAAGGGATGATTATGGATTTTTCCAGGACATTCCTAAACTTCTCACCGCGTAACAACAAGCAACGCGCCTGAAGAATACCATAAAAATGCGCGCCATAATCGATTATGTAATGGTAATGCAATCGACGCGTTGCGTCTCGCGGGTGCGGAGAATCCATAGTGAATCCATCAGACAATACTGCTAAATCCATAAATCCAGCCCACTCAGTCCCTTTAAAGCCACTATTTTAAATTAAATACATAAATAACAAGTTTACAAGTTTATATTAATAATTTAATACGAGTTTTCGATGCTAATTCTTCTGGTAATTTATTACGCCGTGGAAGGCGGCCTGCGCGTTGCGTGCCGCGGTCACCGCAAAACCGTAAAATTCATAGCATGTCAGATCGATAAATCCAGCCGTCCCAGTCCCTTTAAAAACTTTATTATTAGCCTTAATATTTCAGTCAGAATTTTATATATTTTGGACCTTATGCACATTTAAATAAGTTACTTTGATCATCTAGTAAGTATCAAAATATAGCATTAGGTTTTGAGATCTATCATATTTTTCGGGTAATCCCCGGTTTGAGTCACGGTGCTTTTCATGCCACCCCCGATGCCGAATCAGCCCTTCTGTGGTCTCGATGTGAGCGTGTGACCGTTCCATTCAAATACTATAGACAACGAAAACACCTTTTCACGCACCGCCAATTCATGGCAGCTGGCCCCCAACGACCAGCTAGTCGCATAAATTACCTAACCTGAATAGCGCCCACACGTGTATTCGCGTTGGTATCGTTACAAAATTAAATTTATTGAAAAATCTGAAAAAGTGAAGTCATCTCTGTTCTTACATTCGGTGACCAAAAACAATCCGCCTTTCGATCAGCAGTACCCACCAAAAAAAGTTGTCCTTTCGAAGGGCACGGACAAATATTGGTCGCGTTATGCGAACACCCGACCAGCTTGTTTTTGAGGCCCAACCGGGCGGTGTTCGTTTTGGAAAGTTATTGAGAGAAGCACAAGAAGAACATTTTTGATCCTAACTAGAGCCAATTTTTTTAAATCGATAATGTCCTTGAGCTGTCGCCTTTATCTCAAAATTAGCAAAATTTCAAAAAACTATCAAATTAAGCTAAAATTATTCTGCGGGCTTTATTTTTTTAATTCCATAAACCGCAAAATTGTAACAAAGCTCGTATTTTCAGCAAACTAGCATTTTTACAAACTTAAACCTAAGATTTAGAAGTCTTTTTAAATAGAAAACGCAAAATAAAATTCCGATCTGAAGAACGCAAAACTTCGACTTTTTGATTTGGCTGTCTGACTTTATGGCTGTCAAAATTATACAAAGCGTAGTTTTTTTATTTAGTAAATTAAACCTTGATTTAAATTGAATCGGATTTTTTGTAATTTGAACTTAAATCGTATCCAAAATATCGAAAAAGTTGAGATTTTTGCAATCCTTTAATTTTTTGGCATCATTTCAGTCAGCATGTCTCGATGTTTGCCAAAATAATAAAGTGTCACTTTCAAGAATTCACCAAAACATCGATCAAAACAGTTTTCTTGTGTACCCAATTTGAATAGGGGACCGTCTCCACGTGGTCCAATCAAGGTAACATTTTGGACTCCCCCCGAAATCCAGAACACGTCTAAAAATAGCAATCCAATTTGCCTTGTCGTGATGTATGTGTGTGTACATGTTTGTCCTCATGACAGTATCCACCCCCCCCCCCCCGATATGCAAATAGATCCAGGCCCCCCTGCGCTTTTTGTGCCTTTTTATGGTGGAACGCCCTGTTTTGACCCCCGGGAAAACACCGATCACCATGTGAGAATGGAACGTCAGTATTCCCCCGCGGAAAAGCGTAATAAGTTGTCTGGTGGAACACCGGGGGTGAAATAAAAAAAGTGGAATCGAACAGGTTCGGGTTTATTGCTTTGGAATTTATACCAGTAATCCGGTCGTCGATATTCGAATTGGCTTCTCGTCCTTGGCCTGAAAAATTTATTCCAAACTAAAATGAGACCCCTGGCAAAGTTGCAATTTTTCTACAAAAGATGGCGGTCGGATGATGATGGGTCGAGGTTTGTTTTTTTGAAAGAAATGTCTTGGATGTTCTGAACCGCCAAAAACTTAGTTAACTACGGTAGTCTTATTCTTATTTGACGCTGATTGGGGATATACGGTTTGTACGATACGCTACGATACGTTGCGTTAGGTTACCTTGTGCTATGTTACGGTACGATTTGCCACGTTGCGTTACGCTGCCATATGATACGTTACATGCCGCCACACAGGCTACGATACGATACTTTGCGTGCCGCTACGTTTCACTACGATACAGTACGTCGCCTTACAGCCTTCATCGCATCTTGTTCCGAATTCCATCCAGGATTCACAATTTTTCGACCCGGGAGCCAATTATCTCACGAGCCACCTTGCTGCGTTTTTATTCTGTGTTAGATTACTTCCCATTACCGTGCGTTACTTTACGCTACGATACGCTACCTTCCTCACGTTCTTCTGAAAAGCCTGTCTGGCCTGACATTCATTGCTTTCGGAGAAGTCGTGCAGTATCTTGGCGCATTAAAAAGCCGCTCTCGTGAGCAAATGCAGCAGCTTTTCAGCACCAACAAAAATTTATAGAAGCAGTCATTTTTAAGGGGCTACGGACCTTGAAGATCTGCCACATCGCATTCCAGGCGACACTTGAAAAACGACGCTAAGGATTTTTTCATATTTTTGCTCCGCCAATTCCATGCTGTGCGATTGGAGTTCCTTTAGCTTCTAGCCTATCTATCAACAACAAATGCGTTTTTGGCAAATGCCACCGCCATGCCAAAAATCAGCGCGAAATTTAGCCTACCGGCCGAGAAATCCTCATTACAGAAAACAAACATACTTTTCTTGCTGATAGGATAGGATATCTATTATTAGGCAAGGACTGATTGCCTCCTTTTTAGCAACTTGAAGCTGTTTGGAGGCTGCCAACCTTTTTCGGCTGTAGAATTGTATGCAAATTTTATGAAAACCGTATGTAGTTGTAAAGCTGGTTGAGCTACAACTCTGAGCGGTATAGATCAGCGCAAGAAAAAAGCGATGCGTCAAAAGGCGTGCCCCGGAATATCTTATCAAGAATTTGGACAAAGATCAAGCCATGACGCGCTTATTAACCACACCCTGCTTCGACTCCTTTATACAGTTTGAGTCACCATGTCGAAAGTTGTTATGCAGGTCAAGCGAGAGACAGAGAGAGAGCGAGAGAGGGAGAGAGAGAGAGAGAGACAGCAAGTTGCTTCTTCTGTTGGCCCCTTATCAAAAAAGTGGGGGCGTCGGGCGGTGTTCAACTGGGTATATTTGGGCGATTTTGTGTCCCTTCTTGACCTGTTAGTATACCTCGCCGTCTCCTCCTCTTTTCAGGCCCTAACTCCGGTTCAAATTTGTAAAGTAAACACCTAGGGCGGAGGAACAATAATAAATATCACGAAATATCGTAGTCACCTCTGCCCCTTCGACTCCTTGAGACCATTATTACTGGAATATTTCTTCTGATCATTGGACCTCTAAGAAAATATTCTGAATTTTTATTTGGTGCTATTTTGACTACGGTACTTCATTTTTTATTTCTACTGTATTTTCGTTATTCCTAATTAGATAAATATGGGCGTTAAGCCGACCACGGAATCACAGTGAGTTTTTTGTGTTTATCGCAATTTTTATCAGCTTTTAAATTTATTACAGTCCTTATCTTTTGTTTACGGTACTAAAAATTTTGGCATACCAGGTTTCTAAGATTATTTAATTTAATGGAGATTTGTTATGCACTTGAGATTGTAAGGCAGAAATGCTACTTTTAATATATAAGGAGGGTTCAAAGTGAAATGTTATTTTTTAATGTTCAAGATCGATAAACAATTTAAAAATTTTCGAATTCGCATATTTTTGAAGTATTGAAATGACTTCAAGATATTTTTAATAGATTGTAATAGTTTATGCATTTTTAATGTATTATTTAGCCAGAACTCAATTAATTTTTTACGAATACCTGTTTTTTATTTATTTTGAAGTTTTAACGCCCTTTCATCCTTTTTAATGAGATATTTGAAAAATCCCTCTATTTTAACAGAATTCCTCAATGATCGCTGCTAGCTGGCCCAGCTGTCCAGGTTTCGAGTACAGCTGAACAAAAATAACCCCGTCCCGTACCTCTCGCCACCTGGCTGGCTTTTGAACGCTTCGCTTATGCAAATTCCACTCGTGCGGATTTGACCTGTACTTTCGGCGTGCCTGCAATCGTTTTGTGCTCAATTGGCCTTTCTGCAACCGCAATATCAGAAAAATGTGCCCAAAACGCCCTAAAAAAATTGAAAAACCGAAACGGGCATAATCGGAAATGGGGAGAGAATTGCAACAAGCACCGGGTGGTCATTGTTCCACCTCCCCTGCAATGTCGCACTGGTCGGATGATAGTAGGTACGGTAGGACCGGGTAACCTTTAGCTTTGTGGAAGCCTTTCAATTTCAACGGCTTGATTGTGCATGTTAGTTTTCGAAATTCGCGCAACATTTTTAAGAAAAGTCATTTTATTTCAAAGCACTTCTTTCAAAAACTTCAAATGTTCAGGATCTCCAGATCAAGCTAAAGCAGAAATCGAGCACTGAATTCCCCCCTCAATAGAATTTTTTTACGATAGCTTTCATTCCCATATAGTGTCGTACGCGAGAGTACGCCAGTGTACGATACCGTACGACAAAGTAGGCAATACTGGCTTTTTTACAAATATGATACGGCTTAGTACGATTACGGTACGGGAGAGTACGTTCGCTCCGGCGCGGTACACTCCAGTACGCCAGAGTACGCGACGGTACGGTACGTACGCGGCTTTTTGTTGCAGTAGAAAACAGTACGTCTCGTTGCCAGCGAGTACGTTTCAGTACGCTACAGCACGGAAGAGTACGTCAGTGTACCTAACCGTAAAATACTGCACGGTACCTCAGTAGCATACGGTATTTTACGACCCGATACGTTCAAATGGATTATAGCACGTAACAATACGCTAAAGTACTGTGCTTTCCGTTAATACGCTTCACGGCACGCACCTATGCGGCACGCTACGTTGCGCTATACATACTACAGTAGATCGCCGTGGAATCCCGGGTCCTCAACCAACCCCCAACACCCCATCTGAATACCCCATTGTCCAAGCACAATATTTCGGGTACAATTCCCACCACCCGAATGTCAACTGACGTTTACCGTCAAGACACACCGAATTCAGACAATTGCCAGACGGTCTCACGCGCCTAATTTATGCCGGTTTCTGATAAAAATAGGTGAATCTGGAGGAGAAGAGAATTCGGATCGTACCCCATCTGTTACTGCAGAAATTCCTCAAAATGGTGTTCTTTCGCATGAAGATTGAGTGGGTTACGGTAGTAGGGGGCTTATACGTATTGTAATAAGTGAAATTTAACAGCTATTTTTGTTGAAATTAAAAATATTTAAGTTAATTTTACAGGTTTTTTTCGTGAAATTATAAGCAATTTGGTAAAATTTCAGCTTTTTTTCGTTAGTTTAAGAAAACTGAGGTGGTTTTCAAAGGAAATTTTTAAAAACCATCATTAAAACCGATTTCAGAGAATCCCTGAACTCCAAGCCACACACATCATGGGTATCCATCTACCTCTCGTGTATCATCATCGGCTTCGGAGGGCTGAACATGACGATATTTGCGACAAGTTTATGGCCCTACACTACTTGGGTAGGTGTACCTATTTTTAGAGCCCCCTAAATTTATCCAAATCATCGCAAAAAATAATCTTTCTTCATTTTAGGTGACAAAGCAAGCCGATGTCGCATGGCTTGGCTACGCTTTGGCCGGGACGAGTTTGGGATCAATTTTGGTAAGTTAGAAGCGAAGGAAATATTTTTAAGAGGGGCTTTCAGTATATTATTTTTAATGATGCCGTAATAGATTCGTAAAACACCGTCCTACAATTTTTTCCGAATTGAAGCTATCTAAAACATAATTCCAGGCCGACCCCCTCTTCGGCTGGTGGCAACAGAAAACTAACTCGAAACCACCTTTGCTTTTTGGGTTTGCTATAACGTTAATAGGTAAGTAAAGTAGCGTACCGTCGCTTAACCCAGCGGAAGGTCGCGTCAGGCGTAGCTTAACGTCGCTTCAGAGACCTTAACGTATCGTACCGTGCCGCAGCGTAACCTAATCTCACGTCCCTAGCGTCACGTAATGCAATGTAGCATCACGTAAGGGCCTAGTGTGATCTGGCATGACGTGGCGCAACCTACGTTATCATGTCGTAACGCGTTGCGTGTCGCAGCAAGACCTGCCGTTACGTAAAACGGAGGCGGACGTAGCTTATCGTAACTTAGCGTATCTGAAATTCTTACTTCACATGCTACATCCTCGTTAAATCTGATTTTTGCAGGAAATCTAATGTACGCTCTACTACCAATCTTCCCTGAAGCAGCCATCCTCTACGTGTTGGTCATCTCCAGGATATGTCTCGGGTTTTCTTCATGTGAGTAGTACCTAACGTAGTCTCTCTCTCTCTATCTTTCACTCACTCTCTCCCCCCCTCTCTCTCTCTCCCTCTCTCTCCATTATCTCGTATCTTTTTCAGCCGCCATCGGTCTCCTTCGTACCTTCGTGTCAATGAATACCCTCGAAAAAGATCGTCTTCTCGGAACGGCTGCTCTATCTATTGGCCTTACTCTTGGATTATCGCTAGGCCCAGTTGTACAGGTAAATTCCCCAATACTCCCTGCTTGTTTGCCCTCCCTCCCAAAAACCTCTACTAACCTCCCCTTTCCTTAGATGGCCTGCATCCCAATTGGTGAAAAGGGAATCACAATCCTCGGCATCATCATCAATCAATATACCGTACCCGGGATTCTAATGTCTATTTTGTGCCTTATCAACCTCTTCATCGTCTACTTCTTTTTGAAGGAAAACTTTGTCGGGTTTGCGGCGGAAATTGATGAGCAGGGCGAGAAGAAAGGTAGGAAAAACGGAGATATTTAGATGCTATATATTATTCGAAAGTTTTGACAGCTAAAGATTACTTAATTTCAGAAGCAGCTAAACTTCCACCGTACGATAAAGTCGCGCTGGGAGTGCTGTTTTATATTTGGTGCCTGATGATGACGGCTTCTGCTTCGGAATATACGTAAGAGAGAGAGAGAGAGAGAAAGAGAGAGAGAGAGAGTGCGAGACAGCGAGAGAGCGTGAAAGGGGCAGTGCGGGAAAGCGAGTGATCGAGTGTGAGAGAGTGGGACAGAAAGAGAAAGATAGAGAAAATCTCGAAAACAGTCGAAAATCGACCGGAAAGGGTTGGAAATTCGGAGTGTCACCGGAGATTACCGGATACGCTGGAAAAAGCCGTAAACGGCCGCAACGCGCTTCAATATTTTTTAAACGTTTAAAATTTTCAGGATCGCAGCCCCTCTAACGATGGCAATGTATGGATGGAATAGTCATGAAGTCATCACAAAACATGGTATCCTCCAAAGTGTTCAGTGTGTATTCTCCGCCATCGCCTCAATATTGCTGATCAAGACACGGATTAAGAAGATGTAAGTTTTTAAGGGTCACTTAGCCGCTTGGATTTTCAAAATTGTTTGCTAAATGTAGATGCTACATGCTAAAAATACTTCGAAATAGTCGCAATTTTCAGTGACAACCGTATCCAGCTCTCGTTCGCGCTATGTCTCTTCATCTTCGCCAGTCTCTCCCTATTCCCGTGGCCATTTTTCGAGAAAGCTGTTGACTACCCATTACAAGACGGACAAAGCCGTAAGTTATACCTTAATAACCTTAAAAGTGCTATTTTTAGCACCACAATGCGATGCCGACTGCCTGAAGAGAAAGTACGTTGCAATACCTTTTCGTTAGTGCCTGGCGATACCAGTTATTTTTAGTATTTGGTAGCTAAATCATTGATTTTGAAATTCGTCAAATCTTAATCTTGTAATTTTTCGGAATTGAGAATTTTTATTCTTATTCGACTGTTTTCAGAGCTCCAATGTGGCTGTACTTCTTCTCACTCGCTTTCTGCTATGGTCCCGCTGCGGCTATCGGAGTAGCTGTAACAAATACCCTCGCCACGCTGGTGATTGGGCCAAGGAAACAGGTAGAACTGATCAAAACGTTTCTTCTATCTCTCTCTTTCTTACTCTCTCACCTTTGTCAGAAGCTCTCTTTATTTGGTGGTTCCAAAGGCCTGCTGCAGCCAAGAATCCGTGAAATTTCTATTTTTTTTTCAGGCCCTTATCCAAGGCTGGATGACCGCGGCCGGAAGTTTGTCGTCATTTCTGTGGCCGCTCGGAGCAACGTAAGTTTTAAAGGAGTTGAGAAGTGATACCTGAGCGTGGGCTAGCTATCGGCCGCTACGTTATTGCCCAAATTTCAAATTGCCGAAAGCCGGGGAAAGTCCGGAAATATCACAATTCGAAAGGAGCTGGGGATTGTCAAAATCGACCCCTGTCTTTAACTAGGTGTCGACAGCTATGCGAGACACCAAAATACGCTCTTTCTCATAGCCGAGCGGAGAGCTTGACGAGCGGTTTTGACGAAAATTTAATAATTTTGCCTGCACATTTTAAATGACGCATTTTTGTCGATAGCCAGCCAATGAGTTGGCGTCAATTTTCACGCTTCTCGGACCCTTTAAAGGGCCTGGGAAGACGAGTAGATTTTTCCAAGTTTTTGGACGCATTTTCCATATACCTTTTTCAGAGAAGCGTTCAAAATGGATGGGATGATGACGATATCACTAGCAAATACCGCATTCTACCTTCTCGGTCTGCTATTGATCATCATTTTCCGGAAACGTCTCGTCCCGTTGATAACCAACTGAATTCCGAGATTTCGCATTTTTGTGCTTTTTTGGATTTTTGAAACCATGCCATATCACATTCCCTGTAAATACGGTGTACGTCTACGGAAATAAAAATATATGAACAAAATTCACTATGTGGAAATTACAAAAACACAGAACTAGAATAAAAAAATATAAAGCAATTAATTTTATTTGTAATTTTTGAAAATACAAAATTTGAAAAAAGATAACGCAAAAATTAAACAAAAACTGAAAAAACCTTTACAAAACGTTATTAAATATACTATAAACTCTCCAATATTTCTTGAAAACCCGTGTCCGATCACGTATTCAATTTATGCACGAGTCACTCAATAGATGTTCTCACCCCGGGTGTTGGTCGTCTGGTGGATACCGGTATTCTACGAAATATTTTACGATACTGACCGCAATACACCTTCTATCTGCGCCAATCTGAGAAATACGGTATTCTGGGTGTAATTTAAGCTAGTTTAAATGGGAATATTTCGGTTAAGGGTCGAGTAAGTTATCAAAAACACTTAAATAAGCTAAAGCATGAAAATTTAGGCGTCTTCCGAAGAATCTAGGCGATCTGAAAGGATTGAGCATCTTCCAGAGCCAGTAAGATTTATGAAAAGTTTTAAAGGGACTGAGGCTTTACCTCCCGGTTGCTCCGAACGCCATTAAAGGGACGGACAAGGCGATTCTATGGATTTGTTGACTATGATATTTTGGACCAAAAAATTCCTTGATTTTTTTATTCTCGTTCGTTTATTCACGTAACGCCTCTCGTTTTGACCGCTTCGAAAGTGCGGTAATTTATTACTCGCGTTTCGTGGCGTTGCCTGTCGCTTAAACCGCAAAATCTATATAAAAGCCACGGCTCGTAAAATCCATAGTGACGCCTTGTCGGCGCCTTTAAAGACCCCAGTAAGTCGGTAAGTCAGGTATTAAAGGTACCGGAAAGCGCGAAATCAACCCCTCCTTACTACTGGGTCTCGACAACTACGCAACACACTAAAGTGCGCGAGCTACTTTATCATTTCGATAGCCGTTATCCCGTCTGGTCGGAGAGTCACTAACTAGCAAGCCACTAACACGACGTCACTTGGCACGTCGCGTATATTTCGAGACCCAGTCATTGGAATAGGTTGATTTCGACGTGTCCTAGTCCCTTTAGGAACGTAGAAAATCGTGAAACTGGCGTTTCCAGAGAGTCCCTGAGCACGAAGCCGCACACAGCATGGTCATCGATTTATCTGTCGTGCATGGTGGCCAGTTTTGCTGGGCTGAATATGACGATTTATGCGACCAGTCTATGGCCTTATACCTTATGGGTAAGAGAGAGATAGCGAGAGAGAGAGAGAGAGACGGAGAGAGAGAAAGAGAGAAAGAGCGAGCAAGAGAGAGCGTGTGTGAGAGACAGAGAGAGAACGAGAGAGAGAGAGAGGGAGAGCTCGCTCCCTGCTGTCACGATCCCTTTAAGCTTCAGGTGACCAAAAACGCTGATGTGACCTGGCTTGGTTATGCGCTGGCTGGGACGAGCTTGAGCTCAATTATGGTAATTCTATACCTTAAAAATGTTCTTGAGCGTTAGCGGGGTTGTGCAAATCCCTCGGTTTGAAAACTATACTAATTGAACCTAGGCAGACCCACTCTTCGGTTGGTGGCAACAGCGGACTAGCTCGATACCACCGATGCTTTGCGGGTTTACACTTACATTATTTGGTAAATTTTAAGCTTTTATAATTTTTCCTGTCAGATAAAGCTCTGTCTTGGCATTATAATAAGCATTTTCATTAAAAATACCTTCTAGGAAATCTATTCTATGCCCTGCTGCCACAATTCCCAGAAACTGCCGTCCTGGGCGTGTTGATCATCTCCAGATTGTGCCTCGGATTTACATCGTGTAAGCGATTACTAGGCTTTCTCTCCCTTTCTCTCCCTCTCTCTCTCTCTCTCTCTCTCTCTCTCTCTCTCTTATCTCCCTTTTCCAGCCGCCATCGGTCTCCTTCGTACCTTCGTGTCAATGAATACTCTCGAAAAAGATCGTCTTCTCGGAACGGCTGCTCTATCTATTGGCCTTACTCTTGGATTATCGCTAGGGCCAGTTGTACAGGTAATTTCCTAAAGAATCGTTGCTAGCTAGCCTAGTTTCCAAAAGCTAGTTTGCCCCTTTTCCTCAATAATCTCTGCTAACCTCCCCTTTCTCCAGATGGCCTGCATCCCAATCGGTGAAAAGGGAATCACAATCCTCGGCATCATCATCAATCAATATACCGTACCCGGGATTCTAATGTCTATTTTGTGCCTCATCAACCTCTTCATCGTCAAGTTCAAGCTCACCGAGAATTTTGCCGGTTTTCTGGCTGAACTTGATGGCGGGACCAATGGAGATAAGAAAGGTACATTGCGACCGTTTTTCCTCGGGAATCTCAGCTAGCTTGCCTCGGAAAAGGGATTTAACCAGAACAATATAATTTAAAATATACCTTTTAGAAGTAGCTAATCTTCCACCGTATGACAAAGTAGCTCTCGGAGTGTTGTTTTATATTTGGTGCCTGATGATGACGGCTTCTGCCTCGGAATATACGTAAGAGAGAGAGAGAGAGAGAGAGAGAGAGAGAGAGAGAGAAAGAGAGAGTGAGAAAGAGAGAGGACTGCAACAACCTGAATTTTCAGTATCGCTGCCCCACTAACGATGGCAATGTATGGATGGAACAGTCATGAAGTCATCACAAAACATGGTATCCTCCAAAGTGTTCAGTGCATCCTTTCGGCCGTCGCCTCGATTGTGTTGATCAAGTCGAGACTAAAGCACATGTAAGCTTTACCAAATTTAAGAAAATAATCCGGAGGATTTTACGGATTTTTTAATTTTCTGACGTTTTCAAAACCTAATTTTTAGCGGCAGCTGTCTTATCAAATGTTTAAAAATAATTTTAATTGATTTTTTGCGTTTTCTGATCGGATTTAATCTGCTATTTCCAGTGATAACCGTATCCAGCTCTCCATCGCACTGTGTCTCTTCATATTCGCCAGTCTCTCCCTATTCCCATGGTCATTCTTCCCGGAAGCCGTTGACTATCCGCTGGCGCAAGGGCAAAATCGTTGAGTTGAAGTTTGTCGCCTATATAAATTCATGTTTCAGCGCCACAATGCGACGCTGCGTGTTTGAAGCGGCGGTAAGTTGATTTTTTTATAGTTTTTTGTTTTTACGCGTAAAAATCCCGGGTTGGCAGTGAAAATCAAGATAACGTAATCCGTTCCAGCCCTCCAATCTGGCTGTACTTCTTCTCGATGGCGTTCTGCTACGGGCCGGGGGCAGCTATCGGGATGTCGGTTACAAATACTTTGGCGACGTTGGTAGTTGGGCCACGGAAACAGGTGTGTTTTGGATTAATAAAACCATTTCCGTCTTTTCAGGCCCTGATCCAAGGCTTCATGACGGCTTCAGGCAGTCTTTCATCTTTTCTATGGCCCCTGGGAGCTACGTGAGTTCATAGTTCATAAGAGAAAGAGAGAGAGAGAGAGAGAGAGAGAGAGAGAGAGAGAGAGAGAGAGAGAGAGAGAGAGAGCGAGAGAGAGTGAGAGACACAAACAGGCTGACAAATCTGTTTCAGAGCTGCCTTCAAACTAAACGGAATGCATACAATTTCCCTCGCAAACGCGTCATTCTACATTTTTGGGCTTGTGTTGATCGTCATTTTCCGGAAACGACTTATCCCATTAATTCCCCATTAAGTACCTTAATTTTTGATTTTTGTCTTTTTTCGAATCTGCTGTCTAACTATCCGCTTGATAGTTTCTTTCATAAAGTTTTTAAAGATTTTACTTCCAAAATTACTTCCAAAAAATCCAAATAGAATTTTTTGCGGTTTTCTATACCATTTAACGACATTAATAAATTCCTTCCAGACTGTTCAATTTTTAAAAATCTACTGTATATTTTACAGATTCCGGTTTTTATGGATTTTTCCAGCCCTTTCCAGATTTTTCTGGATTTTCTGAAGGCCCTGGTCCCATAAACAAGGGGGAAACTTTTTTTGTGTGATTTATCTTCCTAAATTTTGATCTTGAGTCTTTCCTTATTTTTGAGTTTTAACCTTGCAAATTCCGCTAAATTTTCTAGTTATCGGAGTGTTTTGTAATTTCCATAGCGTCATCCCAAAAAATGTACTTTCCCTGCTTCCAAGCCCTTGTTAGAAATCTGTTTATCCGTATCTGAAATCCCCCGGGACCTCCCAAAATCACCACAAATTGGCGAGCTGCCCAAAATAGGCGTCCTGGTCGGCGCGTAACGATACTTTCTGGCCCATCACATTACGGAATTCACCGTTGTGAACGGAGTAGCTGTCGACGACATCTTCTGTACGGGAGGAGAGACGACGGAATACACGACACAGTGGCTTTCTGAGGGCTGAACTCATCCAGAAGAGAAAGGAGGGCGTGATAATGATGACGGAGTGGCGGATCTGGAATAACAATAATTTAAAAAGCCTTCCATGTACGATCTTTTAAGTTTTCCAGCTACAGTCGGCTGGCAGCTTCAAAGACAGTTGGCATCTATAGCAGTTTAGCTTTATAAGGGATCGCGACGCGAATTCTCAAAAGTGCCATCAGGCCAGCTTACAATCTCCGTATCCTATCCTATAAGCATGAAAAGTATGTCTGTTTTCTGTACAGCCGATTTCTCGGCCGCCAGGCCGAATTTTGAGCTGATTTTTGGCATGGAGGTGGAGAAACACATTTGTCAGTGACGCATTTTTTTGTTTTTCGAAATTCCTTCATTTAACGGTTTTACAAGCAAAATAGTGAAAAATCCTTAACATCTTGGCCGAAAAAAAGTTTGTTCAGAGGATATCTCGATTGCCAGACCGAATTGGGCGCTAATTTTTGGAGGGTGGATTGAAAATCGAATTCTCCCGATATATAATTTTGCGTTTTGTCAGATTTTGTAAAATAAAGTTTTTATGAGCATTTTTCTAAAAAATCCTTAACAAAATGGGCCATGAACCGTGGTGTCCGGGCCATAACGCGAGGCTCAGATGGAATTTCGGGCTGTAATTTGGAACACTTATGTATTCGATAGTGGAGATCACGCGCACCTTATTATTTTTACAAATTTTCGGCGCATTTAGACTCAAAAATCGAATTTTGTAAAGTTACCAGAAGTCCTCACTCCCGGGATGAGCCCGCCCCCAGGACAGAAGACAGAGGCCTTTCCCGCCCCATCTCCATCTCGCCGTGGTGTAGTGGATTGGTCCCCGGTCTACAAAGCGCATGGCCCGGGTTCGAATCCACGCCGCCGAAGTTAACTTTTTGCTTTTTGGCAGTTCAACAACAAAACATATTTCTAGGCTCTTGGTGTGCGAGTTTTAGGCCTGGCCCTCGCTCTAGCGCCGCAGGCCAAAGAAAAGGTCGTTGGCCCAGGCTCTTGCGCCGCAGGCCAATGATGGGTCCTTGATCCAGGCACTTGCGCCGCAGGCCAAATCCGGGAGAAAAACCAGTAAAGTAAAACTAGGCAAAAAGATTCCTGGCTCTCGCTCTAGCGCCGCAGGCCAAAGAAAAGGTTCTTGGCCCAGGCTCTCGCGCCGCAGGCCAAAGAATTGCGCGTTGACCCAGGTTCTTGCGTCGCAGGCTAAAAAAAGAATGTATTCAGATTCATGGTTCCTGGACGGGGTCCAGTGGAAAAGGGCCGCGAAGCGGTCTTTTTCCACTGGTCGTAAGATAAATAACGGGCCAATTTTTAATTTCTTGCCGATACTTTGCATACGCCATACTGTGATAAATCTTAAATCATGGAAAAAATAGCTCGATTACCGACAGTCAGGGGCGTAGCCAGAAAAAAATTTCGGGGGGGGCCCCCAAAAAAAATTTTCCAATAAACTCAAAACGTTGCCGAAAAAACAGCGCCGCAGGCAAAAATTTTTGAAAAAAGGTTACATAACTCTACAAATAGCCGTAAAAACGTGCAAAAAATAGCGCCGCAGGCAGCAAAATTTTTGAGAAAATTAAAACCATAAGGGTCCCCCCTTATGAAATTTTCGGGCCCCGGCCGATTTCGGGGCCCCGGGCCCCCGGGGCCGGTATTACGCTACGTCCCTGCCGACAGTTTCCGAGAAACTCAAAAATTAGGCATACACAAACTTAACGACCCTCTCAAAAACAAGAAAATAGGTTTCGCTAATTCTTTCGCTCTTCGCTAATTCCTTTTGGAAAAACTTCGATTTAGGCTACAGTACCTTGCTAAAAATCGGCAAAAATTGCAGGAATCTGTCTCGGCTAGGGTGGTCTTGCAAAAATTGCAACCATTACACCTATTTTGATTCCGGTCCTTTAAAAGTACAAGAAAATTAAAATGCAAAAATTTTGATTGTAGCACTATGACACAAAACTGCGACAAAAAATTGGATCTCTACTACAGTACTCTGATAAACATCCAAAAAAATCTACTTCTGCTGGAATTACAGTAATAACTCCCCCGTTAAGATATGCTAAATGTTGAAAAAAATATCGGAAAGACTCACAATAATAAACGCCAAATAAACAATCGTATACTTTGTCGGCCCGTGTTCGCATTTATCTCGATCGAATGCGGTGGCGTAGTCGAATATTTCGAACATAAAGAGGTCAGAAAAAGTGACCGCATTGTCGAGGCAAACGAAGGCAAGTGTTAGCTTTGTTACTAAAATAATTTTTTATACGCTTCCAATCGAGTTATTTTGACTCCTGGTTATCTTAATTTCCAATTTCATTCATAACACTACCAAAAACCTTACATCTAATATTCTCGGACAATTGAAATCTTGCTGTGAGACTGGCATTTCCACTTGCATTCCCTCCGCCGAGTTTTAGTGTTAATCGGACGTTCGCGAAAATTACGCCGGCAGAGATCTGAAAATAGTGAGAGATAGAGAGAGAGAGGGACAGAGAGAGAGAGAGACTGAGAGAGAGTGAGAGAGCAAGACTGTGCGAAGTGGTTCCAGGGCAAACTAGTAGAGACTCTTTTGGCAAAAACCACTGGCGCTTCCGCAACTTTGTAACTCAGGGCGTGCAGTAAATTTGCAGATATTCTGCATCCCATCGAGTATAGCCAGACCCCGGTCGACTCCAAGCTTCAAGGTAAGCTAGCAGAGAATATTAACGCAAAACCCCTTTTTAGATGTATTTCTCTATAGGGAAAACTGGCAATGATCTCGTAGGAATTCTTTTACCATTTATTTAAATCCTTCAACTTACCAGTAACGAAGCGACCGACCCTCCATACATTATTCCCTGTACTACTTCCGAAGCGAAACCGTCTAAGACTTGATTAAATCTCGAATTAACTTTTAATTATTTTACCTAATTCACTGGTCGACACAACGTAAGAGAAGACTGGCTTAAAAAAGGATATTCCGCCGTAGTCAAAAATCATACATACCGCGCTGATCCAACCGATAAAAAGCAGCGTCCACGGTCTCATTCTCTCGTATTTTTCGTAAAATATGGTAGCTACGAGACGCTCCGATGCACATGTGAGGTTGATAGGGAGGATAAAGTAGTATAATGGAACCATAATTGAGGAGAAGCTATCGGCTTGGGTGGAAAGCTGAAAAAGAAAGATTAGTGAGAGTAAGATAGAGAGAAAGATAGAGAGAGAGAGAGAGAGAAAGATAGAGAGAGAGAGAGAGAGAGAGAGAGAGAGAGAGAGAGAGCTAGAGCGAGAGCGAGAGAAAGAGAGTGCGAGAGAGCATGAAAGAGATAGAGAACGGGAAAGAGAGAGGGCGAGAGAGAGCGAGAGCGAGAAAGAAAGAGTGCGAGAGAGCATCAAAGAGAGAACGGGAGAGAGAAAGGGCTAGAGAGAGAGAGAGGGCGAGAGAGAGCGAGAGCGAGAAAGAGAGAGTGCGAGAGCAGGAAAGAGAGAGAACGGGAAAGAGAGAGGGCTAGATAGAGAGTGCGAGTGAGTGAGAGAGAAGATCTACTAACCTGTGCAAACCGTAATAAAGTAGACACCACGACGTTGAAGCTGAAGGAACAATACGTGGTAACGAGAAACCCAAAAACGAGGCTGAAAAAAAAATTATTTTTCTTGAAAAATCGATTTTTGAGAAAATTAAGCTACCCACCAAAAGAAGGGGTGAAAAGCCCGTCGTTGTATAAATAGGCATACAATTATTAAAAACCAATTTATGAATATTAGGCCGTACATGATGAGGAATTCTATTTTTCCGGCTAGCTGGGTGGCGTCGCATGCTTCCTGAAGAAGAAATAATCATTATTCGAATCGTTTAATTACTCTAGAGCCTTTAACGGGATTTAGACGACAGCGAAAAGTACATTTTTTTGAAATGGAAGATTGGAGGTTCTTTGCGCTTCCAAAGAAAAATTATTTGTAACGATTTTTCCTGTCCCATCACATATTCAAGCGAAAAATTGGCGTTTTCAAGGCTCAAACGTACCTTTTCCCAGCCCATTCAAATATGAGATTTGTCGAATAGTATGTTTTATGAGATCTATAGTATAGAAATATCGACCCCAACACAGCACAAACTCTGAAAGCAACAAGAAATCGACATGTCACACCAATTTACGGGCCGGCGAAGGGGGGCGCAAATTGAATTGACATCGAGCGCCAAAGGAACAGCGAAAGGTAATAAAAAGGATTGTATTAGGCTACGGTTTACTTTACCCCCCCCAGCCGGAAGTTTTTGGCCATAACTTTTTTATTTTACATTATTGTAGGCTCAAATTAAAACTCTTGGTATATTTTTCGACGCTCTATCGAATGGCGTTGCAAAAATCCCAACAAAATAAGCGAAAATACCGACAACTTTGAGACCCTTCGGCTGTGGGGGGGGGGGGTAAAGTAGACTCTTACCTTGTATTAAATTATAGTCATTTAAAATGTGCTAGTCATATAGGTTCACGATTGAAACAAGTAAGCGGATTTTTACGAATTCTAAGAGATTCTGTTCTTTGAAAAAGCCATGAAATTCGGGCTTGAGTAAGTTCTAGTTTCCAAAAGGTTATCATCGAGTATGAATCCAGAAAATATTACGCTGACTAGTCACAAGTTCGGGAAAGACTCCGAGTAGAAAAAGAGGACACAAAATAACCGGGTATATTTTTGCAGCGAAAAATGGCTGATTGCCAAAGATCGGGGCGGCTGGTACAAACCATCAGCCGTAGACAAAAAAAAACGGGTTAAAAAATTCGATTTGATCGGATTTGAGATCGATTTCGGCCTTGCCGGGTTCTTTAAAAATTACTAAGAAAGATTCTACATCACTAAAAGACCTTTAAAAGCGATCAAGTTCAAAATGACAATCAAGCAAAAGCCACCAATTTGACCACCAACATGGATGCCGGGAAAAACCAAAAAATTTAATTGTAGCAAGGTAGCCTGTCATGGGGTCTCAAGACACACAACAATTTTTTGCAGTTTAGGAAGATAATTGCAGCCTCATGATACGCACAGGTTTTCGCGAAAGCCTAACAAGTCTTCCAGTAAACTTGAATTACCAGAAATCGACCAAAAAAATAGCTTTCCCTAAAGTACAAAAATCTTCAGAATCGATAATAATAACAAATGGAGAAAATACGTAGCACACATTAAAACCGCGAACTTGCGATGGATTCCGAAAGCGCAATTTCGAGTGACTACGCGTAGTTGTTTGGAGACGCGATGCTTTGCGTAGATTGCTGCTTTCGATGGCTCAAAATCATCGGGCATCACCGAAAAATACGAGGCAGTCGCCGAAACCGCTGAAAGCTCGAGAAATCAGCGTTAAAACCAACATTGAATTCGCTAAAAAAATCTACAAAAGAGGCTCTGGTCCGACTGGGTCTTGCCAACAAAGGAACGCGCCAAAGCACGCCACGCTTTCTGCACCTGAATTTTTACGGAAAATCACGGTCCGTATAACGCCATGGCGCTCTACCTAGCTGTCGACACCTAGGAGGCTCAAAGGGTCTATTTAGACGCTTTCTAACGTCTTTAAAGGGGCTACGAAATGCCAAAAATTAAGTGACAGCCCGAAAATCGGAGCCCTGTACATCGGAGGCCTCTGTACACCCAGGGGCCAGGGAAGCTCGCAAATTTGAAATGGCCTGTTGTCACCTCGAAATCACGTTCTCGGCTGTTTCTGGGCCAAATTTGATGATTAAAACACCAAAACTATTTAAAATTGAGTGAGGATTTCAAAAAAGGGCCCGGAATGCGCAAATTATAGTGTTTTCACAAAGAAACCGGGCAAAAACAACTTCGCGCAAAAATCGAAAGAGTGGGGGCTCTTGTCCCGCAGCGCCCGCTGGCAATTTGCCAGAAATCAAAGAGGCCTCCCAAAAGGGCTTTGATTTGGCAGTCAGGAGCCCCTTTAAGGAGCGATGAAGTTGAGACAAGACCCCGAAAAAGGATAAAAATACCGATTTTTAATCAATTATGTTTTTAATAATAATAATAAATTTTAATAATAAAGAGATATCTGACCAGTTTGATTCGGCGGGGAGCCAAGTTACGCAAAAAATAACATTAAGCGATCAAAATCGGGAAATTACTGAATACGGTAGAAAAATAGCGCCTAGAAATCCCGATGTGCCAAGGTCCAGACCAGCGTCCCCTCCATACTAATGAACCCGCGTAGCACATTCCTGGTTCCTCGGAATATATCTCCCTCCGACTCGGGCCAAGGTTTTGAAAGGGATGCGGCCATCCTCCCCGTGGGACCCAATTAAAAATGTTCTACCTCAAAGCCCGACTCGGGTCTGCCTGGAATTTGGAATAATTTGCGATAAGGGGGAACAGCAGACAAAACCGAGATTTCGTTGCGACACGCAAATACCCTGGGGACATGTCTCACTAAGGATAGCTGGCGGAGTGGCAAAAAATTGTACTTTTCGTGAGGTTTGGAAGGGTTGTTTTTGCCTTCGATGATCCGTGCTTTGGTTGCAAAAATGATGATGAAAGCTGGATGGTTCTTAGGCAGAGATCAAAGAAAATAAAGAGAAAGAGAGAGAGAGAGAGAGAGAGAGAGAGAGAGAGAGCGAGAGAGAGGAAGAGATATCGAGAGCGGGAGAGAGGTAGACGGAGCGGGTGAGCGGGAGAGAGCGGGAGAGAGCGGGAGAGATAGTTGACAGAGAGAGCGACAGGGAAAGCGAGAGAGCGAGAAAGCAAGCATTAAAAATTAAATTCTTTTATTGCAACTTCATTTTTCGGTAGAAGTTCCAAAAATTAAAAAAGCACAACAAACACAACAAACAAACAGATTTTGACATAACAAAAATTAGAACACAAATAAATATCATAGAAAGACAGATAACCCAATGTTTTTTCTTTCTCTTCTGATATTTTTTTCTGGGATTGCTTAGTCCTAAACAAGAATTAAAAAATGTGATACATACCGTAGTCCGATTTTTTTAAAAATCACGTTTTTTGCGGCAAAGATCGCCACCACCCAAAAACCAGAATCTGCGACGCCTGTCCCCGGGGATTTAAAAATCTTTTAAGATCCTTTTAGATGTACAAATTGTACTTTATTATTTACAAATTAACAAAGATGACAAATTGAACCCGGCGGGGCCCGAAAATTGGATACTGTAAGTACCGTAGCTCGTTAGAAAATTGAAAAAAGAAACGCGGAAGGAAATAGATTTTCGAGAAAAACTTATGCTTTTTTAGCAAGGAGAACGCTCTTTCTTTAAAAAAAATATTCTATATCATGTTTAAAAAATAGAGAAGCGCTGTGACAGTAAAAATTCCGTTGACATCACTTCCTTTTCTCTTATTTTTTATGCATTTTCTACTCGAAATCCTTTGTATTTCCAGTCTTTTCACCCCGGCGAACGTCACTCTCTTCTTAATTATGATCCTGTTTAATTAAGATTATTTTTGATTAGCCGAGAGTAAGCGTGTAATTAGCACACGTCGGTAGACGAAATTCAATATTTATTAATTAGGGTACAACGTAAATTAAACTAGATAAAATTAATTGCGATCTACCACAAATCTTTCAGTTGATCGAAGTATGCATCCTGGGATGCGGAAAGAGTTACGACCTTTCCCATTACGTTCTTGAACTCTGTTTTCCGCTCCTTGAATTCTGCTTCGGCTATTTTGTGGCTGCGTCCCTTCAATTTCTGCTTGATCTCGATGAGGGGTTTTCGGAGGGTGTGGCTCAGGCAGAAAATAAAGGTTGGAAGGGCGAAGAGGATGAGGTGGCGGATCTGGAATTGGCATTTTAAAGGAGCATTGAAGGCAGCAGTCAGATCTCTGACTTTTTGACAGCCGGTAGAAATCTCATCAGCCATCCCCTGCCACTCCGCACGCTCTCTCTCTCTCACACTCTTCCGCTCTCTCTCTCTCTTTCTCTCTCTCTCTCCCTCTCTCTCTCTTTTTCTCTTTCGCCTCTCTCTCTCTCTCTCTCTCTCTCTCTTTTTCTCTTTCGCCTCTCTCTCTCCCTCCCTCACACTCTTCCGCTCTCTCTCTCTCTCTCTTTCTCTCTCTCCCTCTCTCTCTCTTTTTCTTTTTCGCTTCTCTCTCTCTCTCTTTTTCTCTTTCGCCTCTCTCTCTCTTTTTCTCTTTCGCCTCTCTCTCTCTCTCCCTCTCTCTCTCGCCACTCCAATACAACTCACCACCAACAATGCGATATACCCAAAGAAGTAGAAGAACGGGCTGTCGAGACAGTACGGGTGATCGTACAGTACACTCAGCCCCCAGCCCTGCTCGGCTACCAAATCGACCAGGGTGATCAGGTTGTCCACAAACACGTAGGGGAGCGTGATTTGGGCTGCTGGAAATTGGAATTAAAAACATTATGAGAAAGCGTTCAAGGAGCTAGGAGATGAGAAAATCTGCCACCACTAACGGCCAGGTCTCGACAGACCACCACAAGATAATCTGACGAATCGCTACAATGCTGCATTTCTAGGGCTTTCAAGATGCGTCTCAACGCGTCGTTTGGCTTGGCATGTAGCCATCGAGACTTAGCCGGGGCATTGGGCCGCTTTTCACGCTTCATAGCCGCATTAAAGATTGGTTCGCCTACCTCTTATATTCTCGGTTAATTGATACTTTGCTGCAAGGCCCTCGTTTCCCCTTTGATGTTGGAGCCACAAGCGGATATTGACCAAGATAACGACGGCGAGGATCTATTTTAAAGGGACTGTGAAGTGAGAGAGGGGATAAAGAGAGTGAGACAGAGGGACAACGAGAGCGAGAGAGAGTGTGTGAGAGCGTGAGAGAGAGAGAGAGAGAGAGAGAGAAGAGAGGTCAAAAACGAACCAATAGTGAAGCAGCCGAGCCGGAATACATTAAAATCTGGACGAGAAGCCCGGAGAGGCGATCTGAAAAAACTAGATATTTTCAATGTAAATTTTTTGAAGTTGTTTACAACTTAATGGACCCTACAGGGGTAATTCTGGCTAAGATGATACGATAAAAACTCGCCTCCTTCCGTCGTGATGACAAAATACGTAAATAGAGGCTAAAATTGAATAGGATACTATTTTTGACCTCGAAAGCCTTAAAAACGTGAAAAAACCGACCGCAGATAACCATCCGATAATTATTAAACTCCAAGGCCGCATCGTTTCATAATATCTATAATATATCGTCGCTAAAAGACGCTCCACCGCACACGTCAAATTGATTGGAAGTACGAAATAGTAGATTGGCCATAGATTAACGGCGATCCACATGCCGAGTTCGGGTTGCTGAAAAAAGAATGATAATTTCTTGCAGCTATAGTTGTCAAGTCGGAGCTTTCGACTTACGGGGGGTGGGGGATGGGCAGGCCTAATCCCAAACTTTGTCCCCCCTCCCCCCGATAATGCGCTAGAACGAACTTACATTCAGTAACCCACAGCCTGATGAAAGTAGAGCGATAAGCGATATGAGGCTATAACAGATCATCATGGCGCCGAAGGTTAATCTGGAAAATCGGCTTTGCGCTGTCACAGGATTTGACAGAATTAGAAAATTTTTGATGTACGAGAAAACTTCTCATAAAAAAAAACCAAAAAATCACTTTTTCAAAGTTTTTTAGCAAAATTTTTCCGCAAGATTCGCAAGGCTAGTTGTTGTCACACCGTTGCTGGTCTAACCCGACGTTCAGAAAACGTTCCCGTGAGTGGTCATAACGTTCGTACTTACCCGAAAAATGGATGAAAAGCCTTCCGCTGTACCCAGAGACAATATAGAAAAATCCACCCGTAGATATCGAGAACTACCGTCCAGAGAAACATTTCCCAGATACCCGTCGATTCCACCATCCCGCACAATTTCTAAAAGAAAAAATAGGAATGGAACAATAACTGGAGTTATATTTTTTACGGAATCGAAGATACTTTACCTTTATGACTTACTTATAAAACAAATTTTTAGCTTTACAAGGCTGACAAAACCTTGATCTATTCCTCACCTCCGCGTCGACCTCCATTCGTAGAAATTTATGCGCTTATGGTCGAATGGCCCAAGACATCAGCATTTCAGCACCACGTTCCCACGATGTTTTATTAGCTGAAAAAAAAACTCAATTTGTTCCGCAAAACAACGCTCGTTTTGTCCTGAGAACGAGCATCTGGGAAGGAAACTTGCGTCGCAATATTTGGGTAGGTACAGAACGGGAAATCAGGGGGAATTTCCGGTAAAATGTTTCTAAGCCCGGGTTTTACATGTAGCGAGAGAGATTGAGCAAGGGATAGAGGGAGAAAGAGCGCGAGATACAAAGAGAGAGAGAGAGAGAGAGAGAGAGTGAGAGTGAGAAAGTGAAAGAGAGGGGCGAGAGTGAGTGATCTTTAGGAATTCTTCATTTTCCGTACAAAAATCGAATTAGGATTTATTAAAAACAGCCAAGTCGACCAAAGCGACCCACCAAAAAATTCAAAGGGCAATGAGCACTTTTTAGGACGCAATTGCAAATTTACAGCTGCCGTCTGGGGAAGCGAGTTACCAGAATAAAATAAAAACTACGTAATCGCGCACAAAAATGAATATTAGCTTTGCCAAACGCTTTACGACTGGGGGTTAAATACAGAAAATTACAAATTAGTCGAATTAAAAGCGACAACTAAATGCCTTTTTTAAGTTCTGATTTTGCGGTTAAGAAAAAATTTGGTAACTATTCAGAAGGTGTCCGAAAACTCAATTTGGTCACCCTTCGTCAACAAACCAGATCCAAATGCCGTTGTTATGATTGCCGAAATGGCAAAATTAATGGTTTTCCCGGATTGACATTTTCGTGGCTATAGGACAATGTACGTGTAGTTCTTGCCAGCGTCCAAAATGGCAAAAAATGGGAAGACAAATTCTTAAGATAAATTTAACGTGACTCAGCAAGTTCAAATTAAGAGCTAGGGAGAGAGAGAGAGAGAGAGAGAGAGAGAGAGAGAGAGAGCGAAGCGAGATAGAGAGAGTGAAAGAGAGAACAGAATTCGAAACTGTGTCTTCCGTGGATAGTTCAGTTGGCAAACTAAGTGAAAGCTTTCAACATTTTCATACTTTTTGAAACAAGCATTGCTCGAGCAAATTGGAGACGCCAATTTTAAGACTTCATCAAAAATTGGCGACCGCCGGCCAACTTTTAATCGGCAATTAAATGGCGATCTCTCTGGCTCTTTCGCTCTCTCTCGCTCGCTCTCTCTCTCACTCGCTCTCTCTCTCTAGTTCCCCAAAAGGATCTCCCTATTATAGGCTAGATCCCTTCCAATGTATCCCAATGATCATCACTCCCCAGGAACGTCCAAATTGCGCCCCAGGTACCGTATCATTAAACCAAAGAAGAGGATTAGAAGCTGATTAGAGCGGGAGAATACAAGATGCCGTTCATGGTCCCCGGTTTCCCGTGGTAGGACCTTTAGAAAGCAATTTCCTGTCTCGGGGAATGGCAGTGCCGGGCGGACAGAACGTCGGGCGATACTTTACGGATTCGTGACTGGAAATAAGTTGTTACCGTTATTTATAGCTACCAAAATGTACCAGTTAGAAAAATTAAGTATTTGACCGGAAACTACACAGTTTTTCCAGTGTCCGTCCGATCTGCCAAGTTAAGCAATCCCGAGTGTCGTAGGCTTCTAGTCCAACTTTTCCAAAAGTTCAGCTCACGCCTCCGAAATGTATAAAAACTGTTTTTTACCTTGGACATACTAGCAGTTCTCATTCAAAAAATGTCTAGCGCAAAAATTAGGATAGGTTAACAAAAACGGTAAAAAGCCTACGACACCCGGGATTCCCAAGCCGTCTCCGATCCAAGTACTAACCGAGCCCAACGTTGCTTAACTTGGCAGATCGGACGGGATGCCGTGCTTTCAACGTGGTATGGTCGTAGGCGAGGGGAGGGAGGGGAGAGGGGATTTTGTGATAGGGGGGATGCCGAAGCGACCCGGCAACATTTTGAAAAAGGAGCGTGGGTGGGACAACAGCACAAAATCCCCTCTCCATTACCTCATCACGCCTACGACCATACCACGTTGAAAGCACGGCATCCCGTCCGATCTGCCAAGTTAAGCAACGTTGGGCTCGGTTAGTACTTGGATCGGAGACGGCTTGGGAATCCCGAGTGTCGTAGGCTTTTTGCACTTTTTGGGAATCACCTCAGAAATCGTTTTAGTGTATCTAACGCTAACCCATTCTGATTAATCCTTGTAATTCGACCCCGGATTTACAGCGTCTGAACATGTAGAAATTAAAGCTCTGATCCGGCGTGTGGGGAGCTCAATTCTTGCCTTTGAACCGGGAAGCAGCGAAGAAGCTCACGCATAAAAAAATGTGATTTTGCCAGCGGCTCAAATTGTATAGCAACAGCTACATGGTCTTCGGCAGTTGTAATAATTCGTTTCAACCAATCAGAGCCAATTTCCTGCCTCACTAAAGGATACGCAGAAAAAAAACAATTGAAAAACCATCCCGATCTTTGGAATTTGGCCTGTTTGCCAAAATTGTTTTCATGCAAGTTTAAATAATGAAAATCTTCTTAATTTAATAAAAAGAAAGCTGAAAATAAATCACAAGAATATCAAAAAGGAAATAAACTAAATTTTGACTCCGATGTTTTAAAAACGTTGAGTAATTTTTGATCATTTCCAGCATGTAGCCCTCGAGTTTTCGACCAGAGAACAAATTTTCCTTATTTTCGATTACTGTACCTAGTCATTTCCCCACGCTATCTTCTAGTTGCACTCCCGGTAATTATCAACATTTATCGAAAACGCGTGATTCGAGAGCCTTCATTATGGCCGGTTGAAAGTGGCGATTATGACGACGAAGCACCAATAGTTGGGGAATTTTGAACAAATAAATATGTATCTTTTAAGATATAGATAAGTACAAAGACCGCTCGAATCAAAAATAACCTTAATAACATATAGAATTTTAACATCCAAAAAAGTGAGGAATGGCGGGGAGTAAGTGAAAGAGAATTTTGCGGCTTTTTGTTTGGAGACAAGAATCGGCCGAGTTTAGCGGTTGATGTGCATCTGGTTGAGGGCATCGACGGGCGGGGCGGAGGCGTCTGAAAATGAAGAAATTAGAAAAATTGCGTTTTCAAAAATTGCATGCACGGAACGGCCATTAGACTCAAATTATAGGTACAGAGGGGGTGGCGTGAATTGGAGCGTTACGTAGTTCTTAAGAATGTTTGAGCCGAGGTTTCGTTTAGCATTTTAGAGGACGGTAATTTAACCAAAAAAATATCGAAATGATCTAGAGATATTATTAGTAAGGCAGAGAGATCGAGGGTGAGTGCGAGCGAGAGAGAAACAGAGAGAGAGAGAGAGAGAGAGAGAGAGTGAGAGAGAGAGTGAGTGAGAGACAGACAGACAGACAAATGAGAGAGACAGTCCATGGAGAGAGAGAGAGAGGGAGCGAGAGAGGCAGGCTGAGCGAGTGTGTGATGGTGAGAGCAAGAGCAGATTTTTCGTATTAGACTACACTACGCTCCAATCCAAACCATATTCACAATCACGTAAAACGGGAGTTGGGTGAGCGGAACGCAGCAGGGACAGGTTTTTTACTCGTGTTTTCTATAACTCTCTAGCTAACACTCCGGACGACACTCCAGCCAACGTCATCCGGCCAACCTCGGGGACTTTGTGGTGGTGACGACGGTCCAGAGGGCAGGCGTGGATAGGGGCCACTCGTAGTCGAGCCTCTTCGTGTCTCGTGTACGGTGGGTAGATGAAAAACGCCGGTTGTTGAGACACGCCCCGGGGATTTCGGGGGTTCCGGAGGGAGGTCTTGTACGTTACGATACGCCTCATTATACGCCGGCTGCACGATCGGGCCCGTAATTCCGAAAGCCTTACTCCAGGCGGAAAGGGCTGTAGTTTGTAGTGCTTGTACAGAGTGTCTTCTGGGGGAGGGAGGAGCTTTTTGAGCTTCCGGAATTGACGTCTGGCGTCCGTAGGGTTGAGAAGATCGTCTACTTTGACCCGGAGGAGAGCCAGGAGATTCCGGAATCGTGCCCGGAATACCGTAATCCTGCGAAATGCGTTTTCTACCGTACTCCTGGCTTTCTGGTAGCGAATTTTGACGCCTAGAAGATCTTCTACCACTGCCAGGAGGTGAACTAGGCGATTCCGGAATCGTGCCCGGAATACCGTAATCCTGCGAAATTCTTCGACCGGAATCCGGATTTTCCGGGATTGACGGTTGTTGCTTTCTCAGAGACCCCGATTTTCTTCTACTGTAATTCGGGGATTTTGCAGATTCCGGAATTTTTCCGGAGCGTCTAGAATCGCTAGGAGAAGCCGGGGAATCAGGGATCGAGTTTTCTCTATGGTAACCCTGAGAGTGAGAGCGTCTACCGTGATCCGGGGATGCGCAATAGCCAGGAATAGGGTCCTGGGTGGAATAGGGTTGAAAATCCCTTCTACCGTAATCCGGAGCGACGTTTTGATGATGTAAATTTTGATGCGCCAAATTCGGCGTCATCTGATTCTGAACTTCTTGATGACCGGGATACGGTTGTGAAGCTCTTCTACCGTAACCCGATGGCGCATTTTGTTGCAAATTCTGATGCGCCAGATTTGACGTCATCTGATGGCCAACCTGCTGAACTACAGGCGGATTACTGTAGCCAGGGTATGGGAAAATATGATGATTTCCTGGCCCTGGGTATCCGCCGTGGACATGTATCAAATCGGATGCCCGGCGTTTCGGAGTGTTTTTTGGAGTTTGTAAGGGAGATTTGCTCTTTACGGAATCTCTCCTGGGTAAGCTGTTGCTTCTTGGCTTTCCCTTAGAAGAACTCTTCTTATCGGAATAGGTAGCGTAAGCGGATGGAGGTTGCTTTGGGGTAGTGGAGGGTTTAGAGAATTGAGGAGCAGGAGCAAGAGAAGGCAGAGGGTAAGGAGACTCACTATATTGTGGCGGAGGGGTGTACGGAGGTTGTTGCGTGGAGTAGGGAGGATGGCCGGAAGGTGGAGGAGCACCGGGATATGATTGTTGTGGCGGGTAGTTCGGTGGTTGCCAGCTGAAAAAGTGAATTAATTAAATTCCTACCACAAAATAAAATGCTAGAGAGTGTGAGAAGAGAAGAGGGCGAGAGAGTAGAGAGAGAGAGAGAGCGCTTGAGTGGCAGCGAGAGAGAGAAAGAGAGAAAGAGAGAGAGAGAGAGAGAGAGAGAGAGAGAGAGAGAGAGCGAGAGTGAGTGAGTGGAGAGAGAGAGAGGGAGAGAGCAAGGGTGAGTGAGATAGATAGATAGATAGAGAAAGAGCGAGAGAGAGAGAGAGCGAGAGAGAGAGAGAAATCCAACAAAATAAAAATACGCACCTATTAGGTTGCTGCGGATACTGCGGTGGGTACTGTGGGTACTGCGGATACGGGGCAGCTTGCGTAGCATGAGCATCAAAGGACTGTTGATGGCCCCAGCTTGGCGGTGGCGGGCCTTGTTGAGGGTATGGAGCGGCAGCGTGCTGGCCACCCGACGGAGGTCCTGGAGGAGGATATGGAGCTCCGGGCTGGCCTCCCGGAGCCGCAGCATTTGGCATCGCGGGGTAGGCCGGAGCCAGTTCTTCTGAAAAAATTGAGAGGTCAGTAGAGATAAGATGTATTACCTGCAGGGGCATCCCTTGGGAACGGGTTGTCGGTGGGCCGTGGCTGGATTTTGTGCATCTTCATGTAGCCGGTCACTTGGCCGGGAACTTCGGCGAGTACTTCCTTAGCGAGAAGGCCCATTGCTCGATCGGCTTCCAATGGATTTTGGCCGGCGTGCGGGGAGAGGAAGTTGCGGATCGGCACGAACTAAAAAAAGGAAAATATGGATCTCAAAGCGCTGAACGAATTCGGGACTTTGGCATTATCGGGGGGACAGGATTTCTTATTAAAAAATAAAAAGCGTGCTATTTTCAACAAAAATTTCGATTTTTAAGTAGTTTTCCAAGTTTTTTAGGGGATTTTCCGTTACCGATCTAGCTAAATTAATTTAGCTAAAATAATTGTGGCTTGTGTATTCTTACAACGGCTTCAGCAAAAAAAAAGTTAAAACCAAAAATTCAATAATTTAAAACATGAAAAAGCCGCAAGTTCTTTTTATTGAAAAATTGTTAAACTTCACATACGGCCTATTTAAATGATTAAAACACACCTGAACAATATCCCGAGCGGCAAATCTTCCGGCATGTGAGAGCATCACGTTGTCCGAGTCGAGCTCGTCCATCGCCTCGAACTGCTCGTTGCCGACGCCGACGATGATGATCGACAGCGGGAGGGAGCTGGCCTAAAAACCGGGAAATTCAAATCCAGGAAAAGTGGACTTACCGAAACGATGGCCGCCTTCGTTTTGGCCATGTCCGAGATGGCGCCATCAGTGATGATGAGGAGCACCTGGGAAATTAATTAAATTCATTAACAGGTTATTTGTTCAGTAAAAACATATATTTTAGCTGCCTTATTAAAAATCAAACTAAATTACCAATATTTTGTACAAAAACCAAGCTATTTGTAAATAAACTTGAAAAGTTAACATTATTTAGGATTGCGTTTTATTATAAGTATTTTAATTTCATTTAATTAATTTTAAATAAAATTACCTGATATCTACTGCCATCTCTCGGAATCGCGGCCGCATGTCTTGCCACTTCTTCGATGACCGGCGAGAAGTTTGTAGGGCCGTAGAGGCGAACCTAAAAATTTAAAATAATCTTTCTAAAAATTAAATTAAGTTTAATTTTTTCTAAAAAATATAAACTACATTTTTACAAAAAATCGAATAAACTAAATCAAAAGGATAAATTCTGTCCAATAAGAATTTTATTCAATAAAAAAATTTAATTAAAATCATTTAAAATTATTGAAAAATTATCTATATTTAAAATTTTCTTACCTGATTCAACGAGTGCCGATAAGCTGACATTACACCGTTGACCCCGACGACCGAGGGGTGCTGTTGGAAGTTCTAAAAAATCAGTAATTCCACAAAATTACGAATTACAATACCAAATTAAAGATTGGCGACACACGCTCGTTGGGCGGGACTTTGGCTCCAAAACCGAAGGCGTCGAAACGTTTGCTGTGGTTGTAGTGTTGGCAAATGTCGAGGCAGGCGCGGAGGGCCACTTCGTATTGGTTGGGGATGGCCCTGAACGTCGATCTGGATAGATGCATTTTATGTAATCGTGGGATCCCCTCTATTACAAGGTTCAGAAAAATCTAAAACTATTTTCCCTGAATTTTACTCGTTTTCGATCTAACGTTTCCTAAAAATCGCAATTTTTTACATTGCAGTGTTCACATTCAAATTTTTTAGAGTTCCAATTCTTTAAAACCAAAACAGTGCTAAACTATTATTATTATAATATAGTATATTGCATTACATCGTCACAGTTTTTAGAAAATTTGAAAACTATTTTTCTACAATTTTGGCGAAAAAAATTAGAATTTTTTTGGTTTTTATTAATGCAATTTTTTATATCTGAACCCTCGTAACATGCTTAAAAGCACCCCCGTTAACGCACCAGTTCCTATTTAAAACACCTCCAAAACCCACGGATTCAAATAATGCAACGACGTCGGGTCGTGCACCGGGCCATTTGAAGCCGTGAAATCGATGGCGAGCGCGAAATCGAGCTGGGTTCTGTAAAATGAAGTATTTTAATGAAATAAAATTTGAAACTTACCCTCCATGAATAAAGTCCAAGAACGAGTTCTCGCGGTAGATGTGGACAGCGTTAAAAAGTAGCGCGCCGGAGTCCTTGTACTTGGCGCCCTTTTTGGCCTTCTTTTTCTCGCTTATCAACTGGAAATAATGATTTTTTTAATCGAAACTTGATGAATTTTATACCGGAAGTTCCTTGTCCTGGCGGCTTAACAATCGCTCCAAGGTCGTCTGGCAACTTCCGATGTAGTCGTGACTGGAAAATTGGAGTTATTCGGAAAAAATCTCAAAATTCTGGAACCTGGAAGCGTTACATAAAGCGCTATAAATGCTACCTAGTCTCTAATAAACCCAGAAATTATCATTATTAATCAAAAAAATCACTATTTTTCAATTCTTAAGAGCATTACATACCCAGGAATTCGTTATTTCCTTGATAGAAGCTATATATATTCAGCTTTCCAAAAGTATAATTTAAGATACTAAATGATTTTTTAATTTGAGTTCACTTATGTTAGTCTAAAAATTAAAAATTGCTAGAAACTCGGTGTCTTAAACGTTAGATACCCCCCAAAAATCAGCCCTTATTTCCTTCCAACACGAACCGAGTCATGTCCCAGTGCTCAAGCTGGTACTTGCGCCGCCTTGGTGGCGGAGCGGGGTCGCTAAAAAGGTCAATAGCTAAAATATACATTTTTCTAGTATATAACCACCACCAGAGTGAGAATTTTAAGTGATCAAGCCCCGAATATGCGTGAATTCCCAAAAAAATTTAAATTTCAGTAAGTCGCTCAGCTATCTCAAAACCGCTAAAAATCGAGAAAACCCAAAATTTCGGAATCTAGAAGGAGCCAAAAATCCAGAGCGAACCGCGCTTAAGTTTTTAGAGCCAATAAAACTAAAAAAATCGCACAGAAACCTAGAAATGGAAATTTTAGAAACAGAAAGCCCAAAAATAATAGTCCAAAGCTCGTGTTAGTGAAGCGTGTAGATAGATGATCTATCGCCGGTAATGTTAGCCCCAGGCGAACACCACGGTGTCGACACATAAAAACGAGCAAAACCTTGCTGACCCGCCGTCAAAGTCGTGGTCGTAGCAGTCGATGAGGATTGGACTGAAAAATGAAATTTAACGTATTTTCGGATAGTTTCATTTCCTTGTTTTGTATGAGCTCAAATAGGTCAAAAAAATTCATATAAAAAGTATATTAAATCCGGTTAAACTAATTAGAAAAGAGCTCTAAAACTCACGCATTTCTGTCGCCGCCGCAAAGAAGCTTGCTGTTCACGTCGAAAACCTTCCAATCGGGGTTCAGCGTCTTTTTTATCACCTCGGTACGATGCGCCAATTGACGGCTGAAAAACTATTAAATTTCCGAGATTTCCGCTCCGAAAAATCTGTCTAACCCTTCAAAAACATACCTTCCATCTCCGCGCATCCGATAAATATTTAAAAACGGGTCGCTTTTGCCGAAAAGATCCTTCTTGTCGAGGTGCTAAAAAATGAGGTTAAAGGATTGAAAAAAAATGCCCTTACCCGGCCAGACAAGTTAAATTGAACAATTTCCTTGGCTCCATCTTCCATCTCTTCTGAAGAGATTGTGATTGTGCCGCATTTTCCGCGAAGGCCACTAAAAGTAGCGTTTTATCCAGAAAAACAAAAATGTAACTCACGTCAAATTTCCGGTTAACACGCCATCGACGGCCGACACGATTTCTGCGAGCTCGCAGTCGAAACGACCTAGGAAGTCGTGTTGCGAGAGATCGGCCACATTACTGTCGAGGTCATACCTAAAAAAGGTATAACCAAACGCTAACGTTAACCCACAATTCAAAGCGCAAAAACTGGCGCTCCTCGAAGAAGTAGTCAATGTTGAGGCGCTTGTTGAACTCGGGGCTCAGGCAGTTGTCGATTTTCTCGGTGCGGCCCTAGAAAATAGTTTTTTTGAATACGAAAAAGTATAATACCTTTTCTTTCCATTCTGGCCTTCCGCTAAGTCTGCCTTCTTGTTGGAAGAAAATGCATTGCGGGTCGCTTTTGGAGAGTAGATCGCGATTCTTGAGGTTTCTAAACGAGATATTATTTAGACAGTCGATTAATCTAGTCTCAAAAATAGTTTATAAACGTTTTCCAACTTTTCAGTACTTTAGTAACTTTAGCAACATTTTACCGCAAAAAATGAAACTCTAGAGGGCCACAGAAACTTCGGAATAACAAAACAACCAGCTAGATGTTTGGAAAGTGTGTTTTAGCCTCAAAAACTATTAATAAAGCATTTTGACAACTCTGTCAACGTTTTACTACAAGAATTGATCTATAGAACCGAAAATTAATTTGAAAAACTCAGAAATAAAGTTAAAAACCCACTTTGCGCTAACAGTCAGCTGCAAACTAGTCGACGGTTGGCATAACGTTGTCGCTTGGGCCATGCGCTATCTGAAAAACCGGAAAGATGAAGCGGAAATCGTCGAGAGCACCGAGATTTGAATCGAAAACATGAAAAAGTACGAATATCGGTGAAAACGACCAATGATTCAAAAGCCCGAAACCGGAAATTGGAAACTTTATAGGGTGGAAAAGGCACGCCACGTTGAAAAGACAATAAATAAACCCGCTTGAATATAGAGAGAAAGTGAAGGATAAATAAATTAAACTATACAACGAGGCTACAGGCTACAACAACGTTGAGAAAAGTGAAAGGAGATGATCATCCCGTCTCGTCGTCTTGTTGCTCGGCTTTAGGATGCCAGGGCATGCGAATTTTCAATTCTTCGACGTAGTTGCCAACCATTTGTTGGAGAACAGGCTTCTCCTCGAGCAGTTCGAGGATAGGCTCGGAGTTATCGCTAAAATAGACTGGGGTTTTGAGGTGTTTTTTTTTTGTTTTAAAACGAATCTAGGGGTTCTAGAACATAATCTTGTACTTTATAAGACTTTAAAGTATGATTTTTAACCCGTTTCTTACAGTAAACAATAATCCGTGACCGTGGGCACGGTTTGCGTATACGTATCCGCCATATCCTTGTCGCGGTCGTCGTTCAAATCCTGGCCGGCGAACATCCAGCGCGTGGCACGGAACTAAAGTTTAGCATTTCGTAAATCTTGCTTTTAATCAAAAACTTGTTACTCAGAAACTTTGCTACAGTTTTTACAACTTTTTCTAACCTCCATTTCCTTTCCCGGCAACTTCTTTGCGATGAAGGAGACGTTGAAGCCGAGGCCGATGATTTCGGTGAGGTGCTCGGCGTCTGAAAACTTTCATTGTTAGTTTTATTGTTTTCCTTAGACTGTTGTTTAGTTTTTTCTGCTCAATTAGGGCGAGCAATTTGTAGAAAAACATACCAATACCCCCATCCCCGCCGCACCACGTCAATATCGAGCAGTTCACCCGGCCAATCGTTTGGCACCACACGATGGCGCTGTACTGAAATACATATTTCTTATGAAAACGGCGCAGTTTTTGAGGCAAAATTGTGTTAACGCTGCGTGAAATACAGCTTTTTCGTTCCTATTTCCCACCTGTTCAACATCAATGACCGAGCCGGTGCCCTGTATCCGCCCATCCTCCAATTCATACACCAAATCGCCTCTTTCCGCCGCTTTTTCCTCTTCTTTCGCCAGCGCTTTGGCGGAAATAGCTTTCGTGGCCAGCCAGCTGCATCCGTTTCGTTCGCTTTGTGCCCGGATGTCGACCACCACCTGTGGGAAATTAATGTTTGGCATCAATCGGAAAGTTCCTGGGAATAAAAAGGACGATTAATCAGACCCAAAATTACATAAAAAGATGTTCAGGTAGTCTCAAAAACACTCAGAAGCGTACCTTATCCCCAGGACAAATGTGTTCGGCCAGACGGCCGGTTTGCGTGGCCGGAAACGCCGATCCCGGGATGAACACGGCGCCAAAAATCTCGCTTCTCCCGTAGGCCAACGTTTCTGTGACTCTAAAAAGCAAAACGTAAAGAGTAGCCTTAAGTAGCCGCACTTGGTGATCATCACTTCTTGATCCGTATAATCATCCATATTCCTCTGATATGCCTCCGTGTTTTTCGAGGGGCGGACCTAAAAAAAGAATTAATTTTTAGCTATATCGCTACTTTACAAGGTACTAGAAATTATTTTCAGAGGTTTAAAAGTTTAATGCAATCTGTATCGTAGTTTTTGAAGTCAGAAAACTTTTTAGTTCTTTCCTACAATAAAAAGGCAAAATCCTACCTTTACAGCCAAAAACTCGCAATCGTTCTTGGCCTCTTGCCGGGTGGCCTGTAGATGAACGACATCTCCGACCTCGTATTTGTCTCTGAAAGGCACAGTTCAAATTTTAAGAGCAACTTTGAACCTTAAATCATGGCAAACGCCCTCGACACACTTCGACAAGGGGCAGAAAACGGAGCCATGTGTGCAGTTGATGTAGAGAAACTGGAATCAAATAATTTTTTGAAAGTTTGAGGGTACTTACCTTTTGATCGACTCGACTAACACGGCCAGTGCATTCGATTTTTACGGACGATGTGAGAGAAATATCCCTTTTTGGTGCCATGGTTTGGGAATTCTGTAAAAATCAAATAATGGTAAATTAGACGAAAATCGCGTATCAAAATGAAGCGATACCACCAAAATTCGATCCAAAAACAACTTTAGAAAAATTGTAAACGCTCAATTTTTAGGATTTCATTGAGAATTTTCACCCACATTCCTTAAAAAATTTATAAAAGATTATAATTTAGGTAATAGGTGTTTATAAATTTAATTCAGTAAATTTTTAGTAAAAGTGAGCTACACTTAAGGCGAAAGACCATCTATAAAACTTAAAAAAACGTGGAAATTGAGGCGAAAATCCTCCAATTTTGTTCTGAAAATCGATATTCATAAAAATTCGCATAAAATTTGTAGTTTTGACGTTGATGAATAGTAAGAAACGTTTAGAAACACTTGCTCTATTTATAATAGAAAAATTGGGCCCTAAAAGGAAAAGCCCCCCCCGATAATGCAAAAGCGCCAAAAAAAACTCGAAAAACTACTTCAATTTGCAGCCCATCGCCCCAAGCCTACGAAAAATGGCGCCAATTTCGGCTTTAGCCCCAGATTAGTGGTGTTTTTCCACGCCAATTGGCAGCAGTGATGGGGAGGTTGTTTTGGCTTTGGATGGGCCAAGGGGCCCAAGCATGCCCCGGGCCCTGTGGGGCAATGAGGGGCCCAGGGAGGACCCAGAAAGGGCCCAATTGCGAAAAGGGCCCCTGCCTGCCGTCCGTTTGTCCGTCAGATGACAACACCACGGCTAGTCCAGCGCTGGTCTTTTCACGTGAAAATGATGCATATTTCCCAAGACCACGCCGCGGCGGCTAGACTTATTTTGAAAGTGGTCCGGGGGTTCGTTTGGGCCCTTGGCCTCTAGTCGGCGGGCCCTAGCAATGTGCGAGTTATTTTTGGGGGGTATAGCTGACTACTTTACAGGTACTTAAGAACATAGAAAAACTCAGATTATAACTTACTTAATTTTCAGCGTATTTTAGGATGAATATCGGCGTTAAAAGGTATTTTAAGAAGAGAAGCGGTTTAAATCCAGCTAATTTTAGGACGGATTCGCCATAAAAAATGTAGCGACACAAAAGATTACGCGATGAAAAGAGCTAGGAGCTTGAGCAAAACGCCAAACTATATATAAAAAATTATCGAAAACAAAGCGAAATTCAAGAAGGATCTCGATGCCCGAATTAACAACTAATGAAATTTTTTGAATTCCATTCGAGGTCAAGCAAACGATTACACGATGAAAATGCAGCGTTTGCGGCCAAAAAAATTACATAGGTGATGAAGAACTATTAAAATTAACGCGGAACGGGGAAGGAACTAGATTCTTGAGGTCAATACGATTTGACCCCGCCGTTACGCGTGTATAAACATCGCATGAGAGGGTGTAGTTTGGATGCCGGTCAGCTGGGAGGGGCCGTTCATGCCTTCCCAGCTGATACTTCCGGGGTTCAAAACGTGATAGTCACATGGATTTGCATCTTCCGGTCACGATGTTTCAAGCGAAAAACGGGCAGGATGTTGTTAGAGCGATAAGTACGTCTTCGAAAATCGGGTGAATAAGCGCTAGAAATCAAAAAAATCGGCATTTTGGCTACGATATCAGCTTTAGGAATCGATGAAAAATGTGGACGACAGTCAAAAGATTGGGGTTTCCCCGCAATATGCGTCAATATTTAACCCTCTCAGGCCTTCCTGATAAGGGCTATGCTTTTTATTGTGGCTCTTTTCTCTGCCTCTCTCTCTCTCTCTCTCTCTCTCTCTCTCTCTGTGTGTGACCAATCCTAATCACATTTGGTCGGCAACAAAGAGCAAAGATTGGCGGAAAAGACCTCGTGACCTGGTGGGCGAAGGAGAAGCCGGTAAAAGTCATAAGTGCCTGAATCATTACCGACGACAAAAGTTTGGCAATCTGGTGCCCTGTTCTAGACTTTTTCCAATTCTCCCACCTTTAGCTCAGAATGCGATTTTTTTGTGTAAGTTTAAAAACACCTAGTAATCTATTAGGAAGTGTTCAATCGTGTTTTTTTTAAAAACTATGACTATATTGCAAACAGAAAACCTATTTAAAAACTTCAAAGTTTTGAAAAAGCCGACATTTTTGTCAAAAAAAAAATCGGAAAAAAAACAGAAAGCGTGAAGTTTTAGACGCGCTTCTAGTCAGGGAGGCGAGCAGAGAGCATTTCGGAAGTCTGTCCGTCGGATACCAAACAGAGCCAAGCAATTAGCATTTAAAGTATAGTGTAAAAGTTCGCATAAAACTTTGCACGGCTTCCACATCCGTTTTATAGCCTCAGCGAAAGTGGTCTCTAAAGCCCATCCCCGCAAGAAACGGAGGAAATGACGTCAAACATCGTCCTCCGAGAGATGACTCAACCAACAGGTGTGAAGGGAAAAGCTAAACATAGATCCGGCAAGGCCGATATAGACGTCAGTGGAGAGTGGGGGCTCACGAGAGAGCGCTGGAAAATAGAGCGCACAGGGTCGAGAAAAAGCCTACAAAGAGGGAAGATGCGTTGCAGATGCCCAAGAAGGAAAAGAGAAAAAGTACGCACCGATACGATGGCGGACCACTATTTCCACATCTTGCCGGCTAATTCATTTTTGGGTCTCTGGGAGCGAAAAACGGGGGTGAGGAAAGTAATTAGGAGCCGTGGGGACTGACGTAACTCGGCGCGTAGTGTACTCTGCAAAGACCGGTCTAGGCTATTTCTGGAAAATGGATAATTGAAATGGCTAGCAGGCTAGACGAAAGATCACAAGGGGCCAAATAGACAGCTCCGAGGTTAGAATGGTCCTAAAAAATTGGTTTTCGGAAATACAACTGTGCATTTTTAAGAAATTGGGGTATCCTGAAGACGACCTAACCTCCGGCTCAAATTCACGACTGGGTATGACATTAATGCGCTAAGAGTACCTTTCTTCTTGGATGAAAAATTACGTTCAATTTGATTTGTGCAAAGGACTGGAGCGTAGCTTCGTTTTGAGATAACGTCGCAAGATAAAAAGCGCAAAGTATGATAGCTAGATTGTAGCTAGAGGCCTCGTAGAGGAATTTTTAAGGTGCCAATAGACGTCAGGAGAGTTTAGTGCCAAAGTTGCCGAATGCCACGAGGACTTTTTGGCTTGATTGGCTGGGTCATAGATCAATCGTTCCGGGCGGCCTGTTCGGGCGTTCGGCGGTTTTACATTTTGACGGACGTGGAGAGAGAGAGAGAGAGAGAGAGAGAGAGAGAGAGAACGTGTGGGATACACAGACAGATAAAAACTGCACCCATTGCCATGGGTAGCAGCTTCTAGCGGAACGAAAACACTGAAGCTTCCGCCTAGGTGTTTTCTTGCCACCCCTATACCGTAAAACGGATCGCTAACTTTTGAAAAGGACCTTAAAAATAGTTATCCGGAGCCCAAAAATTCCATAAAGTACAGACAAGAAAAACCCGGCCAAAGCAAATGTTGTCAAACATTCATCACAACAAACGCGTCGGCCCATTTTACGGACTCGAATAGGGTGTTTAGTCTGGGGCGGACGCGACAGCTGCCTCGATCATTGACGGGTTCTCGAGCTACGTAACTATTTCTAGGTTAGGGAGAGAGCGATCACGAGAGAGAGAGAGAAGGCGTCAAAAATAAGTCGAGACATGTGTTGTTCACATCTAAACAAGTCATTGGAACATCAGTTTGTGGGTGGATGACTGGTGAGGGCGGTCGTGAGATTGTTTGGATAACAGACGAGTTTTTGACGCAAGCATGGCCTGGCCGCCAATAGCCTTGTTTTGGAATGTTTAAAGAGAGAGCGACAGCAGATCAGGTCAAATTCCGCCTAAATTCAACCGGTAACTGTCATTTTGTAAAGCGTGGCGGGTGCGTCGCGTCTTTGAAGCCAGTCGAATTTGGATGCGGGACGGTCGCGTTGACGTTTTTGGCGAGTGGGGCGGAGAGTCGTGGTTTCTGCAGACCGCGACGCATCTATCCGGCAGCGTTGCGGTCCGGCAAAGAGGAGTCATTGGTACCTAACGATCGCCTGTCATGTAACATCGGGGTAAAATCCAAGGTTTCGAGTCGAGAATAGCCTTTTTTCGTGGGCTGGGCGTAGATTTCGCAAAAAAGAAGCCGCAGCGCGGTCGCGTTGCGGGCAGGATCCACCGTTTAGTGAGGCCGAAACGCAGCTATCCACGGCGTCGCGGTGCCGAGAAGAAAATTCGATCGAAAAACAGGCGTTTTATACTTTTTTGGCTTTTTAACCTACTTAGACGCTATAAAAACAGCACAGCAACGACCGTGGCGCGCCCGCAGCGCCGTGCAACCCGGATACCGTTACGCAACCATTCGCATCCGCTACGCCAAGCTCCAGTTTCCCCGCCCGAACCCAAAAAGCCACCAATTTATTATTTCCATAAAACAGGATCAGGGCATACCTTAGCCAGGGGAACAAAGCGAGACAGGCGGGCGGTGGTTGAATCACAGAAACACTTGAGGGTGATGTGGGGCAGGCATTCAAGTGGGACACGACACTTCTAATGTTAACTGGAGGAGAGAGGGAGAATGGGAGGGATTCTTTCGATCTCTTGGTTGTTCATCTACTCCTCTACGGCCACGGCATGCCGAGGTATGACTTCAGGAAGTATTCGTGCGTCAGCGTGAACTCCAGGTCGCACTGGCGGATCTCGTAGCGGAGGAACTGAAATGGGAAAGGTTAGAGAGAGCCAGAGGGAGGAGAGAGATAGAGAGCGAGAGATCGAGAGTGACAGATAAAAGCGCGAGAGCCAGAGCCAGATCCAAATTTAGAGGAGAGAGAGAGAGAGAGAGAGAGAGACAGAGGGAGAGAGAGCGAGACAGAGGGAGAGAGAGAGAATCCCAGTCTTACCTCTCGTTCATTGTTGGCCCCATCCTGATCCCCCTTCAACTTGTCGAACTCGTCGACGATGCGGTCGATAATGTCGAATTTCCGCGTGATCACGTCCATCAGCCGGGCCTCGAGGTGGATGCGCTCGCCGAGCGGGATGTTCCGCACCTCGTGCTCGTCGTTGATCTCAAAGCCCTGGGCGGCCTTGTCGAGCAGTTCGACGAGAATCTGGAAAACGACGCATTTAAAGGGGCTATACAGTGTTAAAATCGATCCCTGCTTCGCCTGTGGACAGTTACACTACGCGCCAAATGACGCACAAAAAGAGAGGTTTGAAACGAAAAACGAATTTTTCGAGACCTAGTTTCAAGCGGCGATAAATTCTCGCGCTTCCTATTTCCTTTAAAAACGGGTCAGTCAGTCAAGTATACCTCAAAGCGATCCTCCTCCAGCGAGCGATCGGGCCGGTCGATGGCCCCGAGGCGGTCCTCGAGAATGTAGACGCGTTCCTCCAGCTCGAACCAGCGTCGCTTCACATCCGGCAACCAGTTCTTCACGATCGCATCCGGGACGTCCCTCTTGCCCTGGTAGTAGCTCAGGGGCTTCTGCGCGAGTTCGGCCATCAACTCCATGTCGACACCGTCCTCCCATTGCCACACTGAAAAGCGAAAGAATCTTTTGGTCACCCAGCTACTTCAAGCCGTTCAAGCCCGAAATAAGATGGTCAGAGAGAGCCAACATGTGGGAGATCGAGAGAGCGGGAGGATGAGAGAGAGAGACGAAATGGGAAATGATACGGAAACGACAGGGATGTTGCGGAATGAACAATCCAACTACCGTACCCTTCTTCTCGCGCTTGGGCTTGACCTCCTTGGCGTCGCCGCCCTCGTCGTCGGTCTGTTCGGCGGCCGTCTTCAGCTGCATCTCCATCCGCTCCTCGTTCGTCAACTCGGGCACCAGCCGCACGTTGCCCAGGCTCTCCATGGCTGCTGGAAAAAAGGAATTTGACAGATGTGGGTGGCCGAACCGATTTTTTCAGATAAAGGGCTTGAACCGTCACGCCACGAAATTCCGCTAGACTGCGACGCAACACGCAACGCAACGTGTAGCTCCAAACGCGGCGCGCTAACCCGTATTTCCAAACAGCGAAATCCGGACCCAAAAACGCGCTCCCGTACCATCAAAGCAGGCCAACTCGCGTTCGCTGGCATCACCGTCGGACTGGCGCACGGAGGAGTCGGACTCGATCTCGGAGCCGACGTCAGACGGGAAGTCCACGTCGGAGAGGCTGGTGCTGCTGCTGTGACGGGCCGAGAGGATGTCTTGGAATGACTCCATCGATGAGGCCACTTCCGCCATGTTGATTCACCTGAAAAAACCCTCAATATACAAGGCAAAAAATTAGAATCAATGTCAAATTAGTATAAGAGGGTTCGGCGCAGCAGACAAAGCACAATTTGCTAGTCCAGAAAATTAGAATCTAGACAAATTTGCATGTTCGTTTGGCATAGGAAAACAAAGCTTAAATTGATCAAAAGAAAATTTGGATCCAGTCAAAATTAGCATAAAACCCACCAAAAAGCTTTCCGGAACGAAGAGCTGAGCCGGACGGGTGGGTCCGAGTTTGAGAGAATGAAAACGATTTGCCCGAAAATCGAGAAGATCTTATTTTCCGGAAGTTCTAGCAGCATCTACAGGCAAAATCAGGATGCTAATTCCTTTGATGCAAATTAGGTATTCAATGAGAAGGTGTTTTAGGTGTTTTATGGTTTTTTTATACATTTTCAAGCCTTATGAAAAAGCTTGTTATTTATGCAAATCAATAAGATTCAATCTTTTTGTATTTGTTGGATTTTTTCTGTGTTTTAAAATTTTATTCAAATCGCTTTCACCATGTCTGGTGTAGAAGTGAAAAATACTCGTCCTGAGAAGCGGTGAGTGGCACGTGAATTCCGGCGGTGTTCCGGAAAGTGAGCGCCCGGTTGCCCTGGTACGCTGCGGTCCGTATTTTGGGGCGGCGCGGAAGCGGTTTCCGCAGCGTGGAACTTCTCAAGAATATCCAGCTGTAGAACAACATCGTGAGGGACCAGCGGGCCTGTAATTGCTTGCTTTGGAGTTTTGGGGTTCTTTCGCATTATCGGGGGGGGGGGGGGACCCGATTTTTTTGTATGCTTCTGGGAATGTCTAAAAATTAATAAGACGTGCTTTGGGTTCGTTTGCATTATCGGGGGTAAACTTTTTTAGAAAAAAACTTAATAGAGTATTTTGATATTGTTTTTAGTAAATAAAGCTATATTTTAGCTAGAAAACCTATCTAAATTTTTAAAAAAAATTTTGAAGAAGTCGAGATTTTGTTCAAAAAACGGCCATTTTCGGACGAAAAATCGAGATGTTTTCGTATCCTACCTTATATAATTTTGGCGTGTATCTTTGTGTGTGTGTGTGGATGTCAGTTTCGAGGCCCGACTTGAGGGCCTTCCCGTGTCCAAAACGCCCCAATTCTTCGTCACTCGGAGGAATCGACCCTTCTGTTTCCGATGGCGTTCTCAGAATTTCGTTAAAATACAAGTTTATAAAGTTAAAGCCGGTTTTATTCCTTTTTTTGTGGTAATTTGCATAATGTGACAAAATACAAATTTCCTCATTCTTGCGGGTTGCACGTGCGCGTGTGGTGAGGGGGGGTCCGAAGGACCCGAGCTACCGGAAAGTCAAATTTCTCATGCAAACGCACCATTCCAGCGCCCAAGGCCCGCGAAGCGGGTTTTGGGCGCTGGTTGTTTAATAAAAACCAGCGCTGACCCCCCGCTACGCGGGGGTTCAGCGCTGGCCTCTCCTACCCCATAATTTGAATTTGAAATTTCAATGAAATATTTGGCTGAATTCCCGGTCGGTCGGGCGTACCGACATTAGAAATCAACTATAATAAAAAAGTTAAGACGTCCGTCCGTCCGTGTGTCTGAAGCCGAATTCAACTCGAAGGGGAAAGGAGCTAGAGCTTAGGTCTCTTCGGATTCGGATAGAGCGCCCACAGAAACCCCTAAACTGATAAAAAAATTATGAAAAAGTTTTAGTTTAACTTATTAAAATTAACTTTGAAAGTTTTCTCCTTAGTAAAAGGGTGGGGGACGGAGGTTGGGCTGATTTTGGACATAGTGAGCCAGGTCGCGCGTTTCGTGGATGAAAATTTTCACGGGGATTTCATTTCTTTTTTCTCTAATTCCATCCGGTCGGTCGTTATTTTCGTTTTTTAAACGGGATTTTGGCTAGGGGAGGTATCTAAAGCCATCAGGAAGGTATTTAGGTAGTTTTTGAAGGGGATTTCAGCCATGGGGGGTATCTGTAGCCATCAGGAAGGTATTTAGGTAGTTTTTGAAGGGGATTTCAGCCATGGGGGGTATCTGTAGCCATCAGGAAGGTATTTAGGTAGTTTTTGAAGGGGATTTCAGCCATGGGGGTATCTGAAGCCATCAGGAAGGTATCTAGGTAGTTTTTGAAGGGGATTTCAGCCATGGGGGGTATCTGAAGCCATCAGGAAGGTATCTAGGTAGTTTTTGAAGGGATTTCAGCCATGGGGGTATCTGAAGCCATCAGGAAGGTATCTAGGTAGTTTTTGAAGGGATTTCAGCCATGGGGGTATCTGAAGCCATCAGGAAGGTATCTAGGTAGTTTTTGAAGGGGATTTCAGCCATGGGGGGGTATCTGAAGCCATCAGGAAGGTATCTAGGTAGTTTTTGAAGGGATTTCAGCCATGGGGGGTATCTGAAGCCATCAGGAAGGTATCTAGGTAGTTTTTGAAGGGGATTTCAGCCATGGGGGGTATCTGAAGCCATCAGGAAGGTATTTAGGTAGTTTTTGAAGGGGATTTCAGCCATGGGGGGTATCTGAAGCCACCAGGAAGGTATTTAGGTAGTTTTTGAAGGGGATTTCAGCCATGGGGGGTATCTGAAGCCATCAGGAAGGTATCTAGGTAGTTTTTGAAGGGGATTTCAGCCATGGGGGGTATCTGAAGCCATCAGGAAGGTATCTAGGTAGTTTTTGAAGGGGATTTCAGCCATGGGGGGTATCTGAAGCCATCAGGAAGGTATCTAGGTAGTTTTTGAAGGGGATTTCAGCCATGGGGGTATCTGAAGCCATCAGGAAGGTATCTAGGTAGTTTTTGAAGGGGATTTCAGCCATGGGGGGTATCTGAAGCCATCAGGAAGGTATCTAGGTAGTTTTTGAAGGGGATTTCAGCCATGGGGGGTATCTGAAGCCATCAGGAAGGTATCTAGGTAGTTTTTGAACGGGATTTCGGCTATGGGGGGTATTGATGGAGGTGGGAAAGGATGTGGTAGAGTGGGACATGTAGGGTAGCCCGAAGCCCAGATGGTTGCAGTCGCGAAGCGACTGTAACCATCTGGTTTATATATAGTAGATTTGCAAAGTTTTTACGTTTCCGAATAGACAAAACCAGTTTAAAAACACTTCTGCTATTTATATTTAACAAATTGGTTCCTAAACTAAAAGTTCCTTCCCCCCCCGATAATGCGAAAGAACCCATGGAACCATTAATGCGCATTTTGGAGTGCCATTACCTACCAACAGCAATACAAAATATATCGGCAGATATCCAGATACTTGGCGGCAGACATCAAGGCGAAACACAACCGATATATTGAAGAAGTACATCGCGGATTGATCGAGGATTTTGAGTGTTATGTCGAGGAGTACCAATGGCAACACGATTTCGGTGGCTGAATTTGCCAAAGTGAGGCATTTTCAAAGTTAAAGTGCCTCTAATGTTTTCCGATAATTGATAGCTGGCCGTCAGTGAGATTTTGAGAGTTTTCAGTTGGATAAAACGGCGATAATTGACGATTCCCAGAACGAGGAGATTCTAAAATTTAGCTCGTCTCTCTCCCGTCTCTCTCTCTCTCTCGCTCTCTCGCTCTCACTCTCGCTTTCTCACTAGCTCACGCTCTCTCACTATCTCTCTCTCTCTCTCTCTCTCTCTCGCACTCTTTCTCGCTCTCTCTCTTTCTCTCTGACTATCTCTCTCTCTCTCGCTCTCTCGTTCTCTCTCCAAACTTACAATCAAAAGACTCCCCGACCCAACCCAAATCAGATATTTGAAATATATTTGAAATTCCGGGCCAATGTCGCGGGTGGTCGATAGAAAGAGGAATATCGGCTAAAAAATGAGTTAGTTTGAGAAGCTAAAGAATTAACATCGAACCGTCAAAACGACTGGAACCACGAGAAGAGCCCAGGGTCGCGATTTCTCATACCGACGATAGTATGCCGTAGCCCATAGCCTCTCCAATGCACAAAATAGACTGAACGGAAAAGTGAGATAGTAGACGGGGCCGACGATAGGGGTCACTAGGTCGCCGAGGTGTTGCGAGAACTGAAAACCCTGTAAGTATACTGGAAAGTTCAACTTTGTTTGGTTTCTCCCTATAGGCATTCTTGAAAGGAGTAAATCAAAAAGTTATCTTGCCATGGCAAAGGTGCAAAAAGCCTACGACACTCGGGATTCCCAAGCCGTCTCCGATCCAAGTACTAACCGAGCCCAACGTTGCTTAACTTGGCAGATCGGACGGGATGCCGTGCTTTCAACGTGGTATGGTCGTAGGCGAGGGGAGGACAGGGAGAGGCGGTTTTGCGACGACAGACTCGCGAGCGCCTCGCGAAGAAGCACAGGAAGAGAAGAAGAAAGCTCAAAACCCCCCCTCTCCCCTCCCACCCCTCGCCTGCGACCATACCACGTTGAAAGCACGGCATCCCGTCCGATCTGCCAAGTTAAGCAACGTTGGGCTCGGTTAGTACTTGGATCGGAGACGGCTTGGAAATCCCGAGTGTCGTAGGCTTTTTGCACTGCTTGAAAGAGATGGAGACTTTGTAAATGTTATTTTTGCATATCGAAGCTATTTATTTTGCTACTTTTTGGAAGCCGTTTCAGAAAGCACGACTTGGATAGCGCTTCAACCGGTTAAATTTGGTCCGTAGCAAGAAGCATCTCCTTTAGCATGAAAAAGAACGAAAATCTAGCAAAAAATCGGAGAGCCGATTCTGTTATTTTGGGACATCCTGTTTCAAATTTCAATTGCAATATTTTCAAACCTCAAGCAACGTAAAAATACGCATCGCCATAGTTATGGTAGCCATTACCCAGTATATGAATATCAACGAACCAAACGACAACCTGAAAAAACCTTTTATAGCGCTATGAATTTAGTTGAATAAAAATTCCTTAATTTAATAAAGTAGTATTGTTTTGATTTATTCAATTATTTTGTGAATTGAGCCTTTTAATGTAGTCATCGATTAGGCTCGGTTTCACTCACACAAAAAATGGGTGAAATGCCCTTCGTTGTATCAGGAAACAGGTTATTAACAGCGTAACGTAGCCCCAAATAAGCGTCGAGACGGCAACTGTCGCGACGCCAGCCAGCAGTTCAGCCGGTACGCAGTCCATCTAAATTTTTGTCGTAAAGAGGAAAGTAAAGTAAATGGGAATTTATTGGAATTTCACGAGTTCAGCGGACTACAACTTTTTTTGCATGACGTGGCAAATTCCCTGGAGGGCATCAAAACCCAATGAAATGCTCAAATTGAAGACGGATTGTCTCGAACTCGCGCTTTTGAAATGCTTCTTCCTAACTCTCTCTCTCTCTCTCTCTCTCTCTCTCTCTCTCTCTCTCTCTCTCTCTCTCTCTCTCTCTCTCTCTCTCTCTCTCTCTCTCTCTCTCTGTCTCTCGCTCTCTCTCTCTCTCTCGCTCTCTCTCTCCTCTCTCTCTCTCTCTCTCTCTCTCTCTCTCTCTCTCTCTCTCTCTCTCTCTCTCTCTCTCTCTCTCTCTCTCTCTCTCTCTCTCTCTCTCTCTCTCTCTTGCTCTCTCTCTCTCTTTCTCTCTCTCTCTCTCTCTCTCTCTCTCTCTCTCTCTCTCTCTCTCTTCCTCTCGCTCTCTTCTAAATTTTTGGAGGGCGCTGGCATGCATCTGGATTTTGAGGCCATTTCTTGGAAAATTGAGTCACCAAATTTTTAAGTGTCACGATTGGCACAAACTAAATTGTACTAAAAAGCCTTCTTTTGCTGAAAACAAGGAAAAAATTGTTGTGATTGTGTGAAACGAACTGGGTAAATCAAACTAGATCAACTATAATAAAAAAGTTAAGACGTCCGTCCGTCCGTGTGTCTGAAGCCGAATTCAACTCGAAGGGGAAAGGAGCTAGAGCTTAGCTCTCTTCGGATTCGGATAGAGCGCCGTTAGAAACCCCCAAACTAATAAAAAAATTATGAAAAAGTTTTAGTTTAACTTATTAAAATTAACTTTGAAAGTTTTCTCCTTAGTAAAAGGGTGGGGGACGGAGGTTGGGCTGATTTTGGACATAGTGAGCCAGGTCGCGCGCGTTTCGTGGATGAAAATTTTCACGGGGGATTTCATTTCTTTTTTTCTCTAATTCCATCCGGTCGGTCGTTATTTTCGTTTTTTAAACGGGATTTTGGCTAGGGGAGGTATCTAAAGCCATCAGGAAGGTATTTAGGTAGTTTTTGAAGGGGATTTCAGCCATGGGGGGTATCTGTAGCCATCAGGAAGGTATTTAGGTAGTTTTTGAAGGGGATTTCAGCCATGGGGGGTATCTGTAGCCATCAGGAAGGTATTTAGGTAGTTTTTGAAGGGGATTTCAGCCATGGGGGGTATCTGAAGCCATCAGGAAGGTATCTAGGTAGTTTTTGAAGGGGATTTCAGCCATGGGGGGTATCTGAAGCCATCAGGAAGGTATTTAGGTAGTTTTTGAAGGGGATTTCAGCCATGGGGGGTATCTGAAGCCATCAGGAAGGTATCTAGGTAGTTTTTGAAGGGGATTTCAGCCATGGGGGGTATCTGAAGCCATCAGGAAGGTATCTAGGTAGTTTTTGAAGGGGATTTCAGCCATGGGGGGTATCTGAAGCCATCAGGAAGGTATCTAGGTAGTTTTTGAACGGGATTTCGGCTATGGGGGGTATTGATGGAGGTGGGAAAGGATGTGGTAGAGTGGGACATGTAGGGTAGCCCGAAGCCCAGATGGTTGCAGTCGCGAAGCGACTGTAACCATCTGGTATTTTTAAAAACAAGTATAGGACTGTTAGCGAGGGGGGATTTTAGTGAGGGTGGCAATTTTTCCCTAGTTGTCCCGTACGACCCTATAACAAAATCTAAACCATTTGTTATTGCATCTTACAAGTTGTAGATAAAAAAACGCATCCAAATTCATATATTTTTCCGGTTAAACAAACCAAAAAAAAAGAATCGAAATTTTACAAGTTTCCCAGAAATTTTCCATGCCTTTTCATGTCCTAGGCTAGAAAATTTTAAAAAACGCATGAAAAGTTTCTTTATATCTATTAGCAGGTATGTATAAGCAAAATCACGAAAAATAGGGAAATGTAGCCAAAAATTTACCGTAAAACGGGGTTGCAACAGTTATTAAAATTTGGTTTTATAAATAAACACCGCGAAACTACCTTTTGACAAACTTTTTTAGCCACACCGGACAGGTGAAATTTTCAACGGGGCACGGGAAGCCTACATTATCCGTTGCAGCAGTCCCAAACGGGTCCAAAACACCCCTGCTATCGTTCCGATTCGGCGTGCCGGATTGTTACGATTTAGGTATTAATCGAAAGGTGGACGTACCGATAGGGGGTTTCACGGTCGATATAGGGGACCATTGCCGGTATAGGGGATCAAAAAATGGCCGAGTTTTCCGAATCGTCGAAATGGGGGATCACTGTCGAAAGTTCTGTAGAAATCTTACGATTCTACAGGACTTACGAGGGTTTAATTAGGCGGACTTGGCGGGCGGCCAAATTCTCCCTGGGTCCCGGCGCGGGCCCCCCTGCGGGTCACCGTATGGCGGCTGCCCTCGGCCCGGGGAAAGGGATCATTTTTCCCCAGTCGTTGCATTTTCTCCCAAACTGGGAGAAATGCTGCCAGTCATTTCTATGACTGGTAGGGCGATTCGGTGTTGGTGTGATGTGTCCTGCATCCCCGATACCGGTGACCCCGGCGAGCTCCTTTACCCAGAGTGCCCCGTCTCCAACCTACCCAGAGCTCTACCCGCATTCACTTTGCCCAGACCTTTCCCTTGGCTCGCCCAATCCAGACTTCCGGTATCCGTGTTCTTATCGTGTACTAATAAACTCTTATTCAACAAGAGTGTCCAGGCTATTCGGGAAATGCATCTTATACTACTGCTGATAAGCCGATCGCGCGTTCTTTTGGTGCAGTCTTTCCTTCAACAAGGTTAGCGGGTGGCAAACCCCTCGCGTGGGCATTATTCCGGGATTTATTCCTGAATAATGCGGGGAGCCGCTAGCTTTCGTCAATCACGATTTTTCGAATTGTCGATATAGGGGATCAAGGGCAGAATAAGCATTTTTCATGGTTTATCAAATCACGTGCATTTCCGGTAACTACACGGTCACTTCTGACATTATATGCTTACAAGGCGGCGCTAATGCAGAGCGAGACCGGTCCTAACACCACCGCAAGCGGCTACGAGACGCGCTTCAGCCACTTGGTTTTTGGCTTAAGGGTTTAACTCAACTTTTTTTACGATTTTTTGCGGAAGCCTTGACTTCAATTTAAGCCCACGCTAGGCTTGTCTTGACTTGTTCAGGGAGTCCAAAAGGGTCTGCTATACATGGCGTCGCGTAGTAAGTCTAACTGGGCTCATGCGATTAAGCTTATACAGGGTGGGCAGAAAAAAAAGTGCCTGGTTTGCACTGAAATATCTCGCTAGGGGAAACGAATCGGACCATGGTTACCTTGCCAGAATGCTTAAATATGCTGGGTATGAAGAATAAACACAAGTTGTTTTTTATGATTTTTGACGACTCACTACTCGTTAAGAATTTTTGAACATTTTTGAAAAAATAGAAAACTTTGAAGAGGAAAATCATGGAACTTTTTATGAGTTAGGGGGACATGTAGGGTATCAAAATGAAGCTTTTGGAATGCGCTATCAAATCAGTGGTAAAAATTATCGATCGGTTTAACTAGCCGTCAATAGGAGCCTTCGGAAAATCGGCACTTTTCCAGAAGGGACGATTCCGAGTTAACCATAGAATGCACATTGCCACGGTAACTTTTTTTATTTGTTAGATGTAATCCTGTTTGCCAAAGATAACCATATTATAAATTTAACTATGTGAGCCTAGAACTTATAAATTCCGCAGACTTGGCAAAGTGCCAAAAAATTTTTTGATCGGGATTTTGACCATCTTAATGCGAAAAGTTAGCAGGTATCTATTTATTGCTAACTGCAAAATATCAGAAAGATCGGATGGTAAAGAAATTTTATCTCGAATTATTCCTTCAAAAAATGCCGATTTTCCGATGGCTCCTATTGACGGCTAGTTAAACCGATCGATAATTTTTACCACTGATTTGATAGCGCATTCCAAAAGCTTCATTTTGATACCCTACATGTCCCCCTAACTCATAAAAAGTTCCATGATTTTCCTCTTCAAAGTTTTCTATTTTTTCAAAAATGTTCAAAAATTCTTAACGAGTAGTGAGTCGTCAAAAATCATAAAAAACAACTTGTGTTTATTCTTCATACCCAGCATATTTAAGCATTCTGGCAAGGTAACCATGGTCCGATTCGTTTCCCCCAGCGAGATATTTCATTGCAAACCAGGCACTTTTTTTTCTGCCCACCCTGTAAGCATACTTTGAGGGAAGGCTGCTCGTAAGCTCCTTAGCTCAAGTTAGCTTTTCCAGTGGCTTCGTGTTTAAAAAGCCTTTGGAGCGTCTTTTAGTCAAAATCCGAACTGGATTAGCACCGCCTTGTGAACATATAATGTCAGAAGGGACCGTGTAATTACCGGAAATGCACGTGGCATTATAAACCATGTAAAATGCTTATTCTGCCCTTGTTCCCCTTGATCGACATTTCGAAAAAATCGTGATCCCCTATATCGACGATTGGGAAAACTTGGCCTATTTTTGATCCCCTATACCGACACTGATCCCTGTACCGGCAATGATCCCCTATATCGACCGTGATACCTCCTATCGGTATAGAGCCGACATGTCGGCCCTCAGATTTTCATTGTATCAGAATTTTTGTACATCAATTCATCGTAAATTTTTATAGTTGGCTGATACGCTGAACATGTACCATCGTGTGCTTTGATGAAGCTGTCAAAAAGTATCAGGGTGGTACGACGAGTGTGTTTTAATCGGGATTTTGACCGTCGGCATGATGATTGTCGGTATCTGGGCTGTCGGGATTTTGGTGTTTTCCTTTTTTCCATAGAAAAACTACACCCCTTTCTAGAACCTTTATTGCCACAACAAATCAAGTTGGGAAAAGTATTCATTTTGGGAGGCGGAAAGTGGTATCTTTTGACCGAGCGTGTTCCGGAAGGTGAGGCCGATTCCGCGACTTCCCGCGATACGGTTGAAGAAGCGGAAATGACGCAACAAAGGTTCCATAGGTCTTCGTAATACTCGACTGTGGTACAAAATCAGCATGTAGAAAGTTATTGGAATCGCGGCTCGGATCTGCAAAACGAAAAAATTAGCGATTTAACGATTTAATAAGAATCTAATTGTACGGCTAAGGTTTCTGATATACCTGACATTTTTTAAAACTTAAAATGCCTCTTTTCAAGTTACCTCTAGTTATATCAAAAGCTTACCAATAAAAATATGTAGTACACCGTAATGTACCAAGAGTTGGATACGCATAATTCCTGCGAAAATAGGGTAGAGGTGTGAAGGAATCGGGAGACCAGGTGATCCAGGATTTTCAGGATACTATCTTGCATGGCAAATGGAAGGGCGATGGCAGTTGCTAAAAAATATAGAAACTGGGGCTTCGCTACGGCTTTAAAGGGACCGCAAGCGCCGAAATCAACTTTTTATTTTAGCTAACAAGGGAAGTGCACGACCGGCCCACGAGAAATCGACACGCGACATAGTGGATCTGATAGAATAGGACACGGGGATTCCGAATCTGTAATCAGGATCTGCTAACTAAAACGGAGAAAAAATTATGAAGCTTCAAAGTTGGCCAAATCACCAAAAACCGTACCTTTAAGGGCCTGTAAAAACCAGGGGGACGGAATTGAGGAGAAAAGAGCTAGTGCATCTTGTTCAGCAGGAAAAGCGCTTTCGAATGAGCTGTAATACGTACCATTTGCAAACAATTCACCGACAAAGGTTTTTTGGATTCACGGGAAAGGGTATGGCCTGCCAAGTTCATAGAAGAGATTTCCGCGAAATTATCCTAAACTTGAAGCAAGATTTCGCCGCAACAGCCAGCACGCAGCAGCAAGCGTGTCGATTTCTCGTGGGCCGGTCGTGCACTTCCCTTGTAAGTATCGTCAGTTACGCTACACGTCAAATTATGCGAATCACATTTTACTGCAGCAGATGGGATAACGCAGACCACTTCAAGCGTATTTTGGCGTGTAGCGTAGCTGTCGAAAGCTGGCCAATGGAGCAGGGGTCGATTCTGGACTTACTGGCCCCTTTAAGATCTACTTACCCTGTAGGTTCTCCGAGATCTGGTATCTTGTCGATAAGCAAGCTCTACCGAAGCGCAGCTTCCGTGTTAGCCGGTAGTTGAAAAAGCCGACGAGAAGTAAACCCTGAAAGTTTTAACATTTTTATGCTTTTTATTTTTTAATAAACGTTGCGATACTGACCCAAAATAATAAGGAAGTGCCACCATAAACTGCATTCTGAAGGACAATCGAGCTAAATTCTCCGAAAAGTCCTGCGACGATACAATAAAAGAAGGCAGACTAAAAATAAGCATAATCAAGATTCTCAACACTGCTTACCATAACGACACCCGGGATTGCCAGTAAAAACCATGGGCGCAGTCTAGCGTACTTTTCGTGGAATATCGTAGCGTAGAAGCGTTCCAAGACGCAAAAGATGCTAAAAGGGGTTCCAAGGTAGTAGACAGGACCGATGAGACCACGGAGGAATAAGGTGAATTCTGAGGAAATCTGAAAATCATAAACTTTACTACCGCTATTAGTAATTCCTTTTTTAACCAAGAAGTGAACTAAAGATCAAGGAATTTAACTCTTCTTGTAACTTAGTGTAATTTCACATTAAATGCCGTTTCAAGTATCAACCTGCAAAACAGTTAGCACCCGCATGACATAACTCGTGATAGCGGAAAACCAGTAGACAAAGATAAGCGCGCCGAACGAAGCTCTAAAGAAGCGGAATTTCCTGCTCAGACTGTACAGGGTGTCCCAAAAAAAATACACCGGCCGCATTTCTCCATATCGGGTCCGACCGACTTGAAATTTTGCACAAAGGTAGCGAAGCCAATTTGCCATGAACACAGAAGGTTTAAGCACGATCGGTCGGCGGATTTTAAAGTTGTAGAGAAAATACTTTTTATTTTTTATTTAGTATGGGGACTTCTGTAATTTGCATCAAAATTGTGCGTAATTTTGTCATTTACGAGCTGATTTTGCAAAATTTGTGCCAAAAAATGCCATTTGCTGTTTTGCGCTTCGCAAGAACGATTCCGCATGTGAAGTAAAAATGATCCACACAACGACCGGATACAAGAAACCAGGGTTGTAACATACGTTCGCCGGTTGATTTAATTTATAACTCGGTGTCGAGAATCTGCATGATATTCTCGGGTTCTTTTCCTCTCCGTTTTCCCCCGATCGATAAGTGACCGTTCGTCTTCCCCCTGGCGCCATTTCGTCCGCGCCACCCCGCATGCTTGCCTCGGGCCCATTAGCCCCCCTGTGTAAAGCGCCCCCTCGACATCCGGTCCCGCCCTGTATTTCGTGTATATAAACGGAGCTATGGAATAAAGATTAGCTCAGTCCATCCACCGTTCGCACCCTGAGCTCCACCACATGGGGATTCACGACATTTGGTGCGTCGGCCGGGAAACCTTCTCGCTGACCCGTCGTCCCCTCCGCTCGCCTGGCCCGGCTTCGCCTCCGTCACCCTTCTGCCCGGTTCCTAGCGTGTGGTGCTCCCGCTTCGGCGGTTATAAGCCCCCCGTGGAGCGTGGCGCAGTGGGGCTGCGTTGGCTTCGCCCGGATGCCCGCTGCTCCGTCTACCCGCCTTCATCGCTCCCCGCCAGGCCCTTGTCCTTCCGATGCGACGCCGACCGTCGCCCGGAGGCCCCCCGGCTACTCGCGACGCCACCCTCGCTCTCGGTTCCCGCTGTCTGAGGCCCGTCGGTGCGTCTCCACGGGCTTCGCTCCCTCGTCGGCGACCTTCTGCCCGTCGCGGCATCGCCGTCGTCGCTCTCCCTCCCTCCGGGTGCGACCTTCTTCCCGCTCCTGTCGGCCCTCGATGCCCTGCGCTCTGCCGCCGCCCGTCCTGCTTCCGGGCCCGTTCATCCTCGCGACTCCCTACATGTCGCGCCTTCGCCCGGCTCAGCGGCTTGGGCTCACCCCGCTGCCGTCCTCGCCTGGCTCCTGCCTCTGTTCGCCACGGCCCCGTCTCGACGGCCCCCTCTCCGTGCTCCCGGGATCCTGCACCTGCTCGCCCAGGCACCCTTCCGACGGGACCCTCTATGTGCACCTCGGCTCACCCCCGCGTCTCGGCCTGTCCTCTTCCGACCTCATCCCGTCGCTGGACGCCTCAGTACTTGCCGCGCTGCCGCTTGGACCCTCTGGCCCGCCCGCCTCTCGCGGTATACGTGCCCCCAATAAGCGCGCCCGCCGACTTGCCCCCCGTCGCAACGCCGTTCGTCGCCAACCGTGATTGGCCCGCTTCGTTCCGTCGCCGCCACCGCTTCCGGTTGTTTTCGTCTTTCGTGCCCCCGCCAGGCACGCCCAGCGGGCGTATGCTTCGGCATGGCCTGCCCCCGACGGCCCGCTTCCAACTTCCCGATGCGGCGCCCGCATACCCTCTCGCCGTCGCCGCCCCTGACGCGGCGCTGCCTTCGCTCTCCGCAGCGCCCCGCTCCCGCGCGGCTCGCTTCCGCACCACCACGCTGCGGCGCCGCCTCTCCGCTGGCCGTCATCGTCTTCGCCCAGCAATGGTTACAGCGATGTCTTGCCTTTCCGCTGCCTGCCTTTGCCACAAGCCGCGAAGCTACTCATTGGACGTCGTGCACCTCGCCCACTCCTTCTTCCCGCTCCTGTCGGCCCTCGATGCACTGCGCTCTGCCGCCGCCCGTCCTGCTTCCGGGCCCGTTCATCCTCGCGGCCCCCTACATGCCGCGCCCTCGCCCGGCTCAGCGTCTTGGGCTTACCTCGCTGCCGGGAAGAGGGAAGAGAGGGAGAAGAGTCTGATTCTCGCAGCACACCAGGGTTCGCTCCCGAATGAGCGCCCTCCGAAGACGTCGGGAATGAGTCCCACGCAACCTACCCTCGAGCTGCCGAGCCTCATCCTCGCAGCACCCTCGACGTCGGCGAATCCGCGCCTTCGTCCCCCCGGGCCCGCTTCGCCGCGGTTGCCCACCCCCGAGCTGCCGAGCCTCATCCTCGCAGCACCCTCGACGTCGGCGAATCCGCGCCTTCGTCCCCCCGGGCCCGCTTCGCCGCGGTTGCCCACCCCCGAGCTGCCGAGCCTCGTCCTCGCAGCACCCTCGATGTCGGCGAATCCGCGCCTTCGTCCCCCCGGGCCCGCTTCGCCGCGGTTGCCCACCCCCGAGCTGTCGAGTATCGTTCTCGCAGCACCCCAGGGTTCGCTCCTGAATGAGCGCCCTCCGAAGACGTCGGGAACAGGTCCCACGCAAACGCCGGGCCCGCTTCACCGCGGCTGCCCACCCCGAGCTGCCGAGCCTCGTTCTCGCAGCACCCTAGACGTCGGCGTCTACACGCCTTCGTCCCCCCGGGCCCTCATCATACAACGCGCCCACCACGAACGGCCGAGCCTCGTTCTCGCCGCACCCTAGACGTCGGCATCTACACGCCTTCGTCCCCCCGGGCCCTCATCATCCAACGCGCCCACCTCGAGCGGCCGAGCCTCGTTCTCGCCGCGCCCTCAACGTCGGCGCCTATACGCCTTCGTCCCCACGGGCCCTCCTCATCCAAGCCCACCTTCGGGCCCCTCATCTACGGGCCCTCGTTACCGCACGCCTTCGTCCTCGCGTGCCCTCGTCTCTTGTTTGTTGCCCCTGCCAGGGTACGCCGGTCAGCGGCGTCTGCTACGCTACGTCCTCGCCCGCCCTGTGCAACGACTGGTCCCGACGACCTCGCCCGCCGGGCGCCACCCACAACCCACAATACCCGGGATAATGTCAACCGCTCCGTCTCCGCCGCCACCTCAGCCAGCCACCCGCTGGTCGATGCCGCGCCTACGTGCCGCCGTCCCTGCCGAAGGCCCCTCGCTCGCCCCATCACCCCTGTTGCTGCTGCTGCTGCTGCTGCGCCTCCGACGGTCCCTGCCCGACTCCTGCTGAACGCATAAAAAGGCTTTCCCCCGTATGATATGTATCCTTTTGTGCCTTCCCCACTATCTGTTGTGGATCTCCCGATCTCCCCCATCAAGTCCCGCGTGGCCCCTCTAACATTTAGAGCATTCTCCTAACCGACCCCCTGTTTCCCCCGGGAATGTCGAGAATCTGCATAATATTCTCGGGTTCTTTTCCTCTCCGTTTTCCCCCGATCGATAAGTGACCGTTCGTCTTCCCCCTGGCGCCATTTCGTCCGCGCCACCCCGCATGCTTGCCTCGGGCCCATTAGCCCCCCTGTGTAAAGCGCCCCCTCGACATCCGGTCCCGCCCTGTATTTCGTGTATATAAACGGAGCTATGGAATAAAGATTAGCTCAGTCCATCCACCGTTCGCACCCTGAGCTCCACCACATGGGGATTTACGACACTCGGGCTTGCGCATAGGTATAAAGCCTCGATTTGGATTTAATTGTTAATTTGGAGCTGGTAGAGCGCTGTGTCGAAGACAAGGTATGTCAAATTCATCAAACCTTCAATAAAATGTGTGTGAGTGCTCAAAAAACTATTGTTTTGACCGCATTTTATTTCTCATGCGCAATCGTTCTTGCGAAGCGCAAAACAACAAATGGCATTTTTCGGCAAAAATTATGCAAAGTCAGCTCGTAAATGACAAAAATACGCACATTTTTGATGCAAATTACGGAAGTCCCCATACTAAATAAAAAATAAAAAGTATTTTCGCTATAACTTTCGAATACGCTGACCGGTAGGGCTGAAACTTTCTGTGTTCATGGGAAATTGGCTTCGCTACCTCTCTGCAAAATTTCAAGTCCATCGGACCCGATATGGAGAAATGCTGCCGGTGTCTTTTTTTTGGGACACCCTGTAGATACGAATATCGTAAAGTTGGCACCTCTGCTATGCCTGGAATGAATAAACCTACGTGAAAAACGGGTGGAAGGCTCGCCGTTGAACTAGGAGGCAAAATAGGAGTACCGACAATAGCAAGGAAAGCATGGTAGACGTGATTAGGGCCGTGATATCTGATATCCATTCAGCTGTTTGACAAGCATCCTGAAAATTCAGGATTTTAAAGCGCACGTTCAGGGAGGGGCCGTGTACCGGTCCCAACGTGTACACCCTATGGACGTAGGGACCGCGCGCGCTGCTTGCCCGTGCCGTGGCAGGCCATTCCCCTCCTTGCAGCGTGGGGCGCCCCTCACCCCCTCGCGAGGTTGTAGCTGTGGCTGACTGGTCTTCACCCAAGCGGGGGGTCCGGGTTTGACCCCCGGCCGCGGCAAAAATCTTTGCTTTTTTCCAAAAAAAAACGTCCGTGAACGTGCCCTTTAATGACGAGATTTTTTTGGAAAATACAAGATTTTTCCTAGTTTTCTGTTTTGGTAGAGAGCGAACAAGACAGATAGAGAGAGAGAGAGAGAGAGAGAGATAGAGAGGCCAAGAGAGTGGAAGAGGGTTTGTCTTGTTTTTCAATTCACGCATTTATTTGGAAAAAGACTTACCATCGCAACCATCCTTGTCAGTTTCTATATCACCCAGAAACGTTAAAATCTTAGAAAATTCGCGATGATCGAATAACACCGGCGATAACAGAATGAAGTACCAAAAATTCCAAATGTCGATGACCCAAGAAGAAAGCAATTCTTGATTTCCATACGTAGACATCTGATTTGTTGGTCGAATTCCCCATGGGACTTCTTTTTTTTGTAAAAACAGTCTGGTTTCATTGGCCGGTGCTTGTTTTCCACGTACAAATCAAGTCGGTATACCTCTGGGTGCATACTGTGTATGCCCCAGCATCAAAAGTCGGAGTCCAAAGACGGAAATACAAAAATAGAAATAACACAAAAATACACTGTCCATTTTGCAGAAATTTCGCTCTATACGAAAGCTTCGGATTTTCATTGCCTGGGAGAGCGGGAGAGAGGGAGAGAGGGGGAGGGGGAGGGGGAGAGAGAGGGAGAGAGGAAGAGTGAGAGAGAGAGAGAGAGAGCGAGAGAGCGAGAGTGCGAGAGTGCGAGAGAGCGAGAGAGCGAGAGAGCGACAGAGCAAGAGAGCGAGAGAGCGAGAGTGCGAGAGAGCGAGAGAGAGTGAGAGAGACAGAAAGAAAGAGAGGGAGTGAGATAGTTTTCAGAAGTTTAAACCTATTCATTTAAAAAAAATTTAATGTTAATCTAACTGCCTGCAAAAGTTATGAGTTTTTATACGTAATCGCTCGTAACTAAAAATGCATTTTTATCAGTTTCATGGTAACAAACTTAGCCAAATTAACGATTCTCTTCATTAAAAAAGAACATAGATCTTTATTCACAACATCGTAATTACTTATCCCCAAAGTCGCTCGAGTTGAGCAAAATAATCATCCTGTGATGCGGAGAGTGGAATCTTCTGCCCAATCGTATTCCGAAAGGCCACGTCGGTTCCGCGACGCTCCCCTATACGATTTAGGGAGTGGAAACGTGGACGTATCGATTGCAGTGGTTTTCGCAGAATACGACTCTGGCAGAGGATCATTGCGTAGAATGTGATCGGGATCGCGACTCGGAACTAAAACCGTTGCTCACATATTTTTCGAGAGCTAGAGGGAGAGAGAGAACGAGAGAGAGAGAGAGAGAGAGAGAGAGAGAGAGACGATGACTTACCAATAAAAATACATAATATCCCGGAATATACCAGGAGTTATTGACGCAGAAGTCACGAGAAAACAGCGTGGAGATCAACAAAAACCGAAGTGCTAGATGATCAACAACTTTCAGGATACTGTCCTGCATTGCGAATGGCAGGGCGATGGCGGTGGCTAAAAGTATCAAAATTAATGATATTATTAATTATTAAGATAAGGGACAAAATTGATGAAAAAATATTTTAAGCCATCAAAACGTTACCTTTCATATTCTCCGAAATCTGATATCTCGTCGATAGGCAGGCTCTGCCAAAACGCAATTTCTGGGTCAGTTTATAGTTGAAAAAACCGACGAGGAGCAGGCCCTAAAAATTTCAGGTCTATTTTGGTGTCTATTAGGCCCGAGTTCAAGCAGTTCAGGTGCATTTTTTTGAGAAAATTCGTGAATAAAGTTTGATAAAACCAACAATAACTTTTAAACCGATTTTTGGATACAAATTAGCTATAGCAAGTCTTCCTATACCTTCTGTTCACAATTTTTAGGTAAACTTCAAAATTACATTGGCTAGTACATTTTGCACCCGCTTCCGGCCCCTTTATTAGCCGTGACCAGGGTTGGTCACAAAGGATCTGGTCCGCGGGCGGTCCGCGGTCCGGTCCGGTCCGGATCGGTCCGAGTGGATCCGACAATTTCGGACCGGACCGGACCGGACCGGGTCGGACCGGTCCGGTCCGGGCTGAACACAAAAGGACATGATTCAGGAGCCAGCTATGGAAAATTTTGTATGCAAAATACTACTCTCCAAAAATGTCACATATTTTTAGACATCTAGGCTACTATCCGTCGCGTATATAGCCAAAAATTAGCGGGAATGAATAATTTTATACATTTTGATTAAGCGAATTCCACATTGCGTCTTTTTTTGGTACGCCGCTCTTTTGCATTCCGAATTTGCATGTTGCATTTCCGTTTCTCCTAGCAAATCAAGACCCCTCGGTCCGCCACGGACCGGACAGGTCCGGTCCGGTCCGGTCCGGTCCGGTCCGGATGGAAATTTCGGACCGGACCGGACCGGACCGAGCCCCGGACCGGACCGGATCCGAGTAGGATCCAGCGTGACCAACCCTGCCAGTGACTGACTTTGATTTATCCATATTCCCATAGGATTCGAGCCTAATTTGTGGGCCCATTGATGAATTTTCAATTTTCATGGGCACAAGATCGTAAGAAAAATTAGGTTGTCTGACCCTCAACTTTAAAATAAAAGTTCTAGACCTTGTAAAGTAATACAAAGCCGTACTTTCCAAGGTATTGTGCTTACAGTTAGCCTGCCGGAATCTACAGTGCCAGCAAAACTCACCCAAAACAACACCGCCGATCCGGCGTAGATGGCGAGCTGTAAAACAGCTGCTGTCAGGAGGTTGCTCATGACCGAATATGGGAATAAGGGCTAAATTGTGGTAAATTGGTGTTATGCGACTTAACGGAGCATGATTAAAGGGTAAGAGTCTGATTTGATTTTGATTTTGGCTCAAGTCTAGGAAACCCCCACCCCCAGCCCTAACTTTTCAGCCTAACGTCCTATTAATGCGTGGAGTATTTCAAAATGTTCGCCGTGGTCGAATTACTATAATGCAGTTGTTTTCTTGCGGCAAAAATTGCTAGAAAAATTTTTACAAGATTTTGAAAGTTGAAAAGCTTAAGTCGCCCTGCCTCAATGCACTACGGGTTTCATAGTCAAATATTTTCTTTTTTCGCTAATTTTTTCGTCTCAAACGTACTGTAGCCTTATTCTACGGCGCAAGAGCTACATTTTAGTACCATTGACGGCTCTGTACGACTAAAGATAGCCGAGATAGAAAAACTCACTTTCGACCCGGAAAAATTCAAAAGAAAACCCATACTTATAATTGTTATAAAAATTTTCTAAGAATTTTTGACGTTAGGAAACAACTTGGCCTAAGAGATTCGACCATGGCGAACATTTTTCGATACTCGGCGCATTAATAGGACGTTTGGCTGAAAAGTTCTGGCTGGGGGGGTAAATTAGGCTTTAGCCGATGAAACGCGGTATAACCAAAAAATTTGGCTAAAGGTCTCTTACCGCCACAATTATCGGAACCACCAATAGAAACCATGGGCGTAGTCTCGCGTACTCTTGGTAGAGTACGGTGGCACAGAGGCGTTCCAGGGCGCAAAAAAGACTGAATGGCGTTCCGAGGTAGTACATCGGGCTGTTAAAAAACCGGATCGAGGCGCCGACGGATGGATCGAGCTAGAAAATGAAGCCGATGAAGCTAATGAAGCTTGAATAGCTTCAAGCCAAGCAAGGCTGGGAATTTAAAGAGACGGAGAGACGGTCAGCTACATATTTTTTGCTTCAAGACCCGACTTCGATGATTTTGCCACGCACGCGCGGCGACACGCGACGCGCCGCTACGTCACTGCGGCGGACCCACGCAATTACGCAAGGTAAAGCGAGCGCGTTGCGTGTCGCGGCAAAATATGTACGAAAAAACTACCGTAAATGCACTCTTAACAAACTCGTAAAATACCAACTTGTAGTATACCACTTAGCCGCATTACATTGGTCATTACAGCCGACAACCAATAAACAAACACCAGCGATCCAAAAGATACCCTAAATCACGGGGAGCATTTTTGCGATAATTAAAGCTTCCAGTAGGTACGTAAAGCTCCTATAAGCTCCAAATTATTCAGCAGAAATTACGGTTGCGCCTCAAAAACCAACGTGAAAAACGGATGAAAAGCTTGACGTTGAGCGAGTAGACACCATAAAATTAATGTTAATAACGTGGATATAATCGTGGCAAAGACGAACGTCACGATGGCGGATGCGGATTCGGCGTTTTCGCAGGATAACGGAAATTTAAGTGGTCTAACGAATTTTAGTCGAAAAATAGTTTTTAAATATCGGGATTTCCGGGCATTTTTAATGCAGCTTAAAGGGACTCGGACAGCTAAATTGGCATTTTTTGAAGCGGATACTTACCTCAACGTCCATTTTCCGCCTCTAGCCTCTACTTTAAACTCCTATTTACGGTATACGATCGGAATATCATACTTTAAAAGCTACAGAAGGTGCCCAAACTGCGCTTGAGGAAATGGAACCGGTAATCTTGTGACCCTTCTTCGGAAGCTACCTCTTGAAATTAGGCGTTTCCCTCGGGGCCTATTTTTTACGCCCAAAAAGAGGTCCGAAAAGAGGTGCATTGAACTTTTGTTTTTGAAATCCTTTTGATATTCCTAGACGTCTGCGTATGCTAATTGCATCAGGTTAAATTCCTGCGTGCGCGGATTGTACATCTAGTGTTTACAGAAAATCTACAGGCGTACTTGATAGACTGAATAGGCCATACAGTATGAGACCGTTAAGGATCAGCATCCGCATCATTATTTTGTAACTACTATTATTTAATTTATACGAGGATTTTTGTCGCATAATACCGTAAAAACCGGATTTTTATGTTAATAAAAAATTTATCTTAACGATTGCATTAAATGTCTTTATCGTTTTGCTGATTCTGATCTAATCTTCCGACGTCTTTTTGACAAACTTGTACGCGCGATTCCCAGTTAGCAGCAGAAAAGGTGCGCCTGTGTTGGGCTACGCGCCGCTACACTGCACGTCCCTACCCCGCGCTCCCATAGGAACCAGTAAGTTTTGAAGCCAATGGGGCGTTTTTGGCGGAAAATATGAAAGAAAGTGTTCTAGTTTTTGATATATTCGATTACAATTTCTTTAACATTACTGACTTCCTTAACGGGGAAACATTGTCGGGGCTGATAGCCGTTCGAAGGGGAAGATAGACGAGTAGAAAGAGCATAGAAAGTTAGCAGGAAATATATTTCTAAAATTCCATGTTGTAAAATGTCTATTATTAAAAAATTTGGTCTTTACGGTTTCTGTAAAACGCGTTTCATCGCTTTTTTTTAATTGAACATCAGAATTCTTGTGCCCGAAATGCATTTTCTGAGCAGGTGTGTTTTCGCTTTTAGAAACTTACTTTAGTCAAATCAAACGTTCAATTTATAGGAAAACCTTTTTTCGTGCTCCCAACGTGAAGCTCAACTAACAATGGCCCGAAAGAAGAAGCGCTGCATGTGCGCGAGTATCGCCAGCGGGTGGCGCGGAATTTGCCAGGAGCACAGGTCAGAATTTTCGGTTTTGATACCTCGAAAATAGGATTTCAGGGAGGTCGCCCATCCGTGCGTTAGGCCGAAACCTGAGAAGAAGGAATCCGGGCCGTGTAAGGTGGGTTTTTATAATTTATTTCATATAAACCGCTTTTCGAAGCCAATAAAACCTTCATTTTTCAGATTTGCTATAAAACAATCCCGCTGCCTACGAAAAATACGAAAAATATGCCCGGGCCGCTGTTGACACATTCAAAGACGCATTTGGCTGTGGTTAGTTTTTGAAGCTTAGAAGTTTTGGATATCGGGTTCTGCCAAAAAATGTATACATTAAAAAAAATATATTCGAATTTAATTATTATCTATATTAAACTCGTTAATAAATTAAAATTCCCGATTGGCTAGTTCATTACCTAATTTCAGACTCGTTTCGGGTGCAGCGTCTGCAAGCAGCCATTCCGAATCAGTGCCGACTGTCAGCGCCACATCACCACCACCCATCCTACAGAGTCGAAGGCGCGAGTTGTAGATAATCTGTGAGGCTTTTTGGGAGCTTTTGTATTATCGGGGGGTCATAAATGTGGCATTTTCGTCCAGTTTTATGATTATTAAAAATTTTTCGTAGTTTTCTAGGTGGTTTTTCTCGTGGTATTTTGATACGTTAGACTAGGGTATCATCAAAATGCGGAGTTTTAAATGCTGAATCGGCGTTAAAATATATGCTTTTCCAGCACGGCCAGAATGATGCTCCAATTCCGGAAGACGGCACTGCACTGTTTCCCCGAGTTCCGGGCTGACATTGACGTATGGTGGTCGCGCAGCCAGCGACGTTTTATGCAGTTATGCGAGAAGGAGCACACGAAGCGAATGGCTGAGGTCAGTATTTTTGCTTTTTATTAAGTTGAAATTTTTTTGCTTGTTTTATCGGGTTTCAAAGGATAAAAATTCCGAAAAAAATCGTTAAATTATCTGAAATTTTTTTTTAATCAAATATTGATGCAAAATTTCGAATTGCTTAAAGCTTAAGATTATTGATATGATTTTTGGACTTAATGGCTATTAAAAATTAAAAAAAAGACTACGAAACGTTAGAAAAGTCTTTCTAGATAGTTATGGGTTATTTTGCTTTCCCACCCCGCTAATAGTCCAGTACCGAAAAGATGTCCCATTTTAGCAAATGATGCTGAAAATGATTCGCGACGACCTGAAGGCGAAGGAGAAGGAGATGCACGAGCGCGACGAGATCGAGCGGGACGACCTGATCGGGGATGAGCCGGACGAGGTGGAGGAGGAGACCGAGTGGGACGACCCGTTTGATCTCATTGACGCGCCCGACACGGACGGGTACTTCCACGAGAATACCAACTGCTGGTCGGCTGAAGCCGCGGAGATTAGTGGGTTTTCATAATTTTTATTTGACGTTAAAAAACTAAATAAGTGTTTATTTTTGTTTATTTAAATTAAAAAAACTAAATTAATTTGGAAATTGTTAAAGGGGCTACGAAATGCCAAAAATTGAGTGACGGCCCAAAAATCTGAACCCTGTACGTCGGAGGCCTCTGTACACCTAGGGGCGCGGATAGCTAGCAAATTTGAAATTGCCTGTTGTCACCTCCTGATCACGTTCTCGGCTGTTTCTGGGCGAAATTTGATACTTACAACACCAAAACTATTTAAAATTGAGTGAGGATTTCAAAAATGGGCTCAGAATGCGCAAATTATAGTGTTTTCACAAAGGAACCGGGCAAAAACAACTTCGCGCAAAAATCGAAAGAATGAGGGCTCTCGTCCCGCAGCGCCCGCTGGCAATTTGCCAGAAATCAAAGAGGCCTTGCAAAAGGGCTTTGATTTGGCAGTTCGGAGCCCCTTTAATTCGATTTTACCTTGAATTTTTAGGGTACCAAGCGCGGTTGAAGGCTTCCGGTTTGGCTTCCACTTCCGTAAAATGTGTGCCAGGTGAGGCCAGTTTTATAAAAGTTTTTTTTTGGCTATTTTTGACCTCGGAATAACATATTTTTTTTGCTAACTGTATCAACCTTATACGAAATTTTCAAGTTATATTTTTTGATTATTTTGAGAATTGTAACAGTTGTATTTTTTTAGTCTGCATCCCGCCACCCAAAATCGCCATGGAAATACGGCCGGTAATTGGGAAAGGTAGGCTTTTTCTGGTTTATAAAGTGTGGTACTGGTCCATTAGCGGGGGTGGGGTAAAATAGGCGTAAATCAATAGTCCTCGATAGATAAAAAACGGTAAAATTTTCATGTAAGGGTTTCTGAAGGGACAAATAAAATCCCCCCGTTAATGAACTAGTACCAAAAAATTACCGTAGACATTTTTAAAATAGTTTTTAAATGTTTAAATCAATTTTAGAATATTGATTTAACAGATTTTTTCAGTCTCCAACCACCCGAGCTCATCCGCATCCGTCATCCAGAAACAACCGATAAAGCGCCGATTCCTGAATCCAATGAAATCTGCAATACCTCAAATTTCTCATCCGGAACCGCCGGCGAAGGTGCCAAAAATGGAGCCGGAAATCGAACGGGGGATTGAGCCGGAATTCGTTATGGAAGCTGATCCGGAAGCGGATCCAATTCCTGCACCCGTAGACGACTATCTACCGCCGGAATCTTCAGGTAAATTTTTTGCGGTCTTTTTAAAATTTGTAGTTCTTTTGCATTATCGGGGGGTGAGGGAGAGGGTGCAAACACAAATAAAATTTTTATAAGCTTTGTTATCCTACTATCCTACTATATATAAAAAAATAGTGTCTGTGTGTGTGTGTGTGTCCGTGCCACTTTGCATGCAACTTCCGTCAGCGTGTTCCAGTAGTATCTCAATTAGGGGGGGTATCTAGGGGTATGTATTATACCTCATTGGGTGCGTAATGGCCTTGGGATGACTGCACACTAACAAAATTTTCAAAAATTAGCTGTTTTCGACGTTAAAATTAAGTTTTTGTTGAAAAATCCAGGACCCTCTTTGTTAGGAAACAATTAGCATGCGCCGGAAGTTACGGTTGCCTAGATAAGGGAAAAGAGGTAGCGTTTCTCCTTTTTTTCATCAAACATCGCGAGAATTATGCAAAGTGTAGCATATCATGGGATCAGACGGGGCTAGGGTTGAAAAGTCGCGAAGCGGCTTTTCAACCCTGGTATATAAAAAAATAGTTCCTGTGTGTGTATGTGTGTGCATTTGCATGCAACTTCCGTCAGGGTGTTCCAGTAGTATCTCCATAAGGGGGGTAGCTAGGGGTATGTTTTATACCTTATTCGATGCGTAATAGCCTTGAAATGACTGCAAACTCATGAAATTTTTAAAAATTCGGTGTTTTCGATGTTAAAATTATGTTTTTTGTTGAAAAATCGAGAACCCTTTTTGTTAGGAAACAATTAGCATACGCCGGAAGTTGCGAAAGCCTATATAAGGGAAGTGAGGTAGCGTTTCTCCTTTTTGGTCACCCAAAATAGCATGAATTATGCAAAGTGAGGGGTATCATGGGAACAGACGGGGCCAGGATTGAAAAGTCGCGAAGCGGCTTTTCAACCCTGGTAAATCATTAAATCATTATCCTACCTTATATAATTTGGTCGCGTATCTTTGTGTGTGTGTCTGTCCGGCGCCAGGGAGGGCTACTTTGCATAAATCCAAAAAAATACAAATTTCCTCATTCTTGCAACTTGCACGCGCGGGTGTGGTCGGAGGAAGGGAGGGATCCGAAGGACCCAAGCTATCGGAAAGTCAAATTTCTCATGCAAAGGCCGCATTCCAGCGCCCAAGGCCCGCGAAGCGGGTTTTGGGCGCTGGTTTTTGGATAAATTAATAAAGAATTTAAAATTGAATAGATTTTTGGCTTAAATATAACGATTTGTAACCAAAATTTCGGGTTTTCCACGTTTTCTAAATAGTTGTTTTTCGCTATAGTCACGCTAAATTCTATTAAAAACAAATTGTGAATACTTACCGCACTAAACGATCCGGATTATAGTCCCCCCCCGATAATGCAAAATAAGTCGAAAAATCTCTTGATTTAGGCTCTACATTGCCAAGCGAGTGGAATGATGCAGTAGGGGATGCGAAGGTGGCCAGATTGGTGGGTTTCATTCTAATTTTAAACTGGCTCGAATCACGATATTTTTTGCTATATTTTATTCGTCGATCCGGCTAGATTAAATTGTATATTTAAGGACGAAGCGGACTTATGAAAAATTAAATGCAATTTTTTAGGGCGAAACTGAGCGCTCCTTTTTCCAAGCCGAGATCCTGCGACTGGAGCGCGAGCTAGAGACCAAATCTGAATTACTGAGGAAATCGGAGGAAATTGTGGGTTTCTTGGATTGGTGTTTTATTAATGTAAAATGGTTAATTTTTCAATTTAAATGAATTCTTTCAGCTGACCCGCCAATCGAAACTGATCGAACAGCTGTACGCGACGCTCGAGGCGAAAAATCAGGAGGAGGCGATGTATGAGAAAGAATATCTTCCTTGACGTTGTTCATGTATATTTTTATCATTCCTTTTTTGCGGGAATAAATTATTATTATAAATATTTGGTCGCTTTCCAGGCGCCGCTATAACTCGGGTGATGTATTTTTATCTGAAACCTTTTTATTTATAAGTCAACTTACATGTTAGCCATATTTTAGCCGGTTTTCATTACTGCGCATTAAAAAATAGTGTAACTTACGTTTTTAAAATATCTTGAAGTCGTTTTAATAAATTTTTTTGTTAGATTTCTTATTTTTCGATCGATATGCGTTCATTTTCAGGCAAAAATGTTTAATTTTCGATTTCAGAATCTGAAAAAGCTGCTATTTTCGGTTAGAATTTACGATTAACAGTGTTTATTAACAAGGATTGTATACTTTATAGTTTAAAAGATCGAGAATTGATTTTATCGCTTTCGTTTTCACGTTTTCCTAAGTTTTAGTTTGTTTTTTTAGGTAAGAACCATGGCGAAACGTGGCGCTGCGACAAAACAGAAGCAAAAGCGGGCACCGGGGTGAGTTTTTAACAGTACGCCTGTAAAATATTTTGCGTTTCAGGACGCGTATCGATCCGTCGAAAATGGTTGTGTGCACGGTAGAATTTTTTGAAAATTTTATAGCTTTTTCTTAGATATGCCAACGTCCGCTGACGGCTAGTAAGCACTTCGCCAACACGCTGCTCGACCACGCCAAGCGTCACCTGGATATGGTACGTTTTAGGCCAAATTTCGGTGCTGGTTCGTTAGCGCGGGGACAGATTATTTTTATTTTTATGGCACTTTGAAAATGTTCCGATTACTAAAAATAGATGAATTCTTTTTCCAGCGCCTGCTGACGAACTACTACCGAAAATTCTCGTTATTTTCTTATTTTTATTTTGTGGGTTCTATTATGTTGAAATTCCTATCAAGCGTCGCAATTTAGAAGCAATACGTGTGCAGTTGCTGCGACCGGTCGTGCGTGGGATGGCACGAGTGCGACAAGCACATCCAGCTGGTTCACCCCGACCAGGCCGAGGCGAGGGTCGTCGACACGTTGTTCGTTTTTCAGTTTTAAAGATTTATTCATTTTTTGGGAGTTTTTCAAAATTGACTATTTATTGTACGTTAAATGTAAGCTTTTTCTTTTTCTGACGTTGAAATAATAATTTCAGGACCTCCGACATGCTGATGTTGTTCCGCGACCAAGCCATCCGATGTTTTCCGGCTTTCGAGAAGTCGATGAACGATTGGTGGGAGCGACAGTTGCCGAAATATGAAGAGGTTTATTCCACTTTAAAAGCTAAATCTCAATTTTTTTAGCTACGCGCCAAGGAGACTGCAGAGACGGAGGCTGAGGTGAGAAAATTTCAGTTAGCATAATAGGGGAATGGGCTTTTATCGGGGGAAGGAGGGAAGAGGGAGGTGGACTCACTGACGTAGTGAAAAATTCAGCATTTAATGTATCGTATTTTTAGCAATTTTTGGTCTTTAAAAATCAAAAAATTTTTAAAAACTAAAAAATAGATTTTTTTTGGTTGAAATAATGAACATTTTAGGTGCTTTTACTTCAAAAGCTTGACGCCGAAGGGCTGGCCTTGGACGAGGTGGAGCAGCTCGGCGAAGTTGACGCAGATCCCGGAAGAGTTGCAGAAGCTGTGGTGGAAGGGATTCTCGACGAGCCAGAACCCGTCGTTTTGCGGGGCCGCGTCGTCGAGGAGCAAGACGATGAAACAGGTAACATCATTCATTTTCTATTAAGGTTATTAAATTAAGCTGAAAATAATCTGTGATTGTAAATGGAGGCTCAAATTATACTGTCGTTTTTCCCTGCAAAAGGCAGGCTCGCACGGATTGTTGAGGAATTCATTTTTAGCGGTTTTTCGATGCTAGCCTGTTAGCGGGGGTAGTTAGAAGTTTGGACTATAGCCCTGATAATTAAATACGCCGCACTGTTTGTGTAACTGTTACACCGTTTTAAATGTATCAAAAAATTTTTAAATTTTGAAGATTTAAAAATGGACAGAATTTGTCAAAACTTAAGATTCAGTTTTCTAAAAATGTTATTGGCATTTCGGTGACTTAAAACTATCAAAGAACGCCATCAAAATACACTAGAAAACACTAGGAAATTTTTCTAGGGTTTTCTAGGTATAATAGAAGGCCTTTTCAGCGCTCAATATTCCCCAATAACATAACATTTTCAAATTTTTGAGCGTTTATTTTTCAGATTTTGACGCCATGCCATCGACTTCCGACCGGTTGGCCGTGCTGGCAAACGGCGGATATGCCGAGCCCCCTGTCTACACCATCACCGACTCGCCGCCGCCCGAGGAGGAGAGCATGAAGTCCCCGAGAATCGAGTCGCTGGCCGACATTTTTGGTAAGAACTTTCAATTGGTTTTTGAATTTTGCGATTTAGGCGTCGATCCCGAGCCCGAGGCCGGAGTCGAAAGAGGCATGCCGGTAAGTTTTCTTTTAGCACTAAAGTTTCAAATTTTTTTTAGAATGAAGAGCGTGGTGTGTACCTGGCGGCGATTGGGCGCTTGAAGATGCAGCTCCAGGCCAAGGAGGGCGAGCTTAACGTCTTGCGCGCGCGGCTGAAGCGATCGGAGGAAATTGTGAGTTTTACAGCCGCGCGTCGGTTTTTAGGCTCTATCGCGTTAGCGGGGGGGGGCTTACTTTTTCCTAAAGGTCCTGAACGCCTAGTAATGAAATATTAAGCCTTTTAATACTCTTTAGTAATATTTCGCTATATTTTAAATAGAAAAACTATCTAAAAAACATTTCAAATTTTTGTTGAAATTCGATTTTTGGGCAAAATTGATATTTTTGTATTTATTAACAAACAATTTTTATATTCAATTTTTCAGCGCTCCCAGCAATCGTCGGTGATCGTGAGGCTGAAGGTCCGCCAACACCGCATTCAAACGCACTACGCCACCCAGCAGCCTTGACGTGTTGTGCACTGATCTAGATATTTTTGGTCGCTTGATGTCTTTCGTTTTATTGTTGTTTGTTGTGCTCTTTTTCGCTCAATTTGTTTCGATTATAAATTATAAACGTTTTGACAAATTATCGTTAAAAATTACAAGAAAACGTTCAAGCTATAAATATAGATTTTTCGATTCAAATTCAAGGATTTCAAACATCTTTTACCAGTTTTTAGGTGGTTGTTGAATGAAAATATAATTAGGTGCTTTTACCTTATCGGGGGAGCCATCCGTTTCCAAGTCATTTTGAATGCTTGATTCGATGTCTCGATCAATACTTCAAATTTTTCGTAGTGGGAAAGACATAAAAAATCTGATTGGTTTTAGAGCCAAAAATGGTTCCGGGACCAAAGAGCCCAGTATAATGAAGAAACTGGCCATGTTCTTTTGGCCGGTCACATTTTGGCCCTCAGCGCGCGCCAGGAATCACCTGTTCATTTTTCGGGGCAACGTATTCATACAAATTGATCTCCCGTGGCTCGCTAGTTAATCTACTTCCTGTTGAGTTGTCTGGCCAGTCATATTCTTTGTTGCTGAACTGCTCCCCGACGTTGGAGCTTCATCAGGGAAAAAAACTAGCGAAACTTCGCTTCGTATCTATTCTATTACTGAACTGCTTGCTGACATCGGGGCGTTTTCTACATTGGAACAGTTCCGGAAATTCCACTAGGAACTACAGATCCATCAATTTTTCCCCTATCAGAAAAGCTATATTCGTCTCTTACTGAACTGCTCGCTGACGTCGCTGCATAGCTAGCGTCTGAAAACGATTGTAGCTTCTCTACAAGCCCCAGAATCATAAGTTTTCTATCGGGGCAGTTATATTTTTCTTACTGAACTGCTCGCTGCCGTTGCAGCATCGGCAAACTTCGGAAAAGATTGAAACTTCGCTACTACCTACAAATCAAACGTCAAAAATCAGCTTCCCACACTACGATCTTTCCTGATGACTGATTCCGATGCCGCTACACCATCTCCAGACACGATCGCAAGCTGTCATTTAATGGAAATCACCGGGCGATCCGAAATATTACTGTATAACGTCTGCCATGCGTTGACACATGGCGTTGTTTTCTACTGTTTTGCCGTGGAACGGAAGACGTTTCACCCCTTTTTCGTGTGAGTTTTTGGGAAAATAACTGTTGTGTCTTGCGTAGAGTGTGGCAGCGCGGGACGAACAGTTCGAAAGACTGTTTATTCGGTGAGCGACATGGCGGCAATAGGAGGAGGAAATTAGAACTGAACTGGGGAAATAAATGCCATCGCAGGCCCCTGGGGGGAGAGAGACCCCGTTACGGTGGAAAGGGCACTGGATAGGCGAGGGACCGGGGAGCCAAGGGAAAAGGGCGCGGGCGCTCACAGGCGCCTCCGCAACACCTCCCCCTGTACAAACGAAAAGAAATGTGGATAGGAGGAGGAGACACCGAAAGGAAATACAACTGCGTACTAGCACAAACGAGGGATCAAGTCACAACGTAAAATAAGTGAAAACTTATTTGCTTTTTCCTTTAATAATTGGCGAGCGTAGGGCTTAGTCATCCTTCCTTCCTTCCTTCAGAACGTCCGGCGATGCTTGACCAAGGAAGGCGGCGATTTACGGCACGACTTCCTTCCCTCTTTGCAAGAATGATGAGCTTGAGGTTGGGCATCATGTCGACGGGCTGCTTGATGTGCGCGCTCCGTCCGCCGAGCTGTTGCAAACACTCGGTCTTTGCGATGGACCTCTTCCGTAGAGGTGGAACCCATCGGCCGGCTGCTCTTGGTGGTGGCGATCCGGGCTTTGTCGACTTGATGTTGTCGCTTTTGTTCGCCGGGGCTCGTGGCGCTCCTCGTGCGATCGATGGCCATCGTCCAGCGGTCCGAATTCCTTTCTGGCGCGGATCCATCGAAGTTTTGGATGCTGCGGGTGGGGGCATACCCTGTCCGATTTATCCTCCGGGGATATGGGAGGGACAATCTCCAAGCCTAACCTCTTTGCAAGCGAATCCAGTCCTTTGTGGGTGAGGACATAACCGTTCTTCTTTTTGAAGTTGTTTCGCGGCCGGTCTTGACGGAGTTCGAGCGGGCGAGGGGCAGCCGGATGCCTCATTGTGACCCTTTCGTCTCGACCTTCTCTGCATTTCTTGTCGTCCTTGGTGGCGACATCCTTCCTTCCTTCGTTGCACTTGAGGCGAAGACGGCGCGCTTCGACTTGGTCCTTCTTGTCGACGGGCATGCCCGCACGATCCGAGCACATAAAAAGTGCGAAGGCCAGATAGGGGTAAAAATACTTCCCTTTTAATCGAATCCTCCACGGGATGACGCCGCTTCTTGCCATGTAGAGCTTCTTGTCCTTGCGCTTGATCACCATCTGCTTGACCAACCTTTCCTTGACCGGGCGGCGGCTTGAGCGGCTGCTTCTTGGCTTCGGGGTTTCCTTGTTGTTGCGTGAGTTCGTGATCCTGCTCGCCAGTTGTTGTGTCTTGCCATGTAGATGTGTGACAGCGCGGGACGAACAGTTCGAAAGACTGTTTATTCGGTGAGCAACATGGCGGCAAGAGGAGGAGGAAATTAGAACTGAACTGGGGAAATAAATGCCATCGCAGGCCCCTGGGGGAGAGAGACCCCGTTACGGTGGAAAGGGCACTGGATAGGCGAGGGACCGGGGAGCCAAGGGAAAAGGGCGCGGGCGCTCACAGGCGCCTCCGCAACAATAACCTTTATAAAAACCTATAGGTCCTTTGGCGTTAATGGCATTAATATGTTTCTAGAAATGCCTAGTAATACGGAATTTTACAACGTTTTAGAACAATTTTCGGGTTTCTCCTCGTCCTCTATGCCTTATTTTCGGTCCTACAAGCGATATTACAGTTTGCCCATCTTCTGGAGGTACTTGGGCTTAGTTTTAGACTAATTTATGACGTTTTTAGTTAAAATACCTTATACATTGAAAATTCCAGTTGGATACTCTTTACTTCTACTCTCGTCGCATCGCCCGTCCGGTATATTACCTAGCTGTGCCCACGAATCTCTCCTGCGCCCTCGAGCGCCTCTGCGCCACAATATTTTACAAAAGATACGAAAAAATGCGCCCTTGGTCTATGATGTTTATGTTTGGAATGCTGGGGGTGAGTTTTTCGCATAGTTTAGCTAGTTTTCTTATACATACAAATAGAATTCAGCTTTGCGTAGTTAGCGGGGAGGCTAATTATCCTTGTTCTACCCATACGCCCCTCTAAACAATACATAACGTATTTTTATTGTGTTTTTAGTATTTTTTGAGTGCTCGGATATTACAAACTTTTTTTAAATGTTTTGAAAATTCAAAAATGTCGACCTTTTTGATCATTTTTGATGTATTTTTGAACAAAACCAAAAATTTTAGAAACTATCGTAATTTTTTATGGTTTTTATAGACAAAAACTATTTAGAATACTGTAACTATCTGTATTTTGTTATAGGGCTTTACCGCGATATCTGAGAAAGATTTATTTTCCCCGTGAATCCAGCCCCCCCCCGCTAACAGCCCAGTACCCAAATTTTTATCGTTTTCTTCTTGGTTTAATTTTGGTGGTTCTATTATCTTGTAAATAGCTTAGAAAAGTTTAACACGATGCCATTTCAGATGGCATTCGTGTACGTGCTCTCTCGGACCGACGCCGGTGAGTTCAAAAAACCGTTCATAAAATAAACCCGATTGTTAGGTGAAATCCTGACGGCCGCCGACCTCGAGCTCCTCTCGCTGAGCACGATATTTTCATTTCTTGTACGCTGAAAATCGATTTGATTTTAGTAATGTGTCGTTTAGATCCTCTCCATCATAGTGCTGATCGATATCCGGTTATTCTCACGCCAGAAACGTACCAATACCAGCCTCACGGCCAGATATCAGCTGTCGGAAAATATTAGGGGTGAGCGAGGGCGGGCTGGCAGAGTTTTTTGGGGAAGCAACGGCTGAAAATGAAGATTACATGCATCAAATATAAGATTGGGTATTTTTAAGCTGAAAGTAATTCCAAAGGCATCTATGCCGGCTAGGAATGGCAGTGTTTTTGTGGAAAAATAGCCTGAAAGGCAGGCTAGCAGAGGTTATTTAGGAGCTGAGCATGGCGATAATATTCCTGCCTATTTTTTCTAATAAAAAAAAACCATTGTTTGGCGGATTTGGAATGAAAATAGTAATTTCAAAGCCTTTTCTTTCGTTGAAACACATCACACATTTTTTTCAGCAGCGCGGTTATCGCTACCATTCGTATTGCTCGACAATGTGTTAAAAATTACGGAATTCATCTGCCTCCAGCTCTATAATATTGGTATTACATTCAGCGGGAAACGCTGTATCTTGTTCGAGGCCCCAATGGAATATTTTGTGCCGTGGAATGGGGCGTTGCTGGTAGGTTTCAAAGTGGAAAGTTCGAAATTTCAAAATTAATAATTTGCAATATCACACACACCAATAAAAATTAAAGCGAGGGGAAAAATTACAAAAAAGACATATCTTACCTCGAAAAATTCATGCCTGCCTGCTAAAGAAAATCTGAATTTATTCTACTTCCGCCTTATTTGAGGATTTACGCAATCTCCATTACTATAATAAAAATCTTATTTTTAAAAACATACTTAGAATTAAATAAATAAAAACGAAGAAAATCGACAATTACATACCTTAACCTCGAAATCATCTTTTCAGATCCGCAACATCCTCCTTTTTATGATGCCTGCGACGATGCTAATCCTCAGCCAGACCTTGCAACGCCCCTTTCGAAGCATATTCCAGAAGCTATTTCAAAACAGACGGATACTCGCCTATCCACCAGAAGAGCGAAAAGCGGAATTCAGGAATGCGCTGGGGAGACGGGTCACTTTATCGGCATCGCAAAGAGATTATTTTCAACAATTGGACGTTATGTGGGCTTGTAAATAAATTGTTTTTATGTCAAAAACTCTAACGATATAGACTGAAACAAAAAAGATAACAATTGTTTCGAGAGGGGATCAGGTCTCTTACAGCAACTAAAAAAATCAGCAATTGAAAATGCAAAAAAAAACGAGTATGGGCAAAACCTAACTCAGAAATTTAGCACCTAGTATAAAGTAATTGAGTAACTAAAGAGTAAAGAGTCCCTGAACTTGTGTGTGTTTTTTCCTCATATTTTTAGCCCTGGGAGATCCTAAAAATTGCCCTGCTGGCTAGTTTGCAATTCCGGCCAAGGGTTCGCGATCTTAAAAAATGCACCTGCCAGGTTGCGGGTCGCTTTCGTTATTGAACTTTTTCAACCGCAAAAGTTGTCGCTTAATTTTTTTTACTGGAAAAATAAAACACAAATTATAGAAGCTGATCTGTTATATTTTATGGATGATGCAACGGTAAGTATCTAAATTTAGAAGCTTTAAAACTGCTGTAAAAGTTTCTCCATTTCCTGACGTTTCTAATCGATTTCGCTAGCTATTCGAAAAATGTAAAACATAGCAATACAATTTCATGATTTTTGACATACTGAACCGATTAGCACATGTAATCTCGGTACAGGAATTCTGCAATCAACTCGAATTCTATACTATCATCGAACTGTTTGCTTCATTGGCCATTTACAACCCGGTGGGCGCAGTTTTTCTATATTGCATCTGGATGCAGCGGAGGGCTTTTCATCCGTATTTCGGGTATTTCTAGCTGGAAAGCTATAATCACAATACCAAATTTAAGAATCACATTTGGCCTACTTTTTGGCAGCTACGCAATTCTGATGGTAGTCTCCCCAATATTGCTCATTGCGGCTGTGCTCCAGTCAGCATCAGTTTTTCAAAATTTGAATGGAAGTTAATTTACACATATGATTAAAGAAAATATTTCTACGCTATTTATCATACTCATAAATGTAAAAATTTTGAAAGTTGTCTCTAAACAAACAAAAAAAATCTGTTTTTCGACAAAAGAGGCGATTTTCGGTCAAAATTCGAATTTTTTTAACGTTTTTCTAGGTTTTCCGAATAGTTTTTGCCAGTAAAATACAGTTGAATTTGACTGTGAAACGATATTAAACTATTTTGCATAACATTAAAGCGCGTCTCTTAGGAGCAAATCGGAGAAGACCATAAAAATGCGAAATACAACTCTAAAAACTCCAAAACTCAAGTTTCCAGTTCACTGCTTGGAACATGATTGTGGCCACAATATGGCATGTTTTCTACTACTTAATCGTGCCGATAAACCTTACCTGCGTTGTCGAAAGGCTGATGGTTACGCTGTACTATCGACGCTACGAAACGATGCGCCCGTGGCCGATCTTTGTCTTTCTGAGCGGGACCACGGCAAGAAATCGATAGAGATAGCAAGAATATGCGAAAAGATATAACAACAATATAAAATATAAAAAATCAAAACTAAAACATACGAAAAGGACCAAAAATTGCATTTAAGTTTAGATATTTTTCGGCTGCCTGCTGATACGGGATAGCTTGGGTAAGTTGGGCTGAAAGGTCCAAAAACATCAAATTTAGGAAGCGTCTACGAGGTATTTTTTCAAGTTTATATTTATGCGGGATCTGTATTTTCCTTATTTGTAAGAAAAACGCGTAAAAATTTCATTTTTTTTTCGAGATAATTGCTCTAGTAGCCATCGTAAATTACCGGATCATCGTGACGCAAACAACGACAGCCGCCACATTGACGACCAGATATCAATTAGCTCAAAATATTAAAAGTGAGAAATTTATATTAATAGCCAATGTTGCGCTGTGGCAGAATATTTGGTCTCTTGAATCACGTCGATCACGGTGTTTTTCCGTTTCGAAGCCGTTCATTTTTCAGCAGCTCAAATAATCATTCCATACGTGTTTCTCGACAACGTCTTAAAAATATCGGATATGCTATCGATTAATCTCTGGGACCTGGACATGGTTTTCGAGAAGCCACGTTGTATCCGAGAACCTGCTTTTTATGTGTCGGCTTTTGTGCTTGGACTATTGGTAAGCGTAACGTGGGGAACCTTAGCGCACCGTACACAGCGGCCCGGCTCCTAATAAAACGTCCGGTAGCTTTGGAAAGGAGGGAAGACCGCAACGCGGGCGATAAACGCGTCGCGCAATTGCGAAAGCAGGCCTGCGCAGCTAAAAACCGGTTGCTATTCCGCGCACCCGCACGCAACGCGCGAAAAACACGCACAGTACGCCCTTTCCCTTGAACCATCCGGACCGAACCCATGGGCGGTTGTGCGTAGCATAGCGAAACGCGGCATAACGTAGCGTAAGGTAACGTAGTATATCGTAACGTAACTTGGTGCATCTTAACGTAGTGTGTCGTAGCGTATGGCAGCACAACGTGACGTAGAGCAACATAGCGTAGCGCAAATAGCCTAACAGCGGGTGGCGTATCGTAGATTGCCTGGCGTGAAGTAGTGTATCGTAGTGTAACGTAAAGCAGCGTATCGTATCCTTTCGTCGCATCGCAGGGTAAGGTATCGTAGCGTTTCGTATCGTAGCGTATCGTAGCATATCATATCGTATCGTAAAGCGCCGTAATCCGAAACAAAAAAGTGTGGCAAAAATGGCAAATCCGGTAGAAAAAAAATAGCATGTATTTTAGTACCGCCAAATCGTTCCGTAAATAACTTGGTGAATACATACATATTTACATATAATAAAATACATATAAATACAAAATTACCTGCTGCTGTGGACGCAGAAGGGTAGCTGATACCTCGATATCCAAGAAGCATGATTTTAAAAACGCCATCGGACAACGGATAACTTTGATCGCTACGCAAGAGGTGTATTTTTCACAGCTCGAAGTGGCATGGGCTTGAGAATTTTGCTTGTTTTGACGCAATCAACGCTTGCTCTCGCCTTTCTTCCGCAAGATATGGATTTTTATTTTTTATTTTCAAGAATTTATTTGATAAATAAGGTATACAAGGTAAAAAGAGGATAACTCCTAGGTTAACATAGATTCTGGTCTGTCCCCTCACACTTGCGGATCACTAACAAAATCTCTCACCCCTGGTCGTCAGAGGGAAACCGCAAGAAAGTGACCTTTGGGTTTTTTTTTGGCTTCCAAAGATCTTATCCGGGCGCTGCGCCGTTGACTGGGTTGCGATCACGCCCAACGCTCCGAAAAAGCTCTTCGCGAGTTCCTCGGTACCTGCTCGGTATACACGCCGAAGTTGTCGGTAGAGAAGAAGATATGTTAGCGTCATCTCACCGCTTCTTTTTTTTTTGAATAAGTCTCGTATAAAAGCGCTCAAGAGCCGTTCCATTTCACGGCAACGTTTTTGGATTTTGCCGATGCCGCATTTTAAAATTTTCGGGAAAGGTTTCTTAACGGGGGTGGGGGGTGAGAACCAAAACGACCTGAATTTCAAAATTCTGACGTTATGTCTGTGTTCCCCACGCTATTTTGATGCTTGTAGTCGTTTTAATCATGAAAATTGACCAGAGAATCACCGAGGTCGCGAGGTTGGGCGCTTGACAAGGCATTACGACCTTGTGTTCGCCGCGCACTTAAAAAGGCGTTTTTGCCCCGAAACATTACGATTTTTCTCCAAGATTTTGCGTTTTTCGGAAATAAAATTTCGGGCGCTTTTCGGCGGCAACCTTGCGTTTTTTGACCAGTAGGTTCAAACTCCAAGCGGGCGTATTTTGACTTCCGAGCCCCTTTAAGCCCTCTCTTTGCTTCTTCAAAAATCAGTGGCAAGGGCTAAAGTTTTAGTCCCATCACAACCATGAAGCCAATGAAGAGATACTTGGTATACGCGGGAAAGGTCGTTTGCCTGCTCGCCTGCATAGCTTTCTATAAAAGTTGCGGGGTCAGGACAGCAGAAGGTAACGCAAAATGATTTTTTAAAGCCTCGAAAACTGTCACAGGAAATATAATTACGTTTAGAATCGCTCGTTTTCACGGCCGCTGAGCTGGAAGAAAATAATTTTTCCCAATTCCGGCCGTATCCTATTGCCAAGAGGGTGGCTCCGCAGCGGAGGAACATTAGTGAGTTGTCAGAAAAAGCAAAAATGCTTAAACTTATAGCAAAAACCCAGATCGCGATCGTGATTATGGTCAAGGACGCGACGAATGATGAGAATTATCGAATAGCCGTCAACTCGATTCGCTGCTATGCCGAGGTAAGCTCGATTTCAGCGCATAAAATTTTTCATTATTTTTGGTTTTCTATTGAATGTTTTCCGCTAACAGGGAATGGCTTTTTAAAAGGGCTCAGAAATCATATTTTGCGTGCTCGGTTTTGGAAGCTACTGGTCAAAAACGCTAGGATTGCCGCCGAAAGTGCCAGAAAATTGATTTCGTTGCGAAAAACGTAAAATATTTGAGAAAAACCGAGAAGTTTGGGGCGAAAACGACTTTTGGGTGCGCGGCGATTACCTGTCGTAATGCCTTGTAAGGCACCCAATCTCCCGATTTTGATGATTCTGTGGTCAATTTTCATAATTAACATGACTAAAATCATCAAAATTGCGTGCGGATTCCAGAAATAACATCAGAATTTTGAAATTCACGCGTTTTCCTTTCCGAACAGCGACTAGAGAACAGGTGGCGCGGTCGCGTTGCGGTCTCATCTGGCTATTGCGAGGAATCAACGCAGGGGGCCGTGAACCAGTTTTCGGAGGGGTCGGCTTCAACCACAATTTTTAGATCCATGGGTATGCCTACTACCACATCGATTACAGCAAAAATAAGACGCTGCAACGTATGTGTCCTCAAGAAGATGTGGGTTTCGTATTTTTTCTGACTAATGAGAATTTTGCTTGGTCCATAAGCCTCGGTAGCTTCTTTTCAGTTCCTGTTCGCTCGCCATTGCATCATGGTTGACTTAATGAAAGGCGTCCCGAACGAGTGGTTCCTATTTTTCGGGGCCGATAATGGGGTCATCAACCCGATCAGAAGGTATGAAAACCAGTATATCGTAAAAGATTTGAAATTAAGGATCGAGGAATATCTACCCGCGGAGACTACGGTAGATGTGGTTTTCTATAACCGTTTTTACAACGATGAAATTATGGCAGACACCTATTTGATACGGTATTGATAGAGAGAAATACAGATAGAGAGCGAGAGAGAGAGAGAGAGAGAGAGCGAGAGAGCGAGAGAGTGAGAGGGTAGAGGGAGAGAGAGACAGAGAGAAAAAAGTGATTGAGAGCGAAAGAGAGGCGATAGAGAGAGAGAGAGAGAGAGAGAGAGAGAGAGAGAGAGAGATAACTATAGAGAGAGCTGCCGATTAAGTTCATCATAATTTAAACAGCCATATCCAATTTTTTCAGAAATACGAAGCGATCCCACATCTTTCTCAATCGCTGGGCTGAATACTATAACCTTACCAAAGATTACGAGTGCAGCGGCACTGACAATGGGGCTATTCAGGTGGGAGTTTTGTTTTTCGAAAATAAACACCAGGCACTTTCCATGCGGCCGTCCTTGAATTTTTCGCGCCGGAGATGAAACGCTGGAGCTCGTGCTGCCAGAAGATGTGGTGGATGGGAAGGTAATGGGTTAATCTTGAGAGAGAGAGAGAGAGAGAGAGAGAGAGAAAAGAGAGAGAGAGAGAGAGAGAGCACGAGAGTCTGCGCTCTAAAAAGAATTATCATTACAGCACATACTCCGACCTTTTCCTCTACGAAGCTTGTGCGCAATATCTGCTCTCCCAAATCCCAAAGGATGTGCTCGCTCGACGCGGGTTTAAACTTTTAGAGAAAGGTATCAAAAAGCCGTAGCCACTCAGCATCTCTCGAATTATCAAAAATGCCCCCGATAACGCAAAAGAACCCGTGGAAATTCACATTCGTAACTCTTTTCAATTTTGCAGGACAAGGCTGGTCCCGGGATGGCTGGGTAACCGGCACGAAATGGTTCGAGAGGGACCTGTTTTTCCACGGTTGGAAGAAAGAGTAAACTATGTTCTTTACAATCCATTAAATTCAAAAATTTAGAAAATTATACACGGAGTGGAATCTGCCCTTCACCTCAACAGATCTCTTCGACAAAACGTGCAGTGCTGGCGATTTTGAAAGATGGAAGTAGGTTCAGAATTGTCTCTATCCACCGTACCCTAGATATGATCCACAATTTAAAGCCGACTGTCTGGACGTCGATCTCGAGCTGCACCTCTTCTTTGAAAAATCGCGCACAAAATACTATGAAAGGCTGCAAACGTTGCGGCAAATGGACATTTTTCCGGTGAAATTCTACCAGAAATACGGGCTGTAATTTCGTTATTCACCTAATAAACAAGGTGATCATCAACTATAATAAACGGGCTGTGATGTCTGTCTGTGTGAAGGCCAATTCAACCCCGAAGGGGGAAGGAGCTAGAGTTTAGGTCTCTTGGGATTCGAAGAGAGCGCGGTCAGAAACCCTCAAACTGATTAAGAACAGAATCTAACAGCCTCATTTTCACATTTAAAAATTGATTTTTATAACTTGGTAGTAAAAAGGGTGATTTGCAGGATTTTGGGGGTTAGTGGGCCAGGTCGAGCGCGTTTCGGCGAGAGGGAGGGAGCGCAGGGGGTAACCCGAACCCCAGCCGTCAAAAAAATGCCACAAAGGTATCCGAAAACCAATCAATGCCTTAAAACCTTTGCGGAGCCCGGAAACATTATGAAGCTCCTTTTTCACCGGCTTTTTGCCGATATCTGGGCTCGAATTGGAATGCAGTTGGAATGTCAATCCTGTCACCTGAATTGTTTTTTTGGTAGCTCACCTTACACGATCTTTGGCGCGCCGCCCGTCTAAATGTTTTTCCTTTGCGACATCCCTGACCTTGTCTTCTTACAAAAGGCCCGCGGGTTTTTTTAGTTCAAAAGTCCGATAGATCCGCGAGGATCCCCGCGCGTTATCGGCAACGGCGATCAAACTGCCCCCAATTTTCCGAATCCGCACTGTCTCAATACAGGGAGTCCCAACAACGAACCCTCGGCATTTCGTCGTATTACATCCAATCGGTCCCAAAATTGGACCAGAGGTATATCAGACCCTAAATAACAATAATCCTTAGTTATAGCCGGATCACTCCGGTAGTTCGCGAGTTAGAGTGAAAATACTGTTCTGTTCCGCGATTCCCAACGGTTATTTTGGCTATCTTTTTTGGACTTTGCATCGATTTACCTCGAATTCAGGCTGCGAATCCCCAATTCCACCTAATACCGGGGTGACTATACATTACAAAAATTGTTGAAATCAGCGGTTATTTTGTTAAATTTTTGTCAGGAAAAATTTCTAGGGGTAAAGAAGGCTTGCCGCATCATCTTCACCTAGAATCATCTATTTCACCACCATCTATTTTTTCGGATCATGTTTGGACGACTTTTTGGAAGCTACGCGACGTTAAAACTTATTTCCCATTTGATGTTTATAGCTAGGGTTTTCCAGGTTTCTATAAGAAAGAAAAAAAAAGATGCGAAAATTGGAGAGCAAAAATGCCGATCATTCTGGTCAAATCGTCGGCTCCGTTCAAATCTGTACCGAAAATCTACGGAAAACGATTTTTGAAATGGCAACTCCGCCCTGAAAACGCCAAAATTAACTTTGAAAAGCTTTGAATCAAAATTTAAACGGCAGAAACGATAACGCGAAATCAAATAACGTCGATAAACGCTAGAAATAAAAAAAAATCACAAAAAGACTCTTTACGCAACACAATTAGCAACGGAGTGAAATAATAAAACTTTAGAAAAGAAAAATAGAAGCTCTCCAAAGCACTGAAAATGATGCGGTAAAAATTGGGAATAAAATAAAGTAGGGAATAGTTTTAAAGGGATGCCGACGGCATAATCAATCGGTTACGCGCTGGAAAGCAAATGTCTCTGCGCCTCTCCCCAGGGCGCGCTCTCTGCCCTGTTGGCTACTTGCCAATTTGTTGATGGGGGGATCGACACATGCCGTCGGCAGCCCTTTAAAATCGGCTGAGCATCACAAAACAAAAGGGCAAAAAATTGACGTTATTTTGGTGATATATAAATAGGATACGCCTTATATAAATAGGAAATATAATTGATCCAAATAAATTAAAACTATTGGCCAAAAACAGCAAATAAAATAAGGTAGAGAACATTCCTTAAAATCAGTTACTCATGACTAGGAACATTTCGCCAAACCACCGGGAAAACTTGGTGGCAAGGGCCCCTTCCCTCCCCAGGGGGCAGCCAACCCTTATAAGCTCCTTTCCCCCAGCCGTGACCGCCGGGCGTCGTGGCGGGCGTCTGTTAGCCAGCTTCCTGGCGGCGGGTGGTGGTGGCCGGCGGGCAGCGTGTCCGAGCCAAACGAGGCGTCGCCAGGGGCGGCCGGGCGGAGGCCTGGACGTCCCGGGCCGTTAAAGAGTGGTGGAATGGCCCAGGACCGAGAGGGAGCAAGCAAAAGCCACCGCGTCTTGTAGTGGACGGATAGCATGCAGCATATCCGCGGCAACCCCCACCTTTTTTGCGTTTTTTGATTGATTTTTAAAAGAAGCGTGCCTAGGCCTATTTTTAAAACTTTTTTAGAATCTAATAGCAGATATGTTAACGGTTTTTAAACGTATTATCAATCTAAAACTATTTAGCAGGCGCCTAAGGTTCCAAATTTTGTAAAATAGCCGCTGTAACCGTATTTTTTCGGCCCCAGGATCAAGATACTTTAAAATGCGAGAAAACAGCCTTCAAGAAGTCATCGTGCCTTCACCGCCACGCAGAAGCTGTATTTCAATCATCTCGAGGCGGCATGGGCGCAACTTCAACGCCAAGTTTTCTGGAACTGAAACCCTGCCATAATGCGCTTTAAAAAATGTCAAAATAAGTTTAAAATTCAGAAAAATAAGGCTTAAAATCGTTATAAACTTTATTGAAAAACCCGAGATATACGCAACAAAAGAAGGCGATACTTTACGTCAAAATTCGACATTTTCAAGACAAGAAATACACGTGAAAACAAGCAACAAATAGAAATATGTGGTGACGGGGCAAATTTCGTTGGGTTGGCCGCGTTCACGTCAGTAGCGCGGGCGTTTGAAGCCGCTGAAAAACAGATTTGGCATTTTGCATTAACGAGGGGGGGAGCTAATTTTGTTCTAAACATCAGATTTTTCTCAGAGACATAGAGGAACAGTTTCAAAGGTGTTTTTCACTATGCCTACATGCAAAAACATTGGAAATTTGGACCAAGATACAAAAAAAATCGCTGATTTGCGATCAAAATCCTACCTTATATAATTTTGGTGTGTATCTTTGTGTGTGTGTGTGGATGTCAGTTTCGAGACCCGATTTGAGGGCCTTCCCGTGTCCAAACCGTCCCAATTCTCCGTCACTCGGGGGAATCGACCCTTCTGTTTCCGATCGCGTGTTCAGAATTTCGATAAAATACAAGTTTACAAAGTCAAAGCCGGTTTTACTCATTTTTGGGGTCCGGGAGGGCTAATTTGCATAATGCGAAAAATACAAATTTCCTCTTCTTGCAAGTTCCATGCGCGCATGTGGTCAGACGGGGGAGGGGGTCCGAAGGACCCGAGCTATCGGGAAGGCAAATTTATCATGCAAAGGCCACATTCCAGCGCCCAAGGCCCGCGAAGCGGGTTTTGGGCGCTGGTTTCAAATAAAAAGTTTTTGTAAGATTTTCAATTGTCTTTTTTCTACGGACAATATATTTAAACTTCAAGTTACTAGCCGTTTCTGAGTAGGAAAAAGCTGGTTCACCCCCCCGCTAATGAAAAAGAAACAAAAGTTGAAATCGAAAAATGCGCTTACACTTCCTCGGCGCCTCCCTTGCGCTTCTCGATGATTTGGTTGATTTTGTCGAGCTCCCGGTCGAGCCGTCGGTCTTCTTTTGCGCGGTTCGGCTAGAAGGAAAAATCTGCCTTAGCGAATTTACGCACCTTTTTCTGCCCATTTTCCTTGTCGCCACGTGAATTGGTGTAATCGGCGTCTTGGCCGACCACCTCGAAAACGCTCGTGTTCTAGAAAAAAAGCCTATATAAACCCCAAAAATTTAATTTACCTTCGGCTTCTTCGAGGAGGTGATCAGCGCCGTTCCGGCATCGTCGTCACTCATCCCGAGCTCGGCCATCCCGCCCGGGTAGCACTCCGCGTATTCCGCCAACTAAAAAACGGGAACTCAGTCAAAAAATCCGGACTCACCGATCCCGTCTCGGCCTCCTTTCTGCGCTTGGCGATCCGCTCGGCCATGCGCTGCTTTTGCTCGGCGGCGACGGCCTCAAGACGGTCGGCTTCGCGCTCGGCACGACGGCGTTCTTCTTCTTTTCTGAAAATGAGCCGTAGGACCTTGTAGATCGCAATTTACCTAGAATCACGATCATCACGATCTCGGCGATCGTCACGCTCGCGTCGTCGGTCTCGATCTTGCCCTCGTTCTCCTCGACGACGATCGCCCCGATCTCGCTCCTCGTCGCGGCGCTTTGACCTCCGATCTTCTTCAGCTTCCCGCGATTTTGGAGCCGATTTTCTAAAAAAATACAATTTTCAAATAATAAAAAATTCTATTTTAAGATTAAAAATAATTTAAGATTTCTTTCAAATTATAGTAAATATCTCCTCCCGCAAAATTTACCTTCCCTTCTCCTCAGCAGCCGGGACAACGATTGGCTTGTACTCGCCGACGCCCTCGAAAATGTCCTCATTTTTGGTGGCCAGCTGCTCGTCGCTGAGCGAGGGTACATTTGACTGAAAAAATAATATAAAATATATATACCTGAAAACTTGATATTACCTGCCTCTTCTTCGGCTTCTCAACGTTGGCGGCGCGGGCGTAGTTGAGCAATTGGCTCATCTTGGCGATGAGCGTCATGTCAGCCTCAGCGTTCCGATTCATGTTCATCACCCGGGCCTCGGTGACGGACCTGAGAAGTCATTAATCTAATTTGTGCAACAAAATACTTGAAAACAGGCGTCGGGAGCGCGTCATTGTCGGCGTCGATTTCGACCATGTAGGTGAGGAGCTGCTTGGCAAAGTAGGGGTTGGTTTTAGGAGTTGTGTCCTAAAGAAATACTAATGTTTTCACACCTAAACCTAAAAAATACAATTTTTCGTTATAATTATAAAAATATCCAGTTGTGGCCCAAAATTCAATTTAGAAAAATATTGTTTTCAAACTTCAATTTGAAATTGAAGGTTTTGACAATATCTGACGAGGGAAAACACAATTTTTTCCCGGATCCAATTTTCCACTCTTTTTACTATTCTTAAACGCAAAGAAAACCCAGAAGTTTCCATTCAAAGATTTTAAAATAACGATTTTCTTCCAAAATTGACATTCTAAAGCGTTTCTCCAGGTTTTCTAAACAGTTTTCCATTTGGCTATGGCTAAATTTTATCAAAAACATTATTTAACTATTTTCTAGGAAAATAGAAGCTCAGAAAGCAAAAAATTTGTCCCCCTTTAATGCCAAAGAACCACGATTAAAAAAGCCTAACTATATACCTCAAACAGAAGCTGATTAAGCGCCAACACCATGCGATTCTTGCTCTTCTCCTCGACAACCGGCGCTTCCTCGAGGGCGGGTGGATCCTCTATAGCTGCAGCCTCTCTCGTCGCCATTTCACATCGAGCCTAAAAAAGTATTTCCGCAGAATAAACATTAAACACCTTTTTCAACAGCGAATAGTCAAGTCCTTTCACGAGATGCGTGTGCTCCAGATCGCCGCCCAGGTATTTCGATTCTTGGATGGCGCGGTAGCGCTCTCGGGCTTGTTCTCTGGCGTCGCGCTTGTCACTTGGCACCGCATGGTAGCCGTAGCCGGTGTCCTCTTCGATGCCCTGAAAAAGAAATACGCTCTTCGGAGGCTTTTAGTAGGTTTTTGATTGCTGAAAAAGTAAAAAGTAGAGTTAACTTTAAGTACTTTTTGTATCTAAAGACTAAGTACAATTCTATGAAAATAGTATATAGTTCATTACAGCGCCGCGGATTTTCCTGAAAGCCCAGACACACGTCACAAGCATCTTCATAATGTTTTGTTGTGTGACAAACTTAACAATATTTAACACCAAAAACTCGAAAAATGCTGAAAAATTGAAGCGGAAAAGCTGCAATCCTTTGTAATTCACAATGTCACTTCTGAAAATTAGTTTTTTTCAAAGTTTTTACATAACAAACTAGTGAATCAGAGTCACTTTTCCATTCCTAAAACATGTTCTATTGAATGCAACACGGCGTTTCAGAGCGCGCACGGGAGGGGTGGTCGAGGCGTGGTGTAGTGGTCTAAGGCGGCGGTCCAGCCCCGAGACAGGGGGTGCGGGTTCGATTCCCGAGGCCGCAAACCTCTGCGTTTTCTTTTTGCTTTTTGCTCCACATGTTCATAAAGGAATTCCGTAACCCTATGAAACCCAAAAAAGCTGGCTAGCACCTTCTCTCCATGCGGAATAGGCCAGTAAAGATCGTAAGCCGATCGCACCCTCTTACAGGACCCATTCGCTAAATTTCGGCGCTGGGCTATTCTAAAACTAGGTGCAAAAGATAGAGCAAGTTCTGCTCTTAGTTCCTAGTCTGCTAGTAGATTCGAAAACCGTCATAAACAAAAGTTATAGCTAATTGAAAACTTCAGAAAACATTGAATTGGAATCGTCGCGTAAATTTTTAAAACCCCAAGTTGACTCAATATTGGGTAGTTCATGACAGATACTCTTCCAGAAAATGTAGTTGAGGCGTTTGAGCCAGTATTTATCTGGATTTGAGCTCAGACGATAACTTGCACCTCATTTTTCAAATGTCAAACCATCAGAAGTCGCGTTTTCAACGCTCGATTTTGACAAAACCAGTCTTGAACGCGCAGAAGACAGACCCCCCTTTGCTTTAAGAACCAATTACGCGTCGATTGGAGCGTGCCGTAGCCTAGCCCCGCCTTCCCCTCTCATGCGCGTTTTTCTTAAAGGATGAATCGCCGTGCCAAGTCAAAAATTAATTTGCGGTTTTGCGAGCTCCAAAAATATTGGTGAAAAATATACCCCCGCATCCTCATTCCGGCGGCGTTCGGCTGCGCGGTCGCGATATTTGCCCAGAATCTCCTTCAAATGGGCGTCATCCTCGTCACCGGGCGCGGGCTCCTCCTTGGGCTTCGGCTTGGCGTGAGGGCGATAGTACTAAAGACAAAAATAGCTCCGAGACTGTAAAATAAACCTTTTTGGGCTTTGCCTTCTTTTGTTCAGCATTCGGGGCCGGCTGTTGGGCTTTTACGGCACCGCCGAAGCGATGCGGGTCGGCGGGAGTGTCGAGAAGCTTCCGGAAATCCTCGTTGCGGAGGCTTTTCATCTAGAAAGAATAAATAAATTAGTTTTAAGAATAAAATCGATAAAAATCGAAATCCAACGATCATTTCGTTTTCAGGGTGTTTCCGACTAAACCTATGTACGAAGGGATGTCAATAGGTGTGAACAGAGCTCGCTTTCGATTTTCTTTTTTATTAAATTTTGGGTTTCGTTAAAATGAAATAAAACTACACTAAAGTATGTGTTTATACTATTTAAATATTAAAAACGGATCCGGTTTTAGTTCGAGCTCTGAAAACAGAGTATTTCCAGGCGCTTCCGCCGGCGCCCATGTACGGAAGACTGTCGATAGGTGTGATCGGAGGTCTCATTTTTCGATTTTCTCTCAATTTGAAATTAAAGTTTGATAAATAACAAAAAGGCGTCGTCATAAAATAAAATTTAGTGTCTGTTTTGTGGCATTAAAATATTAAAAATATATGTGGTTTTCAACTCGAGCTTGGAAAACCCAATTTCGAAGCGTTTTGAACTTGAATGACTTTACTCTGATGGCTGTTATCATATTTTCAATAAATACCGATAATTTTATTTTGATAAATTACCTTTATAAAAAATTAACGGATTTCACGCGATCTGGCATCAGGTATATACAGGGTGTCCCAAAAAAAGCACCCCCCTCTAGCGGCGCCCAGACGTGACCGATTCTCGCCGTTTAGGTATCTATCGAAAGCTCTCAAAAAGGCGAGAAAACATGAAGGGTTCATTTTCTTTATTATGTATTTTTATTGGCGAATTTTACCTCCAAATTCCATGAAAACGGCAGATTTACGCGAGATCCGCATGCTAATTGCGAAATTCCTATTGAAAAGCTACCTGTTTTTTAGGAAAACCGTTGAATATCCGAAGAATAAAAACAAATCTTAGAAAATCAAGCCCGCTTGTTTTCTCGCCTTTTCGCGGGCTTTCGAATGGTAAAAAAATCATCCTGATCTGAGCTTACCACGGACCGCTAGAGGGGGGTGCTTTTTTTTGGGACACCCAGTAGAACCGCAACTTGTCTGTTGCCCTTCATCTAAACCATAATTAATGCCCTGCCGCGAAAAAAATTTAAAGATTGTACGTGGGCGCACGTAGTTTCATAAATTTTTTCAATTGTCGGTGTTGAACTTTGCAATGGGGCCAATTGGAAGCGGAACTTCTTCTTCCCTCCTCCCTGTAAACGGCCGGTTTTTGCTTGAGTGGTTTGGAGGTTTGATGAGCGGACCATGGGGTCCACTGAGATTGGCCCCCACGGCGGCCGCCATTTAAAATTTCACGCTTATTCGCATTTCTGAGGTTGATTTTTTGGGCTGTTGATTTTTGCGGATGAATTTTTCGCAAGTTTGGATGGAGGAGAATCGGGTGGGTTTTTTTGAGCGCTAGATTGAACTTGGGTTTTCTAGCATTTCCGGGGGAATCCGCATTTTTCCTATTATTTCGCATTAATTAATATCCGGATCTAGTAGCGTAACAGTAAGTATTTTGAGTAAAGGTTCGCTATATTTAAAATATCTAGCAAACTATCGAGAAAACGTCATTTTGGCCGAAAAATCGAGACTTTTGTAGTTTTAATAAAAATTATTAAAGTTTTGCGTTTGAGAATAAAAAAAAGTAAAAAAGCGCGGTAAGTCTATCAAGTAGCAGAGTAGAAAAAGGTTATCAACAACCGCTTCTCATAGCGAAAAATTTGGAGCGGGAAATTGCGTAGACTACGGCACCGGATAGAGACATACTTTTAAAATTTAATTTTCAACTTTTTTCAGCCGTTTTGCAAACGGATGGAAGTCCTGAATATCTGCTTGATGTCGGTGTTTTGTTTGCTACAGGATTTGCTGTATTTTCTGCTGTTATACAGTTTGGCCGTGCAGCGGAAGGCTTTTCACCCATATTTCGTGTAAATTCTTATAGATGTTAGGACTGTTTAAAAGCTGTTTTTTTTACATTAATTTAGTCCTTGCTTTTAACGTATGTTATACGTCCGTTCAAAAGCGAACGTGTTACGCCACGTTAATTTTAGGACCTGTTTCGGTACCCTATTTGGCTGCTTCACTGTGCTAGTGATGTTTGCTCAACTCGGTATCCTCGCAAGGATTTTTGAGGTAGCGATCTTTCCTTTAAATCCCCCATAAATTGGTTTTCAGTTGCACGCCTTTAAAGCATTCCTCCTCTACTATTCGTGGCCATTTTTCTTTATCCTATTACCGATCAATTTGACATGTATTTTTGAGCGGTTTCTGGCTACGATATTCTACCAGAACTATGAGACGATGCGACCTTGGTATATTTTTCTGCTGCCAGCGTGTTCATTGGTAAGGTTAGATAAAATTTGGTAAGATCAGAAAACTTTTAGATTTGTGTAATCGCACTGTACGTCAAGAAATTAGGTAATTTTTATATCTTTATCGATTCATTAAATTTTGTTTGATTTTTCAGATGACATCTGGTCGGTTCTCGATGATTTGGCGATTTACGGTTCGGTATTTTGCCTGATGGTTTGTTTATAAAAACTGATAATTTCCTGTTTTTGAGCTTGTCGCCCTTCTTGTACTCCTCAACGTCACGCTTATAAGAAGACAGCGTAAAGGCGCTTCGTTAACTTCTCGATATCAACTTTCGGAGAACATTAAAAGCAAGTTTTGTAGATGAGCTAATTTCCCCTTTCAGCCCTTCAAATAATTCTGCCCTACTGCTTCTGGGACAGCATGTTCAACCTGATCGGTTTGGTTTTTCTCCAATTCCTCAGCGTCGACGAGGCATTTATACCAGCAACGTGTATCCAGTCGCCGATTGCCTATACGGCTGCGTTTTTCGCGGTGTTGGTGGTACGTTCAGGCGCGTAGAAGGGGGGCAGTGGGGGTTACCGAAATTTTTCGCCGCCGGCGCCCAAATTTCGAAAAATTTTTTTTGCTTTCCCCTTTCGAAATGTCGCTGCCCCCCCACCCCGAAACTTGGGGTCAGCTACGCCCCTGGGTGCGTTACAGGCCGTCTTTTGACGTTTTTGGGTCATATAACCCAACCATTATTGTTTCTGGTTTCTGGTGACTGGGTGATTTGCTATTCTAATGTCGAAAATAATAATGTCGAAATGTCATAATGTCGAAATTCAGAATGTCGAATTTTTTTTGCCTAGGATTTGGAGGTCTACCGGGAACACTAGCTTATGTAAATTACGACATTATGAATTTCGACATTATGAAATTACGACATTATGAATTATTAGGATTTTCGACATTTTGAAAATCAGCCTCTAACCTCGGAACCTCTGAGCGGTGTGCTGCTATTGGAATTTTGGTACCGCAAAATGTGATCATTGAACGAGGAACTCGGTGCACCACGCGGATTTCCCGGAATTAATCGGTTCCTGCCTTGTTTTGGTGCTGATATTTGGATTGTCGCGTCACAAACTCGCGTCCCAATTCGAGGAAGATGACTAGACAATAAAAGAAGCTCAGAAAGGTGTCTGGAGACTCAAGAAATGTTCCAAGTTGACGCGGTGCTTGGACGGAGACTCTAGCAGTGTTTTTTAAGTGATGTAGAAAGGCCTAGAACACTGGACTTTAGGGACAAGTTAGCACTATCCCTGTGAAATTTGTACGTGATTTTCGGTGCCTAATTTAACAATTTTCACAAACCCCCTGTTCGAATTCTAGGAAATTTTGGTGACTTCGCAATAGGGTTGTTATATGAGTTGGCTTGCACCCAAATTTATTTGCCGAGGACTTTACTCAACAACTGGCAAACAATTTTGTGGCCAGCAAATCAGGAAGTCAAACTCAACTCGATTTCCATTTTGTTTGATGCGGCTTTTATTCAGGCCGGGTCAAACAATATTTGACGCAATTAAACTCGACGGCGAGTTGTTGTTTGACCTCGAAATTGTTTACCGGAGTTGCGAAGATGCTAATTTGAGAAATGAAATTGCAATAAGTTTGGCATGCAAAAATTAAAATGGGCCAACTTTCGTTGCTTTCCATAATTTCCCTCCTCAAATTAGCATATTTTCAACTTCCGGCAAACAATTTCGAGGTCAAACAACAACTCGCCGTCGAGTTTACTTGCGTCAAATATTATACTTCGCCCGCCACCCTGGTGGGCCCCCCCCAAAAGGTGGGCAGGGGTGGGGGTGGAGGGGTGGGCAGAGGGTGGGCGCCGGGGGTGGGCGGAGGGTGGGGGGTCGGGGTGGGGAGACGACCCCCCACCCCCCCCGCCAAGGAAAGCCATCAAATCTACAGCCGAGAAAATAGATCACCTATGTAATGAAGCTTTTTATAGTGTCTTAGTTAGTAATTTTTTATTGCTAAAAAGGTACATAAAATTCTTAGCAAATTTGACCCTCTTTGGCAATTTTTCATACATTTTTGATCAAAAAGTCAATATTTTCCGTAAATTTTTATAATTTTGATGAGTTTTGTAACGTTTTCCGCTATAGAATCCCGGTGGTTCCATTTTTCTCCAACCACCCCACGGGAGGAGGGCTTTTAGAGAAAAATTTTTGCTTTTGAAAAAATTTCCGGGGGTTTTATTAAAGGAAATTCCCTATCCACAAACTGTGCAAAATGATATAAAAAGGTCGTTATAGGACCATACGGTTCTATACTGTCAATAAACTTGGTTAAAGGCTAGCTTTTTCGCTAGTCTTACAGTGGGGTGGGCGTCCACCGTGGGTGGGGGGTGGGGGTGGCGGTGGGGTGGGGAAAAATTTTTGCTTTTTTTCAAAGCAAAAATTTTTCTCTAAAAGCCCTCCTCCCGTGGGGTGGTTGGAGAAAATGGAACCACCGGGATTCTATAGCGGAAAACGTTACAAAACTCATCAAAATTATAAAAATTTACGGAAAATATTGACTTTTTGATCAAAAATGTATGAAAAATTGCCAAAGAGGGTCAAATTTGCTAAGAATTTTATGTACCTTTTTAGCAATAAAAAATTACTAACTAAGACACTATAAAAAGCTTCATTACATAGGTGATCTATTTTCTCGGCTGTAGATTTGATGGCTTTCCTTGGCGGGGGGGGGGGGTCGTCTCCCACCCCGACCCCCACCCTCCGCCCACCCCCGGCGCCCACCCTCTGCCCACCCTCCACCCCCACCCCTGCCCACCTTTTGGGGGGGCCACCAGGGTGGCGGGCGAAGTATAATATTTGACGCAAGTAAACTCGACGGCGAGTTGTTATTTGACCTCGAAATTGTTTGCCGGAAGTTGAAAATATGCTAATTTGAGGAGGGAAATTATGGAAAGCAACGAAAGTTGGCCCATTTTAATTTTTGCATGCCAAACTTATTGCAATTTCATTTCTCAAATTAGCATCTTCGCAACTCCGGTAAACAATTTCGAGGTCAAACAACAACTCGCCGTCGAGTTTAATTGCGTCAAATATTGTTTGACCCGGCCTGAATAAAAGCCGCATCAAACAAAATGGAAATCGAGTTGAGTTTGACTTCCTGATTTGCTGGCCACAAAATTGTTTGCCAGTTGTTGAGTAAAAAATTCACAAACCACCTCGCGGGTAAACAGTTGCTTACCGCATTTTCATGCAAACAAATTTGCCTGCAAGCCAACTCATATAACAACTAGAGTGAGGGAGGCCTAGGCTAAAGCCTAGGCTTGCCTAGGCTTCCTCAGGCTTTTTTAATTTGCATCGCCTGGGCTGAGCCTGGGCTATGCAAAGCACGCCTGACCTCTAATTAGTCAGGCTTTATCTGGAAATTTTATGTAAAGTCGTATAATATTCGAAGTTTTGCCGGACAAATAAGGATTTTTTTGAAACTTCCGGGGGGTCGAAGAGTTGTATTGGGTCCTAGAATATTCCACAAAGTTAGGGTACTGTTTTTGACAAACCTTACGGCACGATACGTGAATAGCAAGCGGATACACAAAAGCCAAGAGTCGGATCAAACGGGCGGGGGATGCAATTGGCTCTCCTGACATCCTACCTATATGTTTCCCACCTTCGGCATCCTTGTAATTTGTTATTGCGTAAAAGATACGAACGTTTTAGATGCAGTAACCAGATTAACATGTTATTGCGCATTGCATAAAAAGCCTGCGTAAATCCTTAGGCTTCCGCCAGGCGTCGGCAGGCGCGGAAATGCAATTCGGCCCAAGAAAGCCTGAAGAGGCCTGCCGCTCCCTCACTCTAATAACAACCCTACTTCGCAACAAAAAAAGCTGCTCACAAAGGTGTCTGGAGGCTCAGGAAATGTTCCACGCTGACGCAGTGCTTTGCTGATAATTAGAATTGTTACAAAGGGACGATTTCTGGGGTGTCTAGTAGTGATTTTTCGGGACTTTAGGAACACTAGACCTGTCGGAGAGGCTCAAAATAACGGTGGAATCGTTTGTCGAATTACGTTGCGAAATCCATTTTTTTTTTGTAAAAAAAAACCTTCCAGTTCCGACAAGTGGTGTGCCTACTCTCGCCGATTGTCACCTTTCGCATCAACACAATCTTGCGCAGACCGGTGCTCGATTTGTTGCGGAAAATTGGTGTATACGGGAAGAATCGAATCCGCGGTATCCATCACCGGCAAGAATTCCGGAATGTGATGGGACGGCGGATAGCGCTCAGCGCCTCACAGGATATGTACTTTAGTCAGCTTACTGCTCATTGGTAACTTTCGTACAAGAAGGTGGGTTTTTCACGGGATCACGAAAAATAGACCCGTATTAATGCAAATTGTGGCATGAAGGGCTTCAAAAAAATTTGTTGCGCAGGTGCACAGGGCTTAAATTTTTTTGCTGCATGATTTTGTATCTTTTTCGGTATTTTTAGTTTTTAGAATTATCCTAGCTCAGTTTTTCCAGCCTTAATCATGTTAGCATACTTCAAAAGACGTACTGACCGCTCCAAAACACGAAATTCGAGTACCAGAACAATTTTGGCCTTTCTTAGTGGATAATGGTAATTCTTAGCCTACCAGGGTTGAAAAGCCGCTTCGCGACTTTTCAACCCTGGCCCCGTCTGACTGTAAAGTGTTTTTACTCAGGCTGGCGTTTTGGAATGGGACCAAGACTATCTTGTTCAGAATTTATCGCTGATTCCAAATCCGTTTTCCAAATTTGCTGCGGACTTTGCGTTAAAAAAAGTCATTTGAGGTCGAAATTAAGCTTAAATTTTAAACGGCATGAATTCGGATGCTGGCCCACTATTCTCTGTCTGGGCCCAGGGATTGCTGTGCCCCCTATCTACCCTTCCGAAGCCCCCTGCCCAGTTGGCACCATGGTGCATTGGCAAGGTGTTCGCTTGCCGAGTACAGGGCGGCGGTTCGAGCCCGGCCCTGCACAATTGCTTTTGCTTTTTGCACAAAAACGCATGATTTTTTGCATCAACTCGTGCTTTGACCTCTAAAACAGTTACCGACCCAGTTTTACCGTTGAAGATGACGACAACTTACAAATAACGCAAAAAACATCTGGACTTTGGCATTTTTATAGTATAAATATCCAATAACTTTTTAAATAAAAGTCGGCAGCAGATTTGGAAATCGGATTCGGAATCAGCGAAAAATTCTGCACAAGGTAGACTTGGTCCCATCCGAAAACGCCAGCCTGAGTAAAAACACTTTACAGTGAGCCCATGCTTATCTTCACTTTACATCAACTCCCGAATTCCGCTGCGAAAAAATCGAAAGCGCCACCTCGCTCCGATTATATAGGCTACCGCCACTTCCGGCATATGCTAATTGATCACTAACTAACAAAGGTCGTCAAAATTTTCACAAAAACTTAATTTTAATATCGGAAATAGTTGATTTTGAAAAATCTGAGATATGTGCAGTCATCAAGAGGTCATTACGCATCTAATGACGTATCATATATGGCCTTACATTATTCCCTTATCGAGTTAGCACTGCAACACCATTACAGAAGTTGCATGCACATGCACACACAGACACTATTTTTAACTATAGTAGGATCCTGGTAATCATCCGTGGCGGGTCCAGAAAGTCCAATCGTAGCGTATGTAGGCGCCTTTCCTGGTCCACCCTAATGATTTTCGACTCAATCTTTCAACGAATTCTCCAGGGTACTTTTAGTTTAAGATTAACTGAATGAGGTTTTGAGGAATTGTAAATACGTTGGAGTCTTTGAAAATCATGAGCAATCAAAAACATCCGGCTGTTTTTATTTTGTTAATTGATTCCCTTGGGTATCGTTGCTTGCGCACCTTTATAATTCCCGTCAATGTAGCGTTGTCGGTTGTTATTGTCTAAATCTGACCACAGCCATTTTCGAGACTATTCTGAGGTTGTTGCTGAGGGTTTATGGATTCAAGTCAGGTAGTTTTGCGTGACATAAACCTTTAAGAGCTTACTTTAACGATTAAAACTTATTTTTTTAGTCCTACTGTTCGATTTACGCGTCACTCGCCGGAATCGAGGTTTATATCGCCACGTCTGGCATTGTATTATCGTATTCACTTTTGTTGTTTTGTCTCTGGAGGCAGAGGCGGGCTTTTCACCCATTTTTCGTGTAAGTACAGTTCTAGTTGATACCCGAATTAATTTTTGCGCTAGTTATCGATTCTTCAAGGCTTTAGATGTTTTTGTAAAATTGAAATTGTTAAAAAAATAACGTTGATTTTTCAGATTAACTTTCGGCTGCCTTATCTTTTGTACAGCCGCTTTCTCGGCCATACATTTGCTCTACAAGACGCTCGCGGGTTTTAATGTGGGTACCGGCTCTCTCTCTCTCTCTCTCTCTCTCTCTCTCTCTCTCTCTCTCTCTCTCTATCTTTCTTTCTCTTGCTCTCTATTACTTTCTCGCTCTCGCTCTCTCTCTCTCACTCTCACTCTCGCTTTCTTTCTCTCTCTCTCTCTCTCTCTCTCTCTCTCCCTCTCTCTCTCTCCCTATCTCCCTCTCACTATATAATTTCTAAAATCCTCTAAAATTTCTTATATTTAGCTAGCTACATTAAATTCCTATATCGTTCTCGCATGGTGGCCGCTTTACTATATGATAATTCCACTAAATTTGACGTGCACTTTGGAGCGTCTTGTAGCTACCGTATTCTATCAGAACTATGAAAAACGTAGGCCATGGGTTATATTGTTAATTCCGGGGATCACTGCGGTAAGTCTTCTCAGCCGAACTCTAAAGAATTATTTTAGCCCCTATTCACTTACCTCATGGTCCATGGCGACTTCGGTACGGAAGGCTAAAAAATCTAGATTTTTCGGATTTTAGGGACTATGACCTCGCCATTAGTACAGGGTTTGCAATACGGCGGTTCCAGCTGTTCATTCGCGGTCAGCTAGCAGGGATTCTTGGGGAATGCGGTGGATTTTTTTAGATACTGCTCACGGTAGTGCTGGCGAATATCTATCTAACCTTAAAATTGCGTAAGGAGGCGGATGGAGATTTGACAGCGAAATATCAGTTGGCGGAGAATGTTAGGAGTAAGCCATTTTCAATGTACGGTTATAGAATCCGGATCAACTCGTATCCTCTATCCGGTTGTAATCCGGTTTTTCTAATCAGATCCGGGGAAGGTTCGAACTTCGAAGGCTTTCCGGTGGTTTTCCGGTCCAAAGCTGGCGACTGGAACTTGCAACGCCTGGCATCCGATGAGCTCCAGTAATTTTCGCGAAAGAATCCGGAAAGGTCCAACAGCTTCCGGACCCTTTCCGACTCATAGCTAGCCGTTTCTGCGCGTTCCGGTCAAGATGTTCTCAAGTTTGACACGTTTGACGGACCAGTCTGTCCGTCTGAGCTCAGATTGGGATCAAGGTCCGATAGCTTTCCGGTAGCCTTCCGGTCGGATTTTGGAGCAATCCTGGCAGCTTGCCAAAGATTTCATGATACATTTTAAGCCGCCCAAATCTCGATGGTTTATGTGGTGATCGAGAATCTGCTAAAAATCTACGACGCCCTCGCGACGAACGTCTTCAACTTGAGCGCAGTATTTTTCGTAGCGAAATGCGAGTCGGAAAGCTCTTATGCATTAGCTTACGCGGTATATTTGGTGGTGAGAACTTGACCATAATTTGCATACAGTATCATCCCTTTTAAATTATTAGATCCCTTAACAAGCTTTTTAGCTGCGCCAAGTCATGATCCTCCTCACACCGGCTATTATTTTTCGAATTAACCGCCCTCTTCGAAAACAATTCCGCCGGTTAACTCATCCGTTCATGAAAAGAAAGCCCACAGTAAGAATTATCCATTAATCGAATCAAGCAATTCAATAAAGTGATTTTAAAAAGATATTCCTCATTTTTAGGTAGCCTGCATCAGCGAGGCCGCCGCCTTGGAATACCGCAACCCACTGGGGAAGAAGATCCAATTGAGCGAGTCGAAAGATATGTATTTTACCCATTTGAAAACCATGTGGAAGTGATAAAGGATTCTGATGCTTGGCTTTGGTGGCATCCAACTTCTATGGGAGGAAATTGGACGTTAACGCGCACGTTCAGGGACGTTTTCGGGTAAAAAAAGCAGTCATTTTGCCGCGGCCGGCCGGGATTGGCCTGTCACAGCACGGGCAGGCAGCGCGCGCGGTCCCTACGTCCATAGGGCGTATACGTTGGGACGAGTATACGGCCCCTCCCTACACGTGCGCTTTAAATGGCTAAAACACAATGTTTTTTTTGCGTTTTTATACTTCGCCCGCCACCCTGGTGGGCCCCCCCCAAAAGGTGGGCAGGGGTGGGGGTGGAGGGTGGGCAGAGGGTGGGCGCCGGGGGTGGGCGGAGGGTGGGGGGTCGGGGTGGGGAGACGACCCCCCCCCCCGCCAAGGAAAGCCATCAAATCTACAGCCGAGAAAATAGATCACCTATGTAATGAAGCTTTTTATAGTGTCTTAGTTAGTAATTTTTTATTGCTAAAAAGGTACATAAAATTCTTAGCAAATTTGACCCTCTTTGGCAATTTTTCATACATTTTTGATCAAAAAGTCAATATTTTCCGTAAATTTTTATAATTTTGATGAGTTTTGTAACGTTTTCCGCTATAGAATCCCGGTGGTTCCATTTTCTCCAACCACCCCACGGGAGGAGGGCTTTTAGAGAAAAATTTTTGCTTTTGAAAAAAATTTCCGGGGGTTTTATTAAAGGAAATTCCCTATCCACAAACTGTGCAAAATGATATAAAAAAGGTCGTTATAGGACCATACGGTTCTATACTGTCAATAAACTTGGTTAAAGGCTAGCTTTTTCGCTAGTCTTACAGTGGGGTGGGCGTCCACCGTGGGTGGGGGGTGGGGGTGGCGGTGGGGTGGGGAAAAATTTTTGCTTTTTTTCAAAGCAAAAATTTTTCTCTAAAAGCCCTCCTCCCGTGGGGTGGTTGGAGAAAATGGAACCACCGGGATTCTATAGCGGAAAACGTTACAAAACTCATCAAAATTATAAAAATTTACGGAAAATATTGACTTTTTGATCAAAAATGTATGAAAAATTGCCAAAGAGGGTCAAATTTGCTAAGAATTTTATGTACCTTTTTAGCAATAAAAAATTACTAACTAAGACACTATAAAAAGCTTCATTACATAGGTGATCTATTTTCTCGGCTGTAGATTTGATGGCTTTCCTTGGCGGGGGGGGGGGGTCGTCTCCCCACCCCGACCCCCCACCCTCCGCCCACCCCCGGCGCCCACCCTCTGCCCACCCTCCACCCCCACCCCTGCCCACCTTTTGGGGGGGGCCCACCAGGGTGGCGGGCGAAGTATAATATTTGACGCAGTAAACTCGACGGCGAGTTGTTATTTGACCTCGAAATTGTTTGCCGGAAGTTGAAAATATGCTAATTTGAGGAGGGAAATTATGGAAAGCAACGAAAGTTGGCCCATTTTAATTTTTGCATGCCAAACTTATTGCAATTTCATTTCTCAAATTAGCATCTTCGCAACTCCGGTAAACAATTTCGAGGTCAAACAACAACTCGCCGTCGAGTTTAATTGCGTCAAATATTGTTTGACCCGGCCTGAATAAAAGCCGCATCAAACAAAATGGAAATCGAGTTGAGTTTGACTTCCTGATTTGCTGGCCACAAAATTGTTTGCCAGTTGTTGAGTAAAAAAATTCACAAACCACCTCGCGGGTAAACAGTTGCTTACCGCATTTTCATGCAAACAAATTTGCCTGCAAGCCAACTCATATAACAACTAGAGTGAGGGAGGCCTAGGCTAAAGCCTAGGCTTGCCTAGGCTTCCTCAGGCTTTTTTAATTTGCATCGCCTGGGCTGAGCCTGGGCTATGCAAAGCACGCCTGACCTCTAATTAGTCAGGCTTTATCTGGAAATTTTATGTAAAGTCGTATAATATTCGAAGTTTTGCCGGACAAATAAGGATTTTTTTGAAACTTCCGGGGGGTCGAAGAGTTGTATTGGGTCCTAGAATATTCCACAAAGTTAGGGTACTGTTTTTGACAAACCTTACGGCACGATACGTGAATAGCAAGCGGATACACAAAAGCCAAGAGTCGGATCAAACGGGCGGGGGATGCAATTGGCTCTCCTGACATCCTACCTATATGTTTCCCACCTTCGGCATCCTTGTAATTTGTTATTGCGTAAAAGATACGAACGTTTTAGATGCAGTAACCAGATTAACATGTTATTGCGCATTGCATAAAAAGCCTGCGTAAATCCTTAGGCTTCCGCCAGGCGTCGGCAGGCGCGGAAATGCAATTCGGCCCAAGAAAGCCTGAAGAGGCCTGCCGCTCCCTCACTCTAATAACAACCCTACTTCGCAACAAAAAAAAGCTGCTCACAAAGGTGTCTGGAGGCTCAGGAAATGTTCCACGCTGACGCAGTGCTTTGCTGATAATTAGAATTGTTACAAAGGGACGATTTCTGGGGTGTCTAGTAGTGATTTTTCGGGACTTTAGGAACACTAGACCTGTCGGAGAGGCTCAAAATAACGGTGGAATCGTTTGTCGAATTACGTTGCGAAATCCATTTTTTTTTGTAAAAAAAAACCTTCCAGTTCCGACAAGTGGTGTGCCTACTCTCGCCGATTGTCACCTTTCGCATCAACACAATCTTGCGCAGACCGGTGCTCGATTTGTTGCGGAAAAATTGGTGTATACGGGAAGAATCGAATCCGCGGTATCCATCACCGGCAAGAATTCCGGAATGTGATGGGACGGCGGATAGCGCTCAGCGCCTCACAGGATATGTACTTTAGTCAGCTTACTGCTCATTGGTAACTTTCGTACAAGAAGGTGGGTTTTTCACGGGATCACGAAAAATAGACCCGTATTAATGCAAATTGTGGCATGAAGGGCTTCAAAAAAATTTGTTGCGCAGGTGCACAGGGCTTAAATTTTTTTGCTGCATGATTTTGTATCTTTTTCGGTATTTTTAGTTTTTAGAATTATCCTAGCTCAGTTTTTCCAGCCTTAATCATGTTAGCATACTTCAAAAGACGTACTGACCGCTCCAAAACACGAAATTCGAGTACCAGAACAATTTTGGCCTTTCTTAGTGGATAATGGTAATTCTTAGCCTACCAGGGTTGAAAAGCCGCTTCGCGACTTTTCAACCCTGGCCCCGTCTGACTGTAAAGTGTTTTTACTCAGGCTGGCGTTTTGGAATGGGACCAAGACTATCTTGTTCAGAATTTATCGCTGATTCCAAATCCGTTTTCCAAATTTGCTGCGGACTTTGCGTTAAAAGTCATTTGAGGTCGAAATTAAGCTTAAATTTTAAACGGCATGAATTCGGATGCTGGCCCACTATTCTCTGTCTGGGCCCAGGGATTGCTGTGCCCCCTATCTACCCTTCCGAAGCCCCCTGCCCAGTTGGCACCATGGTGCATTGGCAAGGTGTTCGCTTGCCGAGTACAGGGCGGCGGTTCGAGCCCGGCCCTGCACAATTGCTTTTGCTTTTTGCACAAAAACGCATGATTTTTTGCATCAACTCGTGCTTTGACCTCTAAAACAGTTACCGACCCAGTTTTACCGTTGAAGATGACGACAACTTACAAATAACGCAAAAACATCTGGACTTTGGCACTTTTTATAGTATAAATATCCAATAACTTTTTAAATAAAAGTCGGCAGCAGATTTGGAAATCGGATTCGGAATCAGCGAAAAATTCTGCACAAGGTAGACTTGGTCCCATCCGAAAACGCCAGCCTGAGTAAAAACACTTTACAGTGAGCCCATGCTTATCTTCACTTTACATCAACTCCCGAATTCCGCTGCGAAAAAATCGAAAGCGCCACCTCGCTCCGATTATATAGGCTACCGCCACTTCCGGCATATGCTAATTGATCACTAACTAACAAAGGTCGTCAAAATTTTCACAAAAACTTAATTTTAATATCGGAAATAGTTGATTTTGAAAAATCTGAGATATGTGCAGTCATCAAGAGGTCATTACGCATCTAATGACGTATCATATATGGCCTTACATTATTCCCTTATCGAGTTAGCACTGCAACACCATTACAGAAGTTGCATGCACATGCACACACAGACACTATTTTTAACTATAGTAGGATCCTGGTAATCATCCGTGGCGGGTCCAGAAAGTCCAATCGTAGCGTATGTACGCGCCTTTCCTGGTCCACCCTAATGATTTTCGACTCAATCTTTCAACGAATTCTCCAGGGTACTTTTAGTTTAAGATTAACTGAATGAGGTTTTGAGGAATTGTAAATACGTTGGAGTCTTTGAAAATCATGAGCAATCAAAAACATCCGGCTGTTTTTATTTTGTTAATTGATTCCCTTGGGTATCGTTGCTTGCGCACCTTTATAATTCCCGTCAATGTAGCGTTGTCGGTTGTTATTGTCTAAATCTGACCACAGCCATTTTCGAGACTATTCTGAGGTTGTTGCTGAGGGTTTATGGATTCAAGTCAGGTAGTTTTGCGTGACATAAACCTTTAAGAGCTTACTTTAACGATTAAAACTTATTTTTTTAGTCCTACTGTTCGATTTACGCGTCACTCGCCGGAATCGAGGTTTATATCGCCACGTCTGGCATTGTATTATCGTATTCACTTTTGTTGTTTTGTCTCTGGAGGCAGAGGCGGGCTTTTCACCCATTTTTCGTGTAAGTACAGTTCTAGTTGATACCCGAATTAATTTTTGCGCTAGTTATCGATTCTTCAAGGCTTTAGATGTTTTTGTAAAATTGAAATTGTTAAAAAAATAACGTTGATTTTTCAGATTAACTTTCGGCTGCCTTATCTTTTGTACAGCCGCTTTCTCGGCCATACATTTGCTCTACAAGACGCTCGCGGGTTTTAATGTGGGTACCGGCTCTCTCTCTCTCTCTCTCTCTCTCTCTCTCTCTCTTCTCTCTATCTTTCTTTCTCTTGCTCTCTATTACTTTCTCGCTCTCGCTCTCTCTCTCTCACTCTCACTCTCGCTTTCTTTCTCTCTCTCTCTCTCTCTCTCTCTCTCTCTCTCTCTCTCTCTCTCTCTCTCTCCCTCTCTCTCTCTCCCTATCTCCCTCTCACTATATAATTTCTAAAATCCTCTAAAATTTCTTATATTTAGCTAGCTACATTAAATTCCTATATCGTTCTCGCATGGTGGCCGCTTTACTATATGATAATTCCACTAAATTTGACGTGCACTTTGGAGCGTCTTGTAGCTACCGTATTCTATCAGAACTATGAAAAACGTAGGCCATGGGTTATATTGTTAATTCCGGGGATCACTGCGGTAAGTCTTCTCAGCCGAACTCTAAAGAATTATTTTAGCCCCTATTCACTTACCTCATGGTCCATGGCGACTTCGGTACGGAAGGCTAAAAAAATCTAGATTTTTCGGATTTTAGGGACTATGACCTCGCCATTAGTACAGGGTTTGCAATACGGCGGTTCCAGCTGTTCATTCGCGGTCAGCTAGCAGGGATTCTTGGGGAATGCGGTGGATTTTTTTAGATACTGCTCACGGTAGTGCTGGCGAATATCTATCTAACCTTAAAATTGCGTAAGGAGGCGGATGGAGATTTGACAGCGAAATATCAGTTGGCGGAGAATGTTAGGAGTAAGCCATTTTCAATGTACGGTTATAGAATCCGGATCAACTCGTATCCTCTATCCGGTTGTAATCCGGTTTTTCTAATCAGATCCGGGGAAGGTTCGAACTTCGAAGGCTTTCCGGTGGTTTTCCGGTCCAAAGCTGGCGACTGGAACTTGCAACGCCTGGCATCCGATGAGCTCCAGTAATTTTCGCGAAAGAATCCGGAAAGGTCCAACAGCTTCCGGACCCTTTCCGACTCATAGCTAGCCGTTTCTGCGCGTTCCGGTCAAGATGTTCTCAAGTTTGACACGTTTGACGGACCAGTCTGTCCGTCTGAGCTCAGATTGGGATCAAGGTCCGATAGCTTTCCGGTAGCCTTCCGGTCGGATTTTGGAGCAATCCTGGCAGCTTGCCAAAGATTTCATGATACATTTTAAGCCGCCCAAATCTCGATGGTTTATGTGGTGATCGAGAATCTGCTAAAAATCTACGACGCCCTCGCGACGAACGTCTTCAACTTGAGCGCAGTATTTTTCGTAGCGAAATGCGAGTCGGAAAGCTCTTATGCATTAGCTTACGCGGTATATTTGGTGGTGAGAACTTGACCATAATTTGCATACAGTATCATCCCTTTTAAATTATTAGATCCCTTAACAAGCTTTTTAGCTGCGCCAAGTCATGATCCTCCTCACACCGGCTATTGTTTTTCGAATTAACCGCCCTCTTCGAAAAGAATTCCGCCGGTTAACTCATCCGTTCATGAAAAGAAAGCCCACAGTAAGAATTATCCATTAATCGAATCAAGCAATTCAATAAAGTGATTTTAAAAAGATATTCCTCATTTTTAGGTAGCCTGCATCAGCGAGGCCGCCGCCTTGGAATACCGCAACCCACTGGGGAAGAAGATCCAATTGAGCGAGTCGAAAGATATGTATTTTACCCATTTGAAAACCATGTGGAAGTGATAAAGGATTCTGATGCTTGGCTTTGGTGGCATCCAACTTCTATGGGAGGAAATTGGACGTTAACGCGCACGTTCAGGGACGTTTTCGGGTAAAAAAAGCAGTCATTTTGCCGCGGCCGGCCGGGATTGGCCTGTCACAGCACGGGCAGGCAGCGCGCGCGGTCCCTACGTCCATAGGGCGTATACGTTGGGACGAGTATACGGCCCCTCCCTACACGTGCGCTTTAAATGGCTAAAACACAATGTTTTTTTTGCGTTTTTCGAGTAGCACTAAAATCCCAGACAGCGGCACGAATGGCTCGGGTACACCCTCAAAAAAGCAAAATTGGCCTCAATGAATCGAGCTAATCTCGAAAAACCAAGTCGCGGATTTTCAAAAGGATCCTTTCTTTGGAAATCCGTTCTATTTTTGTTTGGGGATTCGGAACACTTTGGAACCTTCCTAAACCTCAGCAAACCGGATCGGAGAAAATTTGGTCCTTTCGCATTTTCGGGGGCTTAATTTTTCTCTGTTTCTAGGAACGCCTAGGAACTTGCTAGTAAGGGCTTTAATGGTGTTTTTAGTAAAGTTTAGCTATATTTAAGATGAAAATCGATCTACAAACCTAGAATATTTTGCATTTTTGGTGGGAAATCAACCATGTTGGATAGAAAAATCGATTTGTTTTCTGTTTTAACGAAAATTTGTAAAGGTTTTACATTTTGGAATGGTGGAAAAACACAGCTGACTCTGTTTATTTTCGAAAAATCGAATCTTGAGGAAAAAAGTTGGTCCCCCGATAATCCCACAGCCCGAAAAATTTAACTAACTTTTCAAAAGCGGTGATGAAGCAGTAAAGTACCGTTGCCTAGTTTTCAAAATCTGCAAAATTTTATTCGTAACTAGGGAAAAAGTTACTCCCTCTCCCACGTCCCCCCCGATAAGGCAACAGCGTCTAAAATTCCTACAGACTTTTACAAACGAAAAAGGAGCGAAATTTCCGCTAGCGTTTCAAAATTTGCAAAATTTTATTCGTAATTTGTAGCCGAGCTTTCCAAAAAGTAATGTTCCTCAAGCTTCCATTGTGCAACCCCTGGTACATACGGTCTGCGCAACCTCACGCCACTATCTAACCACAGGGTCTAGGAGGATTTTGGAGAAATTATCGGGTAGGAGGGAACCGTCATTATACAGCCGCTAAACGCGTCTCCGATTTCGCAAATTTTTGATTTTTGAGAGCCCCCCAGGGGGCAGTTGTTTTTCCGTCCCTTTGGTCAATCGCGGTGTCTGCGATTTTGAAGAAGACGCACTTTACATTCAACATCGGATAACATTTTCATTGCTGGTTAATATTCTGAATTTTAGATTTTCAGCCGATTTATTATATGGATAATGTTCAGGTACGTCGAAAAAAGCGGCTTTAAATAAGTGCATAAAAAGCGCATAGATTTTCGAGCAATTTCGAGAGACAAATAAATTATTTTATTAAGAGTTAAACTGAAATTTTGATGCGAGCTCAGGGTGAATAATGCACAATTAAAAAATAACAAGAAAGTTAGCCTTAAATAAATTATTTAGGCGGTTAGAAGTACCGGAATTTAGAGATTTTTAAATAAAGCCCTTCCTCTTTTTATCCTTTTTTCACAATTCGGAACTCAATCAATTAAACAAAAACTGTTTTTAACTAGTTAGGTGCTTTTGTAAATTGAGACTATTAAAGTTTTATACATACCTTTTGATTTGCTATTTATTTTCAGATGTTCTGCTCGATTTTCGAGAAAGTATCCGGATTCGAAGTATTGCTGGCCACAGCAATTCATACCGTTTGCTACAGCTTATTACTGGCGTGCCTGATTTTACAACGACGGGCGTTTCACCCGTTTTTCGTGTAAGTTTAAGGGCGTTTAATTATGTAAAAAAGTGAAATTCGACTAATTTTGACTAGTACTATTTTGCTACTATTTTATTTTAAATTTTTGGAAGGTTTTTCAAACGCAGAATTCGGACAACCATTGAATTAATAAAACAAAGCCATTATCAACTTTAAAGTGCCGTTTCAGATTGATATTTTCCTGCCTTATCGCCAGCTATACCATTTTTGCCCTACTCCATGTGCTTTTTAAAATATTTGCCTTATTTAAGGTAAGTTTTGAAGCCGATTTTCTTTTTCTGGCAACCGCTAAACCAGCAAAACGCACCATTTAGTTATTCGCGGTAAGTAGCTTTATAAAGCTTGCCTGGTGGCCAATCTACTACATTATAATTCCGCTCAACATGACGTGTACACTGGAGCGTCTCGTAGCGACGGTATTCTATAAAACTTACGAGAAGAGGAGGCCATGGGTATTGCTGTTAATCCCGGCCATAACTGCGGTAACTTTTCGGACACTATCCCTTGAAAACGCATTGTTTTTAGCCTCTCTTTGCCTACTGTCTCGCTGCTGACGTTTTCGGTATGGAATTTTATTCATGAACTTGATATAGCAAACATTTGAGGAGGCGTTGCGTCACCGTTGGCTACAATGATCTTGTATGGTGGTTCAGGCAGTTCATTAACGGTTTGATTTTCGATGATTTTTGGGTCCGTAGGGAGTTGCAAGCCGTACTTACACAAAAAAGTGTAGCGGAAAATTGGAGATCTTGGAAAATGGGTCATATTTCCTAGAATCAAATTAGCAGGGCTCAGAATAAAAAACCCTGGGTATTTCGAAGTCATAAAACTGGAGGTAGCAAAACGTTTCTAAACATAGTGACATTTCCGAACAAATAGCTTTTGGTAGCAAAACATTTACAGATTTCTAGTATCTGGCTTTCTTTAAAAAGGCAAAAATGAATAAATAAGAACTAGAAATGGCTATCAGACCGAAAGTATGATTGCAAACGTCTCCCAAGCCTTCCAAAACAGCAAAAAGCCTGCGACACTCGGGATTCCCAAGCCGTCTCCGATCCAAGTACTAACCGAGCCCAACGTTGCTTAACTTGGCAGATCGGACGGGATGCCGTGCTTTCAACGTGGTATGGTCGTAAGCAAGGGAAGGGAGGGGAGAGGGAATTTTGAGCTGTCTTTACCACCCCCCCCGTCACTTGTCTGCTTCTCGGCGCTTCAGCTGTCACAAAATCCCCCTTTCCCCTCCCTTCCCTCGCCTACGACCATACCACGTTGAAAGCACGGCATCCCGTCCGATCTACCAAGTTAAGCAACGTTGGGCTCGGTTAGTACTTGGATCGGAGACGGCTTGGGAATCCCGAGTCGAGTAGGCTTTTTGCACTTTTTGAAGTTGCCGAGGAGACATTCGGTTTTAGATTTTGCTCATTGTCGTCCTCACGAACGTTTATTTGACGTTAAAATTACGTAAGGAAGCCAATTGTGATCTTACTGCAAAATATCAATTGGCCGAGAATGTGCGGAGTAAGTCGAGTAGCTAAAAATGCTTGAACCGTCAAAAAATCGTAGTATTCGGACTAAAACCAGCTTTCCCTTTCAGCAGCTCAAATGTCACTGGCATATCTTTTTATCGAGATGTTTCTGAAGCTTTTTGATGTGGTTATCGCCAATTCAATCGAAATAACCGGGCAGTACTCTTCAGCTAAATGCCTGGCATCTCCCGGGTTTTATCCAGCAGCTTTCGGGTTGTATTTGGTGGTAAGTGAGCGTTAAAAAGACAGCTTTGCTAGGCTGATGTAAACCTAAAAAATGGTCTGGTAAATCTCTTTCATTTTCAGTTAGTTACTTTAATAGCAGGATCGTAGGAGATGGAACTAAATTGATTTTTTACTAAGGAAAATTAATACACTTTTTTTTAGTTCCGCCAAGCGTTAATCCTTCTCACCCCTCTGCTAATCTTCCGATTGAGTCGCCCACTCCGAAAACGACTGATCAAATTGACGCGTCATATTCTCAGAAAAACGAGCAAAATAGCGAGTGTTGGAAACTACCGTCTGGAGTACCGGAACCCGTTGGGCAAGAAGATCAAACTCAACGAGTCCAAGGAGCTCTATTTCACGCATTTGAAAACGATGTGGAGATAAAGCTTTTTTAAACATCAGCAAGCACCTTTTTTGAATCCTACAGTAGACTTTTTAGCGTCCACGAAGTTTCGAAATGGAACAAAATGGATTTTGAGCAGAATTCATCGCTGATCAAAACGTGCTTTGCAAAATGTGCGGAACGACTTGGCAAGTTGCGAAGGTTTAAAGCGTGGGACTGCTCAAAATAGCCCAATTTGGCAGTTTTTCGCTCTTTAAAGCGTCATAACTTTTTATGGCTGCCGTTTCGAAAACTAGGTTTTAATCAGCAAAAAAAATTCTGCATAAAATAGGCTTGGTCCAGTTTCGGAACTCCGTGAACACTGAAATAGGTCTCATTTTCAGTGGAATTGCATGTCCTAAAAATTGCTGAAATTTCCAAGATAAAGCACAAAGATTTATACTCGTTGTGAGTTACCTCATTAGGATTTTTGTACAGACGATTGTTAATTTACCACCTCTATCCCATTTTTTCAGAACAAACACGTCCTGGTGTTTTCAATTACCATCGGAATTTTTGCGTGCAGCCCACTATTGAGAAAGCATCTGTTATTGAAATTGGAAAAGTCATTCCATCATGGTTGCTCCACTCTTCATCCGGCCGGCGCATTAATGACCAAATTTCGGAATGCTCTTGGCCGTTGTGTAACGCTCAGTATTTTAAAGTACGCAGTAGCAACAGTAGAACGCTCACAGGACGCGTATTTCAAGCAGCTACACGAATTATGGGTTTCGAATCTGATATAATGACATAATTCTTAGGTACTAAATACTTTTCTGAAAGTGTCTGATGAGGGAGAAGATCGTAAAAGAGAGTTGCCTAAAATTGGACGTTTCCTTGATCACAGATCACCTGGATATTTCTATTAAAAACCCGTAGTTTCATGGTCTGATGGTGCTTTGGCTTTCTTCTAGTATTCCATGGCTTCCGGTTACCATTAATACCTAACGCCTTCTCGGTACCACGTGTTTTCTGTGATTGTTTTTGACGTCGACACACGTATGACTATGCACGTATCGATAAATTCCGTTATTGGCGCAGAAAAACCAACAATTCTTTTTTCTTTTTTTTTGCGTTGCCAAAAAAATTCTATCGTTTTTTCCACATACCACAAAGTTTTTAGATAATGGAAGTCCGAACCGCAGAAATTTGCAAGCACTACGACGCAATTTTCTTTACCGAAATCTGTGTGGCAAGCGTGGTTCTTGACTTTGCGTTTGGCGCGCTGGTATATTGCCTGGTGGCAAAGTGGAAGGCCGTGCACCCGTTTTTCAGGTGACTCGAAAGCTTATTTTGCATTTTTCGAACTTTTTGTAGTGTATCTTTCGGATTACTAGTCGCCTACAACGGGCTTTATGGTACTGTCTCTCAATTAATTTCCGTGTTGACGACGTTAGGGGTAAGTAGCTTGCATCGCACCGTACCGTAACCTATTGTACCGTAACGTGGCGAATAACCGTATCTTATTGTATCAGATAGCATCGTTTCGTGTCGTATCTCTTCGTATTCTATCGCATAGTGCTGCATCTTAACGTTTCATTGCCTTTGTGAATTTTCGGGAGCTATCGGACGACAGGGGGATCCATTTTATGATAATTCGTAAGGTACTTCGATACTTCCAGGTGCATCAACTAGTCAACCTCATATTCCCACGCTGGCAGCTCTATTACTACTTTTCTTTACCCCTAAATTTATTCTGCGCCTTCGAACGATCGCTAGCCACTATTTGCTATAGAAGATATGAAAAGATGCGCCTGTGGCCAATTGTGATATTTTTCATGCTAGTTTTGGTAGGTTAAAGAAGTTGTTGCCTTCTGAATGTATAGGATGACAGCGATCGTGCCATAAAAATCATTGAAAAGACCCAAACATTTTATTTTCAGATAGCGCTGATCTACAGCCTGTCCTGCCACATTGGTACGTGCAACTTATAGGGTTTTTGAAATTTACATAGTTGTAGACCGTAAAAATATCGTTAAATTGGTGTACTGTAACGCCCTCACGTTTTCAGACTTCATCCAGTCCACCATGGCCCAGATCGCGTTATTCGGATCGTCGATTGGATCGTTGATAGTTGGTTTCTCAAGGATGTTTTATGTGACATGATTTGCAGATTTGGATTTCCGTCGCAGTGCTAAATTATCAATTTATTGATCGCCGGAAGGCAGCTCTCGGGTTGACCGCTAGTTATCAATTGAGTGAGAATATCACAGGTAAGCTTTACAAATCGATTTTGCGCGGAAATAGCTATGCGAAGAGCGAGAGAGGGAGAGAGACAGAGAGGGAGAGAGAAAGAGAGAAAGAGACGAGAGAGAGAGATAGAGAGAGAGAGAGAGAGAGAGAGAGAGAGAGAGAGAGAGAGAGAGAGAGAGAGAGAGAGAGGAGAGAGAGATAAGGCGCGTAGAAAACAACATCTGTTAAATTTAGCGGCTCGAATCTCGTTGCCTTATCTATTTTTCGATTGTATTATTAAACTTTACAATATCACGAGTAGCTATGCGCTGAAAATTGATGCTCGCTTCGACTTGGATAGGTGCGAGATCGATGACAACTACGTATTCTTGTATGCCATGGTTTTAATTGTGAGTAACTCGGGCCACATATAGAGAACAGACTTTATAGCCTTATCCTACAACAATTTTTAGCCTAAGCATCTCATCGTTCTCTGCATGCCGTTGAGTGTTTTTGTATGCAGTCCAATGTTGAGAAAACATTTGCTGTTGAGGCTTAATATTTTATTCCATCACCGTCGTCATGCCATAAGCCCCACAAGCGGATTGATGACCGAATTCCGAAATTCCCTAGGACGTCGTGTAACGCTTGGCGCATCGCAGGAGGCGTATTTCAATCAATTGCACCAGTCATGGGCATAACTCTTGAACTCTATTTCTGTCTATTTTTGCGCAATAAAAAATTAATGGCATCTGTAATTCTATATGCATTATGATCCCAAAAGGCAAGCAAAGTTTATTGTTTCTTTCTGTCACAATGTCAACACACAACATGACATTTTCGGGTCATATTTCCGAACGCACCTCGAGTACGATTACGATTATTAGGGTGTCAATTATTCGCCACGCTTTATTTTTATCAGCCCATCGGCCACCCCATACTATAAAGCGGATACAACGCGACAAAATCCATTTTGGAGCCGAGGATTAATTTTCGCGGGGTTGAAAATCATAACAATATTGAAAATTCAGAAAAGGCTTCTACGTATACTCACCATTTTAATTCATTTCAGGTTACCTAAAAACTGCTGAAAATCTCAAATTCTAATTCTTTACAAATTGAAGGTCATAGCACAGAAATGAAAAGGTCAGAAGCGCAGATTATTTGAATTCCCCAGAGCTTCGGAAACTCAATTTTTTACAATTCCCGTAGTGCGTCTCGTAGTGGAACGATCAAAATTTGCAAAAATTTACGTCACATATGAGAAACCTAGGATTCAAGCTGTCTAGCCGAGTACTTCCCGGCTCCAAGATGCTGTGTTTTCAAAAGCAAAATTGAGCTGCTTCCCTGAAACCCGAAACCATGCAATGCACGTGACATCCTGTGCTAGCGAGCTAGCAGAGTCCTTTTGCGTACTGTGACCCATTTTTTCACGTAGACAATCCCTATTAATGTGTAATGGAATCCGGGAATAGCGCGGCACCATTCTGACTTGATTGCTCAGTTGACCGCATACCATGGTGGCACCAAAGATTTCGGTGTCACCATGGTGAGGCGGAAAATCTCGGTGTCACCATGGTACGAACTCGGGTGACACCATGGAATGGGCCGGTCTGGTGTCACCATGGTTCCAAAGTCTGGAATCACCATGGTATGGACCAAGGCTGGTGTCACCATGGTACGTGTCCGGTGTCACCAGAGTAGACTTTTGGTGGCACCATGGTATGAAATCTCGGTGTCACGATGGTGAGCGCTCGGTATCACCGTGGTTTGCGAGTCGGTGGCACGATGGTACGGGATCTCGGTGACACCATGGTGAGGGCTCGGTGTCACCATCGTGTGACTGGAGATTGACCCCCATTTTTAATTAATTAAAATATATTTTATTTTGATTGTTTTCAAGCACAAAAACACTATGAAATTGCTAAGCACAAAATAATTTTAGTTTTTTTTAAAGTGCCGGGTCGATCAATTCCGAGTATTGCAATGCAAGTAGATCAGTTTCAATAATACATCTTCGGGATAATTTCGAAAATTTTACGTTTTGGTTGAAATTCTATTTTCTAATTTTGATATAAACGGATGTATTTGTAGGGTTAGCGCCTTTTACATAAAAAAAACAAAACCTTGGAGACACACAAAAAATGAAGCTTCTTCGAATAGTTGGGGTAAAAAGGTCGTTATTATCATTATAAAATAAATAAAAAGTATAAATTTATGCCATAAAATATGATTGTTAAAGTAAAGTTGCGTTTAGCAAGCTTTTTTAAGGGCCGATCCATAGTTTTTGATGTCTGGTGACACCGTGGTACGGCTGGGTACGCGGCACTACTCAGTCCACTGCTACCACGGGCGCCCTTCGCATTTGAAAATGCATCGCCTGGCTCAAATTTTCTAAGTTTTCACCGCTGAAACAATAAATATGATAAAACTTTGTCTTTTAAAAGGTTAAAACCTTTATATCTTTGATATTAATGTATATTGCGATGTTTAGGCGATATTTGTTTAGAAAAACACTCACGACGGTGCAAGAATCGATGGTAAAAGGTGCGTATTTGGTGTTTTTGTTATGCCTCTTTGTTTCTAGGTAATCTGGGAGCTCGAATGCTGCTCCTTGATGATTGAAGACAAGAACTACGTCCGGAGATGGCTTCTTTGGTTAGGTTGGTGTTTAGTTTCTTCGGATTTGGCCTCCGCTCTTCCATTTTTGTCAGTTCTTTACCTGTTTTTGTCAGTTTTGCTACATTTTTCATAAAAAGTTAACTTTTTCCCAGCTTTTGTAATCCAAAAATGATTAAATTGGCTTGTCTGAGCAATTCAAGGGAAT